AGCCTTACTATCTATACATTAGATAGTTCTCTAAGTCCTTCCAACAAAAATATAATATAATTATTAGCGATTAATAGAAGTATTAATTTTATTATATAGAAGAAATTTCTTTAGTTTAGAAAATAAGTTAAATTTTTTTATTTACTTATTATTAAGTTAAGTTAATAAAATAATATATAGAATCTAGCTAAATTCGTAGACTAAATAGATCTAAGCGATTAAACTCTTACTAATATTAATTAGCGTATAGAGTATTATATTTCACTTATCTTCGATTAGCGATAGAAGTATCTTAATCTAATATTCTCTCGGAGTAAATAAGTAGAGTTTTATAATAATCTATAATATTTATACTTAAGTATTCGAGTTACTAACTAAATTTACTTAGTGAGAAGATAAAGCGTTATTAGTCGCGGAAAGTTATATAGATAAAAAATCGAACGTAGAACTCTTAATTCTTTTCGTCATTACTTTAAACTAACGTAAGTAAGTAAACTTTTATTTCTTTATCGATTAATATTAGTATCACTAAGTAAATAATTTTTTTAAGGCTTCTAATAATAAAAGAAGATAATGATATACTCATTAAAAATAACTATTTTCAACGAGATCTCATTTAATAGGGCCTTATTTAAAAATTAAAAAAGTACATTAGAGAGAGTATCGTAAAGAGATTCTTTTATACATACAAAACTTTTCTGTAAACGTTGTAGTAATCTAAGGAGATAAAGAAAAGTGATGAATGTTGAACTATTTGCGCATTTCACAAGGACGCGAACGCGTTTCTATCCTAAAACTACGTATTGGAGCTCAGACCCTTCTCGCGAAGGTGTTTTGCTCCGCAAAACAGTGGGCAGGGCCCTCGTTTATCGCAACATTCTTTGAATTTTGTGATTAGGCCGACGCTTTAGCTCCTAGCCTAGCCAATTAGGGCGTAGCTCCGATATCGGGTCTGAGAACTGAGACAATTCAACACGCGTGCGTAAACAAATTCGGCAAAGTTGCCTGGTCACGTAATTCTGACCCCTACTGGGTGGTGCTCATTGAAGTGAAGTGGTTATGAAAGATCGGCATTCGATCATGGCCGATGGTAGAATCTGCGTGCCCGTACATTTCAGGCGCCCCCCAAAACGGGCAAGCCGAAATACGGGGGCCGTCGTACCACGTGACAGCGCCGAGAGAGGAACAATATTGTGAGGGCAACCGCTCGCAGTAGGCGTGTAATGAAACACAAGCTGCATCTCAATCCTACACTGCAATGGCAAGGATAACTTTTTGCTCCTTCTCCTCCTCCTTGAGACTTTGGAATATCTTCACACCGTTCTTCTGTCAAAATGCGCACATTTCACGAATTGCCCGAGCATGTATTACATGATACAATTTCCGTGGTCGTAGATTTCACACAATCCAAAGGCTGGCAGTTATCGTTAAGATTGGTCAATCGTAAGTACAACGGGAATCTCTGCTTGGCTCTCACTAATACAACTTGCCTGATGTAGGCCAGTTCAATGAAGCTGTGCTCCATGTTTACTACTTGCGGCAAAGACTTGTGGCATCTGATGGAGACCACTCACTCGATTGCATTAATCCATGTCACGATCAGTTCTGCCGAAGACTGGTGGCTTCCCAGCGGAAACAAATCTACGCGGCGCGCTTCAACTTCCAGAGCTTGCTCGCAAGCCGAGACCTAGCTGCTGACGCCATATTCGCTCATCAGCTCCTACAGCAGTGGAAAGCGGCACTTACGATGTTGCGAGGAGTAGGGAGCCTTGAACAGCTCGATCTAGACCAAGTCCGGTTCTACTCAACCTGCAGCGACAATCCGATCTTTAATGATGTTCCCAGCGCGATTCTGTCCAAGGCTGTTGATTCTCACCTGGGACCACAATTTTTATCAGTGCTGGTCCAAAGCAAATGGAATCTCTATCTTACAGATCGCTATCAAGTCGAACCTCCCGCGTTCTGGGTGGCTCTGAGTGCATGCGTGCTTGGAGACCTCCAACTGTTTGAGGCATACAGAAGCAAACTGACGCTACTTGATGAGAATTCCTCAGCCTTCAGCCCTCCGGCTCAGTTCATTGCGTCACAGCTTTTCGCTTTGTTGAATGTGGCGATAAAGCATGCCAAACTCGGCATTGTCAGTCGTTTGCTTAAACAACATCCAAACCTAGTATCAAAGGTACACACCAACTATGCATCTCTGCAAGCAGCCATTTTTTCCAACAACACAGAAGTCCTGAAAGCTCTACTTGCGTATACGCCGAATTTACCCGACTTGCTGACTGATGCCTCGAGTCGTTGCAGCACTGTTCTCACTCGGTCTAGTAGCGGTACAGAGACTATCAGATTATTGACACGGCATTTCAGCCCACTTTCTGCAGAAGCACGTACTTGGTTGATCATGCACTCATGTGCAGTAGGCGACACAGCGCTCTTGGAAGAGTTCTCGAAAACGGAATCGCTCTTCAGTAATCGCATTTACGACGCTAGCGGTCTAATACCAACATCCGTCCATTTCGCTATCCGCTGCGGCAATGTTGATACCTTGCGCTTCTTGCTCGATCATCGAGTTCTTGAAAATCAGAATCCACAATCATTGAGAATGGCGATGGAACAGGCTCTGTCATTCAACCAGATAGAATGCTATCGAGAACTGTACCAGCGGGTGGAGATATCTCAGTCGGCACGCTACTTCGAGTATCTCACTTGGGCAGACAACGCAGAAGAAGTCATGACCGAGTTTATCCGTAAATACAGGAGCCTCATTTTTGAACCGTTAGGGGATCCGGACGATCTAGTACCACCGCTTGCTCAAAGAGCACTGTGGAAAGCTATACAACGACTCAGAGCTGGAAACGTCCAGTTTCTCCTAGGCGCGGGAGTAAGCGTGTTCCCGTGGACGAAGTACAAGGACCCTTTTGAGGTCCAATGGCCATATTTCAATCAGAACCGAGATGCGTTCCTCCGCACTCAAGCGGTGCTTGATTCTTTTGACTTACCAAAGTTAAGGATAATTGTGTGAGGCGGAAGCTTGTTCGAATGGCCATACCAGCTATACTTTACTTGGATAGCGAGCTGGAAGACTGAGTAGGTGGAGATGACGCGGTGATTCAATCAGGAGTTCAAATCCGCTTGTGAATCTTGCATGATGGTAGAAGCGATATTTAAAGTGCATCAAGACGCAAGAGCAATATGGAACTACTCATAGTAGTGGTTGAAACAATGTCACTTTATTTTCGAGCTGCGTTGAACATCCTCCTCAATTTTACCCGGCCTTCTTTGGACGCCCTCTTGGGGTCAAAATTTTGATGGTTTACCTCGAACTAACAGAGGGGCTCCAGTCGGGCTGAGTAGTGAAAGATGCCGATCGTATTTGATCGGCAGTGCCAATACCATTGAGACATTATGGCGTACATCTTAGTTTCATTCTTTCATCAGCCGCGTAATCTTTCAGAGAGAGCAGAGGCCAGCCAACTACACGTCTAAGTCGAGTAGAAGATGGTCTTGTTCAAGTCATTGCCGTAAAATCAGTTCTTCGGGATGGGCTGATAAGCTATACGGTGATCTTCTCAACTAGCTTGTCCCTACTGGATTTAGGCTTAGGCTAGCCTAGGTGGACTATTCTTGGGCATCACTAGCATTCAAGGGGCGTGACCAAGTTGGAGTACGCAATAGCATGGGGGCGGACGGTGATGGTCACGCTCAGGTGCAATGTGAAACTACATCAGACCAGGATGTAGTAGAACGCGAGCAGTCATAAGGGATTATATGGTCAAGTGGAGGCTTAGAGAAATATCGAATGAACATAGTTGGTTTGCTACAGAACAGAATTAGTCGATTGGTAAATACACTCCGCATACTTATGAAGGCACACTCCGAGCAGTCCCATTGTTCCAATATATCATACGATGAGTAGTCCGACTATACAAGATAAGCTAATACTGGCATGCCTGATGGGTCTGTTGTTTGTTGCGAAAACAAGAAGACGCCTGGACGAAAGGGCCAGCAGAGACATAAAACAAATGCCATCACCACCTTTGTACGCTATCATAAACCATATCGCCTTTCATCCAGGATGAGTCGAGACCGGAGTTCGCCTGGCGGGTTCGAAGTGTAGATGGCAAAACCGAGGTGCCATTGACCTGGGTTACCGGCGGCCTGGTCGATGTCTTCTGACAAGCGCGGAAAGAAGCCTGGTCGGTGTCGAGGCAGCAGCTCATGACCTTGTCGCTGCAGGTGTAGTAGAGACTCTTGTCCGTCATGTCACAAAAAAGGGATTCCGGGAGCGACACAAACGAGTGGCCGAACGAGTTCCAGGACTCGCAGAGCTCACGCGCACTATTGAATTCGTGGGGCGAGATGATCAGAAGTTCGGCCAAGGGTCGTCGTGGTGGTGCTTGTGTTCCACTGGAACCGTCCGATCCGATGGTGCTGGTAGAAAGAGCCGGGCCGTGTTGGTGATAGCGGCGGATGACATCTCTCCGCCGTAGGATTCCGCTAAGTAAGCCCGAGATGAGATTTCCGCCCGCAACACCGGGATTTTCGATGATGAAACCGGGATCCTTGTCAGTTCCTATCAGTGATGGGTCGTCCGAGTCTGTGATGAACTCGGGGGGGTGGGGGAACACAAGAATGGACTCCTCCGTTATCAGCTGCGGGTACATGCGGAATCTTGGCCCGCTCTTGCACATAAGGTCGCGGTTGTCGGAATACGACGCTCCCAGGTTTTTGTTCGAGTTGCTGAAGCTCGGAAGATGAATGCCAAAACCTTGATAGGGGATACCATTAGAGCCATCTCTGTCGATCCAGACACATTTCGGGTTCTCGATCTCCCCGGTGGCCTGCTGCTGGAGCACTGGGGTGTTGCTGTTGGACCAAAATGCGCCGCAAGCAGCGGCAACGTTGGTGCTGAAGCCAGCCCTTCCTCCATCTGGAAATGTTAGTGCCAAGCCGGCGATGCATACTGCGTCCTTTCCACCATTCGTGATGGATACATACGCGGCTTGGATGTTGCCTGCCTCCGCATTAGGATTCACTGTGATGTCCACGAAGTTGCCCTGGGGTAAGATTTTGCTTGTGCCATCAGTGAATCCGATCGCACCGCCGTTGAAATCCCAAAGGGAGGCCCCTGGGGTGTTCCCTCCGAAGCTTGCTGCTGTATCAACAGATGATCCTAGAACGACACGAACATTGGTAGCATGTTGAGTTGCTGAACGTCCAGACTTCCCATACCAAGCAATACCCCCAACCAAGGTCACCTAGTACTTATTAGGATGGTGGGGTGATCAGCCTTAGCCTTTTCAGGCTAGCGTAGTTCCACAGGTGCCACGGTACGTGGTACTGGGTAGACATTACTGGTAGATGCTCCAACTTCCGTTTTTCGAGCTTTGTGTGTTGTTGACAATCATTCCAGGTTTGCAAGGGAAAGCCCTCTGTCTGTGAGGCTGGTAAAACGTGCTGTTCGCTTATTGCAACCCATATATTCAACCTCCTCCCCTGGGGACCGTTTGTACCCACGACAAGTCGCTGTCTTTGGAACGAGGTTCGTAATCAACAAGAACACACACGGAGATTTGACCTTAAAGCTCTTGATCATGTCATCATCAAGGCAGCCGGACCTACCACCAGTGACACGTCTTTCCGATTTAAGAAGCTCGCGGATGGTGGTTTCAACGAAGTCTTCCTCGCTGTTGTTGATGAAAGACGATTGATAGTCAAGATCCCTGACCCGGCCATCCCCCCACGTTTGGTCAGGCCAAGTGAAGTTGCGACACTTGAGTTCTTACTGTTCGAGCAGGAATTGCGGGTGCTCAAGGTGCTCTCATGGAGCGACAACAGTGACAATTCTGTCGGTTGCGAATGCATCATCATGGAAGAAGCCCAGCGCCGAGCTTTGAGCACCGTACGGGAGCGCCTTGGAATCGACGATAAATTCTCTGTTGTGAACGAAGTGCTATCAATGCAGAAGCGATTTGTTGCCACAAGGCATATATTCAATGGGTATGCGAGGGTATAGCTCCTTGATGATGCAGCAAGACTGGATTTTACGCAGCATCTTCCGGTATCATCCACTCCTATCCCACCACATTGCATTGGTTCATTGACAAATCGGCACTTCCTTGGGCCAGCGCTTACCGCCTCTGACTTGAATTGTGGCCCTTGTAAGTCCCCGTGGCGGATTCATGTTGTTTGGCTGCTGACAAGTCAGGGCCTACAGCGCAAGATTATCTCATATCCTTGCATGCTCATCAATGGCACAGATTGAAATGTACCGAGACAGAGATGTGGCTGCCGATAGAGCATTTTCCTTCCCGATAAACACAGCAAGCAACACGTCCGCTAATGCAATGTGTGACATGCTCAGAACACTTTGTACGGTCATACAAATTGTTAGCTATGTGATCAAACTCGTCCCTTCTTTCACCGTTCTTGATGTCGCCGTCATGCATAGCTGGCAAGCCGAATAGGAAAATAGGGAACACTCAAACAAAGTCCGCTGTTGGAATGGAGGTGGCCTTCACTGATAATGAGCATTCCGTCTACCTTGGAAATGGCGATCCTTTGTCATTCATCCTATACTGTCAATTATCTTCGATATAGCGGTCGCTTCGGCGTTATTGAGCACTCTTGAGGTACATGTTCCGTTACAGACTGTGTCACTTATTTTTGAATCGGCTTGCTGCGTGTGTAAATGTCCCCAACGCCCTTGCCCCTAGCTGGCCACTTTATGTTCATGGTTGGCTGAATCACAAAATCTGTCTCATTTGTAGTGCCACCATTCATGTATGCTCTGTTTACTTTTTGTGGGGAGCACAGCCATCCCATCAGATGGCAGAAGACGGTATAGTGGAGCTACGGCGCAAGGCTGGTGGCTGTGCCTGTACTGGGGTAATCTGCGCGGGTTGTTGTGCACCGGTAATAGTAACGCTTGCGGTTTGTTTGGGTAGTGTCCAAGGATCAGGAAGGGCCTTACGCGCTTTGAATGCTTCTCTGCGATCCTCCAGGGTTTGTCGGGCATTTGCCCATAAATCCGCCTCATCCTTTCGGAGTCTCCCAGGGAAAAAGGTCGTCAGCACTGCTAAACCAACACCAGGCCGATACTGCTCTGCATTTTTCAAAACCGCCATGACGTTCTCGCCACTGTTGGCCTTGATGCGCGTGCAGGATCTAAGGTCCTCTTCCGCCACAGGAACTCCATGAGCTGCGGGGCTGCGTACTGCATTGGCGGCATAAACGTTATGCACCATGCCGAGCCCGCCTACCCCCATGAGATACCAAGTATCCTGTTCAATCCCACCCGCGGTGATCAAGAAAAACACCCAAGAAGTTGCAAGTACAACAAGTGTGAACCTTGCCAACCTTGTGGATTGGGGCGACTGAATAGCCAAGTCTTCCATGTTGAGACTTGTTCCTATTTTCCTAGTCTTGCCATTCTCGAGTTTTTCTATCAATGTGGGCCCATTGTCTATAACAAAGACATGCTGATGGCCATTTCCTTTAGTCAAAATGTAAGTATCCTTTGAATCTTTTCGACAGGCGTACTTCTCCTCCATCCACTGGGGCAGTGAGCCTGTGATGATCGCGAGCAAAGACCCTGCCGCCGTGATCAAGAGAATTCCCCAGTTGCGCTGCGGCAGGATGGTAGGGATTGCAGCGATCAACAACTGTAGTGGCAGGAACACAACGAAGCTCCACCAAACCTTGTCAGCTTTTGGACAACCTGGGTTTTCCTTGGCCGTCAAAAAGGTGAAAACAGGCTTGGTGTACTTCTTTTTCGTCTTTTTTACCTTGCCGTCCTGGCCCGGTTCGACTACCTCTTCATCAGGGATTCTAAGATATTTATTGATCTCCAGGTCGCGCACCAGTCGGCCAATGATCCAGGATTCGTTTTCACGAGCGCCTTGGCTGCTCAACGGAATAATGCGGCACACTATGTCTGGGGGAGGCATGAGTGAGCCGTCACTGAGAGCCGAATTCAGTGCATTGAAAGCGTAGGCCACCCATCCAAAGCTAAACGCGGTGGGTGTGATGTAGAAGCCTCGCAGCTGGTGGCCTACTAGCTGAGCAATCGCTTTTTGGACAATGTCCCCGCCGATAAGCAGTAAGACGGAAAATGTCTCCGCCGGGTTTTCATATTGTTTCTTGAAGAAGACACTCGGATTGGAGGAAGTGGAGGTAGGTGTCACCGGGCCGGTGGCATTTGTCAAAGCTTCGGAGGCACGAACGTGGAGGGATCGAGAGGCAACGGGTTGCAGCAGGAAGAAAAGAATTGAGTAAAGAAGCATCTTCGAGGTTGCATGATAAGCAGTTCATCACATCTCACTCACCATCTGTCACGACTTTGAACTTCAGCTTGCGCTCTTGAGATGTGCAAGACGTGAGCCTGCATGCGCAACTCCACAAGTTTCCCAGCCTCGCCACGTGCAGCCACGTGCAGCCACGTGGTCACTAGTTGTCTCCTCGGACCCTGATCATCCAGCTACGATGAACTCAAAGGTATTGCGATTGGGCTGCCAGGACCCTTCTTGGCCTTGTTAGGGCCGTTAATCAATTCTATGCTGTCATGCATGGCCAATGCCCGGCTCTGATTTAGAACTTTGAGGAATTGCCTGCAAATATTATTGTGTAGCTCTTGTCGAACCTAACACCTCATCTTCCGTGTGAGTTCTAGTCCCTGGGGAGAGTGTGCAGACGGAGTTACGGTAAACATGAAAGAGGCTTGGGTAGAGAGCCATAGAGAGATAGAATCAATTTTTCGACGCAAGTAATTTACGAAAGCAAAATCTACTTACATCCCTTGCAAGATTAAAATAATATATTTCCTTTCCTAAACGATGAAGTGAATTCGCGGGCTGTATCTTTAGATTGTCCTTCGACAGCCTTCGAAATCTCTTACCTACCCATACACTATTCACGATGTCGCAATCTGGAAGCAGAAGCCCTGCTCCTGAGGTTGGGAAGAAACCTGCGAAGCCGATGAGTATCAAAACACACATGTGATCAGCCACAGAACGAGGTCATTTTTAAGGTCAAATGCTACAGGGATGGGAAGGATGTTTGATAGCTATTGTCGACGTGAACAGCGTATTCAAGATCATAGACCAAGACAAGAATGGTCTTCACTTCACGATCAAGATGGTGGTTTCGCCAGAAATCCTAGAACTTGAAGATGGAGAGCTGATCTAAAAAGGTTGGGAAGTCACGTGATCCAGCCCAGCCACCCAGTACTGTCTATATAGTCTACCGTAGTCCCCGTACTGAATAACGGAGGACAACCTTTTGATCATTCAACAGAGTGTAGACTACATCACTCGTCTTCTTCCCTTGTAGATTTCCCGAATGCGGTGTTTCGGTGTTCTCAATGCGGTTATGGTAATACCATGAATTAGTAGAGGTGTCATCACGGTTTGACGGCGTTCTTCCTCGACGGCGGACGCCAAGATCGCTGGCACCAGCCCTTGCCCTTTCCCTGTTGTCTCTTCGGACTGGATTGCCGACAACCACCATCTTACAAAACGTTATGTGGGATCATGTCCGTTCGACTTATCTACTCGGTCCTATTCTACTCTACCGCCGAACACACGGTACGCGATGTCTTGCCGTGTCCACATCTCTAATGGACGTGAAGACCATTGGCTTGAAGATTTGAGTTGGCGATGATGGAATGCGGCGAACCATGCCTGTGGATCTCGCTCGAAGCCCCATCTAAACCATGCGTTCCGCTCGACAGGCAAGTCGAAGCAGGAAGCAGCGCACCTGGATTCTCAGCAGTGCCCAGGTAGTACGAAAGGTCGCTACCATCGTACTCCCGAATAGTGAATCCATTGCCAAAGAATCCAAAGGGGTTGTCACCCTCGTAGCTGATGCTGTAGTCTTCATATCGCGGTTGTGACAGAGCGTCGAAGAAAAGAAGCCGTGAACCAGGCCAGATCGACAAGGGACCGTCCTCTTTGCCTTGCTTGAACCAGCTTCGGCAGCCTGACGACCATGCCGTACGCTTCAAGTACAAATCGGCATGCTCGATGAAGGCTTGGCACACTTCTTTCCGTGGTGCCATGGCACGGATGTTATGGGTTTGGATTTTCTTGATTAGCATCATGAAATGTCGCATGAGGTGCTCGATTATGGGCAGGAATGAGCCGTGGCCTACTGGACCGTATGCACCGGTCACAGTCCAGTAATTCGGAACTTTTTCAGGTCAGTAATGCGCGGCTTTCACAGAAATGGGATGCCGTTACTCACTCTCGGGTACACCGATGGAAAGGTACGAGACGGGTTTACCCTTTTGCATATCTTGGACATTCATTCCGCGTGCCTTAATTGGGAAACGAGGAACCCATGATGTGTCGAATCTGCCACAACATTGTCAGTTGTTTCTAATAGCCCTTCTCTCGCAGCGGGAACATACCCTGTCGCGCAGATGATAACATCAACTTCGTGCTCTAAACCCTGATGGTCGATGAAACCTCTGGGGGTGACTTTGATCATGTCCCTGGGAAAAGTCGTTACATGTGGAAGCGTCAAGGCTTCTAGGAAGCCATTTCCGGGCGTGGGGCGTCGGCAGCCAACGCCGAATTTGGTGGGTACCAGCATACTGATCAGATCCTGCCGGCCCTTTAATTTGTCCTGCATCTGTGTCGTGGAGAATTCCTTGGCTTCCCTCGCCTCGGGAGTGCCGTTGAGAATGAACTTGAACCTCTGGTTCAGTTCATCTTCGATCTCTTTGGTATACACGACATACTCGGGGAAGTTCTCTGCGAATTTGTGCTTCTGCTCCTCGGAGTATTCAAAATTTGCTCCGTCGGGCCCAGCATACTTCTGAGCAAACCCAGTCGTAATCCAGGTCGGTGACCTCACCCAGGTGTAAAGCTGTTTGACCTTTGACGCGATGTTGGCCGTGACTTGAATGCCACTGCTGCCAACGCCAATCACTGCTACACGCTTGTCATCAAGGTGGGTGCCGGCCGCATAATTTGCAGTGTGGCAAAGAGTGCCTTTGAAATCATGAAGACCGTAGATTGCTGGCCATTTCCAGCTGCTATTCGCGTGTCAGTTCACTGTATTTATATCCAAAGTGTAAGACCTCACTTCAAGATGCCTCCACCGTTGATGAAAATCTCGGCTCTATCGACAAACTCGGTTCCGTCAATGAGATTTTTGACCTTTAGGTGCCATATCCCTTCGTCCTCGTGCCATTCGGCGTCGATTATTTCATGGTTGAGTTTCATATATTTCTCAAGTTCGAGTGTGTCGACGATATCCTTGAAATACTGCCAGATCTCCTCCGAGTACGAATAGAAGTGTGACCAGTCGGCTTTGCGTGCCCAAGTAAACTTTGACATGGTAAGAATGAGATAAGGGAGCAAGGGCTGTTGGGTAACTAGTACCTGATAGTTTATAGAAGGAATATCACACGCGCAACCGGGATATCTGGATCCCAATGTCAGCCAAATTCCGAACGAACGAAACGTTCAGAATCCTCTAGACCTGTTTTCCAGCCAGGTACCGCCAATGTCGGGATTCTTATCGTAGCAGCAGAAGTCAATATTCTCCAACGTCTCCGAAGCAAACTTGGAAAAGCAAATGCCGGAAGCTCTAGCGCCAAGGTGAACGACCCGAATAGGCCTTTCTGTGCTAGAGAGTTGTTCTTTGATACGATACCCTCGGGCGTTCGTAGTCGGCCATCCATACCGCTCTGGGAGGTATTGAAGGTTCTCGCTGACGACGGAAGCTGTCGTTCCAGTCTTTGATTTTACAGGTAAAGAGGTCATATCCCTCAAAGTCATCGACGTGACAAGAGTCGTGGCAGGGGGATGGTTGCTGCGGTACTCAGAGTCCCGACTGCGATGCAACGAAAAGGCGTGTCTTTATAACCAACTCACAATTGGGCATAAATCCCACAAGAGCGCTGGGTAGTCGAGCCCGGCCTTTTCACAAACTCGGGCCATACGGAGTAACCGGAGGCAACAGCAGCCCTAGTGCACTTGCAAGGCTGTGGCTGCGCACTGTGATAACACATTTTGATAAACCTTGTGCAATCCCGAGATAGTTAGGAAAGTGATGGTAAGACGGCATCTTGTGGTAGCAGTGGAGCGTGCTCCATCTGGAAGACAGCGTTTTCAACACGCCGTCTTGTGTGAATGGGGAAGCATGCTGCTTAGCGGTCACGGCGTTCCTATGGGTTGCCCATCTCGATATCTTCTTCAGCTTAGCTAAAGATGATGGTTGCTTTGTCCTCGGATGCCGAGACTGACCCGATTGATGATTGTTGTACCTAGTGGTCATCGAAATAAAGGGCTTACTCTGGACGCAGCCTGTGGCTTTGGGGTAAGAATCTCGGCTCACCCGACTGAGCCCCTTAGCCCACCAGCCTGGCTTGAGCTGCTGAATACTCCGTACACGTACGATCTCGTGGGCTTTCCAAGTTAAGCCTCCCAAGCCTCCTGGGTCAACTTGGCAAATTAATAATACCCGGTCTCATTCGTCGCCATGATAGGCTACGCCGTACTTACACCTCGGCAAACTGCTACGAGAGGCCCAGGTCCAGCTTTACCCCAGGATTGCCACAGTCAAGGGCGTGTGGAGTGGGACATCAAGCGACTGGTGGCCATCCCAAATGCGGTGCACCTTCGCGGTGCCCGACATTAAATGTTGACATAGCCAACGTCGACCTGGAAAGTGTTAGTCAGGTTGCTACCGTTGAGTGGCCATCGATTCTTTGAATGTCTCCTAGTCTCAGTCCCTTGGATCTCTGTACCAGTATCCCCGCAACAATGGATGCACCAACAACTAGTGGCGGAACAGGGCCAGTAGACCGACAATCTTTAGAACCGCGAGCTCGACGTATAGGACGCGTTGCTTGTTCATACTGCCATCACCGACGAATTCGCTGCGATGCGTCCCAGTCTCAACCCTGCTCTAATTGCGCCATGGCGCAGATCTCGTGCCATCTGATTGAGTCCAAAAGGGGGAAGTAAGTCAACCGTGGTCAACCTCTGACCGGACGCCTATCCGATACAGCGATGATCTGACGACTTCGAACAGATACCCAAGAACACGTTTGAAAGCCAATTCAAAGCCTCCGACTCCGGCAATAGGTCGTCGCGATCACAGCCAGCATTCCTTGGTAAGAGGCACCACTCCTGTGACGCCACTCACGCCTCTGCGGCAGGAAGCCTTGTTGCCCAACCGATCCGCAGGGCAAGATGTTGCTGCCGAGAACATCGAGCTTGATCCGCCGGAGGAATCTCCATCGCACGGGGTTCAAGAGCCCCACGCCCGAGGATGGCTCAGACGACCTCTATGCCAGATTATCACAGCTGCGCTCATCAACGCTACGGGATCGCAACCTGCTAGGAATGCACACGATCTATCTGGGAGAGTCATTTTTACTCACCTATGTAGTCCGAAACAGTATTGATGCAGAAGCAACACCATCGTCCGTTTCTACGCTGCAACTGCCTTTGCCCACAGCTGCCAGCAACAAGGACAGGCTGAGACCGGATTCGCATCTCAGTGAGGAGGACCTGGAGGTTTTGAGATTGAGAAACGCTTTCACATTACCCGAGAAAGAGGCCTGCGATGCGCTCGTAGCAACATTCTTTCAGATTGTCTATCCGGCTTTTCCGATATTCGACAGACGAGACTTTGCTCTGCTGTATGAAACAAACCAAATCTCATTACTTGTTCTCAACTCAATATTCGCGTTGGCAAGCACCTTATGCGATGCAAAGGTGCTCAAAATGGCCGGCTTTGACTGTCGAAGGTCCGCTCGAAAGACGTTCCTCAAACGCACCAAGGCGTTGTATGATGCAGATTACGACAGAGACAAGGTTTCTTTAATCCAAGCGACCTTTATCATCAGCTTTCTCTGGGATGGCGCAAACGACGCGAAAGACATGTGGCATTGGCTTGGCATCGCGATCAGCATTGCTCAGACGAAAGGACTGCACAGATCGTGAGTGGTGCATTTATCCACCAGATGCTCTGGAGCCCTGACAGAGAAGCAGCACGAGGCATTCGATTCTACGATTACGCGACCGCAAGCTGTGGAAGCGGCTATGGTGGTCGCTTTATGTATGAGATCGGAAAGAACAGTATTTGTAGAACAGTGAATCCTAACTTTGCCGCAGGTTCGCGACCGCCACTGCGCAGGTACCGTTGGTCGTCCATTGCGGATCCGTGACGACGACTGCGACGTCGAGCCGTTGGACGAAACAGACTTTATTGATGCCGATGACGATGAGTTTGGCGACAGCGACCCGGTCGTCCGCTCAAGTGTCTGCACGAGGATTAACGTTAACTTTGCACATATTCAATACACTATCTCAATGTCCAGACTTACTGTGATTTGTAAGTACAGCAATTGGTGGTCCCTCTTTTGCCCCCCGACTGACTGCGTCCGCTTCTGAAGTCGGCAATATCATCTCAAGCAAATTTCCTATTTCCCCTTCAAGAGACACTCTCAGTTCGGCAGAACTGGTCGAACACCTGAAAATATGGCGGCAACAATTGTTGCTTAGGGTTAGTGATGATGATGAAGACCAGAACACATGGTTTTGGGCACGAATGCTGGATTTGAGCTACAAGTACTTCACTCACCGTCGCCCGCCCCGGGGCGACAAGAGATGGCTTATGGATGCTGATCTTTTCTAGTCACCTGCTCATTCTGCTTCATCGTCCCGAGCACGGAAAGGTTCCGGGGACCGTTATCTCGCCGCACCATAAGGCACTCATGGCTGCAAATAGGATCTCCAGGATCGTTGATGAGTTCCTAGGTATGGGGGCGATGCAACAAACCCAGCTTCAGATGTAAGCTCATTGTTCGGGCCCGTTCAAATAGTGCTGCCACGATTTTAGGTGCTCAGCAGCTAAACCTGTGAGATGTAGATGCCCAAGCGTTTTCGCCGCACTAACCATTTATGCATCAATGGTTCGGTATTCAGACAAGATCCAACGAGAGCTTGCAGAGAACAGGGCTAGCCTTGTGATGCTTGGCCTCAGCCAAATTGCGGAGACATGGCCTGCGAGCAGCTGGATACTGCGCCTTTTCGAGACACTGTTCAATAATTAACAAATGGTACGGTCATGGAGCACGAGAGATCATCGAGAAATCGCATCTTCGTTGTCAGCAGGCGGCCGTATTACACAAGAAGAAACTCCGGATCGTGGTGTGGCAGCAGCAAACAAGCAGCAACAAGAGTTTACAGCATCCTACGGCCAGGCTTCTCTTCAGGTAGTAGAGGGTGTTTTCAAGGACGGCAATGGGCAGATGCAGAGGGACCCTTCATACGCTCAAACGCAACAAGCGCCGCTTTCCGCGAACGAGTCTTTCGATGCAGAGTTGCTGACATGGTTCCCAGACGATTGGTTAGACTTTAGATTTCCAGATGGCTTCTGAAGGCTTCTTGTCCGGCCGTGGTGTGTGAGTGCAGAGCGGACCAATAAGTGTTCAGGCAGAATTCCCAAGACTAACAAACTCTACTTGCATAGGGCGCTATATCGCATGTAAGCACACTCGACGCTATCTCGCACTGACCGTAACCCTGACTTATCTTTACCTATAACTGACTCTTCGAATGTCAAGTTCACTTACTATCGCCATCCAGCATGCCTCTCTCCTGCTTCTCGACCTTTCCCTGGATTTTGATCGTGGCTATCTAGATCTTGGTCAGAGTCGTAAATGCATATTCGTAGTGACTATGGTCCTGATCCGCAGACTCCTTCGCCGGCTGACCTATCCCAACTTCTGCATTGGCGGTGGCACGGACATTGGATTCAACTACCATATCCAGTTCAGCTTTCTCCTTGGTTGTGATGTGGGTCAAGTGGATCTCGACGTGATCGCCGAACTTCTCGTTGATCTCTTCCAAGGAGAATCCCCTCGTCTGAATGTCGTCAGCTTTCGCCTGACGGGAGACGAAATTTAGGCATACCTCGGGAAAAGTCATCCAGATGATAGGAATACAAACCGTCGTCAAACAGATGAAGACAAGATAGTACTTCCAGCCGATCGTTGCAAAAGCGTAAGGAGCGGCCTGGAGGTAAGGAATAGTGCATAAGTAGAGCACGATGATCGAGAAAGCCATGCCTTTGGCTCGGATATGTGTCGGAAAGATCTCGGCGCAGTAGACGTAAGTGTTGGCATCGATGCAGCCTCCGTAGCTTTAGATCATTAGAGGGAACATCAACGGGTAAGGGTGATGGTAGCCTTACAAAAAGATATAAAAGAAGAGCATGAATACGCCTGCGCTTAGACCGGCTTTGTTCTGCGTCCCGGCATATTCAGCAACGAGCGCTGATTCGATTGCGAGACAGAGAACACAGCCTGAGAGACCGATAACTAAACCATGTCAATCAGAGTCACACTTGATGTCCGTGGACTTACTCATCAGCCGAACCCTTCCGACTCTGTCGATCAGCACTGCACAAACGTAGTTGAGGAATGCAGCGATAGTGCAGTATGCCGCTCCCAATATGAGCGGCACGCCACCTGTCTGTCCCAAACCCTGGTATAGGATGACGCTGTAGTCGTCGAGGACCTTAGCATGAGTGAGAATTTAGTCCAAGAGAGGACCTACTATAGATGACAAGATTGCCGGAAGCCTGTGCAGCGAACATGGTGACGAAAGCACAAAACATTCTTTTGCGGTAGCTCGGCTTGCGGAACAGGTCAAGCAGACTCTCGTGAGAGCTCAACAGTTTGTCAGCGTCCGCTTGTCGCGAAATCTGGTAAAATTCCTCCCGGGCAAAGAGTTGTTGGTTATCAGTGGCGCCATGCAGCTTGGAGATGATGGCCCAGGCTTCGTCACGCCGGTCTTGGAACAGCACTAGAGTGGCTTGTCAGCACACGAGAAGAAAATTGTTAAGTGAGAAGGGCAGGGATTACACCAACGAGGCGACTCAGGAATCACCGGCAGAGTGACGAGCATCAAGAGTGGCCACAAACACTGCAGAGCCAGGGGAAACCGCTATTGAAAGGCTGCGTTGGTGGCATAGTAGCAGCCCACACCAACCCAAGCCGCAATCGAATACGCAACTACGATAATAACACCTGTTCAGATGTGCGTCAGTGGGTGTATTGGGCTGAAGCGTGATTGTAGGTGTATACCATTCTGTGCTACGAGGAACCCTCGAGTCGAAGGAGGTGCAATCTCGGCTTGGAAGACAGGGACCAGTGTAATGAGCATGCCTACCGGAAAGGTCAGTACTTAAACGCATGTGCGATCATACAACTGACCTGCACCCAGGCCGGTGACAAATCTAGCCACCAGAAACATGGCAATATGGACTGAAGCAGTTTGCAGAATGCACCCGATCAGAGTGACGACTGTTGCAACCACAAGCGAAGGCTTGCGGCCACGAGCCTCGCTCATCCATGCCACGAAACATGAACCAAACACCCCACCCGCTGACAAAAGGCCATTGATAGCCCCGACAATGCTGGCAGTGTAAGAATAGTTGCTGGCCATGGTATCGGCAGTCAAGCCAAAATAGGCATAAAAGTTGGGTTGGCCGAGAGTAGTCGAGATGATGCTGAGAACGTAGCCATATGTCATGCTCCCGAGACATATAGCAAAAATGGCCTGGCAGTCGGCGGTAAGCATAGACCACACTCAATGAGAAGGGGGCTTACAGAGGTGTTGGACCACGAGATTTTCGCTTCTCTGGCCATTCTGTTCTCTGTTGACAGACGGGCAGGTGCTGTATAAATGAAACGGACGTGTGCAAATTCGAGGCAGTACTTGGGGGTTTGAGCAAGAAATTTGACCTTGGAACCAGGAGATATGGTCCGTGAATAAGTACTTTGGATAACGACCCCAGACTCAGCCAGTCAACCTGGTTCTGCGGGAAAATAGTCCGGGGAGAGCTCTGTGGGGGCCCGAGGCTTGCGCAGTTCTTGCATGGACCGCGTCTCCATTTAAGAGAGACAAATCATGGGCCGACCGAGAGGGGCATGCATCTCAGGATATCCAAACTCAAGACTACGTGCTGCAGAATCCAAGGTGAGGTTGGACAGCATGAACAAAGACGCCGTTTTGAGTTCCGTCAGGGACGGCTTCCTGTAAGACGCCGTCTTGGCTCCTCAACAGCAGAAAGGGGAGAATTACTGGACCGTTAAATATTCGTCTCAATATCGCGAAGCCGTAGACAAAGCATGACATTCACAGCCAGCATGATCGTATCAAACAGCAACCAAGAAACAACACGATCCGCGTTCTCATGGCGCAAACGAGGCCTGGTCTCATATGGCGTACCGTTTCCCCAGCTTGTCGCGACGCATGTCGAGAGATTAGGGAAATTGCGGGTATATACGTTGGTTTCTTGGTCGCTTGCGAGGAACACAGATACTGTATCCAGATTGAAGGAGGCACTGGGTCCAAAACTCGTGGGAGAGCGCATTGGGTTTCCCAGCCATGTGCCTTGGAACGATCTGCTTCGTTTGGCACAGGAAATGTAAGTCGACTTTCACATTCGAGTACCGACGCCAACGGCCCACTGCACCTTTTCTTGAAAGATCTGGTACGATGGATAACCAAGCTGTGGTGCGCAATTAGGTGCCAGGACCAGAGGCTAATAATGTCGCAGAAATGAGTCGGCCGCTGAGCTGGTCGTGACCGTAGGTGGGTTGTGCTGCACCCCTTGGGCGTAATGCCTATCTTCCAAAGACATGGACTAATCTGAACACTCCACCAGGAGGAGGGTCCATCACTGATGCTGTCAAGCTCGCCGGCCTCATCCTCGCAAACGATCTCCATGATTTCAAAGCCCTTGATGCAATGAGCTCGAGACTAAAAGCAGCCATGCAGCATGATATCGACTATAAACATGCCTCGGATCCCCAGGACGTAAATCCTCCACCATTCGTCAGGATCAATGTACCTACAACATTGTCCGCTGGAGAGTATTCTCCGTACGCAGGGGGGATCGATCCGACGGAAGGCGTAAAGAAAATCTTCATACTTCAAAGCCTAGCATGCGACATCGTGATATTAGACCCGGAGCTCGCACGGCACTCTCCAGAATGGGTATGGATGAGCTCAGGTGTCAGGTCGATAGATCACTGTGTCGAATTGCTGGGCAGTTTGAGCAAGATTGATCCGGAGACAGAGGACGCTGCAGAGAAAGGTCTTGTGTTGGTGGCGCGAGGTCTTCTGAAATTGAGGAATGACCCCAGCGACCTTCAGGCTCGCCTTGAGACTCAGCTGGGCTCAAACTTTGCAATGGACGGCAAGTTCACACATCATCCGCGCGATTTTTATGAATCATCCCTGATATCATGGCATCTAGGTCTTTGCCGAGGTGTACATCTTGGTGGCTCCCACGCTATCGGACATCAGCTCGGTACCATGAACGTGGCGCATGGTGGGTTCATCAAATCGCCAACAAGCAGGCATTCTATACTTGTACTAACGTTCTCAAAGGATACACATCCTGTATATTATGTCCTTCAGTCATGAAGTGCAATGCGAAGGTCAATGCAGCTCGGCAACAACGGGCTATTGACATCTTGTGGTCCGACTCGTATATCCGACAGGCGCTATCGAAACGAGGTCTCACGGCCCAGAATGACTTGGGAGATCTCTTGGACGGGTTGTTCCGAGAATATGGAATGCCCAGGACTCTGAAGGAAGTTGGAGTTGAAGGGGAAGCGAACTTACAAACGTTGGCCGTTCGAAGCCTGAAGGATCCTTGGTGTAGAACAAACCCAATACCCCTGACGACACTAGAACAGGTGATCAATATCCTGAACACTGTAGAAATATGATCCCACAGTGAACACAAGTCTTCATCGAGTGTACCTCGTATGTGGGCCGGAAGTTAAGAACTGAACTTTCAACGAGTGAACTTGACTTGTGCACAAGGCCCTCGAGCTCTGAGGTTACATATATTCCGTACGGAGTAGTCAATGGTCTAGATGCTGGTGCCGGGGTGGAGGGGGTTCTTTTCGCTGCTAAAAGTGGTGGAGTCCGACGCCCACGGCTTAGTGACGGGCGCGCCAAGGGGCTAAGCTGGCTAGCGGGGATTCGGCTTGGCAGATTTCTTCAAAGGCTTGGCAACTCAGGCAGATCTTGGTTCGCTTGCTTGTCCACATCACGAGACGAAGAGGTGACCACATCCAAGCCCTGTCCAACTCTCTCTTGGCCACAACACCGATCTCTAAATGGCACTGTAATAATGTACCCATAAGCTATCCGCATGGACTACCTACCAAGGATACTAGTCCGGCCATCGCATGATAGACTACAAATATCAACTCTGGAAGGCCTGATCGCCGCGAAACTGTCAGACTCGGACGGATCGCGCGCTGTCTCCTTCTCCTTCGAGGCCGCCCCAAATGGCGGTGTCGAGGAGAAACGGGAAGAGACTGGAATGCTATGCGACTTATTTTCCCACACTTTGACCCAATTCTTGACCGTCACACACAGCGAGGGTAAACGACTTATCCCGGTTCCCACCAAGTCCCACGGCGCTGAGACCATTCCCATTGCGGCGCTCTCCAGCGTTCTGGCAAGCCTTGTGAAAGAACACCTCCAGAATAGAAAGGAAACAGCCATCAACAACTCTGTTCAGAACGAGAAAGTTTTGGAATCTTTGCAGAGAGCCGCGACAACTTTGCAGACATTCAAAGACGTCTTGACAATTCAGAATGGCGCCAGCCAAATATCCCAATTCCAACTGGCAGCATTGTCTTTGCAGTGTCTTATCGAGACACTATACGACTTGACACTACCCCAATTTCATTTGCCCACCATATATTCGATTGCTAATCCGTACCCTTTCTGGATCGACAACGTATTAGTCAACAAATTGTTGCTCGACTCCGGCTGGGACGAGAGCAAAATAAGGGCTCTGCCCAAAGACGTCCGATTCCGTTACTATGTCAGCTTTTTGAGCAGTGGTGGCCCGGAGCTCAAACGGAGACGGTCTTCTGCATATTTTAAGGAACGCTACTCCCCAGCTCATGTGTCTGGAAATTGCCGCTGCATCAGGTTAAACGCAGACCTCGACATCGGAAACAAAGAAATCACTAATCCTTATTTCAATCTGGTGACATTTTCTGCAGTCAGCAGCCACCATCATTGCCTCAAATTAGAGAAACAAAAGCTTCCGTCTGAGAAAGATGTAAGCTTGACGTTTGTGGCATTCTCACACTTGAGGTCAGATGGTCTTGGATCCAGCGAAGAGAACGCTTTGCCTCGATGTCAAGTGGAGTACCTTCAAGATCTGAGCAATCGACTACTACCAGAAGAGGATCATCCAGTTCCGTTTTACATCGATACTCTGTGCGTCCCAACGCAAGGCTCTGCGAAAGCCGCTGCTCTCCGAAATATGCAACGTATTTTCGGAAGTGCGCGTAAGGTGCTTGCGCTCGACATTGGGCTTTCCGCCACAGCAGTGTCTCCCCTCCCCCAAGAAAACTTAACACGAATACGTTACTCCTCCTTCATGCAGAGGTTGTATACAGTGGCGGAATGCGCAGTGTCTTTAGACATGTACTTCCATTTTCAGGGTGGCACCTTTGTTTCCTTGACCGATCTTATCTCGACATACGACGCCAACGAGGAATTCCCCTTGCTAAGCATGGTCAGCTTCAAGGACCGCAGGCGAAACACATTGACGTTGCAAGATTTTGAAGATTTGTCACTTGCATTGGTATGGCTGAGTGACGATCTCCATGTCCTGAAAATGTATTCAAGAGGACAATTAGACGGGCCGTTGCCTAAAATTGACGTTGACTCAGTCTTCCCTCTGGTCTCTGGAGAGCGGTCTCCTAGCCACGAGGTATGTGGCATGCATTTCTTGCGAAGACTCCTTCGACTTGGCTTCCTAGCACTCCCTCATATGAGGTATTTTGCACAAGCCGATGAAGCTGCAAATCTGGATGAAGTCGCCCATAAAATACTCGACGCATACAGGGACATCTTGGGCGAGTCCGAGTCTGCAGCAAAGACCAATAACCGGAGGCTGCTCCCCGGCCAGGTTCCTGAACGCTCTACCGTCGATTGCGTCTTGAGTCGCCTAGGGAAGGTATACAAACTGAACAGCTCAATGAAGGTATAGCCTAGGTCTGAAATATCTTACTTGCATTATTAGACTCGATATCATATAGAGAAGGCGGTCGGGGTTTATTTATTCTATCAGATTACTTTCAAAGTTCAGATTTCCAATGAATGGACCACCGTGGCCGTTAAAAATTTCAGCACCGTGGATCCTGCTGTGCTGACAGCAGTAACCGTTAACCATTGTAACGAGGTATCATGACCACCAGTCATGATGGCTTTGGATGGGTGTGGCGGTGCTCAGTAGCAAACGCCGCATGCGGCGTCATCGGCCAAAGCTACCAGGCTCGATCTTGGTCTTTTGAAGGGGCCGAAACCGGCGCCAATCTTGCCCAGTGTTTCGTGCTTCTCTCGCCTCCCAACTCTGAAACGCTGTAGTTCAAGCTCCGACATTTGAGCGTCTCGCCCAAGGCTGTCTGGGCTGTGCATACGCTGCTCCTGACCCGACCTTGAGCCTGCATTTGTTATTATTTTCAACCAAGTGACCGGGCAAGCCACAGGACATCACGGTTCCTATCAATGACGGAGCTTGTTGATATCGTTCAACGAGAGAGACCCAAGCTTGCCCCAACGCGAGTTGCGGCCAAGGCGAAGCAACATAGCATCGCCCTGTCCAGTTCGGAGGCTCTGAGACACGAAGCTGTCTCGAGAAGCAACTTTATTTATACAATTAATTAGCCCCATATGAGACCTCGATGTGCTCCATGGGCCGATCTCCATCCAGCGCCATGACTCTTGAGTAAGGAGTAAGTACATAACGAACGCCCCCAAACCCGGATCGGTGAACGGAAGAGTGTCTCTGTTTCAACTTGCATTCCTTCTACACACACACGTTTGTTCGTTGAGAATTTGGTGTTGGTCATCGAGTCTCTCATTATTATGAATACCTCACGCTCTTTTCTATTGTTCGTCCTTGCGGCGTTGGCCAACGCTCAGTCCGCTCCGGACTTCCCTGTCCAAGTGACGACGAATCTGCGGGTCGATTTCCAGAGTTCTTTTACCATCGTCGACCCGGCTGGTATGTTAATGTCTCGTAATGGTGAGTGCCTTTTTAATTCCTTCCTTTGACCCTGCATTGATCTATGTTTAAATATAACATACTTGAGCTCGGAGATGAGTTGACGTCGAGCAAACACTAGACATCCTCAATGAGCCTACGGTCAACGGGCCCAAAGATGCATCTCAAACACTGGATTTCATGATCTTCATGATCGACCAAGACGCCGCTTCGCCCGATAACAGCAATGAACGCGTGCAGTACCTCCAGTGGTACCAGCCGAATCTCGCCGGCGCATCAGAGGTGCTCTTTGACTTTGGTAGCGATGCGCAGAACTTCACCTCCGCGCCGGCTGCATCGTACGTCCCGCCGACGCCGCCGGCCGGGGACAAAGCACACCGCTACACCCTGCTGCTGTATTCGCAGCCAAAGGACTTCAGCATCCCGTCGTCCTTCGGCTCGTTCTTCGGGTCCTCGGACCTGAACGCCAGGCTGGGCTTCGACATGGCTGGGTTCGCCGATGCCGCGGGCATCGGGCAACCGGTCGGGGCGAACTGGTTCCAGGTCCAGAACGATTCGCAGCCTCCGACGTCAAGCAGCAGTACCACGGCATCACCATCAACTTCGAGCACGACATCCAGCAGCTCGACCGATACATCCACTTCTACAACCACAATCACAACCACGTCCTCATCCTCTTCTACCGATAGCTCTACCGATAGCTCCAGTTCGACGCCCGCACCTACCACCATGACAGTCGCCACGGTTACAGCCGACTCCAGCTCCTTCTTTGTCCAAACCTCTACGGGACCGTCGACAATAACGACGGTGACCACGGCAGGAATCCCCACCCTTACAGACTCGCCCAGCCCCAGCGCCCAGCAGAGCACAAGCGCGAGCGCGAGCGTCAGTCTCGGCATCGGCTCTGGCGCAGGAACGATCGACGCGCGCGACAGCATAAGAGGGCTGGTCGTTGGGCTGGTGCTCGGCGTTGCTAGCGCGGGGCTGCCGTGGCTACTGTGAAAAACGAACTAACTGTAACCCTGTGGTTCCGGGTTTTCACCATGACGTTGTGTTGTATATGACCTGTATCATAAAACATTTGTACAAAAGGCGGTTCCGCTCTGTTGGATTTAGAGTACGGATTTGGATGGAATCAATCATCAACCCAATGCTGTCAGCTTCAACTAGATGGTAGCGACGACAATGCAATTATTTCCTCTTTCCTTGTCGAAGGTCCCCTGATCCTGGAATGGCTTTTGCTCGAGCATATGAACACTTTGTTATACATCCTACATTGACACCAATCCATCCCAGGAGCCTTGTTCACCACTTCGTGGAAGAGTCACGATCCAGAAGAAGGCCCATCTTCGCAAGCCGATTCATGGACGCACTCCGCTGCTTTCCCAACTAGTGCTAACACCCTCCAATCCCTTCCCACACGCTTGGGGAAATGACGCTGGTTCAAAAAAGGCCTGTTGCCACCCAGAGCCTCTTGCAGCCTCAAACTACTCTGTGCATCCTGCTACGACTATTCTTCCTCCCGGTCCAAATCAAAACCGCACCCATGATAGCACTGATGAGAAAGACGGCCATACCCGCGAAATTCACCCATACTTTGTGCCTCATCGCCAACATGTGGTCCAAGTATAATCCGTAATTCGACGGGTCTTTGGTGTTGAACCGTTCCTTGTCAAGTTTGGCATTGATGGCTCTCATATAACCGAAGGCAGCCGAGTACATGAAGAACATGATCAGATCCCATGGACAGGCCAGGGCAACGGGGCGATAGGACGTCTTCAAGGGTATAATGCCGAGGACGAGACCTGTCATGACAGCGAAAGACCCGAGCACTAACTCGAAGTTCTGGACCAAGGACATCAGCCTGAAACCGCAAGTTCCCTTTCAGATGAAGACTTACGAGCTTGCCGGGGAGGCCATTGCCTAACCAATATCCTTTCTCGGACGCGTACAAGAAGATGGTGAGGACTCCGACGCTCAGCTGGATGAAGCGAACAACGCCATTGACAACGATGACGATCTTTTGACCGTTTGTCGCGTCTGAGTAGGCCATGGTGAGGGCGAGTGTGGGTGCAGTCAGGAGCGGTCAATGAGCATCTAGGCGGGCGCCGAACAGTGTGTCGAACAATGAATCGCCGCGATGATCGAGTATTTGTACGCAGAGCTCAACTGCGGCAGGCGTCCGGTCTGCGGACGCCGAGATTTGTCAACGAGCACAAGGCAGACCTGAAGCTGCTGGCTGCCGCGATTGGATTGACGAGGAGGACCCATGGTGACCATTCTGCTTCACGGCGTCCGACAGTCAAGGGAAGCGGCAAGGAGCAGCAAGAGTCGAGTCCTTGCCGCTTCCGTAGCTACAGCTTACAGCTCGCGAGCGTCTGCAACGTGCATAACATAAAAGTCGACGCAGATCCGTTGCACCCATCCTGACCTGGACCATCGAAGCAAATGGAGGCATCCCTTCAGGTATTCCAGCATCTCGAACAGTGGGACCTGGCTCATGTTGTTCTGTACATCTTGAGATTGCCGTTGTCCTTCCGAACGACACGCGCACAATACGAGTCTTTTCGAATGCTGGCACTCATATCTTTCCTCTCGTTCGAAAAGTTCAAGAAACCCTCCCACGGCGCATTGACCACTGAACGCATCGGTCGCCTGGCCGTTCTAATAGCTTTGACCGCCCATCTCCTAGCGGACAGCGATCGGGGAGAGAATGACGCACAAGACTTTCCACATTGCAACGGATATGATTGTGGAAGGGAGATGAGATCTTGCCCAAAGGAGGAAAAAGTCAAATGCTACCGTGACACCGGCCGGGTACCTACCTGCTGGGGTGAACAACAGGGTTTTGAGGCGCAAACGTGTGGTACATCTAGATACATCTACCTGCAAAAGAGCAAGAGGTAGTTTGGGGGGAGGGGAGCCGGGGGCGAAGAGAGAGAGAGTTACTTAGCAGTGACACAGGATGGGAAAGCTTAGCTAGAAAGAGCAAATAGCAATGACCACCACGACCGACAAACGCCTCGACCGCCTCGCAGACCCAAGCGGAATGCCGTCCGTCCTTTTTCCACGAGCGCTCCTATTGCATGGTGGTCGTTCAGCCTTACCTCGTCTCGCGGGCACCAGATCACGACGCTGAATACTCCATCCACATTGTGCATCAGGATGCTGAGCCCTGTTATATCATGACACTATCAACACCAATAGAGTAACAAGTAGAGTAGAACCTTTTTCCTGAATATCGACGCTAAATTAAGAAACCACAAAGACGAAAAGCAAGCCAACTCGGCTTCAGTCGATACACACTGGATTTGCAAGGCTCGCCTCTCCTTCTTCCCCCGGATGTAATATCTGTCGAAGGTATCCTTTATTTCCTCGCAAAGGGATAACTATGCCCGAATACTTGCCTATTACTCGCATTGCCATTGAAGAAAGCGGAAGCATTTGCAACAGAGCCCAAGTCAACCGTTGGAGAGGTGCTTTCGCTCGGCGTCACATAGTGATTGAAAAGGGACATTCGAGGGTTATCCTCAGTAGAATTGGCCGAACTAATTGGCGGGTTTGCACTTGGTCTTGAGGATCCGATACCAGAGTCTGAAGCATGCGCACCAGGTATCGGACAGCCCAATGTCTGTGCCGGCTGGTCGTACCACTGTTCGTGTCCCCAGGAGTTAATAGTGTTAGAATGAGCAGCAGGATCCATAGCCATGTCAGTACGCATCATGACCTCATCGAGGGATTGTTGTGTTGCGGAAAAGGTGTTGCCGTAAAACACCCGAGGTTCTGTCTGCGCCATCACACTGCCAGGATCCGGCAAGGGGCCAATAAGTTGTGAATCGAGATTATTCATATCCATGTCTGGGCCTCTGCCGCTGTACGACCGTTGCATTGACATTCCAGTCGGCGTCGCGAGCCCCAGAAGGGTGTCATGCTGACTGGCGCTGGGTATCGTGGGATTGGATGCCGTTTCCGGATCACCCCGAACGAGCGCCTCGAACTCGGATTTGAACATTGATTGAGATGCTTGTAACTCTTCAAGTTCTTGCCTTGTTGCAGCTGCCGTCACTTCCTGCCATTTGAGTCTGATGTTAATGTCTCTCTGCTTCCTAACCATCAACATATCGTAGTATCGGTGAATCTTTCTCAAAGCCTGTATTGATTCTGGATCGGACCTCGATTGGTCTATCGTGTTCCTCAAGAAATCAATTACCTGATCTTCCGGATCTGCATTGACCCAATATGGGTGATTCATTTGATCATTCTCGGTCCCAGCATTGAAAATAACAAAGTATCGTCTCCAGCGTTCTTGCGGGCTGAGTTTCGCCGAAGACAGCTCCTTGATCTTGTGCCACTTGACTGAACCTTCTCCCGCATCGTTCAACGCATGTCGAGTCACAGCTGCTATGGAGCAGTTACGCCAATGGCTGCACCTTATGTGGCTGCGGGCATACATCCGAGGATTAGTGCAATACATTGGACAGCGAAAGAACAAGTCTCTCGCCTTCCTATCTGGTGTTGTTTTGTCATTCCGGTCCGGATCCAGGTCTCGGTGCTCGTGGTCAGATTCGGATTCATCCTCCCACGGAAGGTTTGGACATTCCTCATTCCCGTTGGTGTTTTGCGCACTGGCTGCGTTGCCTTGGGGCCGCGACGAGCCTGGGCCTCCTCTGCTTCTCTTTCTATCTCCTCCGACATGGATGATTCCATCTGGCTCGGCATCAAACGGAGGTCGAGTTTGCGTGGGTCTGAGGTGTCCACCAGTTTCGAAAGAGGGTCGAGGGTGTTTCAGGGAGAGATTAAGCTCGGTTCGCTGAGGTTGTTCACGTCGAGAGGTATCGGCGAGAGGAAGGCTACGCAAAATGTGAATCTCTGGTTGCTTTGAACTGGGCCTCGATTGGCTCGTCCTTCTCTGGACCTTTGGTGAGTCCCTACCAGTTGAGGAAGGAGGCCAAACCACAGGCCGAGGTGCCGCAGCTGGCAATAAATGGTATTTGGGCGCCGATGGAACTGAGGGGGGGCGTGGCGTTTCGGGCGGGGTGGGCAGCTGAATGTGACAAGGCTGACTAGGATGCAATGAGCACGGATGGCGTCCTTTACAACGCAGCCCTTGCGACGACTGGCCAGTGAAGCAGTCGGGACCTTGAATAGGAAGGTGGGATTGTTGTTGGAGCTGTGGACTTGGTGTGTGATATGGGAGGAACGGTGATTCATGATCGCCGCCTCCAGCTGCACGCCAACCGGATGGGAAACTGTCTTCACCGCGCTTTGGCCTCTTGTTCTTTTGCGCCGGGTTGTAAGATAAGCAGTAATCATGCGATCCCCGCTGCGCCTTGAGAGACCTAGGAGCCGGCAACTGTTGGCGATGCTCGGGACTATGCAACCGCTTTGGCGATGGCCTTTGAGGTTCACCAAATCTTTCCTCCCCATTGATCATTCGTAGAACTATCTCAACGAGCCTGATCGGACACACAAGCTGGCAGTGCAGATTTGCGTGCAGGTGTGCCTCAAGAAACTGGAGCGCCAGTTGGATCTTCTCCATGCTGGTCAGGTGGATCATTCGCCTCTGCTGTCTATCCGGACTTCTGGGACGGAGCCGCAAGCACAGGGCAAGAACCGTGACACTGAAAACGCTTGTACCCGAGACAAAGACTATCAGGGCTAGACAAGCCAGAAACACAAGTGCATCGAGTCCTCGTAGGATGGCCAATTGAACGAAACCAAGAAGGTTGTTGTCCTCTCGAGGCAGAGCCCGGGGGAGTCTCGCTAACGAGAGGGTTGCCTCGCCGCTTGCCATAGAGAAGCAAAAATGTTTGATTGAGATGGATTTGATGGTGGTGCGCAAAAGGGACGCAAAAGGGACGCAAAAAGGACAGAGCCAGGGGACTCGGGGAGGATTAGAAGGCAGGAAGGCAAAGCGGAGGTGTGATTTAACACGGGATCCTTGAATATCCCATGGCTATATCCTGGTGGAAAGGGACCGAGTGGGCTTAATAAGGCAGGGCCGTCGGAGTATAAAGGAGAGCAGGTTTTCCATAGTCTGATATTGTCGGGCTGTGCATCTTCTAGATACACAGGATGGAGGGATGGGCGGCGTGTGACTTCCCTAGAGCTGCTCTTTGCAAAGTACTGCGTAGCTCGCAACATGCAATGTGCTTCTTATGGGAACTGAAGCAATTGGTGTCGTCTGGACGATCAGTGCCCAAGCTGCATCTTTCCCTGCCGTGGCGGAGCCATGAGGCTCAACGGCCCAGAGTATCGCCATTGACCTGATCCGTGTCGTCGTAAACATGAAAGATGCCTGGCGAATGCAGTCCGACCACGAATCATGCGGGCAGCTTTCAGCGCTGGCATGGCTGCAAGGTCCAGTCCAGTGTCTAGCATCACCAAGCTCTCGCTAACCGGTGAGCACTCGGGAGACAGTCTAAGCACCAATCGTTGGGGAGTGTCGACTCCCAGCCCGGCATTGCCTTCATGACATTGTCCCAATGGCGGAAGCTGTTGTTGAACATGAGGCAGCCATTTCACCGCCTCTCATCGCTAGTACTCAATGACCTGGCCAAGGTGACAGGAAATCAACAAGGTGGTCCGATAAGAACAGGACTCGATGGAACTCTGGGAGTCTAAACACCCACAGTGCTCTCATTTTCCATCGCTCGGCTCGCAGGGCGCGTCTTTGGACGGTGTCTCGAATACATTGTCCAGTTCGGGCCTGCATATGCTGGCAAGTGGGGAGCAAGTTTGGTTGAATCAAGGACCAAAAAGTGCCCCCTGTCGCAAACGGGGTCATTAGGCTGGTTGTCGCCTCCAACTGGCGCCGAGGTGCCCTGGAGTCCTGGTGCCATCTCGGGATTCCTAGCGCCAAAGGATCAAGCCCTATCTGCTCTGGCGCCGTGCTTAAAGCGACAGGCGAATCGATTGATTTCTTTGAAAGCTTCCGTGGGCGGACCGTGCTCTGGAATACCATTGTATTGCCATAACCACGACTAGGTGGCTCAGACCCGGGTAGGATGATCCAAGAGACATCAGAGTTCCAATAAATGTCGAGAACATCATTGCCAATATCGCACCTGCGCCCTTTGACATGCACAACTGGTATCCAAGGTGAATTGAAAAGATGTGATCGCGGCGCTCGCGGCAGACAAAGCACTTCATTCGGTCTGGCCACTCAAGTTCTCCACCCACACGCTGACTCCTTGCCCTTGCGACAACTTCTTGCAATAATCGCACGGATACTCCAGACGGACCGACTCCGTGGTCGCTTACTTGCTTCCTTCGGCACCTTTAGGTTGCCCAGAAGGCGTTTTCGAAGCTCTCTCAGCAGGACCCCATGGCAATCGGACCACGGACCTACTGTACCAAGCTCTCTGACTTTGGAAATACGCCTAACCATCATCGTGTAGGTTTAGACTGGCACAGCCAGTCTAAGAGTCAAGCAAATCCAAATAGTGTTGTCTGGGTACCGGTCCTCTTTTGCCGGTGAGCTTCTTTAACCATGCACAGCCGGAGACCTGTTTTTGCGAGGCGTAGGCGTCAGCAACGGTATTAATTTCTGCTGCCGGCACATCTTTTCCATCGTGGCGTCAAATTCCGCTTGCCAGTTCTGTTTGTGTCCTCCACGGGTTTCCATTCCTTTGATGCGCTGGGGAATCAAGACCTGCCGCGTTGTCCCGCTGGGTCTTTGTTACTCGGATGCCAATTGGTGCTCGGCCCACAGCAAAGACCCAGACCCCCCTTGTCGATGATGGGCTTCGCTTTCCAGACCGCAGAGTTCACCGTGGAGTGGCACGGCCATGCACAGAACTGATGTGCAAGGGATGTAACAGAGACAGCATGACAGCAGTGGGTTTGCTGGCCCTGTTCTGTTATTGAGTGACAATCGAGGCATCTGGCAATTCGCTGGGGTTGAACCGTCTGAGAGGCAGGCTCTTCGTAAGTCGACGGTCAAAGACACCATATTCAAGAGAGCAGCATAGCTGGACCCTGTAAACTAGGGAATACAGCGCTTCATATCGAACATCGATGGAATCTCAACAATCTCCGACATCGACGTTTCACAAATCACACAAATCACATCCGGACCCGGACAGCCTGATGTCTTCGCCCCGTTGCAGCTTCCCTGATACCCAATCCGGGGTTTCCGACATTGATTGGATCTGCCTTGATTTCTACTTGGAGCTTGGAGCGCAAATTCTTCCAACAGGGTCTTGGTTCCTGGAAACGGATGCCTAAGCTAGATGTGGTGCCATTTGTTTATGACTCAATTACGGCTTGCAGACCTCTGCGGGAACATCTCCCGCGAATTGACTCCTAAGTATATGACGCCGAAGCCTTTGAAGCCTGCTTTGAGATCAGCCTTGGTACCTTTCTTGACTGGCTAGATGGATTCGAGCTGCATGATTCGCAGAGGAGGTCATCGAAGTACTCTCGTGGACGCCTCACTTTCAACCACCTAGCCTTTTTCGTTGTAGGAAAAGTCGGTGAGAGAAGGGGTCGCCTTGTACATCGATAACGCCAACAACACAAGAACACGACATTTACGCATTGAAAACTAAGAGAATGGCAATGACAGCCCGCGGAAACCATGGGAGGACTATTCAAATACTTCCCAAGGCACTACGAAACAACAAGGCCAACATTCGTATCCTCAAATACATGCCTTCAAGTTGGAACAGCCATGTCCAACCTGCGACTCATGCGGCTCAGTCTCGTGTTCCAACAGTGAACTGAGTGATACAAAGCTCATCTAATTTACATACCGTTCCGACATGGAACTGTGCGTCGCTAGCGGTCAAGCGTAGCGGCCCAAAGACATGTTCACGAATGCAACCTCCGGGAACTGCGAGCTCGGTCCTTCGAGAAGTTTGACTCTTTGAGACTCTAGCGTCTCCTGGAAAAACCCTCCGATGTATCTGCGCAAGATATTCATCATTCTAATTCCGTTAATAGTCCCAATCAACTCCTTAATCGGTGGAAGGACAGTGGCATTGATCCCAATGCTACCAGCCAGAATGGGATAGTCGGTGAAGGTGCCGTGTTTGGTATTGTTGACTTGCAGCTGCAGTCTCAGTCCCTTCAGCTCCTGCCAAAACGCAGTCCATGTTGCATCAGTGCTTTGATTATGTTCTTGTGCCGCAAAGATAGTGAAAGGATCTTTGTTAGTTTTATTCATGGCCTGACCATATACACTGCCATCCATGTTCAGGCCACCAGCAAGTCTCGGTTCAACCAGCATTGCGTTTGCAGCAGTTGCGCCACCGAGGGAGTGCCCGAGTATCCCCACACGCTTGGTGTTGAAAGACGGGATGGCAAGTTGTTCCATCGTGGTTGAGTTGGACAAAGCGTTCAGCACAGACATAACGTCGGCAACTCTGAGTGACAGCACTTGTGGCAAGTCATCCGGCAGGGTGATGTTGGCACCCTGAATGACCGTCCCGTCTGGAAACTCCACAACTGGGGCGTCGTAGGTATGATCGATTGAAATAACATTGAAGCCCATCGAAGCAACCCACTGACAGAGCACGCTGTAAGTCAAGCGAGAAGTTCCAGCTCCTGTGGAGAAGAGTAACACTGGAAAGTCGGTGTGGTTTGGTGGTAAAGGACATGTCTGCAGGCGGAATGCTTCAAATGTTCCGTTGGGGATGCCATATGGGCCGAACATGGCATCATGGAAAGCAGCTGTAACTGGCGGCATATATGAAATTCCATGGGTCTTGGTGCAATTGGTTGGTTGGAAAAGGGACAGCATCAAGCGGCGAGGCTGATTGCAACATGGTGCAAACCGGTCGACACGGGATGTGTCCGTCAGAGGAAAGGTGGTGATATAGACATTGGTGGAAACCGGAGGAGGAGGCAAAGCAACTGTTTGGCACGATACCCTAAGGGACATGCTCAGGAAGAAGAGGAGGAAGGAGACAATCATCCTCGCGGTAGGTGGAACTTATTTTCTCAAGGTGGAGTCCAGGAACCGTCTTTCGTGAAGAACTACTGCCAGCGAAGTCTTGTGTTGGAATGTCTAAAGACTTATAAACACCCCGAGTCTCGAGACAAGGCAAACCTTTGCGACTAGAATGGTGGTACAACGTACCTAGGTAGTATTAGGGAAGCCTAAAAGAGGCAAGTCGATGAGAAGGTATTCGAGAACCTGGCGAAAGAACAGCACCTTGGTTGCAATGGAGCAACTCCTCGTATCCGTATTCCTCAAAATTGTATTCTCCTCATATGATATGTTGCTGAAGCAATGAACCGTCAAGCGAGGGCTATCATGCTCCCAGCCACGAATGTGATATGGGTTGGGAGTGGGGTTAACCATATAGGGAGGGGGGAATATTGTAAGTATGCTTAATATAGATTGCGGCTGTTGTCATGCAAGCATGATTTGTGCACCATGTTACACCATAACAAGCGATTCGCTGAATGACGTCCATCAGAAGCCCTTCTAGAAGAAGTAAAGCCTTCAAATGATATTCGCCTCTTGATCCATGCGTCAGCGACCTGGCCTGGCATAGGAGAGCAGGCACGTGAGACTACCTTGTACGAGTCGGGTTGGTGCAGTATCCAGCTACATGGGTGGTAGAATGTGTCTGTAGGGATATGTGGGACGGCTTGCCGTCGAAGCGTATCGTCGTTGAAGTCAGCAGCACCAGCGGATCTACAAGAGGCCCCCAACCTCGTCGATGTGGAGGAGAAGTTAAAGACCGAGCCCGGCCGCAAAGGGTCGTTTAGCTTCTGCCAAGTATCAGCCGTGGTGGGCGCCAGATCTTCCACCATGGTGGTTGTAGGGTAATGTGCAGACCTTCTCAGTGAATTGTCAGCCCACAGCTTCTTGTGCTTGACTGAACCGGACTGAGGTACTGAAAGAAAGTTTAGCCTGGTAGCCTTGCGCTACTGCAGACCATAACTTGCCTTGGTGCATTGTCCCAGGCTTGGCAACAATTTGTCTCGATTGAACTGTGACTTAGCTCGTCTGGTCAACCTGCAAAGCTTCAATCATAACACAACCAACACGTCCATCTCGCGTAAGTCTGGCCAGTCTCTGCAGCAATGACTGCTGCGCGTCTGTCACCAGCAGCGAACCTGCTTCGCAACTCCAGACTCTTCGCCATTCCTGCTGCTGTATCTCTGCCTGCGGTAGAACCTTCATCAGAACCGATATCATACTCTGATTCTGCCACCACTCCATACCCGACTCGAGCTGCCCTTGAAACTCCATTGACATCCTTAAATCAGGGAGATTGGGGTTTGAAAAGGCCGCTACCGATCAAAACTACTACAAAGTCCAGCACGCCTCTTGTGCGGTTCCAAAGAGGAATCGACACCCCCGAACACGTTGTCGACTTTGAATCCGCAGCAGATCATGTCCTCACTTTGCGCAAGTACCAGGAGCTAAATCTTAGAGTGGTCTTGCCTGCGCCGCGGGATAGGAAGTCAACATTGAATCCACAACGAACAAGTGCCTTCGACCCGGAAGTAGATCATACTACCGACCAGCCTCCCCCGGTACTCAACGGAAATGCGTCCACGTCGTGGCTAGATGAGAGTGTATCAGAACGTGCAAAGAAGATGCCGCAGCATCTAAAAGATGCGCTTGAGAAGATTATAAAAGAAAGAGCAGATGCAACAAATCCTGGGGTTGAAGTACTTCCAACACAGGCGCAACCTTCTACCTCTGCAGCTCCGCAGTCTATGCAAACTGCTCGCAGGTGGCGCTACTCTGGACCGTATTTAGCAGGACTGAACGGGCTGGAATTCGATGGATTTTTGAAAGGCATCACCAGAGAGAAGAAAGCTGCGTTTAGGGAGTTGGTCAAGAGCCATTTGGCCGAGCAGCGAGCACAGGATCAGCGGTTGAAAGCTCTTGAAGAAGGTCAGGCTGACGCAGCTCCTGAGCCTCCGTCAGAGATCACGGACCAGGATGTCACAGCGCACCTCCGATATCTACGATCAGAACCCGGCAAATTTGGTCCCCTGATTGCAGAGTTCTTTGATCTAGCTGATGGTCCCAAGCCCTCATCGGACACAACTGATCCATGGTCGTATGGCCGTGACACCGTATCGGCGGATCTCTACAAAGAATCTGGACCACCCCGCACGCACCCATCTGCAGGGCTAGCCTACATTAAGACAGAAGTGTTCGCGAGCAACGACGCTGTCACTGGTCCCAGAGGAACGCGCGCACCCGTCGCAGCTCGCCTTCTTCGATCAATCCAATCTACCCACAACAAGCATATCCCCTTTGTGGGCGTGGCTGGATTTGTTGTTCCGCAACCCACAAACCCAGGCATTTCGGAGCAGAACTGGAAGTGGGCACCGGTCAAAGATGGACCTAAACTAGTGGTGACTCCAACCGCGGCCAACATCTCGCAGGCCGGCAAAGTCGAGATCCAAACAAGGATGCAGCCTGACTGGGTCGTGGAAGATGATGTACCCGTCAATGTCGCCGACAGACGGAACCCAAAAAATACGTCGGCTCCCATGAGAACCCTGTCCTCTCAACTCCCAACCTTGACCAGCTTTGGCCGCAAAGAGCTCCCTGTTAGACGACCGCGGCCAGCACCAGAACCTAGTCAGAATATTGATGAAGAGATAGGTTTGTTGTTGCGGGCGAACTCAAAATACAAGCCGAACAAGCTTACTTAGTGTACAAAACCTGTATAGACAAAATATTACCATCTCATCGCCGGTATGGTTCTCGCTTCTTGTCCCCCCTACAGAGTACATCGCTCTCTTATACCCAAACAACGGTCTGAGCCTTGCAGTACCAACGTCTTCCTCTGTCTCCTGTCGTTATTGAATCGTTCCATGAAGTAGCACCGCCCTGAAACCGTTGCCCACAAGGCATGAGTTTACGGCACTGAAAGATGGATGAAGTGGATGAGCCTTACGCCGCGGCCGCCTATATTTTCCGGCGAAGGAATTACGATTATCTGTCGATCATCAGTTGGTCGTCCACCCATATTATAGCCATTCTGCTGAAAAGTAATCTGGACAATATCTTGAAGGCCAGAAACCCAACGAAAGGATTAGCACCTCGTCCTCTGTAGGGGCATGGCGAGGATGGGTTCATGTATGTGTGCACATACTGTATGCATGTACAAATGTACATATGTATGTGTGTATGTACTGTACTGTATGTATGTAGGTGAGGGCGATCGAATCTTATCTCTTGGCATTATTCTTGCCAAGAAGCCACAACCTCCCAAAATTCATTCCACAATTGATTGTCGCGCACGATTTCTACACCTTCGCATCCCTGCTCACGACATCTTCAATCCAGCAGTCAACATGGGTCGCGTTCGCACGAAGGTGAGCTCGACACCGTTATTCTTGCTCTCAAAGTTATACTGACGAGTGCTGTGTACATCTAGACCGTCAAGAAGTCCGCCAAAGTCATCATCGAGCGGTACTACCCCAAACTCACCCTCGACTTCGAGACCAACAAGCGCATCTGCGATGAAATCGCCATTATCGCCTCGAAGCGCCTTCGCAACAAGGTACCGCTCTACACTCCCCCGGTCAACGCCGCCCACCATGTCAAGAACAAACATCTTCGGCTGCGAGTGGTCTTGTAAAACATCTCGATTGCTTTGATCTCCGTTGCTGACTTTTGATCGCCACGTAGATTGCAGGCTACACCACGCACTTGATGAAACGAATTCAACGCGGCCCCGTGCGCGGCATCTCGTTCAAACTCCAGGAAGAAGAGCGTGAGCGCAAGGATCAATACGTGCCCGAGATCTCCGCCCTCGACTTCACCCAGAACACCGAGTCCGGCCAGCTTGACGTGGACAACGACACCAAGGACCTGTTGAAGAGCATGGGCTTTGACAGCATCCCCGTCAACGTCGTCCCCGTGAGCCAGCAGGCGCCTCAAGAGAGGGGTGGCAGGAGAGTCTTTGGCACCGACCGGCCGGGTCGCCGCGATTAGATTTTGAGCCGGTGATCTACGAGGGCGCCGGGGGAGGCAAGAGTGCATGCAAACTCAAGCTATGAAACTCGATCGTCCTTTTTCAACCGCGACCTTCCCTTCCCCTCGCACCCCGATGTCGGTGACCACTCAAGTCCGAGGTCAAATGTCAAGCAAAGCCTCGTGATGCGGACCGTGGCAACGAAAGACGGCAGCCGCGGGCCCTATCTACCTCACTATGAGCCCTTTGCGGGACTGCCAACAGAGCTGAGAGACTCAAGGTATCGACGTAGGTGGAGCCGCCGCTGCCCTCAAAGTGCTGCTCCTGCAGCTGCAGCAGAGGGAGAAGAGAAAAACAAAAAGCATTGAACAAACCCAAGGTGTCGCCTAGTCCCCTTGGGACGAAGCTCGATTGCCAAAAACTTTCCTTCCCTCTTTCCCTTCCCCTCCCTCTTCATCTGGACGTAGCCTCCGGGAGGGTGGGACTTTATCCATCCAGCTCCTGCACAAAACACGTCTCAAGTGCCCACTCAACCTTCGTGCCTCGATCGAATCTATTGCACAAGGTCTGGTTGACTCTCAGTGATGTGACGCGAATTGATTATGATCGTATCGGAAATTTTTATCTCCTCCCATTACATAGGTGCCTATGAATAGCCAACATCGACCCCGAATTTCATGGCAACGCATGGTTGGTCCTTTCCCAACCTCATTGCTAACCTTCAGTCCATCCGAACGCCAATGCCATGCTCTGTACATGTAGAAGCTACCTCGCCTGCCACTTGAACGATATATTGTCTCATAATGTCCAGTAAGGAATCCTCAATCAGCCTTGCCATTCGTTGTTCCCAAAAGTCCCTCCTTCCCATCCAAGTGGAAGTAGCCCGAGCTATTCCGACCCAACGTCCTTTTAATAGTGGCACCATTCCTCAACACCCAGAACAACATCACAACACTTATAATCAACAACCCGAAAGACAGATATGGATGATACGTGCCAAAATTTCGGATCTGGAAGAAAACGTTCTCAAAGGCGCTGATGGTGGATTTCGGAGTGAGTTTTGGAGGGCTAGCCACGATTCGGGGTAATGTTTCGAGGATAGAGGTGCGGGAGGGCATGATATAGGCCCCGGAGTCAGTTACATCCCAGTAACGTCGGTTCTATGGTAGCTGTTAGGTCATCGATATGTCAGAGCCAGGGGAAGATAATACTCACATCCTCATCATTAATGATCACCCTCTCACCTTTGGAGACATCCACGCCGTATGTCGACCGAAGCCATCTCTCCCAGAAAACGCCATCCACCCAGGCGAATGCGACCTGTTTTCGGAAAGTCTCTTCAGTGATGCTAATTACACGGCTCTTCGCCTGGCGTAAGGCACGTTGGTCGTTGCGGTCCTCGGCCTCTTCGATACGCAATTGCTTTGAATCGCGCAATTCTTGTCTCTCGAGTTGGAAAGCTTGTGTTTGCTTATCCATCCATTCCAATGCGGCGTTCTTCAGTTCCCGCTTTGATTGAAGAAACTCGTCTGGTCGGTCTCTAGAGAGAATGCCCAGCACCACATATTTTCCGCTCATGATCTCCTTCGCATTAGAAGCGCTCAATTCAGGTACAATCGGCAGCCAAACCGATTGCATCCAAGTCAGGACACGCCGAAAGTCACGCATGTCCTTTGGAGCGAGGGCGTTGTAATAGCTTGGCCGTCCATCTCGAGACACAAGTAACCTTGGCCAAGTTGAAATTTTGAATCGGTTCGCCAGGATCTCGGAATCTGTCTTGACAATCTTTGCATGCCCGATTAGGCTCAAAGTTAGCCGATCGAGGGCGGCAAAATCTTCGGATGTTGTAGCATGGTCGAAGAAATAGACGAAGATTACTTCTTCCGTCTCTTCCATCTCTTTGAATGCAGCAGCGTCCACATACTTGACATCGCTGTCTAGCGCCTTGTTTGCAAAGGAAAGCAGGTCACCTAGGCCGCGAAGACCTTCATACTCAACACGCTCGCCACCACGGAAGAAGTAGATGGTGGGATAAGCGCTGACTTTGGCATCCTTGCATAATCGTGGAGACGCTTCACAATTGACCTCTCCGATGTTGAGTTTGCCTTCCATTTCTTTCGCCAACTGAGCCCACGTTGGCGCCAGATGCTGACAATGTGGACACCATGGCACATAGAATTTAACGAACCATGGATCCTGAGATGTAGTAACAAGCTTCTGGAACGACTCTGGCGTTAGAGGAAGTGAAACTCCTTTGAGATTCGGCCGGGGACCGGTCTTTGCATTCAGGGACTTTCCGAGTTTTGCAGTCTCAGAGGCCAACATTGCGGATGTGGTTTCAGTGGACAGTGCGGCGGCTTTGTTCTGTTTCTCGCCAGCGGCGGCACCAGCTGCGATATCTTTGTCCTTCGCCAGTGGCTTCTCGGGTTCGGCTGTTCGGTCGACACCCTTTGCCCCCGCTTTGGGAACGTGCACTCCTCCCCTTGGTCTGGAGCCGGGTTTTATCTGTTCCAGCTTCTCTTCGACGTAGTTGCTGAAATCCTCCATGGACCGGCCTCCGGTATATTTCTCGACAAATTCGCCATCTTTGTACAATAGGAATGTTGGCCAAGCTCTTACTCCATTCTTATCGCAGACATCCCCAAAAGCGATACAATTTATCGAGGCAAAGTGAAAGTTGTAGTATCCGTGAAAGCTGTTTGGCGAGAACAAATCGGGCTGACCAGACTTTGTCATGCCCTGTAAGGGATCGGAGGTCGCATAGAACTCGTACAATGTCTGCCAGAGCGGCGCGATTGCTTTACAGTGGCCGCAATAAGGCGAGTAATGTTTGACCCACCAGTATCCGTCTTTTATCGTCTCCGCGAACTCATCGCCTTGTATTTCTTTCATCGGTGGCACCTTGATACCATTGAAAACAGTATAATCAGCACCTTCTCCTCCCTCGGCTGGAGTATCTCCCTGGACGGCCTCATCTGCTGTTACTGCGGTCCCTCTCTGTGGGCCTGGTGGCGCTGCAATTGAGGTAGAGAAGAGGGCTGCGAAGGCGCACGCCAGCAAAGCTGGCCTCATCTTGTAAATTGGCTCGGAAATGTCCTAATTAGGGCGACAATTGAACTTCTCGACCAGAGTAGGCGGATCGACAGTAGGGATACCTGTGCGATTTTGGTCAATCGCCTGGCAGTCGTCGCTTGGAGAAAGAGAAACGAGTGTGAGAATCGAAGCGGAAAACAACTGTAATGGCTGCCAAAGGTCTGCCCGCTCAACGAGACTAGACGACAACTCTTGAAGGTACGGAGCGGAGACCGAGCCAGGTCTGTGATCAGACGTGAGGCGATGGGGATCTGCATCAGGAGTCCTTGGCAGCCCCCTGCCTTTTCCGGAGGCGGACTTCTTGGAGGAGTGCATGCCACCCTCTACATGGTGCTCCGTACGACAAGTACTCTGAAGTATTTTGTGCACAAGTGCATTGATCCGGCCTAGTGACGCAATAGGCTTATATAATCTTCGGCACACCTGCCGCCATTCGTGCCAACCCGCCTCGAGAAAAGCAAGTCATGCGCCTGCGCCACCCGAATCACCCAATCCCATCACCGTCACGTCAACCTGCCGACAAAAGCCTCTTGATTGTGCCGCTCTCCTCCTCTTCTTCTTCGCTGCGATATCGACGACGACCACCCTCAATTGTGCAAGCTATTCTCCAGGACGGCCACAATTTATTCTTCTTTGAGTACGTCGTGTGATCATCGAGACTCGTCACCATGAAGGTCGCAGCCATCCTCTTGTCGCTCCTTACCGTCGCCTCTGCTGTATCTTCACGCTCTCTTTTTGGAGGGCAGAATGCCCTCGTAGACGAGGAGCCCAAGTTCAAGGTGCCAGGCAAGAATCCTCTATATGTTAGTTGTCTACTGTCAAATTTGTGGACCTTCTTCTCACAAATATCCAGTTCTGCGCCGATCCCAAGGAGCATATCCTCACTGTCGACTATGTTGATCTGACACCCAATCCACCTCTCCCGTACGTCTTCCGGAACCTCTCTAAGCCAAAAAATTTCCTAATCTAATATGTGGTAGAGGCCAAAAATTAATGATCACCGCAAATGGAACCTTTTCAAAGGATGTCGACCCGGGTGCTACTGTCTTCCTCCAAGTCAAATATGGGCTCATCACCTTGATCAAGCAAGAGGCAGACCTCTGTGATAACCTGCCCAAGATTGATATTACTTGTCCTCTCAAGGAGGGTGTCATGTCTCTGAAGAAGGAAGTTGATATCCCAAAGCAAGTGGTGAGTTTGCATGACCTCCAATCCTGCAAAGATAAGCTGTTAACATGTCCTCCAGCCTCCTGGGAAGTACACTGTTCTTGCCGATGTCAACACGGTTGACAAGGAGAAGATCTCATGCATGGAGAGCACTGTCTTCTTCAACAGACCCTAGTGATGGATGCTGAATGCAGACAGAAGGCCATTGGCATGGCAGTTGGAACGCCTCGATGGGATCGACGTGTTGCTGTCAAAACTGTGTGCAAATATCTGTTTGAGCTGCGTCTTTCATGCCAGGCGTTTATCCGGGATCTTTTAGCACCAGGCACAGTCTAGGGGCGCTGCTAGTAATGAAGGTTGACTTACATGTGGAGTTTTCCAATGCAACAAATGCGCAAACCGTATTGTCCTCAAGAATCTCATTCTTCGTGTGAATATGCCATCTTTATATTACGAAAAGGTTACTCTAGCTCACGCATCCAAAGATGTGACCCAACAGCGTCCAAACCCACCGTTGCCATGAGATGAAACAGATCATGGAGGTTGACTGAAACCTGACTCATCCTTATATGCCCGAAGACACATCCCAAAGTTTCTCAGCATTGGTTCGAAATAGCTTCTCGACCAAAGCAGGGTCATCGTTACACCATTCATAGCATTTCTCAATAAATGGTTCCGAGTCAATATTCTCAAACCTTGTATGCGGCCAATCCGTTGCATAGACAACACGATCCGCACCCTTGATGACCAACTCCCTGCCTACGGGATCCAAATCTCTCATCTCCGGGTCTTTGGAAAGTCGGTATGGTGCTGAGAGCTTCACCCACGTCCTTCCATCCTGAAGTAGGTTCACTAGGGACGCAAAGCCCTTCATGTCGTATGGATAGATGGTCACCGATGGGTCAAATTGTTGAGGAAGAACGGGCGATCCGAAATGATCGATGCAGACCTTGACCCCCAGATCTGGGACAATATGCACCAGTGGCAATGCCAACTTCAACGGGACATAGAGCTGCAGAACCCAATTGAAGGGCCTTAAGGCCTTTGCATAACTCTGGAGTTCGGCTCGCAGTTCATCCTCATTGACTTCCCTCGATACGCTGACGAGATTCAGCCTCGCCCCACGCACGCCAATGGCGTGCCACTTTTCCAGCGTTTCCGTGTCGATGGTCTCTGGATTCAAGCCCACCACGGCGCGTCCGTGTTGAGGAGTCAATTCATCAAGTGCTTCCAACATACACGAGTTGTCGTCTCCATAAATCGACGGCTGGACGAGCACCATGTTCTCGATGCCGTATTTGGAGTAAAAGGCTTTGGCATCTGCAAGCGTATGCGGATGTGGTTTATATTGTGCATTGGCGGTCAGAGGGAAGCGAGTCGGGTCGACAACGTGCATGTGGCTGTCCCAGGTGCCTTTTGGCAGAGGACGGGAGAGGGTGGATTGCTTGGGTTGAGATGAGTGGACACTACGGAAACGAACATGGTGATGGATCACAGAAGCACCACCAAGGCAGACTCCTGGCCGAGAACATAGACTGGAGCTCCCTCGAAGAGATAGCATCCTACCAACCGAGAAGGGGGCTTACTCCATCCAGGGGACCCTCCCTCAACAGGGCATGTTGAAAGGGAAAGACGGAAAGATGGAAAGGTCAGAAGTTGATATCGTTCGGAAGCACATTTCGCCGACACCGAGATATTGGAGCGAGGCTACATCAGTTTGATCAGTACTGTAGGTACGAAATACGGAGTATGGGGGTTCATCTTTCTTCCCACACACACACACAGCTACTTTGCTTCTGCCTCCTAAATAGCGAACTTCGGCCGAATGCTTCGGCATAGTGATCAACATCACCATACTCCTCCGGAACGTTAATCGATCGGCCTACGACGCCCGGATTGGCCTTCTAACGAATTTTCGTCTGCTTATGACTCGTCCAATCGTCTTGCCGGCCTCCCTTTCCTAATACCGGGTTCTCGATCCCCTCTCTGAATAAGCTACCGAAGGAGGCGTACGGTATGGATTCCCCATCAATCAGAAGTGATGGTTAGCGAGATCAAAGCCCGCGAACTGGGTCCTGAGTTCGAGGTAAACCTTGGTGCTTCGTCATAATTTTCTAATGCGGATGAATTAGCATTCCCCATTATGGTTCGGATGCTGCCAGACTCGCTCTTGCCCTCAGCCGATGGTTCTGGTCCCATTAGAAACACACTATAGGATCATGGCTAGGCGAATTGGGGCGATGCTTTTTCGCCTCGCAGCCCCGGAAAACGCATGGGGGCAATGTGGGGTATATTCCGAATATACTCCCTCGATGTTCTATCCGGGGCATTCTGGAGATAGCATCCAATGTATGCTTCTCCATGTCGGGTCTGGACGCTTTGTGGATGAATTGCAGGTCTTGCCCTGGTCTGGAGAAATGGCCACCAATCCACCCTAGAGAGCGCTTTTGTGTCTTGATAAGAACAATCCGCGCCCCCAGATGGAGTTTATTTTCTTCCTCCCCAGCTTCTTGGAGGTATTGGTTGTGGGAGGCAATACGCTGACGACCTTCGAAACACAAGACTGCTTCTCTCATCCGTCACAATGACAGTCATGGCAGAAGAGAAAGAAATTGGCCAACCTACGGCTGTTGAGAACGTAACGGAGCTGCACGAATTCAAGAATGCCGAAGGCTATGTTATCGACGCCAGCGATCCTGAGCATGCAAATCTCAAACGAGCGCGCGATGGCCATACCATCCTTCTACCTCAGCCCTCCACCGATCCCAACGACCCTCTTAATTGGAGCCGCGTCAAAAAGCACATCATCTTGATCATTATCTCCATGACAGCATTTTTGCCAGACTATGGCAGCGCGACAGGAGCCGTTACGCTGCTTCCGCAAGCCGCAATTTGGAATATGACCCCTGACCACGTCAATCATTCCCAAGTTGGCAACGTCTTCATGTTGGGTGCCGGCGGTGTCGTTGTCGTGGCGTTGTCGGCATACTTCGGTCGTCTTCCTGTGCTGTTTTACTTCGTGGTACTTGCCACAGCCACTGCGATCTGGTGTGCGGCTGCACAAACATTCGAGTCGTTCATGGCTGCACGGATTCTCAATGGCTTTTTCAGCACTGTTGCTCAAGGCGGTGGTCTCATGTTCATCTACGACATGTTCTTCTTCCACGAACGAGCGAGGAAAATCAATGTCTGGGCAGCTTTCATCATCCTTTCACCGTGAGTTCCAGTTTCCCTGGAGGCATCTCAAGACTCCACCAAATTCGAGAGACTGACAGGTTGTTATAGGTACTTCGGTCCGTTGTTTGCAGCTTTCATAATCAGCACCCAACCCTGGCAAGTGCCTTTCTGGGTGTACGTTGCAGAGGTAAGACCACATCTACCAGAGATATGTCTACGCGCTGACATGTATACGATTCAGACCTCCCTCTGCCTTGTTTTGATCATCTTGTTCGTTGAAGAGACCTACTACGACCGCCGAATTCCCCAGTCCTCCCAGCCACCCCGCGGGAGCCATTTCTCCCGCCTCGTTGGCATTTCCCAATGGAAATCCCGCCACTTGCGTAACACCCTCTCCCAGGCACTCATGCGACCCGTCAGAGTCATCTTGAAGCCCACTGTCTTCATCTCATGTTTCTATTACCTCCTCACCTTCGCGTGGGTTGTCGGCATAAACACCACTCTCTCCATCTTCCTCACACCGCTCTACAACTTTGGCCCCAAACAAATCGGATACTTTTATTTCACTCCCATCGTGGCCGCTCTGCTGGGTGAGATCACAGGCCACTGGCTCCACGACTTCATCGCCACAAGTTACATCCACAAGCACAAGGGCCACTTCGAGCCCGAGGTGCGGTTGCGCGCCATGTGGGTGTCCACGCCCTTTATGCTCGCCGGTCTCGTGGGGTTAGGCTTCTCCCTCGAAGACGGGTACCACTACATGGTGACATCTGTCTTCTGGGGCCTCTACGTCTTCGGCATCATGATCACCACCGTCGGCCTGAACGCGTACAATCTCGACAGCTACCCCGAAGCCTCGGGCGAGACGGCCTCGTGGGTCAACTTCTGTCGCACTACCGGCGGCTTTATCATCTCATACTTCCAAGTCACATGGGCAAACGCGCAAGGCACAAAGGTCAGCTTCGGCATCCAGGCGGCCATCTGTGCTTTTGCCTTTTGCCTGATTGTCTTCTTACAGTTCTTCGGCAAGAGGCTGCGTGTCAAGGCTGGCGGTCTGAACTTTGCCACGTCTTAGACTATATTTTTTCTTTTCTTTTTTCTCCAAAAGGCCAAAACTAGGTTCCCCTCCAAAGGCATGGGCCTTCATCCATGATACATGGATGAGAGGAGCGCAGCGTAGCTGATGTATGTTCTATCATTGTGTGCGCCCAACAAAATAGAACTACTCCGTGACTTTTTTACTTTTTTTCTATCTCGCTGTGCAACCCTGAATCGATGCCGAACAGTACAGGGTCCAAAATTACGAGTATCTCCTCCCACAGCACGCTAATTCCAATGCCAGGGCTATGACTAGTTGTATGAAGAACAGAACATGGAGGTTTCATGAACCAACTAGCTGCGCTACCTTCCCATGCAGGGTGTTGAAAAGTGATACTAGGTACCTGGTACCTCTGTACTCTACGCGTGACACGCAAATAGTACGGCGTAGGTGACATACATTCCAAAGTAGCGCTGTGTGCTCGGTGTTGCGGCATCATGTACCACTATCCTCTTTCGCGGATTCCGTCCTCCGTGCTCCGTAGGCGGGACGAAGAATAAATCATTTCGGTGATATGGGTAGAAGGAAAGAGTAGAAAAAAGGGCAAGGCAGATATCATGATTCATGATGGAGTTGGCGTTCTACCTAGCTACATACGTCAACTTTGGACGCAGTTGTCAAGTACCAAGCGAATAGCCACTGTTTCTGTGGCCGAGCAGCCTTAGACGCAGTGAGGCAGTCTGTGCCCTCTGAGTGTTGCAGCCTTGCTGGCAGGTACATTTGGGTCGATACAACCACCTCATGAATGCAAATTTCCCTTTGCTCTCCCGCACAATACGTCGTCCTTACTTCGAAATAGCAGGCGCAAGAGGAGAGGCTATCCCCCCGGCTTATACCACGATCGCCAAAAGCCGTCTCGTGACATTCTGCTTGCAGTAGAGATATCTATGTGGGTCAACAGTAATGTCGCTGTCTGGCGAATTGACGCCTGTCTCTCTTCTTTCGCATCTGTTTTGCGTTGCGGTACATACCTCCAGTGCCACCCGTTTAATTCGCACAGACGGGAAAGGCCATCAAATCCGATTGCTGCTCTTGAAGTTGCAGCCTCGACCCTCCTGGAAGGGCTGCTGGTCACACGAGCCGAACATGCTAGGAAGGGCTCGGTAGGTACGTGAAGAAAGTCCTTCCTTTCTCTGAGGGAAGGTTTGGCTTGAATTTGGTGTCTCCGATGAACCAGAGAACACCTATGCTGTAAACCATGCTGTAAAAGCAGAAACTTCATGTTGACTCAATGTTCTTGTGAGCCTCCCAATTATTCAGAAGCTTGCCCACCTCTTTGAAGCTCACAGGCTTCGTCATGTAGATGTCACATCCGCTGCTGAAAACTTCAGTTTGGTCTCTGGCACTCGCCAATCCGGTCAAAGCGATGATCATAGCACCAGGCTTGGAGCCTCGACGATCTTCGAACTGACGAATGGCACGAGTAGCCTCGAATCCGTCCAACACCGGCATGGAGATGTCCATAAAGATGATATCAAACGGATCTTCCGCCAATTTGACTGCATCAACGGCCTGCTGACCATCCTCCGCTTGTTCAATTCTGCCATATTTCCGCTTTGTCTTGAGGAATGTTTCGAGCAGCTTCAAGTTGATTCTATTGTCGTCCACCAGAAGAATATGCGGATCAACTCTACCGGTTTTCGGCTGTGGTATAGAGGGAATTCTTGAGTGAGCATTTGGCGCTTCTTGGGGTGAGGCTGGATTGCTTGGGCTCATGTGGACAGACCAACGATCGCTCTCGCGACGCATCCTCGAACTCTCTTGACTATGTGAGGGAAAGGGGAAAGAATCTCCTTCGCTCACATGATTTCTCGGCGTCCGCAAAGCAGTTATTGGATCATGGATTGCCATCTGCGCGTTATGGCTGCCTTGAGATGCGGCAAAAGTCTCCGTCGCCTGAACCACCTTGGTGTTAACTGTTTCGCCGGGCGCATTTAGATCCATCTCGGCCAATTCTTCTGTCACCAACTCTGTTTCTGCTGTGACAGAGGTTGTATGTTCAAGGCTCGGAAAGGCGTCTCGCTGGTTGGTCGTCAGCGAAAACCGTGATCGCACAGCCGCTTGCTTTTCAAGAGCCAGCCGTATACTACGAGCCAGTTTGTGAGGACCACAAGGCTCTGATACAAATTCCACCGCACTGCAAATGCGTTCTTCCAAAGACTGCACGAGTGCCACGCTGTGCCTGGACAGAACCGAACACATTATCACTAATGCAGGACGTCGTCCAGGTGTTGCCACCAATCTGCTAAGCAAGAGCTCCAAGTCCTCCTCCTCTGCAATGACAACAGCGCAGCTATCACATAGTCGCTGGTCTAAGAACTCAAGATTGTACCAATCCTGTATATATGATTCGACAATGCGTGCCAATTCGTCATCAGGCTGCAGTTGTGATTGCCAGAACGTCACCGTCGCGTCCGACCATTCATCCCTCAGCAATGAAATCGAGTTATCGGCAGTGGAGCTTCCTGAAGAATTTATGCCACCAGTGCCGTCAGAATAAGGTGTAGTCTGAGTCGAAGTCTGACCTGGTAGAGGTCTCTTGATGGGTAGAACAACCTCGACCGTCGTCCCTTCGTTCAATTTGCTCTTCACATCGATCGAACCCCCCAGCATCAGGACAATGCTGCGGACAATGCTTAACCCAAGTCCAGTGCCCGGTGCCAGAGCATTTTCTTGCGCGAATGGTACAAAGAGCTTGGTAGATAAGAACTCCTGCGAGATACCCTGTCCAGTATCTGCCACCGTCAACACCATTACATCGCTGTCTTTCTCCTGAGAGCTCTGCAGCCGGAGCCGGACCTTGATAGTTCCTCGACTCGTGTATTTGATGGCATTTCCGGTTAAATTCATGATGATGCGGCGGACCGCACCCGGCTGGGTTAAGAACGTCCAATCGGCCTTCTGCACGTCCAACGTGATCTTGACAGCGTCTACGGAATGGTGTTCGAGCCGTTCTTTTTTCCCTCGGCCTGGTGCCTCACGCGGCATATCCGTAAGGTCCAATCCAGACGTGTAAGTGTAACCCAGAACCAAACCATCAACCACTTCCTCCAACACGGCCGACACGTCTATAACGCCAAGGAGCTGTAGGAGTGCAGGAGCACCATGAGAGATAGTTTTTGAAGAATTCTCGGGGCCTAGAAAGTTGGTGCGTCGTGATCCATGCGTGTGCTTCTTGTTCGAGGCCTGCCAGTGCTTTTGAAAAGAGTTGATTTTTGAGAAGTCTAGAACGTGGTTGATGGTGTCCAGAAGTGTTCGCCCACAAGAATCGATTGTGGAAATAAGAGATCTCTGGAAACCAGAGAGATCTGTTTCGGCCAGGAACTCGACACTGGCAAGAAGCCCATGTAGAGGGCTTCGCATTTCGTGAGATATCGTACCGACAAAATCGGATTTTTGCTTGTCCGCGATCATTGTGTCTAGGCGTGAGCACTCACCCATCAATGTGCTGCAGAAAGAGTTGAGGAAGGGCAGTTCAATGGAAGAGTTAAAGGGTCGCGTCTCCAATGCTGTTGCAACGAAACAAGCATAGGCAAAAGATCCCGTTGTTGCATCCCAGAGAGGTGTGAAGAGGACTTGTCCCGCACAGGGAAAGGCGGTCCGGATGGCCTTAACTTCCAGTTGTCTCCGACGGCTAGGTATGCGCGCCTGGCTTGACAAACTCCTGAGTCTCCTCGACGGGTCTATATCATCTTCAGACGAAGAGGATGCATTCCATTCCAAGGTGAACAATCGACCCCCAGGATATCGTTTGACAAGATCCTGGATTAATTCAATGTCCAAAGCTTTTACTCTATCATCCAATCCTTTTTCGGGAATGATCGGGTTGGATTGCGTCGAGTACGCGACAAATGAAGACTTCGCCGCCGACTGAGGCGCTCCGTTGTTGGGTCCCAGAGTCTGGCCAAGAGCATTTCCATTCTTTTTGTTCGTGTTACGCAGGCGAGCACCCACGTTGACAAATGCGACAGCACCCTCCTCGCCGAGGTCTCCTAGGCATTCTCGCAACAGATTCGCAGCTCTTGCAAATGTTTTCGTGTGAGTCCTTGATTCGCCATCGCTCTCCGAGTTTCCCTTCAAGTCATCCGTGTCCGAGGACTGTTCCGACGCGCTGAGATCTTCGGCATGTTCAAGGGGGACGGCGGTCTGGCTTCGCAAGTTCGGCTCACTCTGGCCGATCAACTTTTGCCATGTTTGAGAAGCGTCGATTTCGAGGGGCACTGTCAGGCCATATGCGGTCTTGGACCTCCTCTTAAAAACGGCGTTGTAGAGGTATCCGGTTTTCTCACCATGAATACTCTTGCGGCCGGCAATGAAAGCCTCGAGACCTTCGGCCATTCGGCGAGACTGACGTCCTTCTATTGCTTGTCTGTTCGTCTCGAGAAAGAACATTATCTGCTGCGCGGTAGACGCGAGGAACGATTCTTCGGCAGGGGTCAAACCGTTTGGACGAGTCAGAGTGTCCAGCTTTCGTTTCCTCGAGTCAGTACCGTTGTTGAGGATAGATTCCAAAGAGCATTCACGGATCTTGAGGTGCATGCAGAAGAGCCAAGACCAAAAGAAGGAAGATATGAACGCAATGGGGGGAGAGACTTACGACGGCGAGACTGCCGATACTGACGCCATCTCTTGTTGTGATCGGGACGCCTGCGTAAAATCTGTAATATGGAGGGCCCGAGACAATTTCCATGTGGGCAAATTCAGACTTGGACAGGTCGTTGATTACAAACTTGGGCACAGTGTTATCATCTTTATTGTCGAGCCGGATAGTCAATTCACAGATTTTCCCCTTGAGCGGCACTGAGCTGCAGTCTAAGAAGATGGGATCCTCAACGAACTCATACGTCTCGTCACCCTCTTCCGTGGAGATTTTTGTGGCTTCACTCAGGAAATACATGACATCCCGATCCATGACATTGACCATTGCTTTTCTGGCTTTCAAGCGGAGCGCTGTCAATTGACAGAGGGGAGAGAGAGCCTTGCACAGGTTGGGGACGTCATCGCTGGAGATATGGAAACCGGAGGGTGGACGGCGTAGGTGAGGCTGGAGAAGATTGTCTGGTTGAAAGTAGTGGTAGAACTCTCGAGCCCTCCGTGCGGCGTCCATCTGATGGTCTGTAGGTTGGGCAAAAGCCGCACCATCTTCTGTCGAAACCACCATGGCGCGTGTAATGTAGGCTCTGCTGTTCTCTGGCCCCTCTTGCTCCTCACAGGGCTGAATGCTCTCTCCCCAAGGATAGGCGGTGATCAACTTCTCAACATAGCGAAAGGCGCAGGGAAGGGGGGGTGCAGTGTAGGCAAGGAAGTTGGAACAAGTCAGATAACAACAGTCAATTCTCTAAGTGTTAGTGATACAGCAGGTTCGAGACCCAGAAAGCCCGCCCCACCTGAAAGGAAAGAATTGTGATCAAAACATCGAGAAGGTGTTCCTTATTGTCAACGGACGCCGGCGAGCGCAGAGGGAACCCGTTGCAAGGGCCATGAGAGGACTCTGTCCCGGGTCTGGAACGCCCAAAAAGCTTCGGATCCCGCTCGAGTTACTTTACGTACCCAGTAGGGTCCCTGATGTGCGTGGGTTCAATGTGGCGGCCAGGGCAACACAAGGGTTGTGCACTGCAGATCGAGGCTAGGAGGCCGGGGAGGTCCAAGGGAGGCCACATAGGTCACTAGCCTCACTTGTCCGCAGCTTTTGGGTAGCTTCCGGCAACCAGATCCGAGGGCTTGCAGGGCTCCAGGGGCTTGTCAAGGGCTGTCTTGGGGCAATTGGGGCTGTCTCGCTGGCTGCGGGGCGCAATTTGCACTCCGCAGTAGAATTACGGATAACCATATGGCCACCTGTCGCTGAAAGTGCGATGCTCCTCGACGTCAATAATTGATTGAAGCTTGAAGCTCACCATACCCTGGCAATCAGCCACGCTTGAGCGAAGTTGTGGAACGCCTATCTCTTTTACCCCATATACGTTCCTGATCTCTTCACGATGCGAGCGACGTCGCGGCTTTTCGCAACCGTCAAATCAGCCTCGAAATACCTTGAACCCAATACGCCCACAGGCCTAACAGGTCTCACAACACACCCTTCCCCCCGTCCTGCCCTCATCTACACCTACCGGCAGACCCTCAATAAACTCGCTCAACTGCCCAAAAGCTCCGTTTACCGCCAATCCACCGAGGCTCTCACAAAACAACGCCTGCAGATCATCGAGTCTACAAAGCCAGAAGGATACGAGCAATGGCTGGAACGAGTGCGCAAGCAGATTGAAGCCAGTCCTGCGGCCTTTAGTAAACTGCTGAATGAAGACGGATCGTTGGGTAGCGAGAAACTGCATGTGGAGCCCGTGGATAATTGGGACGGCAAGATCTCAAGACAAGATGCAAAGTATGAGGGACCAAATACGATGGCCCAGGCAGAGGCGAAAGTAAGAGCTGTCAGTGACGAAGTGCAAGAAAAGGACCTGGAGGACAAGCAAGGGCATCAGCCAACTGTAGAGGACCTGGAGGTGGAACCACCGTTGACGCGAGAGCAGTACGTATCCCGTGTTCGGGCTAGGCGGTTCATTGTATTCATGGCTGATTTACTACAGGATCGAGGGAATCGAGCAAAAGATTGGTGCTGGACTGATTGAAGAGGTCATCCAAGTTGCCGAGGGAGAGCTGGAACTGGTGGCTGAGATGCTACGACATCAAGTGTATGTCTTCCCCAATCACCCTATTATTCTTACCTTTTGCCGCTTACGCTTGCTTTTAGATGGGAAGATCTGGAAGAACATACCCCGACGGGTCAATGGGTGTACTTTGAGCGTGCGGATAGAGTCTAAAACTTCTCAACAGGCCTTACGCTCAAGGGGTCTCAGGACTTGTACATATGATTCCGGAAACACGAAAAGGGCATCTAGAGCATTAACATACTGTGGTCCCGCATCTGAGGGTGCTTGATGCAAGCTGTGAAAACGGAGCTCTTCGTTGATTTTATCGCGCGGTCTTGTTGTGTCTTCCTCTCCAGGACAAGCGTCCTTCCAACCCCAAGCATTCGCCCAGTCGTTGCAGCAGGCCCTCCCCAATCTAATATGTACAATCATCCCCCACAGCTCTTCCCGCCTCTTACGCGCACATCCCCCAATATGCTCGAACTCCCTTTTCTCAAGCTTCCCAGCGGATCTTGTGCAACTCCTTAAAAAGGGTTGTCCTCCGGCGGCACCTCCCTGATCCAGTAACTGCCGATGACTGGAAGCTTGGACAGGATATCTTGCCTCACGCGGGGAACTTCACCAAAGAAAAAGACTGCAAATACACCTGCTGCAACGCCGAAACCCGATGCGATGTAACCGTAACGGAAGGCCTTGCCCATGCTCAAGCCCATGAGGTTAGGGACGTGTTTAATTCTGCCAGGGAAAATTCAAAGTTAGCTCAACACCAAAATAGAGGGCATGCATCTGTCTGCGAGACAGGCGCAGATCAGAGGGCCAAAATGAACATCCGTACTTTGGTCCATAGGGTGAAACGTAGGTCTCGTATGTCGGCTGCGGTTTATAGACACGCAGAGGCGTCCGCCCAGAGCTTTGGAAGTGTTCGTATGCAGGCATACTGCCTTTCGTCGAAGAGAGAAGGGCGGAGTGGTGTCGAGGTGCTGGGGTTGGTGGGTTCAAGTTGCCGGAAGAAGTTCAATGTCGTCGTTGGATGCTACAAAATGAGCTTTGAGCTCCGAAGATGCAGTTCTACGGCTGCGGGGATGATGCAAGAGCGCAGTCTCGGCACCTGAGCCAATGAGATGAAAGGCAATTTAGAGCCAAAATCTGCGCTTTCAGGCCGCAAGGCAACTCTACTAACTCGTCCTGCTCGTCTTGCTCGCCCCGCGTCCTATTTATAATATCACTTTGCGTTCATCATCACACTTTTAACAGGCAATTCTACGCTGCGGTATTGTGTCAGCTGCGCCATGAGGTCGCGAAGAGCAAGGCGGCCTCTTAGTCCTGCCCTCCGTCCTGCGGCATTTCCACCGCGACGTCTTAACATCTCCCGACCTCGCGCGCACAATCACTCGTCGTATCCTTGTGAATTTTGAATTCAAAAGCGGGAACTCTTTTTGACGAGACTCGAAATCAGAGCCAGTAGGTACGCGAACAGCGCTCTAACGAAAGCATGCAGTGTAGTATGACTCAATGAAGGGCAACCAAACGCCCCCCGAAATCAAAGAAGTATTCATCGCCTATTCGCTCCCGCATCTGTTCGATTTGAAGCCGTCCGAAGCTGTGGTCCGATCTTGGTGCCGCTGCTTTCGCACGTTGTCTAGAGTTTTTTGTGATAGTTTCGGCCTTTGTATGATCGAATGGGCGAGTCTCTTGCTCAGGGAACCGGGTGACGTCCTCCGCCTTGTGAGGCGTTGCAATACCAATGACACCGTATCCGTTCTCCTTTTTGATGACTTGCTTGACATTTCAGCTTGTTAATTGCTGCTCAAGGTGCTGGCTCGCGTCGAGAGAACGGGTCTCTTGTGCAGAGTGTATGCCATCGCCATGGTCCATGAGTTGTTTCGATTCGCGTTTGCGCCACGGCCTTTCCTCGAGAACGTTGAGAACCTGGTCAGCATGTCCCGCGAAACCCCAAAGCTCGACTTGTCTAAGGTATGCATCACTGTTCAAGACCGTTCTGAAGAGTCGCGAGGACTCTTCATCTTCATCACCAAGAGGTAGCTCTGGATGCCAATCATCAACCAGAGACTCGATATCCCATTTAGCGAGTTCGATGCCCGTGCTGGGAGGCAATTGCGACACCTCATCTTCCTCACCCTCTATAGCCGTTGGTCCTCGAACGTCAGGGACTAGGCATGACTCAACCACGGGCTCCGAGAGTTGAGACGATGTGTTCGTGATCTGACGGGATTCTGCAGAATTTCGAGAAGACCAACCAAAAGGGAGGGTAGGTCGTCTGAGTTGTAAGTATCAAGGGTTTTGTTCAAGCCACCGAGATGTGTACGCAGCCTGTCGCCCTCCTCCTCGAGACTTCACAGCATTTCTTCGTTCATTGCGTGGCCACCTTTACTGCAACCTTTCCCAAGAGATACCCAGACACTTTTGTGTGCTCTTGATTCGAGCCACAACACCGTGCAATGCCAGTATGTCACTGTCCGTGCTCCTGGTCAGAACAACTTACGCGTGAGTTGAACAAATGTCCACTTCTGTCGCTCTCCGGAAAAAGATCTTCGCGGAATGACTCGGGCTCTTCTGCTCAACAAACTGCCGAAAATACCTAATTGTACCTCTAATGGACTGGATCCGACTGGTGGGTTCTGACGGTCCTCAGTCTGCGACTTTTAGTTGCTTGGTGGTGGAGCGGCGTGGAGTCATCAGTGTCACTTTCATCAAGTGGGACATATTGTCAGACATTTTATGGGAGAATCGCCACCCCAGAAAGGGTACAAGGGGATTTCAACATTTCGAATTTCTCTTCACGAACATCAGGTCAGCTTCTTCTTCTCGCGCACGGCATACAAGTTCTCCTCGACAATGGCGTCTGGCTTCTTCACAGGCCGACATGCAGCTTCTTCTCTCACAACGGTCTCGCGCTGAAGACGTCCCAACTGGTGGTCCCAAATGTTGCTGATTTCCACACGTATGGCTCCAGGATTGTTATCCCCAGGGTGACAATTGCCGAAACCAAACGCGAGAAGACGCTGCTCCATATCCATCCAATCATCGGGGTGGAAAAACGAGGGGACACATCGGCTCGTCAGGCACACTGCCAGGCAAGTCATACTGAGAGGCGCCCACTGGAGGCGATACCCCCTCAACAGAAGAGGTATCACAAGTAGTAGTCGCGGTCGAAAGAGATTGGCCGGTGGGGCAAGCAGGTCCTAGAGAGCTCCTAGCTGACTCCTGGGTCTCCAGGCGATGGTAATAAGCTTGGAGGCTTGTATGTGTAGCGGGAATCGGACGAGAGTCATCGGGTATGTGCAGCGCATTGACTTGTGGTCGACCAACAAGCACCACATGGGGGAGTCTTGTCTCCCCACAGCGGCCGGATATTCAAAGTCAACTGCTTTACGGCCGTCTTTATCCTCACACTCGTCACCCCAAGTCATTTACCGCCCCCACCGAGTCGAATTATATTTCGATCTTCTGCTGAGAGGATGGCCAAAATCCACTTCTAGTACCCTAGGCCCAAGCGCCTTAAGCACCTTTTTTCATTCGGCCAAAGACATGACCAATCCAGTCGAAGAGGCGTTGGAGGAGTCCAGCGATGAATACTGTGGAGATTTCAACTGTTTCCCCGACAACGATCAACATATTAATCCTTTTTTATGCCATGTCTCCTTCTCTAATATCAAGTACAGACTATCAGTCCAGTTCTCGCCAACCTTGTATGTCTTCTACTTGAACCCATTCACCACAAATCCGACCTTTTTCAACAACCCAACGCACGCCTCATTCCTTGGGTCTGTGTCGGCCGTGATTTCGCTCATTCCTACCTCGCCAAACAAGTACGGAATCAGCGCAATGAGCGCCTCCTGCGCGATGCCTTTACCCCAGTACTGGCGAGCCAAGAAGAACCCAACCTCATTGTCTCGCCAGACGCCGATCTTGCCGACAGTGACGGGATGATGTGGCGTCGTCGAAGAGTTTAGTAGAGTGATGATGAAGTCCGTGACGCCGTTTTGCGGAGCTGAGACCATCGTGAGAAGCCATCTCCTCGTCCGAGCGCGGCGGGTGTGCGGATCTGAGCCCCTTTTACAAGATGGTCTGTTACGGCGACGTTCGAGGGGGAGAAGATTGGGCGATTAAGGCTGGATGTCAAGGGTAAAAATGACAAAACACTCACATATATTCCATCACTTCGGGATCTGAAAATGCCTCGTACAGACCTATCAGGTCGGCGGCAATCTTTCTGGCGCCTTGTAGAAGGAGCCTGGGTGTTGAGATTTCGACTTTTCCGTCTTCTAGATGTGAGATTGTTGCCATGTATAGATATGTCCTCAATGTTCTCGAATTTCCGCTTAGGGAAAAGTATTTGTTTCTGGAGTTAGCAAAATCCTATGAACGCCCGCAGCGCCGTCCATCTATCGCGGAATAGAAATTAATTCCAGCAGGTCTTCGAGGAGATTGGCCCTGCTGAGGTGAAGAGTCATATTACAACATGTCGTGGCGAAGTCAATTGCGGTGCAGCCATCGAGGTTCCACCCCATTTAGACCGGATCGGGAAGGCATAGCCCACTTTGCTCCTCCAACCCCCTAAACGGGAAGCGCAAAGGAGTCCCAGCCTCGTCTTGCTTGCTTCTTTCATTCTCTCGACTCCGTTTCCTACAAATAAATATGACACCATTCATGTCGACACCCTCTTCAGCTGTCATTATTTGCAAGCTGAACTACCAATCGTTTTTGGGTCTTGGACTTGAGCAGATCCCCTGAAGGAAGGAAAGGGCGCATTGCTTGGAATCTAAAGTGCTCTCGATTGTGATTGTACTCGATATACATCATCTGGCACGCTCGTAGAAAAGCTGATCGCAAGAACACGGCGTGTCTGGCTCGCTCATCCGTTGTCTACGGCCTGGGGTCAAAATACCTTGATTTTCTCCTTTCCTTTGGTGTGGGCTAATGCATTTCCGTACAGGATGGAATGGGTGTAGCGGATTTGCGGATATTTGCCCCATACTCTTCTAGGGGAATGAATAGTGTCATTCAGAAGCTGGGCGCTCGCTTGTGGTCGGCGAGAGTTGTGTCGGTCACGCGAAATTAGATACCTGGAGACGATAATGTCCAAGCTACTGAAGACGAGGGGGGGATTTGTATAGATACCGCTCGGAGCGCCCTGTCGGAGAGACATCTGGCCAGATGTGGACGGCGGCCGCCTGCCGCCTGGTTCTTTGTCGCTCGACCGCAGCCGAAGTCAAGGAATCAGGGGCGGACTCTCCTCGAGCAATAGACAGGATTCACGTCTAGATTCATCAAGAACAAGGCAATGCCGCACAATGAATATTTCAACAGCTGAATTTGTGTCAACATTCGACTTGCAAAGTGGTGTGCAAAAAAGTCTTGTCCACAGCCCCATACTCATCTCCCTAGCTCGCTGGAGCTCTAGTCTAGGATAAGCTGTCATGTGGGAGCAACGCATCATCCAGCTAATCGAGTGGAACCCCCCTTCCCTTTTTTCCCTTTCTTCAACCCCTCCAAAAACCCTTGACCAGGTTTTTCTCACAAGCTGAGTGAGTTTTTTGCGGCTTTGGAAAGATGCAGGAAATAAAAGGTTTTGTATCGTGGGCCTCGCCGCCAGTTCTCTGATTTCGCCAAGCTAAAAGAAAATAAGGGATGTATAGGTGGTGGGTGTATGCAAGTTTTCGGAGCCAGCGGCTCAACGTTTGGCCGGGCATCAGGGAAGGTGGCTGAGGAATCCCTGCCTTGAAGAGGATTCTTGAAAATACTATGACTTGGTGAGCCGCTCATTGACAGTCTCAACTCTGATGTCTGGATTGGCATTAATAAAAAAACATGACCCAAGATCTTGGCCCAGAAGGAATCCTTTTATTGTTATTGATGGACTTCACCGGTGCTCTTCGACAACTCGACAAATGTGATCGGCAAGGTCCCAATTGGTTTCCGGTAATCAGTATTCTCGCCGAATAGCCATAATCGTGAATCTATCACATCAGTCCGCACAAGATAGTAACTTGGAGCGCAGTTCCGCCATTTGCCTCGGACCATTTCGGGGAGGTGACCCAGACTCTGTGATTTATCGTCGCCTCAAAGGATGTACAAACATTATGAATGTATGAATGCACAACGTATGCTTGACCTATTCGCCGAAAAGTCTCCTCACACGCCGTAGAACGCTGTCCTTCTCTGGGTCATAAGGATGATCTTTAGCTGGGATTTCGAGAACAGCAGGGAACGGATCTTGGAATCTGTCGACGGTGTCTCGAATTTGCTCCGCAATCTAAAGCCATGTTAGCATCATGATTCTGCTGTAGGACCAGAGCCTTGTCATACATGCTGGTTTATTAGGACTATTCCAATGTCCTTCCGCTCTTTGGTAAATCTGTTGAATGTTTGCTCAATCTGGGACTTTTCTGTCTTTGCATCGCACACGAGAAAGTTTTTCTGAGAATCCGGAGGGTCGGTGATGTGTCCAATGCCAGCAAGTAATAGACCGGTAACCGAGCTGGAGCAGGAGGGTGAGTTGAGAGTGGCAGCTGTCTTGCGGTTGGCGGGGAACTTACTCTTCGTCCCCAATGACTGCTATGAATTGCCGGTCCTGCACAGCGATCATAAGCTGAAGTCTAGTTGCGGGAGGAGTCTGGGTACCTTGTATGCCGACGCTGGCGCTGCCATGATTGCGAAATGTCGGAGCCTGTGCTTTGAAAATAGATTGAAGCTGGCTCGAAGCTCGGAGATGTGAACGAGGTGCAGCAGGCGCAGTCATGTACGAGGTACCTGAGCGCAGTGCACCAGTCTTGACCAGTGCCATCGACGGGCCACTGACGTCTCCGATTGGCTGCCATTTCGTCATTGTTTACGCCCTCTTCCACCCTCCTGCGCCCATCTCGCCAAACATCTTTGCTCACCTGCGTTCTGCATCAATCGTTCCTCTGCCCTTCAATCCCTTGCTGGAGATGTCGTCTGAGCCATCGAAACTCGCTCCACCGACACAATGCCCAAGTTTGTGAGGCGCCAGCCTCTCGCAGAACGCATCAAGGGCTACCTCAACCCCTACGACTTCCTCCTGTGGCTGTCAGAAGAGCTTGAGTCCAGTGGCTGGGATCAGCTGGAAAAGGAATGGGCCACGCCTATTGGTATTGCGTTGAATGTCATCTTCATCATCGCAAGAGCCAATTCAAAGTCCAAAACGACCAGTTATGATGATGTGTTTGGCGAAATCCCCGGAGTGGCCTGGACCACCTGGCTGGTAAAAGCTGTCGCGATCATGGAAGACCAATTGAAGACTAAAACTCTCGCAGGCCACCTTCATTGTCCACTTCCTGACTTTGTTCTGCGTCGTCAACGCCGCCTACACCTTCTGGCGAAAAAGACATTACCGCCTGTTCGAAACTTCCATCGACGACGTGCCGAGCACCCCTTCGGCCAAACGGGTCCGAGTCGACTCCTCCCCCATTTCCTCCTCGCCTCTACAGTTTCTTTCACGTATCATTGGGACAGAGACAGCACAGTCAAGGGCACACCCTGATCCCACAAGAGATGTCTGGGAAGTCGCCGTCTGGGATCCCTTGCCTATATCTCTACGCTTGTTTTGCTACTTCAGTCCCGGCCATATCCTCGTTTACTGGCTCTTCCTGCCTACTCTCTCTTCTGATCCTAGACCCAGCGTGACCATTGCGACAGCCATGTTCGTAGCTCTGCTCCTCTCCGCGCAACTACTCTTCCTTCAATCAAGCTACTCGACGCAGGTTAAAGACTCTGCCTTGATCTCCAAAGAAGTACTGCACGAGTACGATACAAAATACGTCAGACCACGGACTCAACCCTTGTACCGGGATGTGGGCACTCAGTTCAGCGAGCAAGCCTCATACAGCCCAATTCGCGATGAGAAGTACAACAAGGTCGATGTCTACACGCCCATGGTGGTCATCAATCGCGGTTTCAGACCAAATCCAAACCCCAACTATGCGAAATATGCGGATCCTGATGCAGCACCATCTGGCACCAATCTCCGACAACGAGCAACTACACCAAACTTCCGTTCACCAATTCAAAATGCACACCCTGGCACAGCCGTGAGACCTCTGGCTGGAATGCGCCAACCAAACTTTCGACCAACGGCCACCGGGGGTGAGGGCGGGAGTCTTGGGGTATACTCTCATGCTGCCTCCCCCCTCCGGAAAAGTGCGTCTGCCAATTTTTCCCGCGAGAATAGGATGATGAGCCCAGAAAAGCGTGGGTCAAGTCCAGACAAGAGATTGAGTGTGCCTGCTGGTACTGCCCCTCAAAGATGGGCTCAGTTCCTGCCTGATAAATACCGAAGAGAGAGCGGTCGCTTTTGATAGATGTATCATCATCCGAGATTCCCTTTTTTGTGTGTGTGAATGACTCCTGCAGAGCTCCCAGTCCCTGCCCTCGGGAAAATCCGTATGAGTTGTTCCTTCCACAACTGCAGCATGACGCCCTGCACGGATGCTCCGCCGTCATGGCAACCATCTGTCAAGACACCATCCCTCTTGTGATGCGGCGTCCTCACTACCAGGCTTGGTGCACAGACCAGCATATGGTATGAAGTACCTGTCGTAGCAACCACCTCCATTTCCCACGATGCCTGTGAAGCATCCACATTTTTCAGACGACGTTTTACCTTCCTTTATATCTCGTCTCGTCGATACAGTCTCATCCTCACTAGGAACATTCAATGTCAGGAAGCAGGCATCATCTGATAGAGAAGAAATTGGCCGCCTCCGAAATCAGCGTTCGTTACCACACACCACAAAGTTTTGCTACAATGAAACTATCTGTAACCGAGAGTCCGTGAAACAATCTGTGGCTTTCCACACTGACGGTCCCAACGACCGACGAGCACGACGTTCAACGGAGCGGAGCGGTGAATTCGAACCATTCTTCGACGGAGAGACTCCCCCCCAAAGAGGTTTTCGGTCGCATACATTGAAGGCTGTGCCAGAGCTCGATGCTTCGCCGATTGCCCCAGACCGGTTGAGGCGAAAAACTATCGTCTTTGTCGGCAATCGTTTAGATCAAGAAGTCAAACAAGTCAGGGCGGACACCACACCGGTGAAGCAACCGCGTGGGGAGAGTTCTGCCACTTGCTTGGATATGCATCGTGTTGTCGACAGTGACGACTACCTTCTAGCACGAGGGGCAAACCCACGGACTGGAGTCGTTACACCAGGATCGCACAGTGCTAGTAGCTCAATTGATCGGAACCAAAACGACTTGTCCCGAGTCGGGCGTCAAGTTCCCTCGAGTCGATGGCGACAACGAGGTGACCAATGGATCAGCCTGGATCTAGATGAGCCCACGCCTCTTTCAACGTTTCCGACGGATAGACCTCTAGAGCATCAATACCATGCCCTGAGGACTCCGCAAAAACTTGCGACCCGGGGAGAACGAGACTCATTGCTTGACCTTGGCAGAACGCAGAGTGACCACCCGGTTAATCTATCGTACAGCCCTGGAGCGACAGCCCAATTCCATCAACATCACCTGGGAGCTAGCGTGAAGGCGGAAAGACTTCAGAGTGGAGTTGAACAAGCTATTTCGCAGGACAATATAAGACTCAACAAACCAATCAAGCGGAAGCCTGTTGGGAGTCCTCCGGGTAGAGGCACTGCAGAGCCAGTTTGCCATCCTCAGCGAGGTACCAATGAAAGTACGGACACCGTCCTAAGACATCCCAAATTCAACAGCGAGGTACGCTCCTCCTCGGCGCCTGATCATCTAAAAGGACACTTGTTTCCGCCTCATACTGTCAAGAAAACTCTACCGAGGATTCCCACTGATGGTTCAGAGAATGGAAGTCAAACGGCGGACCATTCTTTTTTAGGATTATCTCGGACGGACCAGCAAGTAGACGTCCCAAATTCAAAAATCTCAAACATCTCTGGCCGTCACATACTCGAAAAAGAACTACCATGTCTGCCGACGAACAATGGCCAATACCAGTCGACATCGGACATGACCCCATACCCAACGACTCCGAAGGGAGAGAACGAAGCGACAATGTCAATGACGGAGTCTCCAACCTTGCGTATCGCAGCTTCCCAGGGGCCGGGAGGAGGCGACCTGTTGTACCCATACCTTCGAACGGCGAGGCCGATATACCCGGCCATTCCCATAGCGAGACACATCAAGCCGCTCGGAGAAAGAGTGATGCCAATTCCAATTTACGACAACCCTCCGAGGCGCCTATCGCCATTGATGCGGACAACTGGTCTAAAAGTCGAGGGCCCAAGGGTCCCGCCCCCGCGACAAATGATGGTTTCAAGCAGGACGAGACCGGGTCTCGACCCGTTTCCGAATATCACTACCATAGCCACAGACATATCCACCGGCGATCCTCATCCCCTAAGGCCACTCCGCCTCCGCCCAAGACCTCAGCCGCCCGATCAACGGATGATGACTCGTGGCCAATATGGTTTCCGCCCGAGACCGCCTCCGTCAGATGGTACAGACATCATCATGAACACTGCCATGAATATGAATACCGACACCATGATGTCGATTCCAATACCAAGGATCACGCCCAGAGCAATGACCCGTCCTCCACTGCCCACAAGAGCAGAAGGGATCTACGGTGTACCCCGGACCGCGCCTACCTGCAATCGGTCAGACCCGATAGACGTGGATGCTCGACGTCTATGGATGCCGTCGGGCGTAGAGATTGTGACAAGAGAAGACCTCGGCGTAGCAGAGAAGAATCTCATTCCGAAACCCCTAAAATCACGTTTACAGCCCTTCCAAGGCCCAACAATGTTGAACGACATAAAACTGGAGCAGGCAGAAATGAATCCAGGCGGCCTTGGCCTGATGAGGAAATGCAGCAATTGCAATCATGGCTTCGTGGGCGTCGAGCTTCACAATACCGATAGTGTCACCCCTACGTCCGCCCTCCAGAAGAACGTCGACAAACCAAGCGAGGGTACTAAGTATTTGCATCCTAAAGGAAGCCTGCTTCCAAGACTACCCCAAGACAGAGCTCCACAACAAAATTCACAGGCCCAACACGAGATATTGACTCACTTACATAAGAGTGTCGCAATCGACGATGAACGCGATCATACCATTTGTTGTCCCGAATGCTGCAAACTGGATTGTCATGAAGGTTGCCTCGGACATCCCAGCCCAACACGCGCAACTAGTCCTACAAAGAGTCTTTGGTCAGGGGCCCAAAGCTCAACCAGTTCCAGTGCACCAGAAGCACAGGAAGAGGTAAAGGCGGGGGGAACTGAAGAGAAGGGCAAGTTCACCCAGCTGGCTGCCATCAAGTCTGTCCTAAAGCGGTCGCCAAAAAAGGAAGAGGAACCCAAGTCTGGCAATCATATTCAGGTAGCCTTGTCCAAAGTTGCTCCTGTTGAGTTGTCCATGCAGCCGCCGCTTCCTGCAATATCCGCGCGTTACAACTCGGTCAAACGGTTGCCTGACGCGGTATCTGCAGCATTGAGCGCCATGGAGCTGTTATCGCCTAAAAGAACGAAAGAGACACTGACGGCAGCATTCAGTGACATCGGACCCTCACAACGAAAAGCTTCTGCGTCGCGCCCCATAATCCACAGAAGGCAGAGAAGTTCAAGCTTGCCCATTCTGGGGATTGGCGTCACTTCACGCAGCGGCAGTGGAAACGCTCAATATCAGCGTGCCACAAGCGGAGGGTCTCGGCTCCGCGTCCCATCACCTCTTGGGTTCGTGATGTCTTGCTCTAACTTCAGTAAGGATGGCTCTTGGAGAAGCCGCAATGTCAGTAGTGCGAGTATCACGACCATCGAGCTGCAAGTCCCGAGTCTTGCGTCTCTCACTGCCTGCGGCAGTTATGCTGCCGTTGGAGATGTGCTTCTCATACCCCTTCAGGCTGCTATGATGTGGATTCGCAACCACCCCTGTATCCTCACCTTTGGCAGGGAAATGGTCCAAAGAGCTTGGATCATGGCGCAACTCATGATGAGGACCGGATGGCGACTTTGGGCAATGGTATTTGTGTACTCCAAAACTGGAAAAGTCAAATTTCACGTCAGTAAAGGCGAAACGGCGGGTGGATTTGTATTGGACGTGGCGAGGAGTCTGCTTTACTTAATCACCTTTGCTGCGATGAGTACCCTTGTTATCAGGATATTGGGGCTGGTGATGGGGTTGTTGGGGATCATTGGATGGTTTGTACGGGCTGTATTGTGGGTGTTGAAGGGTATTATGGGGGTTGGGCAGGCGAAGTAAAAGGGCCGATACGAGAAGATTGACGCATGGCAAAGACCGAGGGGCTGTGATGAAGAGGACTCTGGTGGAGGGTAACATCATTATCCACGAAGCAGATAGATGTCTCGATAGAACAACAGTATCAGCAGCGCAGACAAGGTGCATTCCGATATGCCCTGGTAAATCAATTTGTGGTGTTTTGACGACACCGACTGTGACCCTCCTCTCCCGTCGTCCTCCGTTCGTCATGCCAGAGTTCTGCGGCACTCAAATTCCATTTGCATTGAGCCTCACTAGCCAGGCTCCTTCTCAAGGCCGAGCCTGAGCTGGAACGGACCGGGCTGGCCATGAAATCTTTTTGGAGAACTTTGAGACTAATCGGAGCACATTGGCGCCGGCTGTCAAACCTGCGGCAGATCTCAACATCCTTGAAGTCTGTCGCCAGGTCCATATCGAGGCGTATGCCGCGTTGTTCAGCCTTGCAACTTTCAGACTTGATACGGATGGAGAACACGTCGCTTTCACACAGCCACACGAGCTTCCGAACTTGAATCGCTTCTGGGATCTAAGCAACACCGTGCCCTTGCTATCAGAATGGTCGACCCTAATCCGCCTCGTCTGTTTCACGACATACTCACCTACGTGAGACAATATTGCAGGGAGGCTATCCAAAGTCATTTTGAGGAGATTGAGGTATGGGATGCATTAGTCTTGCATCTTCAACTGCGCTGTCTGGACCCGGACCAAAGGTCTGGTCCGCATGCTCCATGTAATCACACTTCAAACCCGTCTGCGTTAACCTTCTGAAGACAAGAACTGGTGGCTATAATAGGTGACGCGAACTTGGCATTCCCTATCATATCTATTTGACAAGACAAATGTCGTCAGGAGCCTCCAGTATCCTTCATAAAGGCACGTGATTGATCGGGCTGATCTCTTTCTCGAGCTGGAAGGAAGAACGTGAAGAGGGCATACTTCGGCGTGACAGACATGGAAGTCTACAGATGACAACCGGACTACGAATGCCGTCGAGCATTTGACCCGCGGAATCGGAATGCGCAGTCCTCAACAAGTCCCAATTGAGCTGGCGCTGGATGCATGCAACGCTTGAGAAGCTGGGCTAGAAAGAATCCATTTTTGAAACATTGAGGCGCGGCATGGAGGGTGTCATGCTCAAGGATCTGAATTGGGGAATATCTCGATCCTCAATGCGAATCATGTTCAGATCCGACAAACGGCAAGGGCGCGTAGTTGGTGGTTTCTTTTGCGTGCGCCATTTTCAGGATCGATCGGCAACAGGCAAATAATGTCACGCGGATCTGAGTTCAGACCCCCTGTTTATTTGTTGGTTTTTGGTTCCGTTGAGCCGGATCTTCGAAATAGGGGTCCAGTGGAGGAACCAGAATCTTGACTCACTGTTTACAGATCTCGCACTTGTGCATGTCATTATACAACACCACGGTTGCGGAAACCAAACGTCCTGAAATAACATCGATTGATTAATGCCTCTGTCTGCTGACGCTCCGTATGCCCAAACTGCTAATAAGATCACCTGGCGGAAGAAGAGCAGCGATGAGATGGGAGGGGAAGACAAAGTAACAGTTTGAGGAGCATAAGCAAGACATGACTGGAGGAGAGGAGAAGAGAGGAATGGAAAGGAAGTCGCTAAAAGGTCAAAGGTCAAAAGAGGCGAGAAGGGGGAAATGTGCGTTCTCCCAGACCTACGGATATAGAGGTCCTTATACTTGATATTTGATACTTTTGTCGCATGTATGTATGTATGTACATATGTATGTACTATATAGCCTTTTCTTCTTTTCTGAGAAACAGCATGCCATGGAATATTTCTCCACCTACTTAGTACTTCCTACACAAGTACCAAGTATAGAACAAGAGGAATATGTACATGCGCCCAGACCTTCGTCGTAAACAAATATGAGATGGGGGTTCATTCGACATCTCCTGCTCTCTTGCTCTCCATCTTTCGGGAGTCTTGTGGGTTTCTGTACCGGGACGGTGGCCATGTCTTGCGCCGTGTGTCAAGTATGTGCGTGCCGAGACAGTAGTCGTGCTGCTCTGCTGCTCCTTGTCTTTGTCCTTGTCCTATGCCTGTGTATCCGACCGTGCCGGCGGGGCGGGCCAACCGATTCCCATCCGGCCGGCGATAGGGCACACACGAGACAAGTACAAGCACAAGGACAGGGCAAGGCAGGCACGGGCCTAGTGCATCGGGCTTCAGGCATCAAGCACCACACCAGGCGCTAGGCATTAGGCACCAAGCAATCGGGCATCTTTCGTAAGAATACTATGTAAGCCGATGCCTTTTCCCGTCATGGGCAGTACATGTACCGAGGAAATCACAGGAGATGCGGATGGGGATCGGGATGGGGAAATAAGTTGCGAATGTGGTGGAAATGCCCGGCGGGTTTTGCTGACAGATGATGCCAATGTCGATGCTGATGCCAACGCTAAGCCGAAGTGGGTGGGTGCGTGGGTGGATACGAGGTACACAAATGCCATTATGCATGCATGTGGCCCCTAAATATGCTACTTCCTGCCCTGGCGCAGTGCTGTGCTGTGCTGTTCTGTGCCTTTCCTTGCTGTGCTGTGCCGTGCTGTGCCCACACGGTGCCTTTGAGCCATCCTAGGCAAAATGCCATGCCACGCTATGCATGTGCGGATCGAAGTATGTAAATATGTACATGAAAAACAAACGTCCAACGGCCCAAGCAACGCCTTGGGGGACCTGTGTAAAGTCCACCCTTTCCGGTGTCGTCAATGCGGTTTGGTCATCAAAAAAAGAAAGAACATAAATTATTCCAGCCAAACAACTCTTGATGGCTCAAGTCAATGGCCCAAGAGATTTTGCCACCCGACCCGCTCGTACACCACGACGGCCAGACAGCTGGTCACGACGACCTCGAGAGGGATTCTCTCCTCGTGGTGCCCTGCATTTCCATTCCCATGTCCATGTCCGTGTCCATTCCCGTTCCCACTCATGTGGTTCCCGACGCTTGGTCCGCCGGCGACATTGGCCAGAAACACCGTCAAGGCGCCCAAGACCTGATGGTCCCGTCGTTGCTTGTACACGGCCACGAGGGTCCCCTTTGAGTCTTCCAGCAGGAGATTCCCATTCGCCAGGTCAAAGCCGTCGTCCACGGCCGGCATCGAAAGGACCTGGCTGTTGTGGCTTGGAGGCGAATGCCATTTGTAGCTCGGCGATGATAACGAGGAGCTGGTCAAGATGTACTCGCGCTTCCAGCCGCGCCGGGCGATGGTATATTGGGACCGGGTGTCGGGGGTGGCGTGGTGGAGTTCTTGCGGCGCCGAGGGAGAGTAGTGCATGTCGGGAGTGATGTTGTAGACGGTCAGTGAGATGGACATGCGAGTGAAGCCTTGCCAGCCCTGGTACTTGATCTCCGCTAAAGGGTATGGTTCGTCCTTTTTGGAGTTGGTTCTCCTGAGGACATCGACAGGCTCTGCGCTAGGGTTGGCGTAGATATGGTTGACTGTTTCGTGCGGAGGCGTCGGCGGCAGCCCACTGACCTCGCTTCCCGGCGGAGGAACTTCCCTCCCTCGCAGCCACTTGTGCTGCGGGTGCCGCTGGTGGGCAGCGCCAGGGAAGATCTGAAACGAAGGCGGAAGAAATGGCTTCTGCTTCCACCACTTCATGTCACTGGTCACAAACACCGGTTCATGACGGGAAGTCGGTAGCGTCGAGAGATCGGCGGGAGGGCCCCTATGGACGATCCCGGCATCGACATCGACGACGCTCAGATCGAGGTTCTGCGGGCAAACCAGTCCCAAGGTCGTGCTTTTGAGGATTTCGAATCGGCGGACGGGGCCGTGCCACTCGTGTTGGAACTGTTCGTGTTCGTCGAATTTGAAGAGCTGCTGCTGCTGCTGCTGCTGCTGCTGCTGTTGTCGCTGCTGGTCGACCGACTCGAACTCTCGCTGCTCTGACTCGCTGACCGTTCGGCAATGGTCGGTCGGGCGTGTCCTAGCCATAGGCAGTCGTGCAGCGGATCTGGCTCGAATGTATTCGGCGGTCGCGGAGGTTCTTGTTTTGACTTTCGCTTTTTGGACAGTTTCTTCTCCTTGGGATGACACGGACACCCGCCGGGATAGTAGATCTCACGTAGAGTGATGGTCGTGTAGCGTCTTCGGCCATTGACGACGATGTTAGCCTCTTCCTCCGGGAACAACGCATTATAGGAAGGGAGCAAGTCGGCGTCAGCCATTTTGCGACTGTGGGTGTGAAGGCTGAATTCGATCTCTTCAGTGTCTTGGAAAAATCTGGGGAAAGAGAACAAATTCGAAAGGGGGACGGTTCCTGGAGACTTGGGGCTGACTGAGGGATATAACAGCAACGTGACCCTGACTGACCTTTTACAATATAAAGGGCGTCAAGGACTCAGGATCGTAATAATTGTGGATAAACGCTGAAAAAAGGGGTCCCGGTGTTTTGGTTGCCGGAACGTTGACGGTTGGCTCGGCCGTCTCGGATGCAGACGGAAGGCTGAGCGCACCTGGAAACTCGAAATCCTCAGGCCTGTGAAGGCGCCTCCGCCAGATGGTGGCTGAGACTTTTGCTGATGTGGAGTGCTGCGTCAGCGTTAGACGGCTGCTTTGCTCCTCGGACTGCTTTTGGAAGTTGTGCGTCAGAAATTCGGGGCTGCCTGAGGCCCGGAAACGCGTCGTGTATCGCCTTATCCACGGTTTGCACGTTTGTTTGGTTCGGGAAAAGTCTGAGGGACTGGCGAAAATTGCGGTGAGGTTATGTAAGATTGTTGACGCTGAGACATGCATATAACAAAGCAATTAAGTGTGCTTTGCGCCCCGAATTCACCTCGAGCCAAAGACACCTCCTGTTTTATATATATGTATTGCATGCAAAGCATGAGACAGGAATCTGCCTTGCTCTCGAAAGATGCTTTGCACTTCCTTGGGAAGAGTCACGCGATCGCAGATCAGCTGGAGCATTATGGTAAATCGCATGAGGTCCTATGCAGTCTTCTCACCTAAATCCGGGGTAAATTTAGACATACGACCGTCTCATGTTCTTCACCAACTGGCTCCGATTCGCTTCTGCCCAGACTGAGCCCGCGTATCCGTATTCTTGCGGTTCTCGATTCCAGTAAGTTGCCGAGGCATCATAGAAAGTGCTAGGCTCTTGGTGGCGGCTGTCAGCCAATGACCTGCGGGCTTGGAAGAGGACATACGAGCCTCGTCCAAGAAGACCAAGACCTGGACCTCGTCAGTCGTGGTATGATGTTCGGGCTCCTCATGACCGGGATCTTGGAAGTCGAACAGGTTGGAAATTGTGGCAAACATCCACCCCGCAGGATCAACTGATCATGTTACAGACGAACCATTAAGAGTAAGCCCACACATAATTGTCGGTATGTGCGTGCTTGTACTTGTTAAAATGCCTTCTGCGCGGTTCGTTACTCCATGCAAATAGCAGTCTGGTCCGCATTCCCATTTGCGCACATATCAACTGAGATTCAAAATTGCGCCAGAATATTTTCAGTGACTGTAGCAGAGTGGACCAGCTTAGCACATGCCTCTCCGGATTGCCGATTGCCCGCAGGCTCCGAGGCCGCTTTGCAATCATATAGATCTCGATTCAATTGCAAAGCGCGCCTTCAATTGAAAAATTTCGGGCTCTTTGACATTCTGCGGTTGTCTGTCGAGGAGATGACGTTTATCCTCTGATCTAGCACGCTTTTGAAACATGGTCATCGTCCTTCCAAAGTTGTCACCTGAGCGCCCGGCTAGTGCCGGGTCGTTGGTCGCTGCTCTGTGGAAGGGAACCTTCAAGTTTTGAATTGTGACAAGAAGCGTCAGACCAAAATGTACCTCCTAAGTATTTGTGTTCCGGTAGTGGTATCAAATTGGTCGGCGTTCCTGATCCTCTGGTATACTCGATCAGCAACATATTCATTTCTAATGGGCATAATGACTCTGCAGTTTTGCTGAACATGGTCGTTTTCAACTGGAAAAGCTCAGTGGCTTAGCATGCTCTTTCGTACACTCGATCTGCTTCACATGCTCGCTACGCCATGCCTTGTTCTCATCAAACTCAGAGCCTGTATGAGTCCTCACTTGGGCCATACGCTTTGGCCTAGATGGAAGAGCGATGGCGCCTTGGGTCGACCATTACGAGGTGCTCAATAGCCCGACGAATCTAGTAGAGTTTACCTTCATTTCGCTTTGGATTTTGCAGAGATGTTGAGGGTGGGAGCTGCATGTCTTGCCCGCAGAATGAGTTGCATTGATATTCTGCAGTGGCGCTGAGTGCCCTTGTACCACCTTAAATCGAATCCCGGCGGGTCTGCGCTGTTGTGACCGAGGCTGCATAACATGGCATTGTTGGCAACAAAGAAGAAGGAAGAAACTACAACCTCAGCTGAAACCCAGGGCTGCTCCTCGGGTTCATAATAGTCGCTATCTTCGTTCTCAAGGAGGCCACAGGGAAACAAAGAGTTAGGAAGACGGGCACATACTGGCTGAATTGTCAGGGGACCTTTTTGGGGGTGAAGCAGAGACACGGGATTAGAGGTGGGAGCTAGAGACATACTCCGTACTTATACTTGTAACGAGTACACACCATCCAATTTCGCAGCTTCAAGAAAAGAAAAAAACGCGTTCATTAAAATATCTCGCGTACTAGTGGTGCTGGAAGTCGAGTTTCAGAAAGGCAGGTCTGACGAGATCAGGCACGTGGCCAATCAGCGTCGGCCAGTTTTTTTATTACAGCATCTTCCGACAGCTTGAATTTTCGAAGCTCCTTTTCTGTCGTGAACGACTTCAATCTCCTGTACGAAAATGTCCTGACCCGAACGACCTGGGAAGTGACTCTCTCTCAAATAACTGACTTTTTCTGATTGACAATTTCAACACTCTCTCCGACGCCCATGGTGTCGTTGCCAAGTCAATCATGAGACAATCAGCTACGAAGTTTCTCCTGAGAGCTCCGCGACCTCGTTTACCAGCTCATTCATCACTCATCCGTCCTCGAATCTCTAATCCTTCAGTTCGTAGACATGCTTCCACCTCTGAAGAGAAACCAACATTTACGTCTCGACTGGTCGATGTACTCTACGGCGCCACGCTTGTTTTCGGCCTCGGCATCATCTACTTCTATGTCACCGACACTCGAGCAAGCATTCATCGTTACGTTGTCATTCCAGCTCTGAGGCTGGTATATCGAGATCCCGAAGATGCCCACCACGCTGGCAATGCAATTCTCAAATCACTCTGGGAGCTCGGCCTCCATCCACGTGAACGAGGGGATCCCGATCAGAAGCATGATCTTGAAGTCGAGGTCTTCGGGCAACGTCTCCGGAATCCAATTGCCACTTCTGCAGGTATAGACAAGCATGCCGACATCCCGGACGTGCTGTTTGACATCGGTCCCGCAATCGTCGAGATTGGAGGAACGACTCCGTTGCCGCAAGAGGGAAATGCAAAACCTCGAGTTTTCCGTTTGACTTCACAACAAGCTATGATCAACAGGTATGGATTAAATTCCGAAGGTGCCGACCATGTGGCCATGAGACTACGAAATCGGGTGAGAAAGTTTGCCCACTCCCTTGGCCTTGGTGATGATGAGATTGCGGAAAAGGCTGTGCTTGATGGCATCGCAGGCGTCCCTCCAGGCAGCTTGATCCCAGGCAAATTGCTCGCCGTGAACATTGCCAAGAATAAGTTCACTCCCGAGAATGACGTCGAGGCTGTCACCAACGACTACGTTTACTGTGTTGACAAACTTGGGCCGTATGCTGATATCCTAGTCGTCAACGTTTCCAGTCCCAATACTCCTGGTCTTCGCTCACTGCAACAGTCTGATAAGCTGCAAAAGATTCTGAGTGGGGTAGTAAATGCAGCTAGATCTGTAGAGAGGCGAACGCGGCCATATGTGATGGTTAAAGTGAGCCCGGACGAGGATTCAGAGTCGGAGATCACGGGAATATGTGACGCGGTCTGGGCTGCCGGTGTGGATGGAGTCATCGTGGGCAACACTACCAATCGTCGACCCGAGCCTCTTCCTCACTTGAAAGACCTATCTCGGCGCGAGCAAGAAAATATGCTTGAACAGGGAGGGTTTTCTGGGCCCCATCTCTTTGACAAAACGGTTGATTTGGTGAAAAAGTACAGAAAGCTTTTGGCAGAGAAGCCTGCGTCGGTCGATAGGTCAAACACTTCGACGAGGAGGAAAGGGGCCCTGGAAGCTGAAGCGGATCGGATCAAGGCCGCTCTGGAATCCAGCTCTCAAGAGCCCAGCCCTGCCAGCGAACCCACCTCGGGCTCTGACAAAATCACGGCATCCGTAGAGACTAGTGTTGTGCCCGTTTCTGGCATGCTTGAACAGCGTGGCCCGGAGGAGCGACCTCTGATCAACCCTCCAACAGAACGCCAATATGACATGCCACAGGCGGAGACAGGAACCGCCGAGGTCGAAGAAGCACCCGCACTTGATCCAGAGGTACGTTTGGTGGAAGAAAAAAAGCAGCTGAAGTCAATTCAAGAAGCCATTGAGCGACTTCCTCCTCGGGCACAGCGTGACGCCATCGACCGACTTGAATCTGGTCCAGCACACCTGGAATCCGTCGATCAACCGAAGGTAATTTTTGCAACTGGAGGAATCACCAACGGCAAACAAGCTCTCGACGTCCTCAACGCGGGAGCCAACGTGGCCATGGTTTATACTGCCTTGGTGTACGGAGGCATTGGTACGATATCACGAATCAAGGACGAGATGCGGAAAGAAATGAAACGGCAGGACGAAGAAAAGCGCGCGAAGGCCCAAAAATAGAGTGGTGATTCTGAACCCTATTCTGGCCGAGCGAGTTCGAAAGTGATCAGTTTGATGGCTATGCAATCCTCTTCAATCAACTCCTCCGACACCGGGCGAAATCCACATTTAGCCAAGATTTTGGCGCTTGCAACGTTTCTGCCATCTATATCTGCCCTGAGGACCTCGGGCACCGTTGTAATTCCATCATCGGGCCCCGATCCCACGTCTTCCTCTTCGATCATCATTTCTTTTCGAGGCAACTCCCACCAAGCTTGAAGCCATCGCTGAAGTGCTTCTGTAGCATAACCTCGACGCCAGAACTCTGTGCGCAACATATAACCACACTCGGGTGGTTCCGAGATATGACAGCCCAACACACCGATTGCCTTGCCGGGGCTCGCACGCTCCTCAATGGCAAAGTTGAAAGTGGTGGCATCGTTTGGCGGAAGATATCTGTTCATCCAGACTTGTGTGGCCTCCTTATCAATGTCGACTTTCCCGGTCGAAGTCCACTTCATTACTTCAATCTCTGTGCGAAGGACATGAAAGTCTTCTAGATCTGATTGTTGGATGGGTCGAAGGAGCAAGCGAGCAGTGGCTATAGGCGACGCAGGGACCGGAAATTCTGGACGTGTGGTTTTCTTCATCTTTTACGGCTTCGATGGAGTTGGGGAGAACATAAGACGGAAGGTCACAAAAAAAAAGACACTTGGGTAACATCATTAAGAAGTTAGATAACCGTTTGCAACCGCTCTACCAAGTACAAGCACCTAAGCTAGGAGACAGTTCGAGACTCACCTCAAGAGCTTTTCGTGACTCAGCCGTGGTCTGGCCAATGGGAGAACGTCTGGTCAACATCTTGGCATTCGGCAAAGTTGCCTTTTCACCGATAAGCGATAAGCGAATTTCGAGTTTGCGAAATTTTGTGCCGCCCGCGTTCGAACATCTGCAACTCTCACGACCTCTTTCTCCCCTCTCATCGCCGCCTTGAGCGCTTACCTTCAAGATGAAGACGACTTGGAAGGATATTGCACCGGTCCCAACCTCCCAAGAATTCATTGACATCGTCCTCAGCCGGACCCAGCGGCGGCTGCCTACTCAGATTCGTGCGGGTTTCAAAATTAGCAGAATTAGAGGTTTGTACCATGTTGATGGTTTGTGTGGGGAGGAGAGAGCCCGGCTAAGACAAATTTACAGGTTTCTATACGCGAAAAGTCAAGTTCACCTCCGAAACGTTCTGCGAAAAGCTGCAAGCTATCCTCGAAGGATTTCCTCGACTCCAAGACATTCATCCTTTCCACAAAGACCTCCTCAACACCCTTTACGATGCCGACCATTTCAAAATTGCTCTGGGCACGCTATCTACTGCCAAAAGGCTGATAGAAACTGTGTCCCGGGACTATGTCAGGCTCCTCAAGTATGCCCAGTCATTGTTTCAATGCAAATCCCTCAAGCGGGCCGCTTTAGGTCGAATGGCCACAATCTGCAAGAGACTGAAAGACCCTCTCGTGTATCTGGAGCAGGTGCGACAACACCTCGGGCGCCTCCCAAGCATCGACCCAAATACTCGAACACTTCTCATCTGCGGTTATCCGAACGTTGGGAAATCCAGTTTCTTAAAGTCAATCACTCGAGCCGATGTTGACGTTCAACCCTATGCTTTCACCACCAAATCGCTCTTTGTTGGACATTTCGACTACAAATATCTCAGATTTCAAGCTATTGACACACCCGGTATTCTCGATCACCCACTTGAGGAGATGAACACAATCGAAATGCAATCCATTACAGCAATCGCGCATTTAAGATCCGCCATTCTGTACTTTATGGATCTGTCAGAACAGTGCGGCTACTCAGTCTCCGCGCAGATGGCGCTTTTCAACTCAATTAAACCACTTTTTGCCAACAAGCTTGTCTTCATTGTGGTGAACAAGACCGACGTCATGAAGCCGGAGGACTTGGACCCTGAAACCCAGCAACAATTGAAGGATTTGCTGACCCAAAACTCCAACACTGAGCTTCTTCAATTGTCGTGCGTCACAAACGAAGGCGTTCAAGAGGTAAAAAACACAGTTTGTGATCGATTGATTGCAGACCGTGTGGCGGCGAAACTAAAGGCTGGACAAGCGGCACAATCTGCCACCGCAGATGCGCCAACAGGCCGCCTGGGTGATCTCATGGCCAGAATACATGTGGCCAGACCCTTGGAAGGCACTGTGATCGAGACTCACATCCCAGAAGCCGTCAGAAATGGCACGCACAAGAAGTACGATAAATCAGATCCAGAAAAACGAAAATTAGAGCGTGACATTGAGGAAGAAAATGGAGGTGCAGGCGTCTACAACATTGATCTGAAGAAATTCTACGATCTCGCCATTCCGGAATGGAATCATGATAAGATTCCCGAATTCTTCAATGGCAAGAACATTGCTGACTATGTCGACCCGGATATTGAGCAGAGACTCGCGGAGCTGGAAGCTGAGGAGGAGAAGTTGACGGCAGAAGGTTTCTACGACGAGAGTGACAGCATGGAAGATGAAGATGACGCAGAAATTCGCATGAAAGCAGACCTTATCCGCAACAAGAGGACGCTCATGATGAACGAGGCACGCATGAAGAAGAGTTTGAAGAACAAAGCTCAGATACCACGGGCGAAGAAGACGAGGACACTTGGGCAAATGGAGAAGCATTTCACCTCGATCGGCCTTGACGCACCCGCACCTGCTGGCCGAGCGAGAGCAGAAATTCGCAACGCCAGGCCTGTTTCAGTTGCCGGCGACCAAATGGAGCTCGACGAAACAGCCTCTGCGAGACTGGCGAAGTCTCTGTCCAGAACCCCGAAGACCAACAGGCTCACTGATGGACTGGGCATGAGTGCAACAGGGGTCACGGATCCTGTGAAGCGGGACAAAGCAGAGCGTATGGCGAAGCTGAGTCAGCGGAAGATGAACCGTATGGCCAGACAGGGCGAGGCAGATCGACACGAGACGGCTTCGTTACCAGCTCATTTGATCAAGGGCAAGAGGAAGATGGGCAAGACGCGATCGAGATGATTGAACGAAAAGGGAGAGTTCTGGAAGTGGTATTGATTCGGCGCTAGCCGTTCTGGTTTATGACCCGGCGTTGTCGAATTGTCAATCGCACAATGAAGATGCAACGAGGTTTAAGACAAGGAGTTACTGGTTGAGAAAGTTCCATGACATTGATCGGCATCCTCGTGGCCAAGAAAAGATCCCTGTTCTTTTTCCAAAGAGAATATTTTTTGGCTGTTGCCGTACAAGGAGTGACCAGGATGGCTGTCACCCATGTCTGTCGTCTCTCGTTTTTGATGAGTTGCAAGACTTGATGTGTGGTGTGTCCCGTGCCTGTTCTCTTGCTTGTCCCGTTTCTAGCTGGCACTCCCTTTGTCGTTGAAGCATTTGTTCGACTCGGCTGTGCTTAGCAACGGAGTTGAACTTGGAATATTAATCATCTACCCAACACGACTCGGTAAAAGAAGTGGACTGATCCCGAGTGGATTTCTCAGCCACCAACATGATCGGCAACCTTTACTCCGTATTACCGGGTCATCAACTCGAAACGTTTTAGTATGTTGGGTTCCATGGCTTCGTCTACCACTGCAGCTTAGATTTGCACTTTCACTCCTTTGTAATAGCACCAGGCCTTGGGAGATGCCTCTGACTTCTTCAACGGTGTTTCGCCAGAGACACTACCTCGTAGTCTACACGGTAAACTCCGTTGCGAACGCTCCTTCTGTGAAATATGCCAAGACACTAGTAATTATGGCCATAAAAGCAGCCGCGTAGGCCACACTATTTAGCTAGTTCAAAGCAATTCAAAGTTAGTTCTTAGACACTTTTACGTCTCATTTCATTGCCCTATCGTATTTTTCTATTCCATTTGGGCCTAGCGCATTATGTCTTGGCATTGTGATACCTTTGTTCACGCCTTTGACTCTAGATGAACCTGTAACCAAGTTTTGATTCCAAACTGGTTCAACACTCCACCAAGGGAAACCTAAGCAGCCGTAGTATTCCCCTCAACTCATCCAGAAACATCCAAAGATGCTTTTGTCGAGACACCAACTGTCGAATCTGCCGCACTCTACTTCAACTATGACTGCGCTTCAGTTTTCTTCGCACTTGATCTCACGAAGCTTTCCTTGGGATGATCTGTGCTTCGATTATGACCATCACAGAGAGTGGCTTGTCGAAACTTTGAAGCTTGATGTTTAACTTGGTGCCAACTAGTTGGACGGCTCTCAGGAAACCATTCGTTCAACGCTTCCAAGAAACGATCCCGAGGAGGAAGCTCCTCAAAGAGGCGGAGGTGCTTCAAGAAGTGGAATCGTTCCTCGACTGACCAATGAGGAGCTCCTCGTTATGAATTTAGTGCATCTTAGCATGTTGAAGGCACCTTATTAAGTACACAGGTACACTGTGCTCGGAAAGCCCCAAGGATGGTGCGTCAGGAAGCGCATCCTTGAATCATTATATTTAGAGTTGTCGATGCCCGTTGCGCACATAATCCAGCCGCTTTCCGACGCTGGACACGATCGGGGCATGGCTGCTATTCAGCCGAACGAGGCTCAGACCCCCCTTTGGCCACCGCAACCCTCCCAGTCGCGCGACAAAGACCGCGGCAAATGCAATGTCAAAGATGAGACAGTGTCGGCCTTTGAGGTCTGATCTTGTTCAATGGGCAGGGCAGATAGAAGGAGCGAGATTGGCTCTATTATTGTTCAAATAGGCCAACTAAAGCCCTCATTCTGCAGACGCATAGCTAGGTTATTCCGGCAATGATATAATTTGAAAATTGAGACAGCATTACAACCGGGTACAGTATAGGCCACCTTGGGTTCGAATGTAAGAGAAGATGTACTGTTACACAAGACCCATGATCTAAGGCGTCGTAGCATTTACCAGCGCATATAGAGTTGAGAAAGTCCGCTGGTGATTTTATGGTTTTGCCTTTACAGTCCTCTCATTTGACATCGGAGTCCGTGGCTTGGACCCGAAGCGTTCCTCGCGTTGTTATTGGCGGTATATTATATTCATTTTCTCTAACATTACCATCATGGTATCTAATTCCAAAGAATGGGGCGAGATATAGAGTCAACTCAGGAAGCTCCAACAACGGCTGCTCTTATATAAACCTCTGTCTCCCATTATTTGATCTCGATGATCTAGGGTAGTCGTAGGGTCAATGCCTTCTCGTCCGCCAGCAGAGAGGTATGATGTCGGGGTATGGGGTAAAAATGGTATTGTCTATTCCGAGCAGAGTTGACATAGGGCTGATTTGAGTTACTAGCCGAGACATTCATGCACCTTAGGACGCATATTGGTCAATCATAGATGCTGCATCGACGACGACTCCCGTTGGCATCTTGCAGTCTGCGGACGCCACTCTCTTACCGGTATGCTACACCCCTCCATCTGGACTGAGCAGTCCTCTCCAAGCTACAGCATCCCAGTTGATCGACACTTTCTGTAATGATACCAAAGTCGCTGGCACGGTCGTCTCCAATAATAACCATACGTTGAGCTTCCATACCAAGCTGAGGGAGTTGATGGCCTGCTGAAATTCACCGTGAGCTGGAAACGCACAAACTGTGGCGGGTGGCGACAATTGACACGCCCACATGCACTTCCATGTTGAACCAGGTGCTGAGTGGCTGTAAAGGCTCTCCGGGCAATATCAAATCTGCTTGTGTTGTGTATAGCTACGATGTCACGGCGGCGTAGGGGCCAAATCCCCCGATTCCTAAGGAACAGATCTCGTGGAAAATTTTCATGTGTTGACACGTATGTACAGTTCCCCCTCTTAATTTCTCCAATCTCGCTGTTGCCAAAAAAAAAAAAAAAAAAAAAGCATTGCGAAATTAATGACTTGAACTGCTTTGTAGTGACACAAGCGGACTTGTTGTTAGTTCGTCTTTAGACGGAAATCGTACGTGCTCATCGTCTGCAAACCCATCCAAAAAGGAAGTTACAACAAGCCGAGCAACATTCAAAGCTGTACGGCCCTCGCGGATCTCCCAGAGGGAGGACAGATTGGGAGCCTCAGGAGAGAGGGTTTGGGATATCATGGGTTGGTTGAAATCGCAGAATTTTGGCTGCGGGGGCTGGCTGCATTAATCTGTTGTCAAGAAAGCTGTTATTGTAGGTGTATTATCGTCATCGGCGTTTTTGTGGGCATCGTGTTTACCTTGAAGGCTCTATCTCGTCCTAATGTGTACAATTACCTTCAACTTCTTGTCACCTGCCCTTGCCCCCATGTGCCAAAGCGACAGCTCTGGTGTGCATGTACAAGAATACCGGCCGTTTTCGCCATAGGCTTCCACCCGTGATGTGATACATTAATGGAAAATGAATGTCCCAGATGAACCCCTTGGGTTTGTGAGATGTGGAATACGTCAACGATGACGGACGGAGGAGGAATTTGGCCAGTTACGATAGCTGTTTGGTGGAGGTTGTAGTGATTTAACATTAGGGCCCATTTTAGAGGTAGTCTTGAAAAGTTGGTTGATCTGGAGGCAGGCTCGGCTGTATTAAAGTTCCCTCGAATCAGGCGTGGGATCCATCGCAAGCAACCAGGTGCTCATCAGTAGGATGTCTGTAGAAGAAGGTTCCTCCGCACATTTGAATAACCCAGCATCGATCTTGCATTGTCGTCTAAAACCCGATTCTCCCTGTCTTCTTTTGAAAAGTCTCGCTCTTGGTCACCTTCAATACCCATACACCGCCTTTATGCTCGTCGTCTTCGGGCCATCCGATCCGGGTATGAATTTCGTTATTGAGAAGCTCACCATGTCTTTCACCATCCTCATACTCGGAAGAAAAAAAAACTCCACCGGGACTCCGGAGCCTTTAGACGAAAGCATCTTCCTCCACAGAATCGGCAGGCTTATTGCACTCTGTAAAATGACCATGTATGCCAAGGACGTCGAGTTCAAATGCACTCGGATGTTGTAGTTCGAATCTTCCACCCGTGCTGGGCCAGGCATAGACAACAGCACTATCGTCAAAGACAGGTCGTTTATCCTTGAAAGGGAGATAAGCGCACTATGTAGGCACCGACCCTTCCAGTGCGGCACATATGCCTGTTACCACCAGGCTGTCTTTGCCTTGTAACAAGACCTACCAACGTTCGGCAAGATCAAGTGCTTAGCTGGCTCCTGTAGCAGGACAGCACGGGCTAGAGAGACCTAGGGGCTGGTTGAGCCCAAGCTTGCGTTTGCGGACCGGAATCAAGGCAGTGAGTGCGCCTTGCCGCTGGCCAGTGGCCATTGGCTGTAGCGCACTCCCTCTGCACAACCCCTGGCTCTGCTGTGGGCGCCCACAAGTATCTGATACAAGTACTCCGCAATGTGAGTAACCTAATCCTTTGGGGCTAGCATCGGCCCCTCCTTGTAAATCCACATGTTGCTTAGGAAGTATTTGACGAGGCTGGTGTCACGAGGCTCAGCTGGTGGATCAGTCACCGCTCAGGTTAAAGCGGCCTTTGGTCACCCTGTAGGAGGGATCGCCAAACATTTTTCTTTGCTTGCCAATGGCGTTAAATACCGTTTTGAGAATGAATATTTCGAGGGAGCGTATTTCAGCCAAGGCGCTAGGATTTTAGTGGTTGTGCTTGTACTCGGTACAAGTAAATTTATCACCTGGATAGGCGCCCTCTCCACCTAGGTCGGCATTCTCTACGCCTATAACTGGCCATCCATCACGCCTCACGAGCCTATAACTGCCCAGGTGGCCACCCATTACGCTTATTACTGATCATCTCTCACGTCTACGACGAAGCACTTTACGCGTTGAATGTGATCTCTATGGCGTGCTGAACTCGCGTTTTCGTGAGAAAGGAAGGTTTCTGACCATTATCCTAGCCCTATGTGCTAGTTTTATTTCTCATATAAATTACTAGGCGCTAGGAATATAGTGTAGACACAATGTGGTTTTTTTTTGTAGCTTAGCATCCAATTCTTCGTAACGAAAATGGATTTTCAGGTAAAGTATCTGTGCGCTTTCAATCAAGAATAGCTTTCGTGAAATAAACGAACTGTGCCATGCAGGAAATAAAACCGAACTGTAGAGTAATTAGCTAGGTAGCTTTTTCGTTCGCGAGTAATCTGGTCCACTTCCACATGCTCTTTGTTACCGACGGTACCTTTCCACCGCACCCAAGAGAGTCGGCATTCGGAAAGCCCGGTCATCCCGCTCATAAGGTACGGGCGTCTTAAGGCCGCGCTTATTCCAACCTGGCCCCAGATTGGCCTTTTGACCCGGGGAAGCTGTTCCTCTTCGTCCGATTTTCCAATTATTAAGCAGTCGAAGATCGCGACTTCGATTAGTGGAGACGAAGCATGACTCCTATGCCAGCCTTGTTTTACGAGTTGTGGTCTGATGGAACGGACATCGAACGGAGCAACGACGGTGACCAATGTGCGTATCGTTTCCGCTGATGGCAGGAGGCTTGAAAGGTATTTAAGAGCTGCTGGGTCGGCCCCCAACATACATGAGGAGGAGAAGCATATTGAGAGCTCTCAGTTGAAAACACCAAGGTTTTTGAAGTATCTCCTCTCAGACAATTTCCCATTAAACTCACCCACATTTCTTGCATTGCGTGCTCTGAACCAGACAAACAAGCCTAAACATGGTTCCCAAGACTCAAAAGGCTCTTCTCGTCACCGAGGTCGGCAAGCCTCTCGTCCTCAAGACAGATCATCCAGTCCCTCAACCAGGCCTAGGACAGGTCCTCGTGCGTGTCACCGTGGCTGGGCCGAACCCGCACGACGAAAAAGCCCGCGACCGCGGCCTCTTCATCGCCGAGAACTTACCCGCTATCCTCACTAACGACATCGTGGGCGAAGTCGTCGCCCTCGGTCCGAATGTGACAAAATACGCCATCGGCGACCACGTCGTCGGACATGCTGGCTTCGACAATAGTTATGCCCAGAACGGGTTCCAAGAGTACGCTGTCTTCGACGTCGACTTCTCGGCCAAGATCCCCGAAGGATTCACAGATGATGACGGGGCGACGTTGCCGACCAACGTCATTGCTCCCCTTGTTGCGCTCTTTCATGCCTCGACGCTGGCGATTCCTGCTCCCTGGACTCCTGCCGCGTCAAACTTTGACTATAAGGGCACCACGCTGCTTGTCATGGGCGGAGGGAGCAGCTGCGGAAGGTTCGGCGTTCAACTCGCCGCGTTTGCTGGGATCGGACGCATTGTCGTGGTCGGCGGCGACGAGGCCGAGTTGAGGTCCTACGGCGCCACGCATATCATTGACCGCCACGCCTCCCCAGAAGAACTCACCAAGCGGATCCGCGACGTCGTCGGCGACGAGCTTCTGTACGCCTACGACGCCATCAACCCGCCGGCCACCCAGACCATCGCCATCAACGCCCTCTCTTCGACCAAGAAGGGCAAGCTCGCCCGCCTGCTCCCCACGGGGCCGGTCGACGAGTCTCAGGTCCATGCGAAAAAGGAAGGCTATGAGTTGCTCAACACCTTTGGCAGTTCGCAGGCCAGGCCGGATTTGTGCAGGCCCTTCTGGGAACGGGTGCCGCAGTACCTGCTGGAGGGGAAGCTAAAGCCGAGTAAGTACGAGGTGGTCAAGGGGCTGGACGTGGACAAGGCGAACGAGCTGCTGGATCGATATAGGGATGGCAAGAGGGTGGTAAAGACGCATTTCCACGTCTCTGAGTAAAATCACACAGTTGAATGTGCAGCCGGCCTAGCAAAATGTAAGAATTCACTGCGGCTCCTATTTTCACCATCTTGCCACACCCCTTCAATGTGCTTCTATGAGCATGAGCTTAATCACCTTGCCATTCACTTAGATTCAGTCACTCCCATCACTGACCCCTGTCATTGTCTACTGTCATTGTCAGCTATCACTGCCTACTATGACTGCCCTCCTCCATTCACCTGAAAACCCTCTTTAACAGATCACCATCGCCATACGAGACTCTAACCCACCTCATATGTTCTAAACTCGTCTACTTAGATATCAACAACGCGTCTTAGGAGCATTTCATCAAAGGGACCACCACAATATCGAGTAGACTCGATCCAAGAAGATTAACAACCGCCAGCCACTACATTTGTCAAAATGGCGATGCTCAATGGGATTAAGGAGTTCTTGGGTGCCCAACTTTACGGCCCTTCTGCCAGCAGAGCAAAGTCTGAAGAATCGGGCAATGCAGGTGTGGATGATCTGCCTGCCACTACAGACCCTTGGGAAAAAGCTCGGAGGGAGTTGAAGGACGCTGGCGCCCAGTTAGCGCTATCCATTAACCACAGCAGATCGATGGAGACCGACAACCGACGATTTGACGACAAGTTTAGACGAATGTACAAGAGATTCCGAGAAGAACTCCGAACTTGCTCAGGCGCATGGCAGGAGGCTCCCTGGTTGGTCTTTGACTGGTTCAAATGTTCCGAAGTCCACAGTGAGAAAATGCAGCTAGGCCTGCTCTCTGAAGCTGAAGATCCTGGTCCGCTTCCGAAGCTCTGGAAGGTCTTGATGGCCATGAATCTCTACATCGTCCTGCTCGCGACGAGGCAAAGCCTGGACCGTATGATGAAGGGTGTTCAAAAAATGCTCAAAGACGACTTTCCACAGCTGACCAGAACTCGGATGCGATTCTGGACACCTGAGATGCGGCAACTCAAGAGTGAAGAAGCTATGACTGTGAGGGGATGGGAGACATTCAACCGGATGCTGGAAAACATGTCACTTGAGCTCTCGGTTGCTTTGAGGGAGATCAAAAAAGAGAATGGTGATGACCAAGCTGGAACAGGGGAAGGTAATCGGGAGCCAATATGCGAGGTGCTGCGTCGTGAGATCCACAAGGAGCATCCTCACTTGGACCTACCAGATCTTAGCCTGCATGTTGAACTGTGAAATGAAGCGCACACTGCAGGGCATGTATGTGGTCAAGTGAGGCAAAAGCTCATCCGCCAAGTACGTAGTCCGCTTCCGCCTCAGACAGTGTGAAAGCCCAACTGTCACAGCTCCAGAGGCTCCAAGTTTGTTGAATGCCTCACAAGCAGAACAAGTGAAGCTGTCCTTTGCTTGTGTTGCGGGCTGAAATGTCATACACCTCAATGTGAATGTCCGGGAAAGAGATTATTGGAAAAGAGATCCATGGAGAAGCGGGCAGCCAAGACAAAAGGCGACACGATGGTTTCAGCGCTGACTCTGCACCAGCCTTATGTAGCACTGGCGTGGGACCGTGGCCTTGCTCAATGGATTATTCTTCAGCACGAGTGCATCGCTACGGCCCCGAAGAATGCCTCCTTGCAGCAGGTCTTCGTCTGAACAGAAGACGATTGGATTAATTCAAGCAGCAGATGGGCTCTGGGCCAGCCCTGGACAACCTCCTCTCCTCCGTCGATGTCAATCAATTCCCGGACTTTACTTATCACCGACCGTTGAATAAGCAAGACAGGCGGGTATATAGAGAGGCAACAAGTGTGAGAGAAGAGTGAGCCAGGCGTTGCCGTGATGCGGATGGGCGAGGATTTCGGCAAAGTGGCCTTTCAGTACCCAGTATCATGAAGATGTTCAATAATCGTAGTCATGTTTTCTACTCTTTAAAATGGCTCTAGAATCCGAGACTGGCCTCGTACCATGAGATCCAACGACACGCAGTAATTGTCGGGCATTGGACTTCTGCTCTGCTCTAGGTAGGCCCAAGGCTGTGATATTTCTTGGTGGGGGCAGGGCAATGGGGGCTTGTGGGGATACCCAGTACTGAGTACTCCAGCTCAGCCTCGGCAAGCGGCCTTCTAGCCTCATGCCTGGAGCTCATGTCATCTACCCTCTCTTCCGTACTTTCCTCCCATAAATAACCACCAGGGAGACCTTTTCGTCCCTAAATATGGCCCCAGCACGGAGCCAGGTCATCTTCGCGCCTTCAAATGAGATTCCGCAAGGCGTGAAATCCGTCTTCCTCGCTGGCACCACCAGCAAAGTCGACACGACCGACTGGCGCGAAACCCTCTCCACCTCTCTCCTCGGCACACCCATCACGATTTATAATCCGTATCGCGCTGATTGGGACAGTTCGTGGCGAGAGGACATCAACTTTGCACCATACCGCGAGCAGGTGGAATGGGAGCTGGAAAAGCAGGACCAGGCTGACATTGTCGTTTTCTACTTCCACCCCGCCACACAAGCGCCCATTAGTTTGCTTGAGTTGGGGGTTTGTGCACGCGCTCCTGGCAAGGCTATCGTTGTCTGTCCAGAGGGATACTGGAAGAGGGGGAATGTGCAGATTGTGTGCAACAAATTTGGCTTTGAAATGGTGGACACGCTTGATGGACTGAAAGACGCGATTATAAAGAGGCTGCCTCTTGGCTGTTGACTCCCCAGCCTCGAAGACGAGAGCCAAACCTTTTTGCCGCCATCGAATCACTACTAGGACCTGTCATGGAGTCCCCTATTCTGTAGGTCTGTTTTGTCTTCGTTTGCTTCTTCCATATTCCAATCAGGCATATTCTAACGCGACAGTCTCAAGGAAGGACATCTTCGCCAAACAATGGACATTATTGACCAAGTCCTGTGTGGAACGTATGGAACCTCATGATCGCAGAACGATCAGAAGTTCCCGGGCATATGAGGACGTCTTAGAGGATATTTTTGTCAACCAAGACGAAGAGGTTGTCCTAGCATACCCACGATGCCACTACCACCATTCCTGTCGACGTTGGTGCCGCCATGGGGACTCTTCACCTTGCAGCATGGGACATGACTAAGTTCAACTGCCATCTCGTCGCTTACACTATGATATCTAATAACCTGGCGCAAACAATATACCTGGCCAACCTCGAGCAGCAAACCGAGTCAGATATTGCGAATGTTTTCCATACGGCTGAATGATTGGGGATCTGTGAGCGCAGGGCTTAATTGGTGCGCTCAGGCACGATTACAAAAGAAAACGGGGAGAACTTCCAGAGGGAATCTTCCATGAGTTGGCCAGACTCTACCATGAGCGATGCGGCGAGACCCTTGAGGATCTTCACAGACATGAGGAAGCTGCTGGCTGGATCGCAAATATCGAGGGAAAATGTAGAAGTCTTCGAGAGGAAGCCCGTCGTCTTGCCCAACTGGCCGCTCTGAGAAAAGCCACTCGGTCGACATGCATTCGCAGCTGATCAGAAGAGGCATCATCAAGTCACCAGGACTGTGCATGTCACTACAACTTCCGGATCCTGAATCTCCCAGGTGGTGGTGAGGCAGGCTCCAACCTTGAGCGCTGCACGGATACAACGAGAACAACAATATTAACAACATCCCCGGGGGAGCAAACATATCACATGAAGAATGCCATCCTCTGAACACAAGGTGTCACTGACAACCAATAAGGGTGACTTCATTCTCTGTACCTATTCTTCCACTGCTTGCTCGGAGTTTTTCTTCTTCGACCTCATCTCATCAACTTCCTTGAACCATTATCATAAGTATCGATCCCGCTTACGCGACCATACGCTCTTCTGACAGGTCAAAGTGCAACCCTCACGGCCCACGCGTCAGTCAACCCAGCATCTTTTTGTGGGGACTTGACTGCAGCGGCGACTACTCTTATACCCATATCCCACATCTGGGTCGCTTTGTTTGACGACATTCTTTGCTTTGCATCGACTTGGTAGGTAGGATTCTATATTGACATGAACTTTTGGCTCACTCTCGAGTTAGGTCACCCGACACTTATACCCGCTCCCCCTGATGGAGGTTCCCGACAGAGTGATTAAGAATCTGCTCAAGATAGCTCGCGAAGCTCTGGAGAAAAAGTCTGCTGAGCATCCGTCTCTGCCTGGGTCAGAAGAGGCCTCATGCACGGCGGAAGTGCTCCATGATTGTAACCTTCTCATTCGGCTTGCCAGCCAGCTCGCGGACTGGAAGGAGAAGCATGCGCAAAGAATGCACGCGATGGACGAAATGCAGGAGCTGGAGTCATACATGGAGGACTCGCTCTGGGACGGGGTCGATAAGCCGGAGGTCTTGCTTCTTTCAGTCTACTTTTTCCAAACGAAGACCGTTATTGCCCTGGGGCTCGAAGAGGAGACAATCTTGTCAGACATCAACCGCAAGCTCAAGGCATGCAAAGTGTTTTTCAGCGGTAGAGAAGAGAGGATGATTGGCGTTGTGGCCAACAATGAGCGTTTCGCGGCGAAGATTATCAAGGCACTCGAAATCGCGGCCGACTACGCCACATGTCCAGAGTGGAACGAAGACCTTGTAAATGAATTGTATTCTCTATCTAGAGAAGCTGCGGCTGCCTACATACCATAAACGACAGGTGTGTACCACATTGTCACATGTACAAGCATCTCTTTACGACCTTCTAAGGCTTCCAACCTCGATTTGCCGCCACCGCTTACCATGATCACTATGAGAGTTACTGGTAGAGGCAAGGAGCAAAATAAACAACTGCGAGAGTTCTCGAGGATGCATGAGTTGATGCATGAGTTGATGCTCTCGTCAGTGTCTCAGGAATCACGATGTTGCAGGCAACGTAATAAGCGGTTGGAATAGGTTCATCTTGGACAGGGTGGTCGGGACATGCTCGAAAAGGGGGCCAAGGCCCGGTATGTGATGGATATATCACCGCACATTTCTTTTCCCACATTCAAGAACGAAATGGCGTTTTTTTCGTGCAGCGTTGGAACACGATAAGTGAGGAACGCAAGGATGAGTGCATGCTCGTTGTTACCGACACGAATCTGTATATCTCCAAAAGCTTCTTTATTAGGATTATCAGCGAACGCCTATACTTCAACACTACAAGTCGGATTCGAACTCTCTGACAGCTTCATCCGCCTCATTTAACGCTTTGTGAGTCTCTCCCCGTTCCTTCGAGCCGGGTGGAAATTCCTTACATACCAGTTTAAAGTCCTTATAAGCTCTCTGCCGAGCATACAATAATTCTTTCTTTCGTGCTTGATACACCGGGTCTGTATCCTTCGCCTCCTGTTCAGTTACACTCTCTTCCATGTCGCATATTACCTTTTCCAGCAGCTGATCATATACGTCTTCCGGTTGCACGCCAAGATCTTGCGACATCTCCGCCTCCAGCTATTTCTGGCCGTCGTCTTGATTAAGCACCCTCTCACGTATAGAAAGATATACAATCTCATCGCCCGACAACGGCACCATCCATCCCTGACTGTCGCTGTCCTCAATGCCACTCCGATACTAGACGCCCTCGAGATTCAGCAGCGTCCACTGAGTAGCCCACACAAGATCGCCAGCCAGTGGCACTTCGGTCTCTATTCGCTTTACTACACTGATGTCCACCTCAGGGCCGACCGGGGGTCTATCAGCAGCAGCCACAAGGGCAGAGCTGAGCGCTGCTTCGGCACCGGCCGATGCATTCTCAATCTCGCTGCAGGTTGCGTCTCGGAAGAGGTACAGGCCTGTTAGCAGCTAGATGCGCGGCTTGCGTCTGAAGATGTTCATCCGGTCGCTGTGTGCGGCCGAGACCCACATGGCGAGGGTTTTACGCGCTTCATCATTCTTCAATACCTCGTGATGAAAGAACGACTCTGAACTGCGAACATGGGTTAGTCTAGCTTGGGGAGTAAGGTCTGGTGAATAGAGTGGTACTTCTTCAGCTCAATCTTCTGCCCGCTCGGCGTACTAATCAGCCGCGTGCGTGTTGAATTCCAAGGGAATTTGAGAGTGACAATATCGACAAAGTCGGCTCCGATGGAGATATTGAATCCTTCATTGACCTGGACCCTCGTTGTTTTTGGAAGCGGAATGATATCTGCATGGTTTCGACGACATTCGTCACTTCTCATGCGGATTAGGATTATTTCTTCACATTCTTCCGGCCTGTTCGATCATGTTAACTCACGATAGATTGGGATGAGTGTAGTTTCGGACTCTGGTTGGATTGGCATAATCTCGCAAGACCAGGTTGCCCAGGCAGAGTTTGTCTTGCGGATAGCCGGTTCCGTGGACGAAATAGGTGTTCTTCTCGCGATATCGCATTATTCCCGAGTCGAGCAATGATAAAAGTGTGGTTGGCAGGGTGTTTTTTAAGGTAATGTTTGAGATCAACGTCTAGGAATATCTGTCATGCCGATCAAATGTGTCCTGCTTTTTCTGTTCGCGTGGTCTGGGATGAAGTGGCATGATGCCTTCTCGTATTTTCGCGCTTTGCTGTCAACCTGGGTTAGCGCCACCCATGTCACGGCCGATGTAGTTCTCTTGCGGAGAGGCTGTTTCTTCGTCTATTTACATTATTATCTGTCCGTTCTGTGTCTGTTAATATCTCGGGCGCCTCCACTGAAGTGTTGAGCGCCCTAGGTGTATCTATTCGGTTCTTAGGCGCTCCCCAAGCCTATCGTTGGACTCTCGGAGGCGGATCTATCTCTGTGTGGTTCGCTTTTTTGTGCCATGTTTGATATGGGGGAGGGAAGGAAAGGTTCATGCATGAAGAGAGAGAGAGAGAGAGCTGAGGGAAGGAGCCGTCGGACTTCAGTAAACACCTCGTGTCTTGTCTCTCTCCCGACCTAACCTTTTTCATACCGCGTGGACGATTTTGATGCACGCATCGTTGTTCATGTTCTCTCGTTTCTGCGGCTATCCTTAACTAGCATTCGAATGAGATATCTCTCGTACTTTCCTTCTTACGTCCGAGCCTTGCGTACACCCTCTTGTCTCTCGTTCTATGAGGTCTTTTAAATTTCTGCACGTCCAGCATATCGAAGTCAGTCTCGACTTGCGCTAGATTTGGGTTCAACCGCTCCTAGATCAAGCAACAGAGGAGCGTGCAGTCACCTACCGAATCTCACCTCATATCGCACTCGCTTATATCTCATCCGTTCAATAAGAGGCATCTCGATTCTGTTGCAGCCTCAATCCGAGGGCGCAAGACACTGAGCTCGACGGGGGAACCAAATATCAAAGATCGGATGAGGCGTCAGCAGATGCCAATGCCATTGCCCGTGATTCCAGAAGAAGTCGCAGATTCGGAAGAAGACGCAACCATGATGGACATGAGGACTAGCCTCTCGAACTTTTGGCGCCCCTATCTCGAGAGGATTTTAGAACGACCCATAGCCAGCGGATTCTATGAGGTTGTCCCAAAACCAGAGCTGAAGCCGAAATTTACCTGTACTGCGCGACCAGCGACGATGACGACGACGCCGCCGCCGCCGCCGCAGGAGCCAGGGGAGTTGGACATGACTGCTTGTAACCTCCGGACGTGCCGCATGCTCTCGAGAGAAATTGTAGTCGTGATCTCGGAGCTGCAGAAATGGATCGAAGCCCATGTCCGGATCTGGACTACCTTCAGTCTGCTCCACAAAGGCTGCCATTCAATTGATGCAAAATTAGTCCAACACCTCTCCACCAGATGGCTGGAGCATGATAAAGCAGCGCAGAAACTGTTAGAGCAAGTCAAGGCCGAGAGGGACGGCTGGTTCGAGTTCAAGAGTCGCCCAGGTATTGCGGGGAGATTTCAGAGAATGGTCTGCGGCCCTCCCGACATGGGCACGTTGTGCAACCAAGCATCTAACGAGCCAGCTCGCCGGTTCGCCCAACTGAACAAGGCTTATGTGCAGATGGAGGCCTTGGCCGCAATGGTCAAAAAGAATGTCTGTGCCTTGTACATCCTTCAAGCAGAGCGCTATGCCGCCATACTGGACAGCAAACCGGACTTCTTCGCGCTTGAAGACGCTGGACAAGTTGGCATCGACCTGGAAAGGATTAAGGCAGTGTGGGATTCCAGAAACGAGGCAATATTCAGACAGCGTATTGAGAAGATGCTGAGGGGAAGAAGCGACATCTCGATCACGATGTGGACAATCCAGACAAGATCCTGACCAACATCACATATAGCCCAGCTAGATATCCATAGCTGCAATCAATCACCGGATGGCCAAGGTGAAGAACTGGTCATAGTCACGTGGGTCGGTCGGGCAAGGAGAGGAACAAAGAATCGACGTTGAGAAGGAGGCTGTGGTTGAATTAGATGGCGGCTAGTTGTAGACGAGGTTGTTCCTATTTGTTATCGAGAGTAGTTGGGGGGGAAGGGGGGCCAAGGGGGGCTTGGGGGGGCCACCTAGGCGTGGGGAGGCGGTACTGCCAAGCGGAAGGCGGAGGGCGGGAAGCAGGAAACTGCACAGGCGAAGCGGGGATTCGATTCGCGCATTTGTCTCCGTCGGAACTTTTTGCAGCTGTCCGCTTTCTTCATTTCCCCATGGCGCGCCCATCAAATGAACCCATGACCGGCACTCGACTTATTCATACCGTCTTCAACTCCTACGCTCTGATATCCTCCATTTCTTTTCCCTTTAGAGAAAGAAATCTCTGTGCGCTCGCTCTGCGCTTCAATGACCGAACATGACCGACACCAAAGATCACGCCCAACAAGCTCCGACGGAATCAAATCCGTCCCTCAGCCATATTTCTCGCCAACCCTCATGGACAGGCTCGGTCGATGGCAATAATACCAATTCATCGCCTCTGCACGGTCGCAAGAGGTCTGCCGATCATCTGCCATCCGAGCCGCATGTTTCGCGCAAAGGTCGAGCCTGTTTGGCCTGTCGCAAACTGAAGGTGAAGTGCGATAGTCTGGAACGAGGAGACGCCGGTTGTTCGCGATGTCAGCGCCTGGGCCTGGATTGTATTACCTCGAAGCGCATGAGAGTGAGTCTTGACGATGATGGCGAAAATCCTCATCCCTCGATCGTTCGGCTCGATAGAGCTGTGGAAGACATTCTCTCCCGACTGAAGATGCCGCCGTTGGAGGCTTACTCTCGCACCCATCCATCACAACACCTGCAACCACCTCCACTACCTGTTCCTGCAGAATCCAATGCGCAGACCACGCGGGAGAATTCGCGCGAGCCCAACCAGGAGGATGCGCATGAAGTCGCTCCCGCGCCAATGGGGAGCTTGTACGAGGTCACTCAGCTCAACACTCTGCGGAGCCGCCTAAAGTATGGCGACCCGGCGCGCCGCAACTCAAAAAAGAATATGGAGAACGACCTAATTTCCATGGGGATTATCAGCGTCGAGGAAGCCGAGGAAATGTTCAGCCTGTTCAAGACCACCCTCTCACGCTATCTGTTCGACGCCACCATACATGAATCCCGCACACTTCTCTCTGTCCGCGAGTCCTCGACCTTGTTCTTTACGGCTATGATCACCGTCACGTCGCTCCACATCCCAGGCAAGGAGAAGATCCACGCCTCTGCACATAAGCACCTCCGGGACCTCATCGCGACTTCTTTCTTCGACCGCTTCCATACCCTCGAAGACATCCGCGCCCTATGTATTGCAGCATTCTGGCTTCCGGATCTCAGTTGGAAACTCTCCGGCCACTGCGTGCGTATGGCGACCGAGTTGAACCTGCACCAAGCATTCTTCAAAGCTCTCTACTCGCAAAAGCAGTCGGCAAGTGACCGCGAACACGCGTTCGAGCGGGCCAGATTATGGTATCTCCTTTACGTGCTGGATCACCATTTCAGCATCGCGTACGGACGACCACCGGTCACGGCAGAACTACAGGCCATCAAAGAATACGATGTCTTTCTGAATGCCCCTGAATGCACTCCATCAGATCGAAGGGTTTTGTCACAGGTCACACTATTCATTATCTTAAGTAAAGCGTACAACCACTTTGGTTTGGAAGCCGAGAGACTGATGGACGGAGACGATGTCACTCTTCTCACCCACCAGCGCTTTATCGAGGATCTGCATCGCTGGAGATACCAATTCCGCCATGCATTGAACAGGGATGCGCATGTGGGAGATTATCCTGCTGTCGGTGAGTGCTTCCCCCCCCACTATGCTACCTATGTAAAATGCTGTATCTAACCCATTCCTTTGGTCTCTTATAGGCGTCGAACTCCATTACAACTTTGCGTCGATGATGCTCAATTCTCTCGCCCTGCGTGGCCGCTCCCTCTTCACCATCTCCTCCACATCAACACTCCCCACGTCTCTCCGGCCGCTCGCATCCCACGCAATCTCCTCGGCGCACCAAATCCTGATCATCGTCCTTGAAGAGCCCTCCATTCGGGACTCCATGGTCGGAGTACCCCTCTACTTGCACACCGTCATCGCCTTCGCTGTGGTCTTTTTGATAAAGATGTCGAGTCGATGGACAGGCATAGGCGTGAGTATAGACGCGGAGGCCAAGACGAAACCGCTCATCGAGAAAGTAATTGAGTTATTCCGGAGCTGCCAGGCCGGGAAAGGGCATATTCTGTACGCGATGGCCGACGGGTTCGAGAGATTGTTGAGGCGCAACCTGGTGGGCAACAACGGCCAGCTTGGGAAGGGTCTCGGGGTGGAAAACGGCACCCCGGGATACGCATCTCTCGACGCCGCGGCAGCTCTGGGAAGCCGACAGAACGGTGGGAGGGAGACGCCCTATCCACAGCATCCAGGCCAGGTCCAGGGCCAATCGTACCCGCAACAAGCGGATCTGTATGCCTCGTCGTCGCAAACGAACACGCCCTCGCTGCTCCCGCCGCAACACACCACGACGTCTCCGACCCCGTTCACTCCTACACAACAACAGCAACACCCCAACGGTGGTGGTGGCGGCGGTGCCAATTTCGACCCCTACGCCCTCTCCCCGCACTCCCAACCCACCTCCACCTCCGCGGGCACCTTTGGTGGCTGGCAGACCGAAGACGACATGCTGTGGAGCATGGGCATGGGATACGACCTGTTGGCCACGGCGCCCGATGTCAACGCCCACGGCTTGGGCGCTTTTGTCGGATGGCCTGGGGGAGGCGGTGGTGGTGGTGCGGGAAGTATTGATTCCGCCGGGGGGTTTTCGCAGGGTTTATGAGTCCAGGACTACGGAGTATTTATCTATATATCACAGACCTAGTTAGGCAGGTAAGATAAGCGTTGAGCAACGACGAATGATCAAGGGAGCGGAGCGCTGTGGTGTTGATGATGATGCGGTGCAGGACGGTGCGGTGCGGTGTTTTGATACCGTGTCTTTTATCCTTTCTTCTGTCCTTTCTTTGTGTTTTGGTCCATCCAACACAGCACAGCACGGCACAGCACTTTTTTCAGACGAGATCCATCTGGCTTACTCAGTACATACCTACCTGGGCGGTGTCTGGATTCCAAAGTACTTACGTGGGTTACATGCGTACATATATACAATAGTGCAAGTTGCCCCCGAGGACTTACAGGACATTCCCGTGGTCACGCGCGGGAGGGATACACGAGGATTGTGGTTGTGGGAGGCCACTTGCTCATCAGTCATCGAGTTAGGTTACACATGTACCAGGCGGTCAACGGGCTAGCTAGCTAGCTAGCTACATACATGTATATGCATAGCTTTGGCTCCAGCACTTTGATACTCCGAATCTCTCTTTTTCTGTAGAAGATTACATAGAAGATTTCTCCACATTCCATACATACATACACCGCCTCATGCTCCTCGTCGTTGGCTTCGCTTGCCTCAGACATCAACGTACGGAGTATCCATAGTCAGATTCTCGAGTCTCGTCACCGCTTTTTCGTTTGGGAGTCGATTCCCGACACTCAACGCCGCCGGAAAGGGGGCGTTAGCTAATGCATGGAGACCCACAAACTGGTGAAACAAGTGACGTGCCCTGCCGTGTGGGTAGTCAGGAATTCTTGCGATCCCTTGCGCTTCGCCCTGAATGCAGCTTTGACGAGAGTTTCGTGGGGACAGGTTGTGTTGTGTTGGGTAAGATTGCCTGGTCGTGCTGTGCAGGATATCTTCCACTCAGGGGTCTGGAAAGATGTTTGCTTTTCAGCTGGATGCCTCCCTCATGAGGCTGACCTTAGACTCTGACCATGTCCATTTCGACAGCGGGCGGCTAAATCTGCTAAACAGATGCGACTGTTCTCCTATAGACAATTCTCTCTGCTCACGGTGTGAGAAGCGGGCAAGACTATCGACGAGTGGGTGGATGTACAGTTTACGCAGGGAGGCATACCGTGGATCTCGATTCTTTCGATGAACATAATTGCATGAACCCGGCGATTGACATTCTGTGGCCCACCCGGCTAACACAAGACCGCTCTCGGGTCCATGTTGATCAGTCTTTCCCAGAGCATATCTCATAGGGGCCAAATCCAGGTTCTGGAAGTGGATATAGAAATCTTTCAAGATGCGTCTCAATTTTCACACCGGCAACTCTGCATTCCGGCGACCGCTCGAGATTTTCTGGAGAGCCATCTGGATGTATGGACCCACGACAGGGATGTTGCCAGCGAACGATGCTATGGTAGCAAAGAAGTCGCCAAAGAGGACGAATATCCCGTAAAGTTCAACCAGAAATCCAGTCAGTGGCCACCGGATCAATATGAGAAGTATTCCTGCCATAAAGGCAGCAGTGCCTTTTAGTTTTTGACGTCTGGCGAAGAAGACAAATGTTTTTTGGATTCCGATGATGAGAGTGAGGCCGATTAGGAAGAGGATCTGGAGGTCGATCAGCATACACGGATTGAGAGAGCGTTGGCAGACAAACATTTCCCATCGCTAGCCTGCAAAGAAGTTAGCATGTCATCTCAGTTTCTCTCATGGACAGCACATACATCGAGCGATCGAAGAACATGAGGACACCTCCGAACAAGAACATTCCACCTTTTACTAATTAGTGCCTCATTCTCCAGGAATTCAGCTCATGCATTTACCTCCTGAGCAGAATGCCACCCCAACCTCTACAAATGGTCAGCCTCATTCTGCACAATTGGGAAGGACAGAATCAGGGAGGGCATACTTTGCATATCCGTGAGCCACATACTGGGCATCTTGAGGGTCTTGCGATAAGTCGAACACTAGGAAGGGGGGCGCTTGGTTGAGAAGCGAGAACAGGGCCAACTGGAGGTCGAAAGAGACTGCGAGTAGCAGGAAAAGACTCGGTCTTTTGTCTGAACGCGGAAGTAGCTTGTAACTGCCAGCGTGGAGGTCCTTCGAAATTGTTGGGTTGTCCTCAAGGGGGTGGACAGAATCGCAAGGACGGATAAACCTCGGGCCCGGTCCAAGTCTAGCGCAGCCTTGTGACAGTCGCCGAGACTGTTCAGCCTCGTCGGTATTTGCGCTTACCTCAGAGACAAAGAATTTGATCCCTTTCAAAGAATGTTTCAGTCCTTGGCTTGCTGGTCCCATAAAACACACAAAAACATATTGGTCTGTCCTCAGTGTTCATAGCCGTCGCTTTGTGCCTTTTTAAGGTTCCCAGAAGCGATACGCCAAATTCCATCCAGATATCACAAATGGCCGCCAGTCCAGCCTTCATTTTGTGTCATCAACGCGGACACATCTGGTAGATTCGAAATATCCATGTCGAATTCAAAGGTTGCGTCATCCCATAAGTTCGCCTCAGACAGGCTGATCTCTTGCGAGCTTTGTAAGGTTGTTCGTGGCAACGGTGCGTCTGGGTTAATGGGCGATAGAAATTGAGTGTTCACGTTCAATTCTACATTGTCAGATGAGTCACCGCTGTCGACAACAGGCGACGAAGACACGGCATAATCGAGCAGATTCCACAACAGTGCAGTCTCGACCTTTGGTGGGTTAGTCGAGCGGGTGTCAACTTGTGATGCGGCGAACTGTGCAAGTCTGGCAAGCTTCGAAACCTGCAAAGGATGAGGGTCAAAGGGTAAAAGCAAGTGATACATTAAAACTTACAGTGTGCTGTAGATGACTGTGAGTGTTCGCCATTTTCTCAACATAGCTTCCGAGCATGTCAAAGTCTCTAGATGCCTTCGTTGCCAAGGATTGATCCTTCGAGAATTGCAAGAAGAACTGTGCAGTTGCGATCATCGAAGCCAAGTGACCAATAAAGGGATCGAAGATCGTAAAGTTTCTTTCCTCGCACAATCTTAGGACAAGGACGACCCAAGCGGAGTGCAACACCGCCTGATCTGTTGCATGTTGAAGGAACGACGGAGAGCGCAGTCTTGATCGACCGGGAATCCTAGCAATGTGGAGAAAAGGGTGGTTAAGGGTGCAGTGTATTGTATGGTAGATACACTGCGTGAAAACCCAGGGCGCCCAGTATCCACGTTGCTGTTCTAGCTCTGCAGGCGTCCTCTCATGAAATCGGTTATTCTTGAATCGATGGACTTCTGGAAGTACAGTTTCGAATCGAGACATTTCGGACTTGATCTGTTGATATACCGAGTTGGCGGTCCACGCGTCTTCAAGACTGCCTTGTCTGATGGTCTTCAGATAACCCATCAAGCGACCCCATATTGACAACAACTGTAAAGCGTAAGCGTTGATACCAGCGTCCTTCTCCTCTATAGCTTCATAGTCCGCCGGCCTATGCGAAAAGGCTAACGTAGGCCATTTCGCCGAAGGAGGCATTTCAGGTAGGATTTCTTCGGTGGAAATGATTGGTAAACCCCGAAAGCTGCTCCCATGCATTCGATCAAGAATGAACAAGCTCCAACAGCATCGGGAGAGCTCAGGGTTTGAAGAGATGCTTTTTGTTGTCCTGCACATCACATTTGAGCATACAGCCATTCGCACAGCAACGCCCAGAGCCATCCAGGCCCTTGTCGTTTTCCCGTCTATTATACTCTCCGTTAGCTCTGCACAATTCTGAAAAGATCTTAACAAACCTGCGATCTCGCTGAGACAGAGCAGACAAAAGGCCTGGAGAGCGTCAACATCGGCGGCTGGCTCAGCGGCTTGAGCAAACAATATCTCCGAAGCAGAATTCTTGTAAAATTCTACGGCGCGAGATCGGGCGCCTCTGAAGAAGTCACTGTCCGAATATCTGACAGTCACCGCAAGGAAGCTCCTCAGAAGCCCTGTTGAAAACTTTTGCACACTAAGCGGCAGACTTTGGATCTCAAACAGGGGCAGAGGCTGGTCTGCGATTCGGTCAATGTAAAGCTGGACCAACGTCTGGAGCACCTCAGGCGGAGGGTCGGGTCTATAAGAGTCAGCTTTAGAATTAATCAATAGCTGAGAGACAAAACCTCTGTGAAGGGTCAAAGCCCGAGACTCCGTGCTGAATATCTCCATCGGTATTAACTTCTCCTCGTGGCGGATTCGAAGGGGCGCTGAGCAGCGGTGTCGAAGCCCCGTGAAGTCCGGCCGACGATTGTCCTGATTGCAGCTCAACGAGCGTGCTGAGACATCAGCTCCTGGTTGAAGTTTTTCAAGAGGCCACAGACTTGACAGCATCCACGATCTGATCGACTCTTGCCTCCAATCTCTGCATCCGGTGTCGATCGAGATTGCTCTCTTCCTGCTTGCTTCGTGAGCCACTCCCATCGTCGGAATTTTCTGGGAACAGTCGCACATTTGGTCGTCCATTCGGTCTTTCCTTCTCAATGCGATACCCGCGCACCTCGCTATTGCGCGTGTAGCTGCATTGTTGGTGGAGGCGGGTGCAGAAACTGCAGTTCGGTTGCTCTCCAGGGCATCTCACTTTCTTGCGTCTACACGGATCGCAAGCTTGTCGAACACGACCCTGCACCGGACTGATCTGGCTCATGCCCTGTCCTTGCCACGGACCTACCTGTCCGAAGTCGATGAGAACAGCACATACATGCTTGGAGAAGATAAGATAATGAAGCTGCTCACCGATGGTGCCGAATCACCGTCGAGGCCACGAAGTCGGAAGTGTTTCCGCATTGTTCGAGACTCTGTTTTCGGTTCCGATTTCGGCTCAGTGTTGCTCTACTTGGGCCCGTCGAACTTCATTCTCTCATCTCGCGCTTCCATTTCAACGCATAATAATGTATCTTGCGAAAACGGCGAAATGATCGAGCAGAAGGCAGGTGACTTCAAGAAAGACACACCGTGATTTGAAGTGTCTTGCTTCCGGCGATGTTTAATGCGGCAATTCGATGACGGCGCACTCAACCCACAAATTCTACGAGCTGCCTGTACCAAGTATTTGATCCTCTTTTGGTATAACCGGCAATGAACAGTTACACCAGCAAAGTTTTGCAACGATGTTACTTTTAGGTGATAGCTACAGATTGCCACGCGCCATCTGCTCCCTCTCGATCGCCTCAAACAGGGCTTTGAAATTACCAGCCCCGAATCCAGCGAAGTTATTTCTCTGAATGATTTCGATGAACACCGTGGGCCTGTCCATTAGGTGCTTGGTAAAGAGCTGGAGCAGGTAGCCACCCTCGTCGAAGTCGATAAGAATGCCGAGCTTCTTCAAAGCAGCAAAGTCTTCGTTCAGCTTCATGCCCGCGCTTTCGAGCCTTTTCGCCATGCTTTCATAGTAAGTGTCCGGAACACTGATGAACTCGATTCCCCTCTCTTTTAGGTTGGTTACCGTTGTGATAATGTCCTCGGTCCTCAGTGCAATATGTTGAACGCCAGCCCCATTATAAAAGTCGACATACTCTTCTATTTGCGATTTTCGAAGGCCTTTTGCCGGCTCGTTGATTGGCATTTTGATCTTCTCGTCGGGACTGGCCATCACTGTCGATTTCAACGCAGAATAGTCGGTACAGATGTCCTTGTCATCGACAGACCAGAATCTATGAAAGCCGAGCGTTCTTTCATAATACTCGCAAGCGGCCTCCATTTCATCCCAGTCCTGGTTCCCTGGAGAAGTCAGAACAAGAGCTTCCCACGCAATCAGAAAGTTCAACTCACCCACGCAATGGTCGATGACGGCCAAGTCGACCGAGGGAAGGTAAGTAGCAGTCCTCTCCAGATCTGTCACCGTTCGATATCCCGGCAAAAAGGCCCCAGAGTACTTTTGGCGCTCAATGAGAGTATGAATAGTGTCGCCGTACGTTCTGATCGAGGCCATCTTGGCTGTTCCAAAGTCATCGCATGTGCTTTTGGGTGCTTCAACAGGATGTGCGCCTTTTGCAACAGCCGCGTTGTATACCGCAGTAACATCGTCAACCTCAAATGCAACATCCCGGACTGCATCTCCATGGGTGCTGAGATGATCGTGCATCTCTTTTAACAGAGCTCGGTCTTTGTCTGAGAGCCACGGGACCTTTGGATCAGGCCCATGCAGTGGTGAACTAAGCACGAAGATGACGCCTCCGTTACGAACGACGTGAGAAGCAACCACCCTCGAACCAGTTTCTAGCCCACGGTATGCGATCCTCTGAAAGCCCATTTGAGAGACATAAAATGCCGCCGCCTGCTTGGCATTTCCTACCCACCACGCAACATGGTCATACCCTCGATAACTGGCAATCTTCTTGGGAGTTTTGGGCAATGACTCTGGCGGGACCATGTTGCCATGTATTGTCTTCTGTCCCAATTCGTGGGTTGGGATTGGTGTCGGGTCCAGAGCAATAGGTGCCATTTTCAATATGGCGTCTGTCCAACAGAATGTAAAGGTTGTAAAGACGAAGAAGAGCCTGCAATATGCACGAACGAGTTGGCATCCAGTATCAGCCAGCGTTGAGATGATATCGCGTTGCTCTTATGCCCACAGAGCAATGCTTCCGTGGCTGTGGGGACGGAAGGCACCCAGGCACTCCCGGGGGCGTATTCCGGCAATAAGCGAATATTGCCTCAACAAACACTGGGGACTGAGCTGTGAGAGTCGGAAAGCTCTATTTCAACTTGAAAATATCATACCTGGTTCTCATCATACTATGCCAGGTTGTCTTTCCCTGACTGCACCAAAACAACTCCTTGCAACCGAGTTAATCAACGATCATCCTTTGGGCAACCAGCTTCCTGCCTCCAAACACCCTCTGAGAATGGAAACCGCGAAATTGAGCGCGAATGATACCAATGTCTTATCGGCATTATTCGATCCAGAATTGTCACTCACAAGCGCGACGCAAGTCGAAAACAGATGGCTCGATGATCAGGTGCCAAATAGGTTAAGGAGACTTCGGGAGCAGGAACGCCTTGCGCTGCAATCAGTCAATTTGGAGCAGCCCCAACCCGTTGATATCGAGCATTCAATCTCTCAGTTAAGCGAAATCATCGCAAATGAACCTTCCTATGCGTCTGCGTGGAACAACAGGGCGCAAGCTCGACGAATGCTCATCAGGGACGAGGATCTCCCTAGGAACCCATGTACTGTGGTTGAAATCTTTCAAGACCTTGCCCAGGCCATTTCACTCACGACTCCAACTGGACCAGATGTAATGCTTTCTGACCTTGATGCAAGGGTTCTGGCATCAGCACATACGCACAAAGGCTATCTACTGCTGCTGGCGAGCAAGTCTGAGGATAACCGAAAGCTGTTAGCAGCGCTACCACATCTTAGAGACTTATCGATTCAGGAGCTCGAGGAAGCTGCAAGTCGGGAGCTTGGCTTGGGAGGCCGCTATGGAAATGAAACGGCACGGCAGCTAGCAGTGAAGACGAACCCCTACGCAAAACTGTGTGGCTCAATAGTGAGAGAGGCGTTGACGAAGGAGATATCGGAGTTTTACCAACCCCATGTCAGCCTTGCAAAATAATAATGCTTGAGAACTTGAGACAACACAGACTCAAGGCATGCTTCCTAGGAATTTGTATTGCCAGTCAATATCATAACACTCACAAACCATTAGTGGCACGCTCCTCTCGCCCTCAGGAAAGACACAGTGGATCAACAACAATGACTGTGGAGTTATATCCGCTACGATGTCCCGAAGATAAGCGCACGAGGTCCCTTGTCACAAGGCTCCAATGAAATTTTATATGGGTCGGTCAAGGACGGCTTCCCGGTCCGTGCACGTGCTGATTCCCTTGGCACATTTCCATTACCTATTATTCCGAGTTCCACAGTCTGTCCACACTTCTGCCCAATGCTGAATCGGGAAAACTGCAAATAGAGCCTATATTGGCCATCTAGGAGACCGAGCCAGATGATAAAGCAACAGGAACATGTCTTACTATGTACCCAGGACCACTTTTTCTTTTTCTCAATTCAGATTCATGTTTCACCCAGAACTGCTCCACCCCCATGTACCTGTCAGCGCCAGAGCGACCAATGTGGGCGTGCTCCATGACTTGGGAGACACCTCCATCGGCTGAGCGGATACTATGAGGGTGTGTTGGCGGCGTCAGCATACGTCTTTGCCGCGTATCATCCTCGCCATGAAAGCCAGCCAAAGCGACCACGCGTGTCAGCCTCTGGATTCAAGATCTGGTTGCGCCTTATTGCAATTACGTCTGAAAAGGTTTGCCTCAAAGCAGGCCTAAATGCACAGGGGTCTTTCAACAATGAGCCCAACCATAAGGCGCCCAGCCTCCGCACGATGGCATGGTAGCGATCGCTGACTGTGTCTAGCCCCAACCCGGCTCTTCCACAAATGGAGAGACTGGTGAACAGCTCTTGGTATTGTATATCTTGAAAATATTGCTCGAACCCTAAGCTCAAAAGTACCTGTAAAAGCTCCAATCAGGTGGGGTCTTCGGCTTTCGTTCTGACCATGGTATCAAACTCAAAAGAGTTTACGTCAGTGTGCCTTCCATCCTTACATTGGAGGTTCACCGACTGTTCCTACTCAATTGTTCCCCTCACAAAAGCACATGATGTTTCAGGCAAGGGCAACGGAGTGGAATGCGCCGGGCTTATGCGAACGTGCAAATGGATATAAGGGAATCGTCGCTGCCTACGCAATCTCAAATGACCACCACACCGGTAGACAACAAGGTTGGGAAGCCGCTTTGGAGTGATCGTTTTATTGATACCACTCTTGGGCGGGTTGGAAACCATGGCCGTTTCAGTCGCCGTTGTTGGAATGGGCCCTCTAGGGCTCATAGCGTTGAAGATCCTCAAGGAGGATGGATTTGACGTCTCCGGGTTCGAGAAGCGAAGCTGGGTGGGAGGGCTCTGGAAGCAGTCGTATGACTCTACTCTCTCGGTCACGGAGAGGACTGTTTTCAACAGCAGTCGATTCCGCAGCGCCATCTCAGACTATCCATTCTCGGACGCAATAGACGATTTCCCGACGGCCAGGCAGATCTGGCAGTATATGGAGAGTTACTGTGACAACTTTGGACTGCGCCCGCATATCCGTCTCAATGCAGAAGTCAAGACGTTTTCGCGAGTCCAAGACAAATGGGCCGTGGAATACGTGCAGGATGGATCCATGAGCACCGGCTTTTTCGACAAGCTGATGATTTCACCCGGCACTTTCGTCATTCCCCGGTCACCCAAATTGAAGGACATCGCGAAGTTCGAGGGAGACGTCCTGCATGCACTCAATTTCCCCAATCCGTCTCGGTTCCAAGGGCAGAACGTTCTCCTGGTAGGATTTCGCGCGACTGCACAGGACTTGGTTGTTGAACTGGCTCCGTACGCCAAAAAGGTCTACATTGCGCACAGGAATGGACTGCTACTGGTACGCTAACATTCATTCCCTCAGCTGAGATTCTTCACACTACTAAGTGCTTTATTAATAGGTTTCTCGCTATGCTGCGGACGGCAAAGCTTACGACCAGGCGCAAAGCGTGTCGTTCATGTTCATACAACTTTTCATGGAAAAATGGTTTCCGAATCTCTGGGGATCGTTTCTTGACAAGATATTCGCGAGGATGTCGAAGAAGTCCTTCCCGCACCAGCCCGATGAATGGGGCCTTACACCAGCACCGTCGGTAGCCACAACGCCGCCTCTGATAGCCGACGCCATCTATCCTCATCTCAAGAACGGGTTTGCGGAACCCGTGTGGGGTGTTCAAGAGATCATCGGACCAAACACCGTCAAGTTGATCGACGGCCGAGTGCTCGACGACATCAACACCATAATCTACACAACCGGTTACGAGTCGGCCGTGACCTGTGCACCGAAGGAATACAACCCCTACCCAGTAGCCGATGAACCGCCTCTTCTCTTCCGCAACATCTTCCCGCTCCACTCCAACCCGGACGTTCGCAACTCGCTGGCATTCCTGGGCCAGGGCGCCTTCCCGTTCCCGGGCTTCGTGCAATTCGAGCTGGTGGCCATGGCCATATCGCAAATCTGGCAGGGCCGATCGCACCTCCCGCCGCTCAGCCAGATGCGCCAATGGCACCGCTCGCACCTGGCCTGGCGCCAGAGCCTCGCCAAGAGATACAACTCCATGGCCTATTTCGTCGCCGTCTTCCTATCCGCGCCGGACCACATGCGCTGGCTGGACCGCACGGCCGGCACGGGCATATTTGCACACTTTTCCTCCCCCTTTAGCTGGCGCGCGTGGCGCTTCTGGTGGGCCGACCCCGCGTTCTACAGACTGTGTAAAAACGGCCTGTTCTCGCCCGCCATCTGGCGCCTGTTCGATATGGGCCATGGGCGCAAACCCTGGGCTGGAGCAAAGGCGCAGATCATCGAGGACAATCGGGTCGCTGAGGCGCGGCGGCAGGAGAGATTGAGGGCCGTGGAGAAAGAGAAATTGGAAGGAAAGCAAGGAGGTACCTAGCAAGTTTGATTCTATAGATACTACACCGTTGTTTAAGTTTAACATGCTTTTGAGCACACACTGACGCAGTCGTCCACGCTTCCCTGCCTATGTCGCCGGCGTGTGATAGAGATCTCTTAGCCCTAGGCAAGGCATCAACATGTTGCGGTGCGTGATTCGCCCTACCCACATTCGTCGGTTCTTGTGGTTGGTCTAAGAATACGTTTCATGTATCGATGAGGTTATGGAAACAACCGGCACACCCGTCTCACCGAGGTCTCCGGGTGCTGAACTGATCATGTTGATTGAGAAAGCCATATAGAATCCGCAAACGCCGCATCCCATTTCCGGATTGTTTTCTCGCTTGAAGCAATCTACCCAGCATAAATTCGATTCTGCAACGACCAAGCCCCAGGGAAAACCCCGCCAATGGCCGCTCAGTTTCTGAGGGCTCTCAACCTGTCTCCCAAGCCTTCCTCAAGTTTCGCCCTCTCTGCCGATTCGTTTGCCGGTAGCTCGTGCTCCGGAACATTCTGCTGCATTTCCTGGGACAATTCAATTCCCGCTTCATCGGCGACGCGGCTCATCAAGGCCTCCACCTCACTCTGGCCTTCAACTCCAACCTGTTGGCTCTCGACGCCACCTGCCACACCCTCGTAATAGCCAGAGACAACGTCTAGATCTTCAAATTGTGCTTCAAATTTCTCCATCACAGCTCCTATCTTTTCCAGGTCCATGTTCTTTAATGCGGCATCCATTCCCTTAACCGTTTGCGCCATTGACGCAGTCACGGTGCGCATGGTTATGGCAGTTTGAACGCGGGCAGCGACAGCATCGATTCGCGCCGCCAAGGTAAGAAGCTGGATTCTTTGTTGAGAATTGCGGACCGAGTTCGTGGCGTAGAGACGGGCGATCTGGGGTTGAGGCGGAGTTTGAGCCAAGGCTTTCTTGAGTTTGGCCTGTTCAGCACGAGAGTCTCGGTCGGCTTTGGCAGCTTGCCTGTTGAGCTGTTTCGACGTGAACTGAAAGCAGAATAGTCAGAATCAACTGCGCTGGAAGAGAGTAGTGGTGGTGATTGAAGGGCACCCGGCCACAATTGCTTGTCGGACGGTGACCACGCAGCCCGCAGCCCGCAGCCGGATCGCAGATGTGCTAATGCTGAGAACGCACCTTGAGGTTGAAGAGAGCCTTCTCGAGGCCAGACATCTTGATTGAAAGCGTGAGGGAATCCCAAACGCCGACACACGACAACAGTTCCCGCGCGGATACAGCGGCTAGCAGTTAAGGCGTTTCGCCGGAAGGTGAGTAGTTGGTTATATCGTGATGGCGCAAGTGAAGAAATGTTCAAGGGCTTGTTTTGAAGATGGTGATACTTGCAGATATATACAGCGGCAGGCAATCTTAGATGTAGGTCGTCTGGAATCAAATTGTTATCCTACAATGTTTGGAGCCTTTTGCAGGTTGCAGCGAAGGAGCGATGAGCGGATGACGATGGCGGGGATTCGCCAAGCCCCACCGTTTGCTCCGAATATTAGCCGGGAGGGTCATCAAAAGCAACAGCCGCTTCACTCACCATCTTCACTTCTCATCTACCACACATTCATTAAATTCTGACATTGGAGAAATAAGAAAGCTGCCCTGGCACCGCTAGGGATCGAACGGTGAGTTTCTCAGATGAGCAAAAAAGTTCAGACCGGGCGGCTCTTAGCTTACCTTTCTCCCTACAACTAGACCTCAACGGGTGTTGCGGCTCCTGACCTCCTCCCGGCGAGGGGGGTTATCGAGCAATCTTACAACAGCGACTGAGGATCTAATTGTTTTTGTGATATGGCGAGACCATCCTGCTACCTTGGGCAACAGCGAGCACATATCGGGAGAAAGGCCCCACCCACCAAACCCGATCAGAACTGAACAGATCCCCTACTCAAAGTGTTGCTATCACGAGGTCTCATTATCGCCGTTGCACTTCTTTCAGACGGGGAAATGTTGCACAGATTTTCTGGCCTATAAATTATATACTAATAAACGAGGAATGCGGCCCAGCTTGTTTCACAGGTATGTGGCTTGGCGAACGTGATTGCTGCGGGCGTGCTCCTGCAAAACACCCTTCCATCTTTTTCCGGTGAATAAGATGTAGCAGTAATTGATATGGTCACATGTGACTCTACCCCTTCAAACATTCAGCACGCGCTGTGCACCCTGAAGAAAAGAACCTGTACCATGGTTGATGGAAAAGTGGTCACTGGGCCTTGGACAAGCGAAATCACAACCAAAATACCATCATACTGCTAAATCCATGACAGGCTTGACAGTATTGTGCTTGATATTTGGGGCTGCAGTGGGTTCTATCCGAAAGAAGTGAATGATGTGACACTTTCTGATCAAGGCAGAAGGCTTTTTCGAGCATGAATTGGTGGCTGGACAACACTCACTGCTGTAGGTTGAGCCAACACACGGCTCACCCACTCGGCCATATAGCATATCAAGCTGACACGGATTTGGCCAACAAGCTACCTCTCATGGTCTATGTAGAAAACCGGAATGGAGCAGGTCAAACCACCGCAAGCACCATTCTCAGTACATCTTCGTCCCTTTCACAACGCAAATTATCCTCTCATTGTCAGACGCGACCTTTCCACTCTCTTATCTTGTCACTAGTCTAGTGGCGCTACGTGTTCCATTTGGACAGGCCAACACACTCGGAAGAAATCACAGGGGGCCTGATGAGTTGGATAAAGATGCTGGCTCGTACTAACTTGAGTACGTTCAAGCTTTCCATTTCACGAGACCAGGCCTTGTCTTCTACAAGCGACCGCCCTACGGTTCAAGAGAGGGAATCAAATATTTGGCAAGGCATGTGGACGACTTGGAGCAGTCTCTTGAATGATCCCCCCAGACTGCCACGAGATTTGTCGATTTCAGTCTGGTCATGGGCTCACTAGGCTGTCTTTCTCCGTATACATGCCTGTCGCAGCAGTCCCCACGTCTTCTCACAGCCTAGTCCACCATTCCTGCTGCGGTTAATAGCGTCGATAAACCCCTGTACGTTATTTTATACACCTTAAGCTTGGGAGGCCTGAATTCGGGTACTGAATTGTCGTTTATTGGCGGGATCGATAGTGCATCCTGTCGCCATCTCGTTTACACTAACTCCCACTTGTTCCCCTCGTACTCACTAACCACTTTGAAGCGAAGCTTGTCTTGGGTGCCTGTCGATCAACACGTTTCACATCCTATGGCCGGGGTCCAAAAGAGCTTCAGCAGACTCCAATCGCACCATGCTTTCGTATGGACCAACCTGGTCGGTAAAAGAAGCTCTTCCCGAACCTCGTCCGCCGCCATGATACGAGGCGGAGCGGCATTGCAGTGCCATGCAAACCACGGCAATGCCGTCTTCAGCCCCTTGAATTCCGCATCTACCCTTCTGGCTTTACATTCACGAAAGCATAGCCATTAGATCTGCGAATTGGCTCATTAGCAAGCAGCATCAGGCGCCAAAGGCTTTGAGGAAGAAAACAAATATAAATCATGGATCTTCCAGTAGCTATTGCTCGTATGAAACCAGGCCATTCACGATCGTATCTCTTTGACGCGGGTGAAGATGAAGCAATCAAATGTTGTTCTTTTGCTGTTTGCGCTACTTTCTGTCGCTCTGGCGCAATTCCCCCGAGTTCCCAGTGGCCTTAATGTTGTTACTTCAAAGGTCAATTCTCAAGTGAAGATCTCTTATAAAGAGGTGAGCATCATGCGTACAGTCGAACAATATAACCACTGACGAAACGACAGACCGACGTCTGCGAGACCACAAGCGGAGTCAAATCCTATAGTGGTTACGTCCATCTTCCTGCATCCCTCCTGCCAGATGTCGGCGGCTTCGACATAAACACCTATTTCATCTATTTCGAAGCACGACATAATGCCTCCGCCGCTCCGCTTGCCGTCTATCTTGCTGGAGGGCCTGGTGAAAGCTCAATGTATACAGCTTTGGCAAGCGAAAGTGGTCCGTGTTATGTCAATGTCGTGGGCAACGACACAACGATCAACCCTTGGTCATTCAACAACTACGTCAACATGCTTTACTTGGATCAACCTGTTCAGACCGGTTTCTCATACGACGAGCTTGTCAATGGGACTTTCAACCTTGAAACGCAGATAATCACTCCCGAGAATTTCAATCCTTCAGCTTTGCCAGAGACAAATACAACCTTCCAAGTCGGCACTTTTTCCAGTCAAGATCCTTTGCATAGCACCAATACAACCGTGTCGAGCGCGAGGGCTCTGTGGCATGCCGCCGAGCACTGGCTTTCTTCCTTTCCAGAATATTCGACCTCGTCCAACAAGCTCAGCATCTGGGCCAACTCATACGGAGGATTCTGGGGGCCGGAGACGGCAGCTGTCTTCAGCAAAAGTCTCAAGGATCTTCCTGCCAAACATCCTTTGAAGCCAAAGAAGTTGACACTCGACACTCTGGGACTGACCAATGCTTGCATCGATTTCGAATATTCCATAGAAGGCTATCCTCAATTTGCCTACAACAATACCTACGACATCCATTTCATTCCCGAAGCTGTCTACAAGGAGGCAATGTATAACATAACAAAACCCGAGGGCTGCATGGACCTCGTCAAAACCTGTCGCTCACTCGGCCAAATTGGCGATCCTGGATTCAACGGAAACAACCAAACCGTCAACGAAGCCTGCATAGGGGCTTCAGAAGTCTGCTTCGGTATTATGAGCGCATTTGACCTACTGAACAATGTAAGCTATATAAGATTCCCCGTCGTTCAGAGAGGAAAGAAGGAGAAGCTAACAAAGAAATCTAGCGAAGCGACTTCGATGTGGCAATCCTCAACCCGGATCCATGTCCCTACGACCTCGCCGTGACGAACTACTTGAACCTGCCGGAAGTGCAGTCTTCCCTGGGCGTGCCGTTGAACTTCACGTACGACTCAGAGCTGATCACGGGCCTCTATGGCCTGCCCACGCCGTACCAGTTCCTTGGCACGGGCGACTCGTTCCGACAGGCTGGGATGCCGAACATCGAATACCTCCTGGGCACCGGTGTCAAGCTCGCCTTCGTTTTTGGCGACAGGGACTACCGCTGCCCCTGGACGGGTGGCGAAGCCACAGCCAAAGCGGCCAAGTGGGCGGGCCAGAAGGGCTTCGCGGCCGCGGGCTACGAGCCGATTAAAGGCATCTCGCGCGGCACCAGGCAGGGCCTCGTCAAACAGTACGGCCCGCTCTCGTTCTCGCGCATCCTGGACGCTGGCCACTCGGTCAGCGCGTACGCGCCTGAGGCCGTCTACCGCGTGTTCGAGCGCGTCATGTTCGGCAAGGACGTTGTGACTGGATCGCACTCCGTCGGTCCTGCATACCACTCTACGGGGCCTCCGGAGAGCTGGGCCTGGCGGAATAAAATGCCCACGAACCTCCCGCGCACTTGCATGGTCGAGGGAAATTTTACGCCCAGCAGTCCGTGGGGAGCCATTTTGCCGTCGTGATTATACATTGGCATATGTGATGTGTGCCTGATTGATAGCTGGATAGTTGTATACAGTTCATACAAACCCGATCAACCCCTTCTCTTGGCCAAAAGTCCGACTCTCCCCTAAACAGAAACGCCCCAACCCGCCTTTTCAGTCCATACACGTTTTCATTCCTCCCATATCCCGCACTCATTCAGCTGATACAAGTAAAACTCACTCACTCGGTCACTCTCTGTGCCTCATGAACACTCAATCCCCATCACCCTTTGCAACTCCGCAGCGACCATGCCCATGATGAACGGCTGCTGCGACGTCGTGAACATGTACCCGCGGCTCGTGTATCTCAGCTCTTTTAGCAGGACGGGGGAGCCCGCGAGGTAGGCTCCCGGCAGGCCAAATGCGGTATAGAAGGAGCCGTAGATCAGGAGTTGGTGGTCACGGAACTCAGAAGTCGAACTCGATGTGGATGTCGATGGCGCTGAGACAGGAGATTGTCCGTCCTTCCGCCACAGACTCCCGGCCCCGGCGCTGTCGTGCATGAGGATCGTCATGCCGGACACGCCGCGAGCCCGCTGGATCGTCTCCAGCAGACCGCGCTGACCATTCATCCCGTCGCGCCGCCGCTCAATTGCAGTATCGACGAAGGTGGTGATGTACGTCGCTTGATCACATGAGCGCACGTGGTCGAGTAAGGACGAGTCGGCATTGCTGTACTGCTGGATTTTGGGAGCCCCCTTCTTGGACGCGACGCGGAATCCGTCCCAGACGGCCTGAGGCGCTGATTCAGGGACGAAGAAGACATGGTTTTTGAAACCCGTCACGGGACGGCTCAGGGCCGCCACTGTTGACATAAGGCCAATGAATGAATCCGGGTAGGTCAGTGCCTCTGGAGTTCCTGTCAGCCTTGCCGCGAGCTTCTCAACTTGGACGTGCAGTTCTGAAGTGCCGGTGATCCAGCGAGCGCCGCCGGAGCCAAGGCCGTATCTGTTGCGCGCTGCGTGGCCGGCAGCTAGGATGGCATTGTCGTAAGTTGTGCCTGTGCTCGCAGTTATGTCTTGGTGCATCAGTTGACGAATACGGTCAGCCGTTTGCACAGCTTCGGTTCTCTCCTGCTCTGTGGCCAGCTCATCAGGATAGTTAAACAACTTTGGTTCGAACTTGGTATTCCCAATCAGCCCGATGTTTTGAGTGGCCTTGACGACTGCCAAGATAAGTCCGTTCACAGCGTCATTGTCGTGATCTGCTGAAAGACAAATCCGTACACGGGACTCCCAAAAGGGGACTGCTGGGGTAGACACCGGCGTTGCGAGCAGTCCAGCCTTTCGGAGTGCATACGACATCTTCGCAGCCATGCTAGGCCGGCCGGCGTACACCGGTAGAATGGGCGATATCGCGTTACCATAAACATGGACTCCTGCTCGGTGCAACTCTTCGCGGACGAACGTAGCCGCTGCGGTCAATCTCCCAAGATGGCGTCGCAACAGCGTTGGCTGACCCAGGACATTCAGAGTTTGGACTATGGAAGAGGTCGGAACAGGATCGACTCCACAGGCAAGCATTTCGTCACGGCGCTTCAAAACCGCAGATGCGAATCGAGGTTTCCCACTCACAATGCCACCAATCGCCCCCACCGATTTGGATAATGTTCCAGTTCGGAGGTCGAAGAGGTCGGACCGGACGGGTTGGTCAGGGTGCTGTTCATTCCAAGCTTCAATGCATCCTCGGCCGTTGCGGCCCAGACACATCAATGAGTGAGCTTCGTCGGCGAGCAAAGTGAACTTGTACTTCTGTTTGAGACGAGCGATCGTGTCAAGCGCAGGGACGGTGCCGTCCATACTGTTTTTCCGATTCCCGGTTAGAGGACGATCCAATGACGCGGATAAAATGACTAACCTGTAGAATCCCTCAATTGCGACAAGGATGTTCGCGTATCTGTCTTTGTACTCGGACAGGGTGGCCTCCATGCTCTCAAAATTGCCATGCGGAAATTTCTTGACGAGCCCGGCGTGACTGAGATATGCAGCAACGTGCATTGAGTTATGGCACTTGTCATCGAACATGACGAGCCAGTCCTCATTCAGGATTGCCGAGAAGGCCAATACATTGGAACCATATCCTGTGCCGGTTGTGTAGCAAAAGTCGGCAGAGAAGAATTGAGCGAAACCATCGCGCATAGCCGATTCCAGAGACCGTACAACAATTGAGTCGGCAACAGGCAACTTCTCAAGAGCTAAGTGCTGCAAAGCTTCTGCGTCTTTGGTAAGATTGTAGAAGCCAGCATAGTTGTGTGACGCTGCTTGAATGACGGTCTGCCTGGTGCCACGACCATCCCGGACTTCAAGCTTCGGAGCCCACCGTCCCAGCAGTATGCGCTCATTCTTTCCACTTTGGTTGTCCAGTGGGTAGACGTAACAATGATTGAATTTCCCTGCAACCGAGATCGGCTTCTGATCCTGGTCGCGGTATTGCAATGAAACTTTGGCGCGTGTGTATGCTAGTCTGACACTCTCGGCGAGCTTGCTCCACACTTTTGCAGTGGGCGGTTGATAGACATCATGTTCGAGGGACTTTTGTGGAAGACGGTTGTTTGGAGATCGACAGGAGATAGTAGAGCAGGCTAGGTTCGCGTGCTAGAACCTCATAAGTTTCATATGTTCAGTCGTGGTTGATTCGTCCAGGTCGACATACCTGAAATTCCTTTGTATTCGTCTTAGAAGTGTCCGCGCTCGATATCGAGTCCGTTTCGTGAATACATATGATCATTGGCTCGTCTCGTGCCTTCTGAGGTTCAAGGAAGCTCATTGCTCCCGCTTGCGATTTAAAATCCATGGTACCGGTGAAGAATATTCAGCTTTGTCGAGAACATAAGGCCTACTCACTTGCCTATGCGGACACGCTGTACTAATAAATATTCCATAGACGCCATGTTCCGTGTCTAGACTGAGGCCTAGATTCTAGACAGACGCAATACCTCAGGCCAGGCTGACAGGTCGACTAGGCAAAGACAACGTGGTGAACCTTTGCTAGTTTTCGCGAACCCATTTTCGTGCAGATGTCCTCTGCCAACCAGCTAAGCGACAATGAATTTTGTTGCTCATATTGGAGCAGCTGTGGCGCACAACTGCTGCCACAAAGCATGAAACCCGGGTGATGTGATCGAATCATTGTCTCCTGCCCGGGTCGCTTCAACATTGTTGGAGTATACACGCTTGTTGATGGGGAAGGTGTTCTCAGCGTCCTGGGCCACTTGGCTATGATGGCCAGTCGGGAGTACGAAAGGCTGGCTGAACGAAAGAGCATGGCTTTTATTAATCTCAGCTCCCTGCAACAGCGTGTCCACAAGAGTCTGAACAGCGTCAAGTTGGATGCACGATACCGTGTATCAAGCAAGTCAGAGCAAACTTTAGGGGGCGGTCTAGGCTGTCGGAGTGGAGCCAATAGTTACAGCTCCTACCTGTATTGGCAACCGTTTTGGTGACTTGGCCTGCCGAGCCAACATCACCTGCCAAAAACGGCTCCTCTTCCCTGCCTCGCCCACTTAATATCCATTTCCTCCCCGTGCGCCTGAAGCCACCATTAGGCTTTTTCGGGCATCATGCCTCATCGCATTTTGTGGCACATTTCGAGAAGGCGGTCTGTAACAATCTACGCAATAGAGGAACCGCCAGATCTGCTGTTGGTACCCTCGGACAACAGCATAAGAGTCTTTCGTTGAATCCACAAAATCAGCCGCAACGCGTAAACGACAAGAGAAGCTGGGTTGTGGATACCCACAGCAGCCTGGTGAGCCTCACTAGCCTAATAATACTGCTTGAGGCTTCGCGGATGCAGGTGCAAGCAGAACCGGTTCGGCAGCTGCAGACAGCCCATTTTTGCACTGCAGACCTGACAATCACATACCAAGTCGGCAGTGGATTCATGATAGACTACTAACTCGCATTGCAGCGGGAATGACGTGCCACCAGCGTTCTATGTACTCGGACTCTAGCCCATGGCGCCTTGGATCCCAAGCTGCACAGACAGCGGCCTTTTGAACAGCCTTCATCCATAAGTGCACCACATTCTCGACCGCGAGCCACTTTGTTTTGATCGCCAAACCCTCCGAGAGCAACCAAGCAGCAGTTGCTGTGTTGTCCTAACCCTGGGTTTGGAAAGGGGTTTCGTTGTCCCCGATCCAGTGAATATATCTTGTTTCAGCGAGCACAGAAGAGCTTTGCCTGACGCAGTTTTTCCCAAACGAAGCACAATATTCCATTCCGACGTAGTCTCGTACACAAAGACAAACTGCTAAATTACCAAAACCACCTATTAAAAGCTGGCATTACCATAAAGAAGATCATCATGTAGAATTCATAGCAGATAATCAATGATCACTAGAATCGAATCCGAAGACGCGTCAGATCAACACATGGTAGATCGACACCGAGCGCACTTCGGCACTCACCCGACCTGCGCCGCTTTTTAAACAGCGATCCCCTCCTACTCACCTTCACCTCACGTTCTCATCTTTCACTCATCCCTCGCTTCCACACTGCCCAGCCACGGCCGGCCTCTTCTCTGCTCAATAATAACTTCTACTCCTACGCTATACGGGGATACTGTGCTGGCGGGCGGGTAGATTCCCTATTTTGGGCCTTTCCGATCGGGGTGGTCGTCTCTTTCGACTTTCTCTCCCACCGTTCGTTTATCCCGTCCCGTCCCCTCTATCTATGAAATAGGTCTTCTTCCTACTGCGAGATATTTGAGGGTCTTTTATAAATATTCGTCTCTTTCACACCCTGCCTAATACCTGTGGCAAGAAGCAATCCTTGAATGCCCCTAATGGGCCCCCTCAACACCTTGAGGTTGCAGAGCGTTCTGCAGTAAGAATTTTGCTGAGTGCTCCTTAACATTCTTTGCCACTCAATATGGCATCACATTGATGCCGGTTTGCTTGACGAACTAGTGATTCTTTGTAGAACCCTCATCCCTCCATTCGACATCCGGCGTGGGAAGAATTGTAGGAACAAGCTTGTGCATTTCTGCCAAAGAGATCTAAGTAGGCAAATTAGTTCTTCATCACTACGTCGTGGACGGGCGATTCTCAAATTCTCCCCTATACATGTTCTAGTGCCGTAAACAAACTGGAGCATATATCTATCCATGTTGGCAGCAGCAGCTGGATCAAGCCAACGTTCCGGTCGGAACTGGCTGACGTCCTCACCGAAGATATTTCTATCGAAATGCAAGCGCACAAGTAGGGCAATTTCAGCGCTTGCGCATACTTAACAGGGAAGGACAGCTCTCCTTCGGTATTGGCCTTGTCAATCTCTGCGCGGAGTCGTTGATATACTTTCGGATTTTTAACAATGTAATAAAAAATGGAACGGATGGTAATCGCCGTGGTAGCGGAGTCAGCCAGCCTAGGGGAAAGGCGATTCAACGCCCCAGTCTAGTTCGAAACCAAGCAAGTAAGAATACTCCTACTACGATGTATGCTTCCTTTTCCACTTCTCTGATGGAGAAATCCATCTTTTCACCCTTATCTCGCTGGACGCTGAATAGTTCTCCGATAACATCAAAGGTATACCTGTGAGGAATTAGCCGAAAACTCCCAGGATTTTGGCGTGTGACTTACCACTGAATCGAGGCTCCTAAGTCACAGTCACGACCACTTCGAGCCATCTGACTGAGCTTTTCCACCATGACCGTTATGACTCTGTCAATGGAAGCTTCGGACTGGAGGACGTTGGACAAGCTGCACACATGATTGACAATCCTTCGTCTCTCCGAATGAAGCCTCTCATCGACTTGAGAGAAGTTGTCTCGATATTTCGACATGCGTGGGTTCCCCCAGACAGGGTAGAAGTCGGTCTTCGTCAGCGGTGCTGCAGTCCTGTACAGAAGTTTGATTGTCTCCGGACCGGAACAGGAAACTTTGTTGGGAGCGATCCGAATGAGGGGTCCGTATCTGCGATGGAGTTTGTGCTGCACTTCAAACATGTCCCCAACTTTGAGCAGGCGCTTTACCCATATGCGACTCACAGAGGCAAGCCATGGTCCCAGAACATCTGCAAGGGGATGGAAATTCCTGGTATAGGTGATCCACAGCAGCTCGAGGGCTACCAGGGCCAAAGGCAGGGCGAGAATGGCAACCACTGGATTGAAAGAGTACACAAGCCTGTTGGTAATCGTGTTGGCCAATATTGTGATCTATTTTGTGTGTGTCGATGGTGTTTCTGGATCGGAGCTTTGGGCCGCAAGCAACGACACATCTTTTCAACGCTATTGCTATGCAATAAAGCCCCTGTGAGCTCCTTACAAAAAGCAACTACTTCACCACCTTCTCCGGCCCGACTGATCAAGGTCGGGGTACCCCACACATGTGCCGGGCATGGTGCTCGTTACAGGTAACTCGGCTATTGTTGACCTGGGAGAACCCACTTGATCAGCTATACCTGATCTAGCATACTAAAGTGAAGTTCCCCACATGATAGTCGGTGGCTTGTATTAGGTAATACTCGTCATTGTGCTGTTATTCAACATCAAGGGCTCATACTTCTCAGGGTCCTGGGTCCGGTGTTTGCTTTCCCACGGCATGAGTGCTTAGCTTGGGCTTCTTGGAGGACTGCTGCTGATATACACGTCACTGAGCAAAAAGATGGCTCCAATTGATCTGCACACAGTGGTTGGGACACTTTCGGCATGTTGTGGACCAGCCAAAGGAGCGTTGTCAACAGCCCGCTGGACAAGACCACTGAAAATGACAGACAATTACAAACCACCCACGTGGAAGAGATGCGCTTATTGTGAAGCAACTTTCTCAAAGTTGGGGCACTTGCGGCGTCATCAAAGATGGCGTAAGCTTAGATATCCTAGGAATATCATCGAGCGGCTTCCTAGCTGAGCAGTCTCATATAGACACTGGAGAACAGCCATTCAAGTGCGCATTCCGTGGGCGAAGATATGCTCGAAGCTATGCGTTGCGCTTGTTCTGAGATAGACGAGCTAAGGCTCAAATGCTGATTGTTGCATGACAGTGATGTGCTGGCCAGGCGTACCCGAAATCATCATCCAACCGTCGACGATGGTCCAGAGGATATTCTGATCGACCCCGTGGTGCTTCCTCAAATATTCAGGAACACCCTCACGTCTCAGAGCCACCTGGTCGGGCCCATACTCCAACTCAAACCCAACATCTGTCTTCAGAAGTCAGTGAGATGAATTTCATATTAGAAGGGCCAACAGAAGCGACAACAGCCACGGTCTAATGTGTCGGCATCGTCCCCTCGACAAATTGCGGTCCACAATCAACAATAGCAACTCAAATTCCTTCGATGCGACCGAGAGCAAGGCTCGAGAACAGACCAGGTGATATTTCACTGGCCTGGAAATCCCCAATCCTGGCCCCCTGTTCTTCGAACAGATAGTCGAAAAAGCCAAGAACCAGCCGTCCATGCGAGCGGTGATGTGTCGAACGTTCAATTCAAAGAAAATGACCACTTCATTCCTACTGCTGGAGCATTGGCACTTGACGATGATATAATTGGACCATTTCAGTTATCTGGCATTCGCCATGGTAAACCGGAGCAGAACAACGAAACCTCGCGGACGGTACGTCTGCCACGCGAGCACAATTCCATCCCTCCACAAGCCAAAACTATAAATCCTTCTATCGGCCATCAGGATTTCACGATACCTACCTCGCCTTATCCGGAGGAGATGGACATCGGCGGCTTGGCGGGCGCGGAACTGATCGGATTTGATACGGAAGATATTGATTTCACACAGACTTACAATTTCCCCGACCTGCTCTGGCTTGAGTCTACTATCATCGACCTACCGGATTAATTTGGATAGCCCCACCACATTCCTCCCTACTCCAATTGAAGACCATACGTCGCGTAAGGATCAATTGCCTAACATTGGTCTATCTGCAGACAGACTTTAGTCGCGTTCAGAAGGCATGGTTAACAAAATTAGTTCGACCCATTCGACTAATACGAAGACTTTAGCAGACCGCTCTCCAACATCCAGCTGACAACATCTTGTGTCATGGTGGCACAGAATCTCCAAGGCAGAGTCCTCAGCATAGTAACCTAGCAAGCTCAAGGTGGAACATGGATGCTAGCTGCAGGGAGAGGCTCTCGCAAGACAGCCATAAAATCTTTGGCAAAGAGGAGTCTCTTTACGGCATACCAGTCGATCAGAGCAACATTCCTCGGAGTTGGGCGCCGACGACATACGAAACCCATTTTGCTTCGGTTGAGATGTTGGATATGAGCCTGGACCTCTATTTCCAACGCTTCCATCCATCCATGCCTTTTGTACACCGGGCAGCCTTCGATGCAAGGACAGCACCAAGCGGGGTGCCTTTTCCGATGTGTCTTATTGGACTCTCATCACTAGGTCCCAGAGGTTTCAGAGAAGTTGTTCGCAACGAACGATGGTAAGTACAGTGCTACTGTTATTGCTCATACGATCTCTGCTGATCGTGATTTTGAGAAACTTATCGATTCCTGCCAACTGAAGCTTACATCCCAAGCCCTTGGCAAGCGTCCACCGTTGGAGCTCATTACAGCCATAGCTGCCTCATTGCTTGTGCTCAATCTTGCACATTGCATCTCAGTAAGTAACGGCTATCCTAACCACTTGTTTTACTATCTTTCTAATGAGTATGAAGCTACGACTCAATGAAAATGAAGCTCACATACAGTGCATTCAGACTCTATACGTGCGTAAGGGAGGCCACTTCAAGTTCTATGCATCTGACTCACCCAGGCTTCAGAAAAGCATGAGTTATTTGCGGCAAGTAACCGGCAAAGAACTAAGCCACAATTTTATGTGTCCAGCCTTGGACCTACAACGCCTGTGGAAGCCTTGGGCGCGTGTAGAATCCGTCAAGAGGGATAGCGAAGGCAAAGGCATTTCTCCCAGTCATAGTGGGCTTTCGAAGACGAGAATTGAACAGTTTTGAGTAAGAGTTGAACCCTCCGCCACAGACCCATCAAGAGAAAACAAGACTCACCTGACCAGTACCGACCGACTTGCACAAAGGAAATTCTTTAAGAATCTAATATATTGAGGAAATCTACGAGGTACTCAACGCGGTAAAACTTAATACTTGCATGAAAAGTAGATCCGACTTCTCCAGAACTTCAATCTCGACTTTAGTATTGGCATGGCGGACTGATTCCTCATCATTCAAGACTCTACTGAGCAATGAAAATTCCGAAGGGCAAACCTGACTCTCGCCCAAGCACAGGCTGCTCCGAGGTGGTTCCGCTCAGGCCCTTCCAAGCTGCTTTAAGGTGCTTACGCCCAGACTGTTCAAACTGATCAAAACGCTACTAAGGAACGGATGATGTCTGCTCTAGAGCCTGCTGTGGCCCAAGTCTCTACCGAGGCTACTCAAACCGCCCAAGGACCGACTCAAACTGCGCCCACCCAGACTCTCCAACCCAACCAAGCTACCCACTCCCAGCAATTTGCCAACCCAAAGAGTAGGAAGAGAGATTTGTGAGGCCAGAGAGGGGTATGTTGCACGATATGCTTCAATTGTTCAACATTGACGTGATCCAGAGCGACAAAGGGCAAACTGCTGCAGCACAGCGAAACCCCAACTTCGAAGAGTTGATAGGTGCACTAGTCCCTGCCATCTCTCAAACTATCTCTGCTAAGGCTTATCAACCCGTGCCCCACATCACCCAGGAGGCCACCCAGCAGCCTGTCAAACAAGCCGCCCCAGCTGTCGGGCTGCAAGAGCAGAGGAAGAGGCGGCCGAGGGCATGGGAGAGTACGCACAAAGTTCTTGATTGTGATTCAGGTACTAATAAGCCGTAGAGAGGCAACAAGCAGCAGGAGTCCTCCGGACGCAGACCGATTTCCAACTCCTCTGGAGTGAGATTGTGTTGGTTGCTTCAGGTGCGGTGGTCGGTTGGTATTTTTTCGGTGCTTGGGTGTGGTCTCTCAAGCTGGGAGGAAAGGCCTTGATCAACGACGTATATTACTTAACTCTTTGATGAGAGACCGTGGCCGATCTTGAGACATGTTGGTGATGAAGAAATAGTGTGTGTAAACGAGTCAGGAGGCTCCTGTAACTGAACGCTTGCTTCCCTTCTACCCCCTTGTTACTCTGACTTTCCGGAATCAAAACCATCTTTAGCTATCCTGCCAGATGCTGCTGGGACCGAACGCGCTCCTTCCGCTTCATCTTTCAAGAACTCTATGGCATCTCACCCTTCATCGGAGTCTCATTACTTACGTTTATGCTAATCTGGTGCCGACGAGCCCGTCTAGATACCGGCAAGAAGCTCTCATCACAACAGCACTCCCGAGCTCGCCGCGATATCCCCAGAAAGTACCCCAGATGCTTTGACTCCGACGATCTAGACCACGAAATCCTTACAGGCATGGAATTATATCATATTCCGATCTAGTGATTGCAAAGCAGAACAACTGGAGCGATCTAGCCCGCCAGCGGCGTTGTGGAGGAGCTCAAGTTCGCTCGTCCTGGTGCAGTGGAGCTCGGGGGCCAAAACACGGCTTACACCCGCTACTCTGCAGATGCCAATGGTGGCATAAATCCGGAGGAGAGATTGCGGAGTAGGCTAATAGACTTATGTCTCCACTGCTGTTGAGCCGTGGATGTCCTAATGGAAAGCCATGAACATTTTAGCGGCGGACAAGGCTTCAAAGGCGATGCACCACGATAGACTTGGCGTCTACGCAATCGCTAGGGAAGGGCTGTAGTGTTCGGGCTAACATCTGCTAATACTAGATCGAGCTCACTTACAGCGTCGTGGTAAATTTCAACCAGAATGTATTCACCTGCCATCAACTGGCAGTGGGTCAAACCCCTAGCTCCAGCCAATCAGCATTCAGAGCCCCTGAGCTCCCCGAGCCTTGTCGCATTCTGGGCCACACATGCACGCCCATTTAACCTTCGTTTGCATGTTTGATGAGCTGCTTCGCTAGCTTGCCCAATAATTTTAGTTCTGAGAAGCTGTTCCGAATTTCCCGGGGCTTACATTTGAGGTTAATACTCCGGAATTACCGACTATACAAATCCTAGCGCCTTCGTATAATGTGTGGCATTGAGTTGCTGGTATTGACTGGCTGGTCGGGTTTTCTCAAAGGCCTAGAATCTCGTATTCAAAAGATATATCCAAGACTTGGGCCTGAATCGAGAGAGATCCAATCCCTCGAAAGGAGGGGAAGCTGGAGAATCATGCCTGCATCGTTGTTTCCAGATCCCGTGATCGCCTTTCCCCCGTTTGTGGACTTTCCATCCCACGGGGCTTTGCCTGAACCAATCATGGTGGGCTTGGTCTCATTTGATACAGTTTACGACGCTTCCAACGTTATCGTCAAACACTGCCAGCGGACACGAGTGCTGCGGACGCTTTTCGTTCCGTGTTTCTTGACCTATGCGAAGCAAAGTGGCCCGCGGCAGTTGATCCGATTTTACCCCTTGCCGAAACAAAACATAAAACGAACGCGTATCTGTTATTCGGCCTTTATACAAATTTCTCACCGCATTTTCTGTAAGCATTGCATGCGCTTCCATCACAATGACATCCAACAAAGTGCCTGAAAAACAAGTCGATGAGGAGACTGAAATCGCAAAACCAAAGCATGTGGAAGAGGTGGATGAAAAGAGCCACGGTACGACTGAAGATGTAGTTCGACTCGAGACGCAAGACTCAAACAAATCGGATAATCTCGACAATCTCGTCTACGACAATGAAGAAGAGGAGCCCGAACTTCACACACGGACATACCTTGCGCTTGGTTCCATCTACCTACTTCTCGTTGGCCAAGGTCTTGCTTTTCAAGGACCTCCATCCGTTGTGAGTGAACCCGTCCTTGCTTTGTCACTTGCCGTGACAGCCGCTAATCCAAGCTTCCCCATTCAGCTGCCCTATATCGGTGCGGACCTTGGAGATACCGTCCAGCAAGCTTGGATTCCCAATGCGCTCATCTTGGTTCAGGCAGTGCTTGGGCCAGTCATCTGTTCCGCGTCGGACGTGTTCCAAGCTCGAAAACCCATCCTGGTGGCCTCTTGTCTCTTGTCATTGGTAGGATCAGCCATTGCACCCGGAGCAACGAATAGTACGTTGAGCCCTACTGGCGCCTTCATGGAGCGCTCTGCAGATTCCAAGTCAAGTCAATACAGGTTCTAATGGTGCCGCAGTAAACAGAGTCATTGGGGCACAGTGTCTGCTTGGCGTCGGACTAGCAGCTGTACCACTCAGCTATGTGGTTCCCAGCGAGATATTGCCTCGAAAGTGGAGACCCAGTAAGGACCTTCCTTCCCACTTTTTATTCCAACCAGCCGCTTACGTTTGTATAGTGGCTCAAGCCTCCACGGGGATCATCGCAGCACTTATGGCCGTGGTAGGACCCTTGTCCATTGGCGCATTGATCAAGAGAGACAGCCATAACGGCTGGCGACAGTACTACGTACAGATACACCGTCTCCTTAATACGAATATTGTTGACGCCCTTATTAGTGGATCGAGTTTGCCTTTTGGGCGGCAGCTGCAATCGGCATACTTTTGGGCTACCGCCCTCCAAAGAGACACACCCGCCTAGACCATCTATCATTCTGGCAGAAACTAGGTCACCTCGACATCCCCGGGTTTTTCTTGCTCACTATTGGCTTGACGCTATTCACCTTCGGTCTCAGTGTCGGTGGCGGTGTCTACCCGTGGGCTAGTGCGCGCACATTAGCAACCCTCGTCGTTGGGTTTGTTTTCCTTGTACTTTTTGGAATCTACGAATGGAAATGGACTACAACGGGAGTACTCGATCATGAATTGTTCCGAGGAGGAAAGGACCGAGGCAGGACTTTCGCCATCTGCAACGCACTGATATTCATCGAAGGTGTTCTCGGCATGGGATTTATTGTCTTCTACGGGGTCGTGTACGTGTTTCGCTGGCTACCCCTTCCCATCTTGCTAATTGATCAATGACAGGTCGAACTTTCTGTTCACTCAAGACCCTTTCATGACAGCTGTCCGTGTGATGGCATTTAACGGCTTCTTTCTTTTGAGCTGCCCATTCTGGGGTCTTGTCAGCACCAAATTCCGCATAGTCCGAGAACCTCTGCTTGCGGGATTCGTCTTCCTTACCGCCGGCACTGTCGGCATGGCGACTTTACAACCGGGACAAAATGCGAACCAGCTTATCTTCGGAGCAATTGGAGGCTTCGGGTTTGGTTCTCTACTGATTTTGATAGTGACTGCAGTCCAATTGTCAACGCCACACAGTCACATCGCAACGGCGACAGCATTGACGAATTCCAGTCGATCAGTAGGAGGTCTTATTCTCACTGCCGGTATGAGCACGGCCTTGTCTAATGGTCTGATCTCGAAGGTCCCGAGCTATGTCGCCAAGGCTGCAGTGACTGCTGGGCTTGCAAGCAGCTCAATCCAGGCGTTTGTTGGGGCTCTTGCCGGCAACGATCAGAGCGCCTTAGCCAGAATTCCTGGTGTAACTCCAGAGATCACTGCCAAAGGTCTTGCGGCACTACAACAAGCCTATGCAGACTCACTTCGTGTGATATTCATAATGGCTGCTCCCTTTGGTGTGGTCGCCATCATAGCGTGTCACTTCCTGGGCGATATGAAGAAGACAATGACCTATCGCGTGGATGCCCCCATTGAGGACCTGCATGCTAAGCACCACCATGATCAGATGGCGCATATGCACTAATGGGCATTGGTCACCGCAAATTTCAGTGGGCGTCGAGCTGGGTTCGCAAATCATCAGGAAATCCAGCCGGTCACCTTGGTCAGATGTAGGCAATCTGTGATCAGAGCACGCAGCGTCAGATATTGCTGAGTACTACAGCCAAAGAGCTCAGCGGCCTTCCGTAATGGGCGAAAGTGTCAGAGCAAGCCTCTCAAAGTTTCTCTCACATATATGTTAGAGGTTATAAGCTCCAGATCAGACTGCCAACTGCGAGTCATAGTCCTCCCCCCGCACAACGATACACGAGCGTTGCACCCAATAATATTCCCTACGCGCTCCTTGAGGCAGCCGTCGGTACAACTGGAGAAATTTTTTGCTACTAAGTCTAGAAAATCTTGGGCAAGATAGCGCTTTCGAGCGCTTTGAGTACTAATAAATACTTGAACTGCTTGAAGGTTCTTGAATACCTCAGGGACACTACAGTCCACGGTCCACTGTCAGCTACCCGTGCTGTCTGTTCATCACTCTCAAGAACTTCCCTTCGGTTCCCTCTAAGATTCGAATGTGAACAGCAACATCGTGTTCGTGTTGAAAGCTTCCTCACTCATGGAATACAATCTATACATGATTCAATCAGCGGGGCATCCACATTTCACAGTGTAGGATCAGAAATTTGGAGATCACAAACGGTTTGTGTGCCGGATGTTCAAGATACAGAGGCATGACCTCCGGACTCTCGAACGTCAGGACGAGTCCCCATTCATATCCCCGATTAAATGACCTGGTAATCTCCATTGCCTTGCCCGCGTCAACAGACAATAAGCCCGGAATCTGTCCAACCATGGCCTTCGCTGTGGCCATGAAGTTGTCGACTTGAGCCTTCGTCGTCCCTTCTTTGGTTTGGAATAGTGCTTGAAGAGATCGTTGGTTAGTAGAGTGATCGTGGATGCTTCAACTGCAAGTCACGCCTGAGACGACGCCGTGGCGGCGTTTTAGGTCACTCACATATATGACGAACGGTCATTTTCTTGTATATTGATTTAAATGCGATAATTTTAAACTCGGAGCGTTTACATATAGGCAGTGGGAGTAGTCATTGACTCTAGAGCTGTCTCTTCCTGAGACGAGCCTCAACCAACTTCAACCAATATGAGGTCTGTTCGCCGATGAGCTCGTTATCCCCCATCCCTCCTTTGACCAAGTATGCTCGAATATCGATTCATAAAGTTCCGCCAGTCTTTCAGCATTGTAGATATTTTGAAGCACTCGGGATACAACTCTTAAACCCCGATCACGCGACTGGGTTATTTTTCAGTGGAGACATGATAGAACACAAATTCATCGTAGAATTCAATTTTCCATTGAAGCCACGGTCTTTACTCGAGCTTATCTCCGGAAAACTTCATTATCTTCCCAGAAAAATTGACGGTGAACAGTGAATGTCGGACTTTATTGACGGCATCTTCAGTACAAGACAAATGGCCAGTGCCGGAAAGTCTATATGATTGTCGTGTATATCTCTATGAATTCACCAAATACTCTGAATTGCAAGTTTATCTGAAAGCAATGCCCCAATCAGCCATGATGTACCCGCAAACACCAAAATGGTTTGACCCCGACGCCGTTGGCCTCATTCGAAAAGAAGCAGTGAATCCCAAGGAGGGCAAATACCCTGGATTACGGCCAAATTTAGTCGAGCATATCGATGGAATGGAAATTATTCGAGACGTGGCGGTGCCCATGCGAGATGGTGTCAAGATTTACGCCGATATCTTTCGCGCCAAAACGTTGACCGGCAGCAAACTTCCAACGTTGATGACCTGGTCTCCATATGGCAAGCATGGACCGAAAACATTTGATCTCTTTCCTGGGTCAGGCGTTCCTAAAGGGACTGTGTCGCGTCATGCCGTTTGGGAAGGCTGTGACCCTCTCTACTGGACCAAGCGTGGTTATGTGGTTCTCAACGGCGACAGTCGCGGATCTTGGGGCTCGGAAGGCACACTTGAGATCTTGAGCCCTCAAATTGCCTATGATGGCTACGACGTAATCGAGTGGATTGCGAGCCAACCATGGTCGAACGGGCGCGTTGGTCTTTGTGGTGTGTCCTATCTTGCCATTGTTCAGTGGCGAATCGCCCAGCTGAATCCACCGCATCTTTCTTGTATCAACCCCTGGGAAGGATACACAGACGCCTACAGAGACCACACCCATCCTGGCGGCATCCCAGAGACCAAGTTCCTGCATTTCTCGGATTGGTCGTGCCAATTCTCTGCCGAAAAGACTGAAAATTGGTATCTGTCCAACCAGACACATGAACTGATGGACGACTACAACCAATCCAAGCGAGCCACAGATTTACCGGCAATTAAAGTACCGGCATATATCGTCATCGACTGGGGCGACCATGGACTCCATACGAGGGGAGCATTGAACGGGTTCACATACATCAGTTCGAAGCAAAAGTGGTTAGAGGTCCATGGCCGAAAGAAATGGCAGTATTTCTATCAAGAGTCCAGTCTGGCCCGACAAGAGGCTTTCTATCGTAAATTCCTCAAGGACGAACCCAGCGAGGTGGATGAATGGCCGCCTGTGTACATAGAAATACGGGATCAATTCTATCAGGGACATTGGCGCGACGAACAGGAGTGGCCACTGAAGCGCACACGATTTGCGATGAAATACCTGGACAGCGCTTCAAACGAGTTGAAAGATGAACTCCCGGCTGATCTCTCCAGCGTTTCCTACGACTCAACCACAGAAGAAAATGCTCAGTTCACCTATACCTTCAAGCAGGAGACCGAGCTTACCGGGAGTATGAGATTGAGATTATGGGTCTCTACCACTGAAAGCGACGACCTAGATCTGTTTGTCCGACTTGACAAATTGGACGAAAAGGGCGAAACACTTCCCTTCGTGGCCTTTTCCATGTTCGACGACGGACCTCTAGCACTAGGCTGGCTGCGGGCCAGCCATCGAGAACTGGACCCATCCTTTACCCACCATAATCGACCATGGATGAAACATCAGCGGAAATTACTCCTCAGACCAGGCGAGATCGTCCCTGTTGACGTGGAGATAGTTGCCAGTAGCACTCGCTTTCTGGAGGGGGAGTCCTTGAAGGTTACGATTCAAGGCACCGACGCCTTTAGCAACGATGGTGTCGGCCCGTCCATGAAACATGAGAATTCGGTCAACAAGGGCAGACATGTCATTCATACTGGCAGTGTATTTGACTCCTATCTAGTTACGCCAATTATTGACCCTTAAGAAGGATGAAGTGGGATGAGAGTGCTAGCTTCATAGACAAAATAAACTTGTTGATTTATGTTCTCATGATTTAATATGGTGCATACTGTGCATGACACGCTTACTGTCATCCCTCTTACGTGTAACTATGGAGGGAAAGGAAAACATTTTGCGACAAGCAAGTACAGATGATTGCCATGACGGTTTGCAAGCTGTTGGTAAGATGCAATCACGGAGCCCAATCTCACTCAGCAATCTCACAACCTGCTTCCAAAACTCTCCCAGTTTTTAACATCTCCCGCACCTCGGACCCAGCGAGCCGGTACCGTAGGAGCATTTGTCGTATCAATTGCCATATTCGCAATTTGTAACCAACCAGCGGCCTTGAGTGGAAATCTTGCGGACAACTCCTGTCTCTCTTCGTAAGGATTACATACTTTGGAGCCGTGAGCCAAAGCGCGAACCAACTTGGAAATATGACCGTCGTCATAGGTGATGCTGTTGGTAGTCTCGATAATTGAGGCCCAGGACCTGCCACTTTCGCGTGGCTTGTAATTGACGACTTCTTCGTTGTGAAGCTCAGGAGCCAGTCGTGAAGCATACTGGAGGATGTCCATCCTCACCTTCCATTCGAGCAATCGAGCTTTATTTTCATCACTTAGCCATGGCTGTGCATTGATTGCCGAAAAGAATATTGAACAGTTGACCGAGTGGATGAAGAAGAAGTCAAGCTTGACCTCCTTGTCGTGCCTCTGCGCGGCGCCCGCCATCCATGCGTTGACATTCATCATCTCGGCCGTTCTCAAGTCGAGATCTTGCACGTCGACTCGCCATTTGGATGCTATCTCTATGACTCTCTGAGGAGCATCTGCAAGAATTTTGTCAAGCAAGCTGTCGCCGCCATCCCAATAATTCTTGTCGTAGAGGGATGGGTCTTCCCTGATTTCTTTCATAAGATCCAACAATGGTGGGCACTCTTCATTTGTTCGGCCTTTTGCCAGCTGCTCAGCTTGAAGAAGAAATGGCCCAAAGAAGTTATTGTGGCAAACTGCTTGAGCCAATGCTTCGGCAATGATGGGAGGCTGCTGGAATTCGATTCCGAATCCAAAATGGATGAGAGGATGAATGATACCGGCATGAAGTCGTACCAATAAGTCGTCTGCAAGCTCCGTTCGAGAGAAGAGATAATCATTGACGACCTTCTGCCAGCCTTCCGCTTCAAATTTGCATTGAAAGAAGGCGGTATAGTCGTTGAAATAGGTGTCATTTCCGACCAAAGACTTGAAGAATCTCTCATTAGAGAGTTTTCTCACTATCGATTCATCAACAGGAATTCGTGGCCGTTGATAGCTGATATTAGTGTCGAATGCAGTTTGCAATTGAGCGGGGTTGGCTCCCAGCGCGTAGGCTGTCAGGAGATAGTGGACTTGGTGATTGTGGTAGCCCTTGAAATTGAAGAACACGTGGAATGCAGCATGATTTGCCCGAAGCAGGGAAGCAGTCCGCTCTGCAGAGTCTTTTGATACCTCCGGAACGTGGTAGACTCCGGTCGTTGACACCGTCAGAGGAAAGTCTGTCATTTTGTTGTTGGGCACTAGCTAGAATATGGGTGAAGGGCATAACAACGATTGTCAATCCTCATTATATCCTGTACATCATAGTCGTAGCCAGGCACAGAGTCGACGAGGCCCCAGTGGACTGACACGTTGATGGTACGACTGGAAAGTGCAAGATTGCGGTCTTCCTATGCCACTCTCTGTAACTGCTTTCCAGATCTGGTAGGGTGGGTCCAGAAGGCCTAGACAAATAAGGTCTCTAGCCACAGACAGTCAAAGCCGAGAGAAGGCGATCACCTGATCTCGATTCACAGTTTCAAGCAGACTGCGCCTAAGACGTCTACAAGTATTAGCTTCATATTAGCTTGAGGCCCGGTGAACTCATGCTGCTCGGGAAAATGCCAAGATTCTCAAATTGATTCCGACGATGGCTAGGATGCCATTTCATAAAAGCGGGGTGGGGTATGTTGACGAAAAAACCTCGACACCAAGCATCAGCGATACAGGAGCAGCAAGCTGCCAGAGGGGTTCGTCTCGAGAACAAGGTCTGTCTTATTACAGGCACTAGAACGAGTATGGGGCGAACGGCAGCACTCTCGTTTGCCAGTGAAGGCACAAAGGTAGTTGGCTGTGATGTCAACGAGAAGGCAGATATTCAGACCTCGTACCTGCTGCGCAGTGCTGGTGGCAAGGTGGAATCTCTGTCCTTTTGTGACATAGCCAAGGTTGATAATTGTCAACGACTTGGGGATTTTACCATAGGAAGTACGGCCGGCTGGATGTCCTTTTCAACAACGGTGCCGCCGCATATTTCGCCTGGGTAGATGATCTTCCCGACAACATTTGGTACAACACAAGCAACCGGGAGCTTAATTTCGTGATGCTGTTGACCCGGGCGGCGTGGCCATACCTCAACGATCATCTCAACTGGATCTTTCAACGGCATAATCCCAGGTCCAGACTTTCCCGGCGTTGCACACCGAGTTGCAAAAGCAGCCGTGGTAGTGCCAGGGCGGCAATTTACGATGGAGAGGCACAGAGATGGTATTCGGGCAAATACTGTCTCTCCTGGCCTCCTCCAGACCAATGTGACCAGAGCCCCGATGGAAGACCCGAAATGGCTGGAAACCATAACTACGAAGATTATGCTCGGACACCCTGGCAAGCCTGAGGAAGTCGCGACAACCGCACTCTTTTTTGGCATCTGATGAGAGTTCCTACATCACGGGAGCGAATATTCCCATGGATGGTGGCAGCTCAGCGTGGTAGAGAGCACGTAGATCAGCGGAAAATTCAACCATCGTCTCGTCTTCCATAATGCTACCTGATCCGCCACGGCTAATCCAGGCTGGCTTATTCGCCAACTATGCCTGTGAGCGATCTTTTCGCCTACAGACAAAGAGTACAAAATCTTCTGTGAAAGTTCTGTTCTAGCTGTGGAGATCGTGGGTCTTGGATCTGGCGTGGGCCACAGTATGCCGATCGCGTGATGTCCGTTTCGTCCGCGCTATTTCAAATCCAGCTCAACCCTGGAATTCCAAATGCCACTGACAAGATCGACAGCAAAAGGTCATGGACTACGCATACCAAGTCACTGCGTTGTGGGTGAGCGCCTTGTTTCTTATTTCACATCAAATCTCTTCACGAAGAAGCTCAAGTGTCTTTGCTTATTGCTCATTACCCCCTTTCAACGCTGTCCGACCATGTCTTCCTTAACGGTCGGCATAGCTGGCATCTCCGGAAAATTTGCCCTCCTTCTGGCGTCCTGTCTGCTCGAAAGAGATCCCAAAATCAAGATCAAAGGTCTTGCGCGAAGTCCGTCAAAAGTCCCGAAAGCGCTATCTTCCGCACAGAACCTGGAATTGATCCAAGGCGATGCTTTCGAGGTCGACAACATTCGACAGTTCGTGCGTGGATGTAGTGTTATAGTTTGCTGCTACCTTGGGGATGATCACCTCATGATTGACGGGCAGAAGCTGCTTATTGATATCGCCGAGGAGCAAAATGTCCCACGCTACGTTGCGTCGGACTGGTCGACAGATTGGACGAAACTTGAAATGGGGGCTCTTTTCTCCAAAGAGCCGTGCCAACGCATCAAGGCATATCTTGACACTAAGACGGCCATCAAGGGTGTACATATCCTGGTCGGCGGATTCACTGATGTTATTTTCGCACCATTTTTCGGAATCTACGACTCCAAATCATTTACTTTCAGTTACTGGGGCACCGGCGACGAGAAATGGGAATGTACAACATATGCCAACTCAGCCGAGTATACTGCTGCCGTGTGTCTGGACCAAAGCGCTGCTGGTGTCTTAAGATGCAAGTTGAAAGGATTTGAATCCGGGAAAGCGAAGGGCTTACTATTTTGACAGTTGTCGGCGACGTCAAAAGCACGCTCGAAATCTCCCAAATCTTTCAGAAAGCCTATCACATCAAGCCAAATTTAGTGGGTCATGGGTCTCTGGCTGAATTACATACAAGGATGATTGAAGAGAGGGGAAAATATGGTGCAGATTTCTATAAGTACGTGTTCTAGTGAGTATCACCCATTGCACTGAGGTCGAAGAGCATAGAGTACTGAAGACCACGCCAGTTGGTATCATTACTTTCAACTTTCGGGAAAATCGTTCATGGGCCCAAAGTACGACAACGAAATGTATCCAGAGATCACACCAGTCACGATTGAAGATTACATGCGACAGACAAAGCCTGGGAGTCTCGGTGGAGCATCCTTTGCTTGGGAGAAGAGGACAGAGAAGAATTGATATTTCCTGTTGCCCAGCTAAGATAGACCTTTTTTTCTTTCTCTTTCGTTGCAGATTCGGACGGGTAAAGTACAGGCACAGTTACTCCTAAGAATTTCAAGACCTTTGGAGTAATCAAAGTCATTACCATTTTTTCACCAGGGCTATAAAACAGTCCCGAAAGCTGTAGGAACAGTCTTCTCAGAGTGAAAGCCCTTTAAGCAACACGGTGTACTCACAATTCACCCACCATAGTCGCGAGGCGGCGTACCTGTCTGGTGAATTCGTCCTCTACCATATCGGAAACTGAATGAGATCTCGTGATCGGTTTGTAGATCCTAGTGAGGTCTCTCCTCAAGGCACTTGTCTGTGCGATGGCCAGCCTCATCAACGACATGGAATAATGTGATATAACTAGTATAGATAAAGACGTGGAGAAGAAGCATGTCTATCTACATCCTCGACCGATGAACACAAAACAAAGCATTGCTCACAAAGTGAATATCAGCCATGAAACTCGAACAAGGTCAAAAGTTATTGATGAGTACCCTCCGCCCCATTGTCAGTGAACGTACTGACATTGGATTGTTCCGGTTGCTATTTGGCCTCTTCGGCCTGATCTTTCTTGGGAAGTTTGTTGTCAAGGTGATACACGCATGATTACCCACGAAGCTACTATGGACTAACGCACAAGTCGGAAGGCCATATACCGAGTCTTCTTCCATCCTCTATCCGGAATACCCGGACCTCTGCTAGCTAAAACGGTCGAATGGTACCTGGTGCCCGCCCAGGCGAGTCTTCAGCGTGCCCATGTAAGCTCCAAGCAGTTTTCATTTCAAAGCTCGCATGACTGACCGTGGGGCCCACCAGAGACTACGTGCACTGCACCAAAGATATGGTGCTGTTGTTCGAGTGGGTCCGAATGAAGTCTCCTTGTCGGGCTGGACCGCATATCGAGACATCTACAGCCGGAACACGACCAAAACAGAGCATTTTTACAAGGACACGAGACTTACAGGTCACGAAAACCTCTTCACATTCCGTAACAAAGAAGCGCATGCCGCTCGCCGAAAGCTACAGAATGTCTCGTACTCTCAACAATCGATACTTGCAAACGAGTCCTTCATTGCTGAGAAAGCTGACGTTCTTGTAAAAAGAATTATGAAAAATGCCAATGAACCCTCCTCGAGCCCTACCACGGATGTCTATCCACTCTGTGGTCTTTTCAGCTTGGAAGTCATCCTAGGTAGCGCGTTTAATCGACACTACGGAGAGTCTGTCAATGGCGACTCGTTGGCCTTGTTGAAGGCGATTGAGTGCACGGGGGTCGCAGGACAAGTAAAAACCGCGCTACCTTTTATTACCAGATCCAGAGGTATTTACATGCCTGGCTTCTTGGGACATTGCTTTCGGCAATGGGATTTATGGGAAAAGATGACACAACAGCTATCCGAAGAATTTCAGAAAAACGAGATGGATGCTGACGCGGCGGAAAGATTCACGGTGACACCAATGGTGAAGCACGAGGATACGTTTCTGCACCGAAAGCTGAATCAGCAGGAAATTATCGAGGAGCTTATGGGGTTGACTTTTGCGGGCAGCGGGACAACATCCACGACCTTGATTTATTTGACTTACTCGTTGGCCCGAAATGCTCCTATTCAAGACCGACTGCGACAAGAGCTTCGAGGTGTCAAGGATGTCACAATAAAGGGAGTCCAGGATTTACCTCTACTCAGCGCCATCATCAAAGAAACAATGCGCCTCTATCCGGCCATTATCTCCACCCTCCCACGAGTCTTGGACCGCGCAATGACGATTGACAAACATATTCTACCAGCAGGCACGTATGTTGGCATGCAGAACTTTGTGCACCAACGAGACTCGAGCGTTTTCCACCAGCCGGACGACTTCATCCCAGATCGATGGCTGATCAATGACCAGGATAAGTTGAAAGAAATGAACGCGGCTCTGACACCTTTTTCCGCGGGACCGAGAAATTGCATTGGCCAGAACCTGGCCAAAGCAGAGCTCTATCTGGCCACTGCAAAGATATTCAATAGCCTGAAGCTCGGTCTCAATTCCAGCATGACGCAATGGGACATGGAGATGGAGGATCGATTTGCCATGGCATCTCGAGGAAAACGATTGCTGGTGGATGTGGAGGTTCTGAGTCGACAAGACTGAATCGTCCTTCTTGGAACTGGTCAAACTGCCTTATTAACACAGTCGATATATTGAGTGAATCCCCATCAAAAACAGGCGCTCATAGATGTCTTCCACAGAGCGTCTAAACAACTGCAATTCGAGGCATTTAGCATTCATCAGGTATTGCACAGATAGCTGCGATTACACTATTGATGCAACTCCTTCTGACTTCTCACATTTCAAGCTGATGGAGCGTCAAGGAGAATATCTGACCAGACGCTTTGAAGACCACGGGAGCCAACAAAAGGCTCGACGACTATACCCTCGTTGACCCAAGAACATCGCCTCCCATAGCTATAGGCTGCTTGTTGCAAAAATTGACAACGTCTCCAAACACGATGGCTGCCTCGGGGGAGACCATGGCCCTCTTCACGCACTCGGCATTGTCCCAGATAAGCAGCGTCTGCAAGGCGTACGAGGGCTTTGTGCCGTCCGCATTGGGGCCAAATTTTGTGACTTCCCATCCCTTGAGACCGTACGGGCCGAATTTCTCTTGGACGAGAGGCATATGTGTTTTGATATAGTAGGATGTGTCGAGTTTGAGATCGTGATCGTTGGGATAGAAAGCGCAGATGTGGTGAGGCATGTTGAAATGACAGATGCACTCGTCAAAATGAGAATGACCAGGATAACTGAATCTAAAGTATTGAGTGGCAGATGATCTGGGCCTAGTTGGCGTAGATTTTGTTCCCGGATGGCGGTGGAGGGAAGTTTTCTGGCCAGAGCATTGAGCTGCAAATATCACGTCCACGATCTATTAAGCATGGCAGGTTTTTAATAGAATATGCCGGCGCCAGAACGCGGTCAACGGTTGTTTCTGGTTGCATTCCACGGCCAAGCTTGACGGAGAATAGTCTCTAGACTGACGTAGCACTTTCAAATCCGTTGTTTCTGATTAACCGATCACATGCAGACATCCTATGAAGTCGTATTCTTCTGGTTGCCGACAGATAGGAACCGGATTCACAACCGACACAAAGGAAATTGAACGCCCTTCGGCTGAGCCTGACATGGATTGCTGTAGTAATCTCTTTGTCAGTGGCGACGACTTTTCCAGTCTTTATGAGTTTAGGATGCAAGACTAGATAAATGCGCAAGGAAACACTATTCATTTCAACAGAGTGGAGGCAGCAACACTTCTTGCAAAGTCTGCAACCTCAGTCGACCTTGCGATGTATTCTTGAGAGCTAAAATCCGACTTCGAACAATTTTGCAGCCGTCCCCGAGTACTAAAACCACCAATGTACAGATGATATAATATTATATCGTCTGCTGGATTATGGCTTAGGCATCAAGTCTATGATAGGAGCTGGATCCTTTTGCCCATCTGTCAGCTTAAGCATACCCGTGAGCCACAAGGCAACTTACAGAGAATATCTCAAGATGGTGGATCAGTAGCTGGCCATCCTTGTCCACGAGTTTAAAATGTGCCGCTGAGCCTCCTTCTCTCAGCTTTCCATCCGCTGGGACAATAGTGAATTTTCCAAGACTAATTATGTCCAGACCTTCCCTGTCCCCCAAATATATCTGCCGTATTTCATGTCTCAGCCCCGGCCAGGTTCTCCAGCCCCAAGCACGTTGCTCCGCTATCGCTGCTCGCCAGGTTAGAATGTACTCTCGGAGGTGCGTCGTGCGAATTCTTGCCCTACCTTTACGGCCCTTGATCGCAGGGATTTGCGACATGATATAAACTGCGTCTTCTGCGAACAACCCGCCATACGCTTCCGCAAACTCTTCTGAATCGGCGTCGAGGAGCTTGAAGAATTTTTGGAGAAATTTTCGGGTCCGCTCAGGCACGACCGAGTCAGGCCAAGAGATTGTGCCATTCGTGGTTGCCATCATGTCGAGTAGACTGCGGAGCATAGATCAGCTGATGAGGACGAGGAAATTTGCGAGATCGCGGACGCCAAATATCTGGCCGAGCTTGACTCTTTTCAATGTGCGCAGCTCAGACTCCGTCTGGAGTCTCACATAGGGAGACGGGCATAGATCGGCACAGATTCGCCGCAAAAATCTTTCCACCCGGTGGCTCAGAGTCATCCCGTCGAGGAGGGCTTTAAGAAACTTCCTCCCAAAGCTCGGCCGATGCTGTTTGGCCACGGTTATAAATGTATGCGAAAAGTCTGGGTTAGCGAAAAGGATGTGGGCGGGTCTGTGGGCAGTCCCACAGCGACTAACCACCCCATGGGGTGCCTCTCTTAGCTTGCAAAAGTCGGTCTTTGAGGTTGAGTCCCGATCCCGTGATCCCCATCCCCGAAGATGGTCGTTGTGCTCGTTCGGGCAGAAAGTTTGCCGGAACCCGAGAAACTTGAACAGGTGCCTCTTGTTCCCCTGTGCTGAGAATCATGGTTCACACCAGAACTTACGACGAATGCATGACGGATATGCTTCTCTAAGGGTGAACATCTCCGAAACTTCAATGGCGTCTTAACTCCGACCACGCGATGGATGGTCCATGACTGTCAATTGCAGAACCATAGCGAGAACGCATGGGTCTCATCAACATTCGCCAGTTTTTGCCTCGTTGTGGTAAGAGAGGCCTAAGCCTTCCTATGCGAAGAATGTACTTCCGGAATGAATGATGTAAGCTCCGCAACTCGTTGTCCTCAAAAGGGCCTCGAAGGGCTGGGATCCGATCACCAACACGTATCTCCCGGGGCCCCTGATCGAAGCTTATGAAGCGCCCTCCTAATCACAAATCACGGACCTTACTATTGCCATAATTCAGACAACAGACAACACACGGTACACGATGACTCCCAGCACAATGAAGTCGGCTCACGTCTACAGAAAGGGTAATGACGACATTGAAGTCAAGATCGTACAGATCCCCGTCCCCACGCCCGAGAAGAATCAAGTCCTCGTCAAGGTCGTCGTAGCAGGTTCAAACCCCAAGGACTGGAAGTACCCCTTCATCGATCCCAAGGCATCTGGAACAAACACAGGCGATGATGTCGCAGGATACGTCGAGGCGGTCGGGCCTGATGTCACCGAATTCCAAATCGGCCAAAGAGTTGCTGCCTTTCATCAGCCGCATACTTCGCATGGTGCGTACGGAGAGTATGCCATCGCAGGCGAGAAATATACGTTCCATCTCCCCGAGCATGTCTCCTTTGAAGAGGGAGTAACCATTCCGCTCACAGCAACGACAGCCGCAGTCGGCCTCTTCGCTTACCTCGGACTGCCGGAGCCGTGGCTGACAACAAAAGAGTTCCAACAGCGCAAGCCAAAAGGAGGTGTCCTCATTTATGGCGCATCCACGGCCGTGGGAGCGTTTGCGATAAAGCTACTCCAACGAGCGAACATTCACCCTATTATAGGCGTTGCTGGCAAAGGCATCGATTACGCAAGATCCCTGCTCGACCCGAGTAAGGGAGACCTCGTCGCCAACTATCGCGATGGCAGTGACCAACTCGTGCAGACAATTAAGAACGAATTGGAAAAGAGGGAACCGCTGATGTACGCGTTCGATACGGTCAGCGACAACGGCACGTACCAGAACGTCGTGAAAGTTCTCGACCCTAAAGCTCACATCAGCCTTATCCTTCCGGGTCAGGAATACAAGGAGGTTCCATCAAGCATGCTCAAGACAATAACGACGGGATCGAGCGTCTTTGGATTTCCGGATGATCTGGTTGATTTTGGGTTTGTGTGGACTCGGTGGTTTGGGGCTGGATTGAAGGAAGGTTGGTTAACTGGCCACCCATATGAGGTTATTCCTGGCGGGCTTGCTGGTGTGGAAGAGGGTCTCCGTAGACTGAAGGAAGGGAGGGCGAGTGCGGTGAAATATGTGTATCGAATTCAAGAAACCAAGGAGTAATTTGAACTGGGCTTGATGGCGTCGTCAACAAAGGGGGGAAGACCATTAGAATGAAGAAAATCGAGAAGGCCAGCTAGAGTATTAACATGACATGAACATCAGGCTATCATTCAGATATGGCACTCTTCTCTTCGGCTCAACTTTATCAGCTGTGCACAATCTTCGGGGTAGGCTGCTGATTAAACAGCGGCAAAGCAATCCTAATCACAGTTAGGATAGATACTCGGTATGGAGATGTGGTTCATACGTCGAAGGTCCAGTCTCGTGAGAAGAGCTCAAGATCAATTGGCTCCATCTCTTCTGATAGTTGTAATGGGGCTGGACTCTCCTCGGATTGCTGCACCACGCGATCGATCCATGCGTGGTCCGTGGCCTGCTGTTCCAGTTGCTGGAGGACATCTGCGTCGAACAGATCCTTATCGACAGCAGCCGACACCGAAGCCGCGGCCTGATGAAGCACATCGTTGTTGAAAATGGCGTTTCGATCGATGCCAGACCCCTCAAACCGCTGCTTGAGGAGTGGAATAGCCGCTGATGCGGTATATGATATTTCTGCGAGTACCTCGAGAGCAGAAATGACGACCGCAAACATGGTAAGGGCACTTTCGGTGGTTAATTTTTGCATGTTGTACAGAATGAAAATGGAAGAGCCGGTCCGGATGATGGCATTGGCCATGAGGTCAGGGTAAGGATCGAGAAGGAGGATATTAGGGCGCACGACATTGTCGGTACCCAGGTATCGAGTCTGTAAGGCGAGATTGAGCGCGATGATAATGCTTCGACACGCGCAGAGTCGTAGGTCATACGGGGTGGTGTTCTGGTCAATGAAGACGAATGTTGACGGTAGCGCGTCGACCAAGATTAGATTGCCAACTTGAAAGTGAATATTCAGCAGTGCTGGAGCTTCTGTTAGTGGGCTGATAACGTGGTCTCGTCTGTCTTGTCTCTCACTTACTCCAATACTGCAGAAGCATCAGTCCCGTGCCAGGTTGACATGAGGTCAAACAAAATCTAAAAAGACTTACCATCTGAGTTGTACGAGTCAGGAGCAAAAAATCTCGCTGACACAAGCACAAGAGCTGCCCAAAAGTTTGTTCAAAAAGATTACTCTCCTTTCTGGCATTGTCGACAGCTTCGGCAAGTGATATGCCAGAGAGTTGGTGGACAAGGGCGTCTTGGACCCTAGTGATTGCAGCCCAGACCAAGGTTTTGAGCGGGAATGCGTGCTGGAGAACGGCAACCACCTGGTCATCAGTGAAGGGTGTTGGCTGTGCGCGAAGAGACTCGAATTGTGGTTCGAACAATTGTGTACGTTGCCGGACAGTCGACCACACTTTTGATTCACCAGTATTCCCAGGGAGCATGATTGATGGCCTGCAACGCGTCAAGGCTCTCGTTGTGTCAGAGATGACTCCAAACCAGAAGGCCAGTCTCGACATAGACTGAAATTCCTGCTTTTCGGTGTCCAGCGGTGAGTCTTCTTGTATTAAGGTGATATTCGTGCTGGAAAAAGCACCTCGGTCAAGCAGACTCGCAATCGAGTCTCCACTTGATGAGGGCATTTGTGCTCTGGTCTGAAGGTAGACCTGATGACTCAGAGATGCTTCCAGGCATAGATCGTTGAAACTGTCACCCTGAGCATGGATCGAGCTCGGGATGATCGCGAATAGATATAGTGCAAGGACAGATCGATAGGAAGGTAAAGACATGATCGCATACATGTCTTTCCTCGCCTGATGATATAGGCCACAAGCAAGATTGTTCTTCATTGAGGCAAACTGGCTCCGAGCTTCGGTATCTGGATATTGTTTGTCGTTGATGAGGATCCATCGGACCGAGTAAGAGTACACGGCGTACATGAGTGCTCGATTGATAATCGGTTCAGCGCCGTCTTTAATGGGAGCACCACCCCACATGCCGTGATTGCCGTTTGCGGTGCTACCAGTGCGAGTAATCTTTTTGTCCAGATTGATTACCAGTCTCGATATCAATGTCGTCGGTGGTGCCTAGCTCATCAGCAAATCATCACAGCAGGATCAACAACGAATCCCTACCGCGCTGGCGCTCATGAAGGGACAGCCGGCCCCTCCTATCCATAGCCCAATGCGCGGCTCAAGGACGGATGTGTACACATTCCAAAGGAGACCATGGAGTCTGAGAGCCTGTTGAGACTTTGCCAAATAATCCGACTGAGCCGACAGAGATGTCGGTAGTGGAAAATTGGACTGTGGTGAATCACTATCAGTCGTTGGCGAAGAAGGCAAGCCAGCGTTGTCAGGGGCATTGACAACCAGTGCCGACGTCACTGTGCTTGGATCCAGAGCGCTTCCTTGGGCATATGTTATTTCTCTGGCAGCTTGGGCCTTTCGCTGTCCTCTCCCGGCGCCCCCCTTCAGTGAGCATTGGGCTCCTTTACGCGCACAGTTGTAGCATGCCTGCCCGGGTTCTGCACGGGAAGCATTGCATCCCAGGCGAGAGCGCCTACAATTTTCACAGCTGGTGATTGGCTTGCCCATCCCATGGAGCCAGGAGATTGTGTCGCAATAGCTGACGCGGAAAGCAGAAGGTTGGGGGCATTGAAAGTGGTAGAAGTTGCCTGGAGAAGTCCGCTACTTGGCGGAACAAAATCTGGGGGCAAGACTGTCGTGTGTAATTCGGACGGAGTGCAGTTTCGCATCTCTGGGCCAGTGGATGAGCAGACCAGTGGGTAGTCTGCTCCTGGCAGGTGTTGATAGCTTTGCAAGAGACTATTTCCCCTCGCTGCCCGTTGCAAGAAGTTTTACGCTCCCAGAAAGTGAACATTCTTCTTGATCTGTCGTAATACCAGTAATTCCTAATGTGACATAATAGGCTAGCGGGATGAGCACGTGAGGTGTAATGAGCCCCGAAGGCCTTCGCAAGATCTGGTGTCCTTGGCATACCATTCTGTACTTGTACTTGTACTTGTTAGTTGGACTGTACTTAGTGCTTGGTGCAGAGCCATAGTTTGACGGGTCCCCCTCCCGGGCCCCTTCGGGAGTCCACAATGTCCTCTTGGAGTCACAATGAAGGCTTATTCCGATCTCGTGATCTGTTTTCCAGCTGAACTTTATCAAGCCCAGACAATGAAGCCGCTGGCCAACAAGACGTCGTCAGACGACAAGTTTTAGCTTCAGCAAATCCTTTTCCACGATTTCGTCCTTCTTTGTGGAGAGCTGCTCCATATCCAGAGGCCCAAACACAAACCGACCGGCAAGCCTATTTTATTCCGTGGTTAGTTTTTGGTCGAGGTCTGGACAGCAGAAAAGCAGATTGGGACGACATACCACTCCCTCCTCTCTCTTGTAAGCCAGACAATTGTATCGGCTGACAGTTCCGCCGTCTGAGTGAGGTAAAAATGAAAGTTGTCCGGCATGTTCAGCGCTGTCTCGGTAGGCACTCCACCTGGGTGGGCGGAAAACGCAAGGAGACCCTCAAGGAAGGTCAGCACGGCTAGCACGAGTCTTGCGCTGATACTCTAGACGAATTTCAGCTTGTAGTGCTGGGAGACTCACTTTATCACCGTACTCTGCCATTAGGAAATCGACCAACTTGATCTGCGCCAGCTTGGTGGTCTGGTACGCACTTGCGCCCGGACTATTCATAAACGAGTTAGTAAAGATTAGCTCCAAGAAAAGGTGCACATACGCGGCGATAAAAGCTCCCGCACTCGTAACCATCAGCACCGTTTTCAAATCACTCTTGAGGAGTAATGGCAATGCCGCCCGGGTGACAATAAATGTCCCCTTGATGTTGAGCTCCCATGTCAGCCACCAGTCGTCGATGTTCATCTCGGCGAGAGGGACCCAGTTCTCAAGTCGGCTCGCATTGTCCACCAGCACGTCGAGAGAACCGAATTCGCGTTCCACAGTCTTCATGGCTTGTTCAACAGCGGCTGCATCTGTTAAATCGGCCTGGAGCTTCAATATCTTCGGCGCTTTGTTGCCAGCTTGCTTCGCTGCCTGTAGCACCTCATTTGCCACTTCGTCGAGGTTTGAGCGTGCAAGCAGGGCTATAGCTGAAGCACCCGCTCGCGCGAATGACTTAACAGTGGCTTTTCCGATGCCCTTGCTGGTGCCCGTGACGAGGACCTTGATATTCGAGGGACTACCATTCTCTGGCTTGATGAAGGGGTATGTGTCATTGTGGAGGGTAGCGACGAATGTTGAGCCATACGGATCATCCGAGTCCGCTGGTCGAGCCATTTTGGTGATTGCATTCAATTTCCCCTGTGGTGACAACGTAGGTCCTTGAAGGACAGCAGCGGATCTAATATATTGCCATCTCTGTGAGCGTCATAGCAGTAGAGCTCAAGTCTCGTAATTTGGTTTGGGCGGCCCACGTCTCTTAACGATTGTTGGATCTCAGAAGAAGGTTTGACTGGCTTGAACTTTTGAGCGCAGTGGTTGACACAAATCACGAGATCGGGAATATGGACGGAGTTGGCACAAGTATAGAATTCAGGATTTGTGGATTTCTTGGACACTGTCTGTCGTCCGTCGTTCTGCCCTTGCTTCCACTCCGTAATTTTTTTTTCTCTACCAGGAAACCGACTTGAGTTTCCAAATGGGTGCCAGTAATGCCTCATATGCCATGAATCCGGCGCGTTGCTCTGATGAGTGCAATGCTGTGCGGCATCACACAAACGTTCAATCCTTGCACGAGGTTTTCCCCAGCACACGATCGAACATCAAGGTGGATCAAAGACTCGTGGAAAGGCGGTGCTCGTCGCATTTTTTTTATGGCAGATATCTCCTGCGTCACACCAAGAAGTGCTCTTTCTCCAGCCGTCGTGGGTTTTTGACCAGCTGGAGGAGATGGGCAACTTCTACTACCATGGGCACGCTGCTTGAGCAACGCAATCGCTTTTTCGAAGGCGGAGGCAATGAAAGAGAATACTATTGGCTGAGTTTTAGGCTTCGAGGAATTGTTGTATAGCATCCTAGTAAAGATATACGCCCACCTCACTAATTTTCCACCCCTTTGAATTTGTAGCCGCAACCACTCAACCATTAATTTTCTTTAACCATGATGTCTCAATTACCCTGTATTTATCTGCAGGAATGCCTAAGAGTCGTGAATATTCTGAATTGGAGCGTAGAATGGTGTACGGACTTCATCTACCTAGAAAATCGATACACGAAATCTCGGCGCATATTGATATCCCTCGCACTTCTATTGTAACAGAGCACTTCAGGGTTCGGCGTGCACGTGCAACAACGCACAGAGGCCTGTCCAGCAGGTCGGGAATCGAGACCGCTTTTCTGGTTGACGCTGACAAGACAACTCTCCCCTGCTGCCACTCTACCAGCCCAACACAGCACAGCCACTTTGCCTTGTTACAATAGTTTCGTTCGTTTCACTAAGAAGAGCGAAGTTAAATGGGAAAGGGGGGAAGGTTATCATATAATCGATCTACAGTAGAATTCGATTACTTAGTGGAGGGTGCACCGAGGCATTACTTAGTATAGCCGACTAGTTAGTCTCGCCTCTTCACTCTTTCTCTCCTTCTTAGTCTCGTTATAGACAGCTTAACCACGTAGACCGCTAGATAGCTAGCTCACCTTGTGCTGTTACAGCCAACCCCACTATTGCGGTGGTTCACTCTTGTTCTTGTTGTTGTTCCTCTTCCTCGCCCTCCCACATTCACCGATACGACACCAGATTCCTGACGCCCGTCTGAAGCAGATGCCTAGCCGAGAGCCAGGTATATCCGATCGCTGGGAGGCCAGATTAGGCCCCTAGTGTATTTGCTCAAGGAGTGCTTAAGTAAAGGCTTTGTCAAAGCTGAGGTTAAAGCGGCCTTCGCTCACTCGCTAGGATTAAACCGCATTTGGCAACTAGGCTTTTCGTTCTCGAGTAACCTACCCAGTAGATACTCGTCACCTCCTCTGAGCGGCAGGTGACCGAGCCGAGGAGCCACCGAGACTTGGAACGCCTGAACCTTCATCTTTCGACAAAACCATCTACATTAAGCCCTTCCGACCTGTTGTCATCGAGTCTTGTATAGGAAATACTTGTATACTTGTACATCTCGCTGATAGCATCATCCAACTTGCAGAAATCCAAATGGATCGCCTCACGCGTCTTCCTCACCTTCCATCTCGAGACCGCGCCTTGAATGCAGCCGCGCTGACGGGGATTTCGACCTTAGCATTGAGCGCCGTCATCTGGTGTATTCGAGACTATCATGCATTCTTGGCTCTTGGCCCTGGCGGAGCATCCTACAATGTCAAGGGCTGGGCTTGGGTGAGCATGCTCCGACTGTTTGCTCTTTCTAAACGCGGCGCAACCCAGGTCGCGGATTATCCCACAGAGGGCGCCCATGAAGATATTAAGAATTTACCCGAGCGAAAGGGCGACCGCGCAGCTGTTGGGGGAATCATCCCGCATCGTCAGCTCTCACAGCATCCACCTGAGGAGATGAAACAGGTATGAATAGTTTGGGTGGAAAAATCAGTGGTTAGGCCACTAATTGATTTCCAGTACATCACGAACTTGTTCAAAAATGCCGTTACACAGAATAGCGAACTCTTAGAAGAACGCCTTTCGCTGTATGAAAAACATAATCCTGCACTTTTCGTGCGCGAGGAGGTTCTCTTGAATGCGGACTCGGCAGCTCCAAAACCGCCCCAGACGGCTTACACTGCCCGCGGCGAATGTGGGCATGTCCATCCTGATGTAAGTAGCGAAGGCCTCTACAAGCTTCCACTTGTGCTGAGGGAGACGTGTTCCCATCTCCTTACCTCTCCCCACTCCCAATCTCTTCGCTGTTTTGCCACAGCCCAAATCCCAGCAACATCAACCCACCCGATATAGGCCGCTGTTTGTTTCTCCCCACATCGCTAATACCAACCTTGAGAGCTCATTAGTACTCAATCCATCTATATCTTTCTCCAGCCGATGCTCGACTCATTATCGAGAAGGGCTGGGGTGAAAGGCATCGGCTGTCAAAACCCAAGACGTCAATGGTCAATTTTGAGAATGCTCACGTTGGTGACACATACCTTATGATATACGGACCGAGGGATGAAGATGAAATCGAAATTGTGCGCAAAATCCTGCAAAGCAGCATTCGCTTCATGACAGGAAGAGGGGATGTCGAGGCTCCACAGTGGAAAGTGGCTCTCAGTCCCAATTGACCTGCCAACAATTCTGCAGGAGTGGACGCATACGGTCATGTCGAGACAAGACGGTGCTAAGAGAAGGGCGAAGCCGCCACTGCAGCAAGTTTTCTTCAATTATGAAACTCCATGCTCATTGGAATGAGGTCATAGCATGATGCGAAACACTGGCACACTTCCAAAAGCATGGCACTTGGGAAGAATCACGCCATTAGCAAGTACAACATGTGCAGGTTTTACTCGTGGTTCTTACCTCGTTGGTAGAAGCCAAGTGCATGTTCATACTGCATTTGCCGATAGCGTTGTTACCATGCCAACAAGCCTAGCAGGCACGATTTTATGGTAATGAGGGATTTCTGATTTGATCGCCAATGATTCCAACCCCCTTCATTGACTGCGCCTCAATCCTGCGCTCCTCTTCCCTTACAAGTGGTCGCGAATCTGATACTCTCTGCAGGTGATTCAGTCAAGCACGAGAGGAGTGGTGCACTGATTGGGCAGTCAGGGTGCAAACCCCAGGAATCCGTGTGGGCAAGATACTTTTGCCCAGCCAGGCCATCGATGTGGAGCCAGCTTGTATCTGTTTGCATGTTCTATGGATTCGTGACCTACATGTCCTTGAAGTCATTCACCTCTGTTAAATGGCGCATACAAAACTAGCCACCTACGCTCTCATTACCCACCATGCAAAACAGAAAATCAAAGAAGTTGCAGCTTGCTGGCGCGGAAATTCACTCATATAAAATCTTCACAACTTGGTAGTTCAACGGGTCCGGCGTTCCCACAATGAGGGATACTTCGCGTTGCTACAAATGGCCTTGATTCTCACCATCGTACTCGCGTATTTTGTGTGCCCTCTTGCGTTGGCTGTAGTTGCTTTGCTGTGTCTTCTGGTGTTTTGAAGAAGTATAAACTTTGTATTTTGCTGATTCCCTCAAGCCACTGCACGAGAAGGTTTCGGTGGCTGCAATCTCAGGTCGTTCTCTTCTACTCTTGCTGGTGTGATCCTGCCATCGCCAACTACTTGCAAGGACTCTTCGCAAGCTCTCGCTGCGAAAGCCTGACTTCAAAAAGCCGCAGGCAGCCAAGTCACAAAGCCAAAGGACAGCTTGTGACTGGTCTCCGAGGAACCACGCCAATGGCCTCAAGTGCTGCCCACGGTATCCAGCAAAGGACTATTTGGCAACCATCAACAACGAAGCCGATGACAACTATTTCGAGGATCACAGGTCAGTAACCATGACCTAACACGAGGGAGAAGACGCCGATCTGATATTCCCCAGTTACTTCTGCATCCTCGCCCCCATCCCGACCGATTGATCAGATCATGGAAGCATATCGTCTTCGGTACGCATCTTATCTTGCCTCGACTTTTCACATCAGCGTCGAGGCGGCGAACGTCGAGGCTGATTACCAACTCCAACCGCGTCGCCGGTCTGAGTCTTCTGAATCAGAGGTCTACAGAGTGTGATCAATGGCTGAATCTGATGCGGACGTTTGAAGGCTTGTGGCATCGAGGAATTGACAATACTTCTACTGTTAAAAAGGCTCTCAAAGCTTTCCTCATGGAGGTTGATCTTCTTAAGCGCATGTCAGAATGAGCCTTTCCTGGTACGATCTAGCAACAGGACCTTTACGAGACAAATCTAAGAGCGTTCTCAGCCGACTAGCTGATTACTTCGCCGAAACATGATTCAGCGCGTATGAACGGCCACTAAGACGAAGGCGTTGAAAGGTCTACCCCTTGCCCTGGGAAAATAAGTTCGGCTAACCAAGCGAGGCTCGGAAACTAGCCGGCATGCTTGAGAGCGGACGAATTATCAAGAATCTCGGCTGCTAGATCCTTCCAGTGGCCCCTGTAAGCTTCCCAGAACGGTTGGGGCCCTGGGACAGATATTTTGCCCACGGTTATCGGCACCTGGAGTTTCACTAAAGATACTGCGTACCAAAATACATATTGATTTTAGAGTCGGTTTGTCATTTCTTCCATGCCGTGCCAGAGGCCATCTTACGGGAGACTGTGGAACTGACTCCACCGCATTGGAGGGTGGGCTGGGGTATAGAAATTCCCAGTCAAAAGGATTGTGGACAGTCAGACGCCTCCCAAGACTCAGCCGCAAAAATGCCTCATATGAGATTGCCAGAGATGTGTGGGCTTCCATAAACGGCAGACTCCTGATAAACAAATGCAGGATGGACCAGGTTTAAGCCTGGCATTCTCCCCAGGAGAAGTGCCCTTAACTAAAGGCGATCATCTCTGGAAAGAGGCTGTGAAGCCACCAACCGTAAGCTACCCCGAAGCCGACTCCGCCTATTTGCATTGGCGTGGGATGTGGCCTTCGGGAAGACGGAACAGCACACTGAATCTCCAACTCTTGGCTTGATATCAGTTTGGGCTTCGCACCGTTGATCGTTTTGTCCTGATCTTCCATTAATTCTCTTTTCTTTGACCGGCCGCGTGTGTGCAGCCTTCAAGGAATGACCACAGACGGGAGGTGCTCCTTCAATGGCAGCACACCGGACGAAGATTCTGAAATCAATGGCGATGACGATGCCTGTGAGGCTAGCCGCCTGGTTCCGAGGTAAATTCTAGTTCATTCGCATAGGCATATAGAGCCTTATCTGATCCGGCTTTCCAGTTCCAGTCCTATATCGAAGGTTCTGAGTACGTCCCAGTGTGGCTATTTGGGATTGCTGAATATCTGGATTGACATGAAACGCCAGGGAGATTCCCTTCCTTTCTGCATCGATCATCTCGCCATGGCGCCGCGGTCGGTCAACACGTTCACCACTTCCCTGGCTACTCAGATCCTCACAGAGTGAAGCGCAATTGCTTCTCCCAAACTCTAGTTGAGGTCGTTGCAACTTTCCGGGCCATCCTGGGGTACTCGTGGCTCAACAGCCTCCTCGTTTTCGTCCCGCTGGCTATTGCCAGTTACTTGGCCCATGCGAACCACATTCTCGTTTTCACAGCCAATGTCATCGCTGTGGTTCCGCTCTCGAGCTTGCTCACCTGTGCGACGGAGAACATCGCCAGAGAATCGGGCGATGTCGTTGGCGCTCTGCTCAACGTGACGTTTGGAAACCTGGTTGAGATTGTGATCTTGTGAGTTGATTCCCAACCTTGAGTCAGGTGCAAGACTAATATCTACCAGCCTGTATGACCCGAGCCACTCTCGTTTAGTCGATGTATTTGACTGATGACTCAAGTGCTGCCCTCTACCACAATCAATATGAGGTTGTGCAAGCCTCCCTCTTAGGCTCGATTCTGGTGAACTTGTTGCTCATCTTGGGAATAGCAATCTTGGCTGGAAGTTTTTGTCATCAAGAGCAGTCTCACAGCAAAGAGGATGCGCAAGCTCTAGCTTGCCTTCTCAGTGTATCCGTCTTCAGCTTGCTTATACCGGTGAGGAATCCCGCGAGGCTCCCTTCATTCTCCCGCTGATGCATTGTAGAGTGCTCTTGTTCATTCATTTGACGATCTGAAATCCGCTGGAGCAGCCGTGTTGACCTTGAGTCGGGCGTCTTCATTGACCTTGTTGGCGATATATTTGCTTTATATCTTCCTACAGATCAAGAAAACCACTGCTAACAGACTATCCATCCGTGTTGTTAGCACGGATGGCTCGAATGGCCCTGTAAGGACGAGTGGTGACATTTCTGCTTCCAGTGGTTTACTGTTTCCGCGTTCAATTCGGTTCCAGGACGAGGAATCAACTCCAAGCTATGCGGCGAAACCCCCAACCCGGAAAGACAGTTTGGAGATGTCTGCTCTAGACGATTCAGGACAGTCTCGGCTTGACCCCAACGAGGCCAGCAGCCACCTCAACTGCGAAGGATCTGACCATGATTGTGATGTCGAGACGCCAGAGCAGCCTTGGAAGACTTCTTCTGATAAAAGACGGAATCTGAGAAACTCCATCTACCAATTTCCTTCCCGCAGACGAGGTTCCGACTCCGGCAATTCGAGTCAGCGACATATGAGTCCTGCTGGTTTGCAGCCTGGACGGTCACATCGCTCGTCCTACGCAGGTTCCAGCTCCAGTCTCCCGCGTCTGCTATTGGGAAGCTCCGTTGCGAACGTCGACAGCCCAAGTGATATCGACAGGCTGGAGAACTCGCCAATGGCTATTGGGAAACTAGCCTCCAGTTTACTGCTCGTTATATCCTCCTTGCTTGTGGCCATCTGTGCCGATTTTCTTGTAAACACACTTGACGATATTGTCGAGTCCGGGCCTTTCTCCGAGACATTCATTGGTCTTATCATTCTCCCGGTTGCTGGCAACTGTGCAGAGCTCATCACCGCGACTGCAGTCGCCTCTGTAAGTTCCCCGTATTCTTGAAAGACCGGTTTGACCCGGGTGGAGGCTTTGCTGCGACTCCGTCAAAGCCGATAGAGACTGACCTATATCTGCAGAAAGGCAAGTTCGATCTCGCCATCGGCGTTTCTGTTGGTTCATCTGTTCAGATTTCCTTGTTTGTGACACCCCTAGTTGTCATTGCTGGATGGGCTCTGAACAGGGATATGACCATGTATTTCGGCATCTTCGAGACTGTGGCACTCTTTGCAACAACTTTCTTGGTAAACGTGCTCATTCTCTATGGCAAGTCGAATTTCTTGGAGGGAAGCTTGCTCTGTGCCTGCTACTTCATTATTGCAGTCGGAGCCTATCTTTTTCCGACACCAGATCACCGAGCTCCGCATGACCGTCCTCCAGATTAGGTCGCGGCGCTTATCACGACTCGGGGAGAAGATCTCAGTTTGAAGATGATTGATCCCCCAATTGGTTCAGACGAGCTTTGGGATCATCTCCTCGAAGCCAGAGGGGGTGCAATCTAAAATGTTAAATCGGGGAACTAGAACACCTTGGTTGAGCCGCGAGAATCGGCGGTAGAGGAACAATGTGCCCTTGGGCGCTCTTGGGACGAGAAAGATCTGTTGGTGCGGCAACAACAGCATGTCACTGATGAGGATCAGACGGCGCCTCCACAGCAGTCCGGTTAGTTCTGAGGTCGTCCTTATGTCGACGGTATGCAATGAAGGGAGGGCAGAGGAAGATGGACTGGATGAAAGCAGAAAGGCTGACCTAAGAACGTCATGACTCAAGGAGTCCGATTTGCCAAGACAACGTGATTCAAGCAGTCACACGACAGAACACCAGCCTCATTATCATTCCGGTTTCAATGTCCCTTACACTTCCTTTGCACATTTAGCTTCGATGATTCCTAGGTACAACTTGCCGATAGGAAGAGGCTTGTGGCCTTAACCTGTGCGATGTCTCGACAGGCTCGACAAGGCCAGCAGCTGTTTAACGAGCGCGAGGTTTGATTCCAGAGCATGCTGCCTGTAAGACATACACTCAGCTCGCCCAGACATCACAAATATTGTGAGCTTCAGGCATTTCATTATTGGTAAATATTCCGCGAGGATGCTGAGAGCACATGCGATATTGAGTTATGTCAAACTTCAGGTACCCAGTACTGCTCCTTATCTTCATCGTGCACCCTTCTTGCCTTGCTTGCGGATTGCAAGCCCTCTGCATTACCCGGCCCTTGTCATGTCCAAAAGCAAAATGCTACTTAATCCTGTGTATGTAGTTACATACATGAGTTTCCGGCTAATCTTGGCATACATGATGCGATATGTCCACGGTATTTAGCAATCGAGCTTGTCGACCTTGAATAGATTGTCGCGAGGCCTGGTGCTTTGTCCATCTCTGCCTTTTTCTTTTCAAGGCTAAGAAGCCCACTACAGAGTGTTAATTCATATCTTTTTGCAACAAGAATGCGTTGACCCCACTCCAAAGGGCTCACTCATCATATGCCAAGATATCGAGAGAGAATGTTCATGGACTCACTGGCACAACCCTGTGGCTGAGCTCAAGGTTATTGTATCCGCAATATCACTGTCGACTACAGGCTTTTTTCCGATCCTCCATGGGTGACACCATGCGTTAGCGACCAGTCCATTTCGTGAGCGGTTACTTTTCTATTTGGATAGTGCATGCAGGGGAGGATCGAGATGCTCTGAGAGGCAAACCGGCGCGGGTCGGTATTGGCGATGACAATTGCGAAACTATCTGAGCCTTATTTATTTCTACCCAGACAATGATCTATACCAGCCGCAGCGGAGTCAACAAAGCAAACTCGACAATGGGAAACGTACGTATATACGATCTTGCGCCACAATCTATCCCATCCTCTGCCCCGAGTGTATGTATATAGATCCACATTCACATCTGGCTCACTCCATCGTCCCCAAGTCCTCGGCCACTGTGAATCTCGCGCTCGTCTTCTCCCTGACCATATCCACAGTGACACCTTTGGCCGTCTCCTTCAGGATCAACCCCTTGCCGCCAACCCTATCGACTTCGAAAACGGCCAACTCGGTAATGATCATGCTCACGACGCCTTTGCCCGTGAGCGGCAACTCGCACTCCTCCACGATCTTACTTCTCCCGTCCTTGTCGGTATGGTAGGTGCAGACGATGATCACCGTCTTGTCTGGGTTGCTCACAAGGTCCATGGCGCCGCCCATCCCGTTGAAGGCCTTGCCCGGGACGATATAGTTGGCCAGGTCGCCCTGCGCAGAGACCTGGAGGGCGCCGAGAATCGAGATATCGACGTGGCCCCCGCGGATCATGCCGAAGGACTCGGCCGAGTCGAAGGTCGAGGCGCCCGGGACCAGCGTCACGGCTTCCTTGCCCGCGTTGACCGTGTCTGGATCCGCTATCTCGGGCGACGACGGGTACGGCCCCATTCCGATGAGGCCATTTTCAGACTGAATCCAGACCTTAGTCGAGGCTGGGAGGAACGACGGCGCCAGCGTGGGGATCCCGACGCCCAGGTTGACGTAGTAGCCGTCCTTCAATTCCTTGGCCGCGCGTCTGGCGATGCGGTTGCGCTTGGCCGCCTCGGGGCTCTGCTCGGCTGCGGCGTGCTCCATGGTGGACGCGAGGACGAGCTTCTCAATCTGCTTGGCGGAGGTCACGGGGCAGATGCGGTCGATGTATATGCCGGGTAGATCGACGTGGTCCGGGTCCAGCGATCCGACGGGCACGATGTTCTCGGCCTCGACGATGGCCATCTTAGCGGCCTTGGGCATCAGCACGCCGTACGTCTTGGTGGTCGAGCGGAAGATGCAGTTGCCCGCCTCGTCGGCCTTCCAGGCGCGCACAATCGCCACGTCCCCCCGGAGCGCCGTCTCCATCATGTACGTCCTGCCGTCAAAGATGCGTGTCTCTCGCGGCCGGCCCGGCTCCGCGATGGCATGCTTGCCCGTCTGGGGGTCCTTGGGTCCGAGACGCATCGGGATGCCGCCGGTCTCGATCAGAGTGCGTGCTCCCGTGGCTGTGAAGAAGGCAGGGATCCCGGCCCCCGCTGCGCGCAGGCGCTCGGCAATCGTGCCCTGTGGACAAAGCTCAATCGCCACCTGGCCGTCGTGGTATTGCTTGCCGAGCGATTTGTTGTTGCCGATGAAGGATACGACCATCCGCGAGATCTGGCCCGTGGCCGTCAGTTTCGCGAGACCGTATTCACCCGCTCCAGCATTGTTGGAGACGACGGTGAGATCGCGAAGTCCTTTCTTCCGAATCGCATCAATGAGAGTTTCTGCAGCGTATGTGGTCAGCTTTCCCCAAGTCAGAGCTTTGCCGGACAAACATGAATACAAAAATAGTTACAGTTGTCGGTCATGCACAGCGAGATATACGTACCTGCAACACCACAAAGGCCAAAGCCCGCGCTCAGAACGGTGATTCCGTCCTGGAGGTCCGCGATGGCATCGTCGGCGCTCCCAAAGACCTTGGATGCCCCTCTGCCAGCGACGGGATCCTGCTGTCTTTGCTGCGTAACGAGGGCGTCCTGCCGTTGTTGTCTGAGGCTCGACCTAGTGCTGCTAAAATACCTCTTCCTCTTCAGCTGTGTCCTCGGCGCAAGAGATATCAAGGACGACGACGGTGACAACGAAGTTGCTGATGGCGATAACACGACGGCAATTCTCCGCAGCAGGTTCGTTTCACACGACGACGCGAGGCTTCGCGCCATGGCTCGTCGAGAACCTACAGTCAACGACATTGGCCGCTACGCAGGGCTGCGCTCGTTTCTGTTTGTTTTCTTCTCTGTCTATTGTACCATTCAAGCGTACGTTCACACATACACGCCGTCAGACTCGTCTGGGCGCGAGGAGTTTTCGAACTCAGTCAGTCAAGCAGCCAGTCAGTCCGCGAAACCTGATCAGGCGCCGAGTGCGGAGGAAATGTCAGTGCCTGTCCCTTGTATTTTCAATGACGAGGGGGGCATCTGATTGGTTACCCCGGGATTTTTCCGCTCTTTCTCGGCTATTGATCTGGATGCCGAGTGGAGAAGCAGAAGCAAAGGGATCCGGGCTTTTAGCACCTGTCGGCAGATTCATCGAAGCTACAAGTCCGGAGTAATCACGGAAGGCGAACCGATATATGTAAGCATGTTCACCTATTTAAATATTTTGAAATGTGAGAGAGGATGGGGGATTCTTTGTTCAATCATGGCGTTAGCTAACTACTACTAGCAATCAACGCAGGACAGTACATGTTTCATGGCAGCCCCATCCTCTTGGTCGTCCTCTCATTGTGTCCCCAAGCATCCATGCTGCCATCGTGCACGGTACACCTCCTCATATCGCGTGCATATTTCTCCATAAAAGTCCCCTCACCGGCCTTGTGCATGACACAAGTATTATCCCAAACGACAAGATCGCCTTCGTTCTCCCACTCGACGCTCAGGGCATACTGGGGCTGAGAGGCGTGGGCGAGCAGTCTCTCGATGAGTTCCGTTCCTTGGGGTTCCGGTACCCGTTCAAACGGTTGCTTTGGAGTGGGTACGAAGTCGGCCGATTTCGGCTTCTTGTACTCCAGGTGATGCATGTGGTTGGCGATATAGAGATTTTTGCGACCGCTGGGCCAGTGCGTCTGGACCACGTCATGGCGACCGAAGGGAAAGTCTTCTGGGTTGACATCTTTGAGGTACGGGCTGTCCTTAGGGGCGGCCTTCTTCCGGGAATGCATCAAGCTGTGAGCTCCAATGTACTCGTTTTCTAGCAGGTCTTTGCGCAGATCCTCGGGCAACTCGTCGAAGGCGGTTCTAGTATCGGCAAAGTCGGTATTCCCGCCGTGGCCCTTCGGAGGCAATTGATGGGCGCGAAGCAGACTGTAGCCGGCTCGCCTTGGGTTGAAACTCGAATCCACGTGGAATATAGAGTTGCCCTGGATCAGGTGAGTGAGCTGTCTCTGAACGCTCTGAAAGGCAAGGTCGAGGCCTCCATGCTTACCAGTCCCAAATGATGGCGTTTACTTCCGATTTTAACAAGCGACCCGTCGTCCTCTTGATTAGAGACGTCGAACAACTCATCAAAAGGGAATCTATTCTTGCGACCCAGAATGAGATATGGCTTGACATCGTCTAGCTCACCGAACAGGGCAGAGAAGGCGACATGGCGTGCGTCATCAAGACCGGCGTTGCGGAAAACAAGCACTCCATACTGCCAGAGATTGTGTCAGCTTCCAACGTGTGAAAGCCAGTGAGAACATTATTGGCCTTCAAACAGGCCAGTAACTCAGGAACCGCTATGAAGATGATGATAGAGAGGGCAATGGACTGACATCGACGATGGCCCGGTGGATTTCATCAAACACCTCCTTCTCCACGGGCTTCGAGAAATCGACGCCAGTGACCTCGGCTGCAAACGTCGGCGCAAGCTTCTTGACCTCGATATGGTTGTATTCGGTATTTGTAGCGTGGGGCATGGCTGATGATAAAGAATTACTTTCAAAGATGATAATGCAAAGGAAAAATACGCCCTGTCTTTCAGCCTCAAGGTCGCTTTGCAGGTGGGAGGATCCCAAGAATTTGTAGAATCTCAAGCACAGGTTGTCGCCTGATCGGTTTCATGCATCCGCACAGGCGATTGATGGCAGGACAGCACCAACCTCGTAAATACAGTCTTGGAAGTTTCAATGAGGTGTCCCGATAATTAATGCCGCCCCCGCGGGATTACACCGATGCCAACAAGATAAGCGGCGTTCTCAATAGCAGGCTATCACGGAGTTTCCCGCAAAGCAGACAGCCGGTAAGCTGATTGTATGATAAGATGAATATAGCCATATAGCCGGTAAGTTGGCTCTACAAGTACAATAAGATAAATATTGCCATAGAGTCAGGTCAGGAGACACCAAATCACTTGGGCACTTAGGTGGGCGGCAATACGGGTATCCGGAACCAATTGCTGCCAGAACGGGAGCTGGTGTCGAGTCAGTTTGGAGACGTTGTATACTTGCCCCCGCGGGGTGATGGAGATACCGAGGCTGGGTGGGAAAAGGGGCTCATCCCCCATATTTGCGGAGCTGAAGGCATAGAGGTGGACGGATTCCCCAAGTTGAAGAGCCTAGATATGCGGGGTGGGTGACTAGACAGTCCTGCTTTCGAGGTTCCTGGGACTTCATCCTTGTACAACGATGGCGCGACGAAGCACACAGCATTGGTCAATGGCAATCACACCTGAGCGGAGAGGAGACAAACAGCTGCAGCAAGAGATCAAGACCAAGGCAGAGGCAGACCCTTCGGCCTTCATTGCACCGGTACACTCACCGATGTTCTTAAGAGTGATGCTCGTCGCGTGGGGATGAAGCAATGACCTGATGACCTATTGCAATCTCATCAGTGCGCCATGTTCACCGTGCTTTCCCTTTCACCCTCGGCTGGCACAAACAAATTAGTTTTTGCCAACACGACCCGGGCCTGTCTCTACAAAAAGCCATACCTGGACGACACCTTTAGGAAACTGCCCGAGTTTCCTCGATCAAAGGCGATCAAAGACTCAGACAATGCGAATACTTTATGCAGGATGGTTGGGCGGCTGATCTTTTTCACCACTTAGAAAGTCCCATTCCCCAGCTCACAGATCAACCCGCCACCTGCTGCTGCCACGCTCTGGGCGTGCGGAGAGATCTACATGCATTTCCTGAATGAGGAGAACCTAGAAACGCCATACAACTCGCCTCACCATTTAGCGCTTGGCCATTTTCTAGGGGTCAGAAGAACCTCCTCCTTATTCTGTTCCGGCGGATCTTTACCCGGGATGACGGCCTCGCCAGCCATTCAGACAAGATAGGCGACGCAGGGACTGCATGGCGAGGCAACACCATGCAGACCAACGGCTGACAAACCCCCATGGGCTCGCCGCTGTCTACGCCGACCCGGCAGAGAGGTTGACGAGCGGAAATTGGCGAGCAAGAGATTCAAATACCGACGGAATCGGTGCAAGGGAAAGGACGGGGTCCCGACGCTTCTTCTGGTTCTCTTTTTTGCTTCGCTCGAGATTGTGGGAGATCTGCCTGGTCTGGTTCAACACCTGTTTTCCAAAGTCTACCATCTACAAAAGACGAAGGGAGGCATATCACATCATGGCGGGCATCACATCCCTCCCAGAACCCATCACAATGTCGAAAGAGATGGCTGTTAACACTGAGGGCATCCACGTCGAGAAAGTCTCGGAGCACGAACAACTTGTCGCAAGACTCAACAATCTCGACCCACCGATAACGCCAGAAGAAGTCAAGCAGGTGAGGAGAAAAATCGACCTGCGTCTCCCACCGTTCCTTATGGTCCTGTACATCTTCACATGGCTTGACCGTGGAGCCTTGGGTAATTTGCTTCCATGTCACCCACGTCTATGGCAGATATTATTAACCATTCAAACCAGGTAACGCCGTTCTTATGAACATCAAAACAGACCTCAATCTCTCCGGAGCCCAATACAGTCTCGCCGTGAGCACGTTCTTTGTTGGCACCTGCGTGGCTGATTGTTTTACCAATATTGGGATGCGATATATTCGTCCAAGTCTCTATTTGTCTGGAGCCATGGTAGATCATATCCCACTCGACTCCTGGAAGGAAGCTCGAGCTAATCCACTCACAGATCGTCTGGGGTATCATGGCGACACTGCAAGCGGTCGCGGGTGGCGCCTCGGGTTTATATGCCATCAGGTTCTTCCTGGGTATCTTCGAGGCTGCATTTATTTCGGGCGCTCCGTACTTGACAACCGTGGTAAGTATCACATCTCTTGAAAGAATTCCTTCCATTCATTGGATCGTCCACCATGTTATCGATATATGCTGACGGCGACCGATAGATGTATCCTCGAGCAGTGAGTCCTTGTCGACGTTCCCAAACCCTTGCTGTAGAAACTGAGTCAATCTAGGAATGGGGCAAGCGAATTTGCATCTATCTCTCTGCAACACCCATCGCCGGAGCCTTCGGCGGCTGGATCGCGTGGGGCGTGGCTCACATTAGCAGCCACAGCATTGAAAACTGGCAGATCCTCTTCATTCTGGAGGGATTACTAACCATTGTCTTTGGTATTCTCTGTGTCTGGGTCCTACCCGATCGGCCTCACAACACTCGCTGGCTCACCCCTCGAGAACGAGATGTGGCAGATTGGAGGATGATGAATGATGGTAATCGCACACACGGCAAGGTTCACTGGGCTGTCGTCGCCAAACAGCTCAAGGACTGGCGCATGTGGATGAACATTGCCATCTACATGTGTCAGGTCATCTCCACGTACACCATTGCAACATTCACGCCAATAATCGTCAACACAATGGGGTTCGACAAGGTCAAGGCTCAGCTGATGGTCGCTCCACCATACTGCGTCGCGTTCGTAATGGTCTTTGTGGTGGGCTATTTCTCGGACCGCTTCAAGTCTTGCTCTGGCATTTTGGTGATCAACTCCATTGTCGCCGCCGCCGGCGACCTCATGCTTGTGCTCCTGCCGTCAAGGTACAATCACGCGCGCTACGGGGCTACTTTCCTGACCCTCACCGGAATCTTATCCGGTGTTACCCTCTCAGTCGGTAACATCACGAGCAACTGCTGTGGTGACATCAAAAAGGCCATTGCAGCTGGTCTTTTCCAGGCCTTCGGGTCGACCATGGGAGTAGCAACAGGCTATTTGTTCCCGGCGAAGGACGGACCGGAGTACAAGACTGGGTTTTGGGTCTTGTTCGCATGCACCTGTTTCACTGGCACGGGCTCTGCCATTATGACGATCATCAACATCCGTGAAAACAAGAGGCGGGACGCGCTGAGTGGGCCGCCGCCGACAGATCGAGTTATTGACTTTGACGAGGATGGCTTGATGGAGAAACATCCGCATTGGAGGTATTATAGGTGAGCCGGTCAAGGACGAGGGATTGACCACCCGAAGGGGTACGGGCAGCGACGATACTTGGGCCTGGTCTATGAGAGGGTAAACTTTGATGACCTGGAGATTCATAGTGCGGATCTCCGAATCGATGGTCCTGGCAGCTTATTCTCATGTAGAGCCAGTGGGTCCGGTACCTTCGAGAACGTGGACGGAATGCCTCTGATAGGATGCTTATTCCCACAACGAAGGTCTTTGCGTCACTCTTAGTGTTCGCTCAAGCCCCCAGCTACCTCGACAGCTTCTGCATGGTAAAGGCGAGAGTCAGCATAGACTTTGCCATGCCCTAAAGATGTTCCGAGATTTTGGCTTCTGCCTTGTGGGTGTCAAAACCTGCATCTGATTGCACATTAATCTGTGCGTTCGCTACGTCGCCGCCCTGTTTTCTCCTGGTGGACATTGATAAACCTGTGGCCAGTTCTTATGGCATACCTGATTTCATTATTATGTTTGTATTCCGTCAGGCGCGTCCATTCAGTTCGTTCGTTCAACCAACCTACCTCCCCAGCCGGCCGGCAAGGTTCTCGTTCTGGCTACTTCATAATTAGCAGCAATGCCTCCGTCTTCACCTACCAGTCATAACAGTAGAATACGAGTATATATCAGGCTCGAGGGTCCATTGGATGATAATAATCAATAGAATGTTGAACTAGACGTTATAGCCTCTTGGAATAAGTGCCAAAAAAAATCGCGGTGGTGGTATTGCCCGGTGAAGGGTGCCGCGTGTCGGCATTCGAATTTGCCCGGAGTAAAACAAGGTGACTGCGACTTTAGAGGGCCAGTCGACGCCTCTTCCAGATGCCGGATAGCTAAGGCACTAACCTGGAGAAGGATCAATTGACCTGTGCCGCCAGTCAGCCGCATCAACAGCGAGTGTCCCTCTTATGCTCAAAGCTTCAGAGGGGGGCAAAGGACACATTAGACTTCGGCCCGGCGTGGGGGCTGAAGCACCAAGCAATTCAAGCCATTCAAGCCGAGCAGCAAAATTCTTGTCTGGACCAAGATAAAGTTCTCGCTCAGAAACACTAATTCTCGTGGAATACGAGGAATTGCACTCTCGTTGCCTTCTAGCTGCTCATCCTCGTCGCGAACAAAACAGAATCATGTTGTCGCCTCAGCAAGTAGGCGGCGGCTGTTGCCTTACTAGACCGTTCCCTGTCCTTGTCGTGGACTTGTCGAAAGGCAGTCCAGACTCCAAGATGGCAGAGTGCCACAGCTGCTTCTAAGTCAGGGGGCGGTCCAGTGCAGAATCAGGTCATTCGCCATTGGTCCTGTTGCTGCCACAATGGCAGGCTGTGGTCGGGAAACGGTTCGCCAGAGCAATTCTGCGCTTCGGCTGAGATGGCACCCGTTGAGCTCCCGCGTGTCTAAGGGCAGTGAATGTGTCTGCCTCAGAGTCTAGACCATTCGTATCTGCTGGAGCGGTTGACGCCTTTGAAAGATGTCCGTCCGCCTCTGGTGTTATTTAACCCATCCATTTCGCTTCCATGGAACTCAGAGATTCTGCAGCGCAGGCCCCGGCATGAAGTGACCATTGAGCCTGATGTTTCTCGATTTTACTCGAAACCTTTCGCTGAGGTAAATACCGGCTTCAGACGCCAAGCACGTGCGCATGGCGGCTCTCAAAGACAACGAAGCCTTGCCTAGATGGCGACCAACGAGTCTGCGGAAGACCACTTTTCTCGCCTTCGCACAGTCTCTGTCGCCTGCATCGTGACGCTCGCAGCACTCTTCGCCTTCTCTCGTGCTCGCAATGGTCTTCGAACAGTCGATATACATCTACATTATTTATGGACATATATTCCCACTCTGTTCTTCACCTTCTTGACAGCATCACTGGGGTTGCTCACGACTTTTCCACCATCAGTGCGGGTCCCGACTTGACAATCTACAGCATCGAGAACACAAACCTCAGCTATCCAGAAGGAACCACTTCGCTTTACGCCGTACCTAGACTTTCATATCCTGGAGGTACGATATACCCTTAGATTTCATCAAACTTGAAAATGAGCTAACCAAAGGCACGGGCAGCACCGAATGCCACATTGACAGCTCTAGTCGAGGTGTTTGCCTCTGATTTGCGATATGAGCTAGCGTCGCTTCATGTTGACAATTTAACTCAGACAACCGTTAATGGTATCCATTATGGACCTAAGTTTACCTATTCTTTGAGGACGGGTGACTGCCTCGTGCGCAACCAAACGGTGATCGGAGGATATTACGTCGACTACAATTTTGCCGGACTGAATTATGTCTTTTCAGACTCTTACGGTAATATCGACACAGTTTCTTGTTCAAGCAATGAATCGGATGTTCGTATACGGATTTCTGCCGGGTTAATCCATTACAATATTAAGTTGTTCCCGCCCCCCCGGAACCTCTGCCACGCCACAGACACTACTTCTCTAAACCCTTTGAAACCATAAAAGAGAGTGATTTTAATGATGGCTGCAGTTACATGGAATGGAACACAAGAGGATCTGTATCAGAAGAACGAATCTGTTGTACTACCCTCCTCTTGGAGTGACATATACTCACTTTCAGCTTCGACGAATCTGCTATGCGTAGCTCAGTATGGCTTGCGGAAAGCTGAGGTGACTTATATGACAGACCAAACCACTGGTACTCGCCAAGTTCAAGTTCATGAACTTGACCCGACATTTTTACGATCATTGGAAGGTCTCACATCTGAAACCCTTTCAAACGCAATTTTGGATTCGGTATCCGCAAGCGGGCTGGTTGTTAGCGCTCTATATCCCAATCCAAATGCTAATGTTATCGTTGTCAACGGGCCGAGTGGGTCGGAAGCCGGATATTTCCCAACGAACGCAGACGCCTTTTTCACGATAATGACCCAACGATACCCTCCTGTCAACGGGTCCATCATGTCGACTTGGTTTGATCCAGAATTCCTGCAAAACGCCTCGAGCGAGTTTTTGACCTCTGTCGCTGCTCAGTTTGCTTCCCGGTATCTAAGAGACACCAATAACACTGTTCTCGGAACCGCGGAGGTGATTGAACCGAGATCGGTAGTGCTATCAGCTGTCTTCTATGCTATTGAGGCATTATTGGGGCTTTTTACCCTTGCCGCCCTTGCGCTCGCATGGCCTGCATCCAAAAGCGTTACCCCTATAGATCCGGATTCCATCGGTGGGACGACCGCCTTGCTCTGCTCTGACGGCGAGTTGACTGACCGCTTCCGGGGGACTGGATCCTACACGCTGTCGGACCTTCGAAGCCACCTGCTGGGCGACGATCAAGCTAATAAGCGAATGGACACCTCTCGGCCACACAACTTTGGAAGGAAAATTAAATTCAGAGATGGCCACAGCGCTGACGATCGCAATGCTGGCGGCCTTTCGTATTCCGACCCTTCCTTCGCGAGATTATCTTGGTCGTCCCCCTTCTTGCAAATGCCGCCTTGGAGGTGACGCTGCACATCAGCCAAAAGAACAATGGTCTGGTATCCATAGGCACCAGTCACCACGAGTTCTATACATTTCGGCTGGTGCCTGCTGTTGTCTTCCCCGCAGTCCGGATGCTTCTGCAAACGGTGGCCTTCAATGTCAGCCTGTTAACTCCCCTGTTGACCCTGCGAAGGGACCTTTGCGCGGCTCGCTTCGGTCTTCTTGACAATCCTTTGACTCGATTTCCACTCCAGAATCTGTGGGCCTCTCTGGGAAAGAGACAAGTCGCCCTCTTCAGCTCTATCGTTATGACAACTTCAGCCTTTTTCTTGGTCACAGTCTCAAGTGGTCTGTTTGTCACGGGGGCATTTACGCAGCCCTCAAATCTCACCCAACTATCCTGGTTCCTATCCTCCTTCGACAATAACGATTCTACTATCCAGCGGGTTGCAAGTGACTATAACCTGATCGAACCGCTTCACTACTCGCAAGACGATGGAGAGGTGACTGCGCATCTTATTAGCAATGGTATCATCGAATTGAACTTGTCCTACCCAGCCTGGACATCTGGAGAACTGGCATTCCCACTACTCCCTCTTTCCGATACCTCAACGACACACGCGATTCCCGCTGCCTCCGTTTCGGCTGAGATTCCTGCCATTCGAGCAGCCGTGCACTGTGATGTGCTCACGGACGATGAGGTGAGTATTTCGTACCAGAGCCGGTGGGACGACAGCCTCGGGAAGAATTTCACTTTTCAACTCGCGACCGTCGAGAGTCCACTACTGCCTCAGTTTCAGAGTTGTCAGGATGCAAATAACTTCAAACTCCAAGCTAATCTACCAGGTCGCCTCAGCACTAGCGAGGGGAGCATCGTAGCGCCTCGACCATGCTCTTCGACCGGCATCTACTGCTCAAATCTTACCGGTATCTATGGCTACGCGACGGACGAGGCCTTTGTCAACTATTCAGTCGTTTCATGCAGGGTGTCGTATGAACAAGTCGCAACCACGGCAGCTTTCGAACTCCCCAGCTATGTCATCTCCAAGGACGCACCGCCAACGGTCGACGAAACTCAAACCAAGCCCCTCAACAGCAGCGACGTCAACAACTTCTTGAATTCCGTGGGCTATTTTGCCGCGTTCTACAATACCTCTATCACGACATTCAATGGATATTCGACGATGGATTCGGTAACTACTGCGTTGATATATGGGAAAGATGGGGTACCAATCGAACAGGTGTTCCAGAAGCCTCCAGACGAGCATCTCATACCAAGCCTGAGGCATATGATCCGAGTCATGGCCGCGCAGTACATGAGTTACTTCTACCGAACGGCCAACTCGAGCATGCCACTGGTAGGCTCGACCATTCCTGCAACGTTGCAGGTGGGACCGGATTTCCGTCTGAAGCAGAACGCCACCTCGACCCGAGTGTTGGATGTGCTGCTGGTGGTCTCGTGGCTTTTTGCCATGATAACGGTCTTCACCTTCCGAAGTCGCGACATTGCAAAGGCCCAACCAGGGACTCTGGCAGCGGCTCTGGCTCTCGTCTCTGACAGTGAGTTCGTCTACAACATGCAGACTCGCGTCCAGAGTGACCTAGGTGGAGGGGGCACAGAAAGGGACAATTCTCTCCCAAAATCCATCCATTCCGTCCAAGTGGAGCAGGAATTGCTCTCGGAAGGGTCCCTGTTCAGCCTTGGATGGTGGAGAGATACGACTGGGCCAGGTGATTGGTGGCTGTATCCTGTGCCCCTTCCCCGAACCGTGTGCCCTTGTTCGCGTCAGTGGGCCGCGGAGACAGGTTGAGACCTCTGTCTCTGATAGTTCGCTGGGCACCAAGCCAGAATCTCTAGATATCCATGAGATGTCACTCAAGGTGATCTTACACTCCAAATCCGTTGGACCCGGTCGTTCAGATACACCCAGCCGAGCCTCTACACTGAATGTTAGTAACGGTTCCAGCCAGTTACCATCGACGTCGACAAGTTTGTCTTTTGTCCTCTCGGGTTTGGTCAACATGCCGATATAGGAGCATATTCACTCGAACCTTTTATCCTAAGAGATGTCTCTTTCGAATGGATTCTTCAACGACATCACTGACCTCTGTGTATCGTATCCCATCTCTCTTCGACCTTCTATTCTCTCTAGATCAATCGTACAATGTTTGCTCGGATTTTACATGTTTAATGTGGACACAAGTCTCCAAGAGACATGAGTCTGCACTGTTTGTCGATCCATATGGCTCTAGATCAACCAATGCTGATGGAACTAGACCATAATCCAAACGTAATGGCGAACCCACTCTTTCTTCCACCAGCACAGTCGAAGTTTATTATCCTCTCTTGGCCAGATTGGAGAAGCCTTCGTCATGAGGAGCAGGAGGAGCAACCTCGGTCGTTAGGCACAGCAACCTCCCATCATACATGTCTTTCCACGTTCGCCCCCTCTTCTGTGACCGAGGGTCTCTCTCTCACTCTCTCACACTGGGAGACTGATACGTCCATTTTTTGCTGTCCATGATGGCTGCAACAAAGTCTCAGACTGTCCAGTCTAAGGGCATTTTCCACGGCCTTCCAACCTATCCTACAGATTCCACAGAGAATGCGGATCTGACGGCGATCGTCACTGGGGCCACGGGCATTTCGGGCTATCACATGCTGAAGGTGCTGGCTGCTGCCCCTGAGCGATGGTCCAAGATCTATACTCTGTCGCGACGCCCTCCTTCAGACTACTTCTTCGCCGATCTAGGCGACGGGGCTGCGCGTGTTGAGCATGTAGAGGCTGATTTCCAGGCCGGCCCGGAGGCGCTTGCAGAAATGCTGAAAGCAAAGATTGGGAAAGTGTGAGTGAAGAATTAAGATGCTCCTTCCTCCCTGGAGAAGAAAGAGAAGCCGCTCCGCTGACCAAAGGATTTGAGATAGCGATCATGTCTTTTTCTTTTCTTACATGCAGCCGGCGCAGAAGGGGGATATTTTGGGCATGTGGTCCAACGCCGAAGAGTTGACCAGAGTCAACAGTATGGTTCCTAGAACGACTTTTGCAGCATGAGACTTCGTTTCTTTTTCCAGAGCTAAGATGTTCTCGACACAGCCGACTTGTTGGTCAATTTCCTGGGGGCGCTGAAGCTCTCAGGGTTGAAGCCCAAGAGATTCCTCCTCCAGACCGGAGCCAAAAATTACGGATTCCACATCGGTCCGGCAACGAGCCCGTCGTTCGAAAGCGATCCCCGAGTCACGCTCGAGAGCAATTTCTACTATCCGCAGGAAGATCACCTGGCGGAATATTGCAGAGAGAACGGGGCTCAGTGGAACGTGGTGCGTCCGTCATACATCATCGGCGCGGTGCGCGACAATCTGCTGAACCACATGGTCGGCCTCGGCGTGTACGCATCGATCCAAGCACATCTCAAAGAGCCCGTCGCATTTCCGGGCGACTACACCGCTTGGGACAGAGAGTACTGTCAAAGCACGGCCCTCCTGAACGCCTATCTTGAAGAATGGGCTGTCCTCAACCCCGAGGCCGGGAACGAGGCGTTCAACGCCCAGGACGGACTCCCTTTCACCTGGGGAAGATTCTGGGCATACCTGGGAGATTGGTACGGCACTACCTGGACGCCTCCCGAAACCGACCCCTCCAAATACAGGGCGTTCGAGTCTCGCTGGGAGGAAACACCACGGGGGTAAAGTCAAAATCCTAAAGGATCCTTCCTTCCTTTTTCCTTTTGTTCTCGCTCTAACACAAACGTCAATCCACAGATACGGCCCCCGGGGCGTGACCTACTCCACGTTCAGCCTGCTAGAGTGGTCCGAGCGCGTAGACGTCCAGGAGGCGTGGAAGGAGCTCGTCCAGCGGCACGGCCTCCTCCTCGACCCGTTCACGGACGCCGGCAGGAGGGCCCAGATCTTCGGCATGAGCGACTCCGCAATCATCGGTGGCTGGGCACTCTCGCTCAGCATGAGGAAAGCTCGCAAAATGGGCTTCCACGGCACCGTCGATTCGTATGAATCGGCTTTTCACACCCTCCACGATCTTGCTAGGCTCAAGGTCTTGCCGCCTCCGGCGGCTGCGAGATATACGGACTGAGCTAAGTCGTGTTATATCAGGTTCAAGGAAAGAGGGTCGCGAACCTGTAGTAAGGAGTCGGCTATTTGATGGGGCTCAAATTCATTCAAGCCTCCTTAGACGATTCCTCAACCCGGGCTCCTCGCCGTTGCGATGTGAGTACGGAGTATTTTCAGCTTGTTCGAGTCGATTATCTGTTGTTTGGTAGAAACATTGACCAGGATGAAAATTCTGCACATCTACCGCGACGCCGAATGATTCGCGAATGGGGACAGGAGTTGACAGCCAAGACCGTACCCAGTACCTGCGCAAAGGGAGATTCGATATCCAAGTACCTCTTGCAGCTGAGACAAGTTTTGGCCCACCCACTTTCCGCGAGTCTCGACAAGTTCATGAGCCCACCGCGTATGTAGTCGTAGAAGCCACTCATTGCTTACCTCGACCAATTCACCGAGGCGCCTTAGTGCGTAGCAATAGCACCCAAAGAACGGCAATGGCACTGGTACCGGAATGTGAAGTGCGTTGCTCTCCGAGGCTGGCACTGGTACAGGGGGGGAGCGAGTCATTCATTTTCGCGGTCACTGGGAGTCGGACACGGGACACTGGGACCTACACGGCGCCCATCAAGGCTTTGAGCCGCCAGGCGACTGAGTCTGACTGACCGAGCGCCAATGTCTCAAAGAGAGACGTCGTCCAATATACCGTACCTAGGTCTGTACGGAGTATGTATTTCTGCAACTACCTACTAGGTATTAGCCTATAAACAAGGGGGGCTGAAACTCAACTTGACTGACGTGCCAGTCCCAGCCCCAGCCTCGTGGCGACGTGTCGTACCAGCCAGCGCTTGCTTCAAAGAGCTAGGTATCATACAGGTGCTGCACTTGCCGAGCTTGAAACACTCGGTCACAGAGACCTAGCTTACCTAGGGAATGCTGCATCAGTTGGAAAGGCAGTGTGACTCTCGCGCCGACTTCTCGCTAGGGGGAACGGACGAAGGGTGGAAGTAACTCTGTAAGTTTCAGGCCGGAACCACTTGACGCGGATGCATTTGTTTCGGACTGGCGCCCTGTTTGGCGTCGTCAACATCGCTTCCTGACGGCCTCGTGCACGGCGAGCCTCACTTGGATCATTTTCATCTAACTCCAAAATGCCACAAAGATATGTCTGTCCCCCATCTTGATTTTCTCAACGCCATGAGCCATTCCCCTTTGATGTTTTTGAGCCCTGACAAATTCCGTCTCCATCCAGCCCAATGCAAGCCAAATATTTCTTCTTTGGCGGAATTATTGCTACATAGCACACTCGTGGATGCCTCCAGGACCCAATTCATTATACTCGCTCCGGCTCAAGAAGCCCTTGCTGTTACCCTGGTCCACAATAAAGACCACTTTGGCTGCCACTTGAGCTCCCAAGAAAGCAGCTTCTTCCATGCCCGACATGGCCGGGGTTTTCCACTCCGGGAAATATTCAGGCGGCTTGACGAGTTTGATGGAGATTGGGGACTGAGAGAACCCTCTGTGTTGGTGGGAGAGGGTGGACATGGGGTTGTTGGGATCTGCGGAGGGCGTTCCTCCCAGAGAAGGGTTCACACCAGGGACTTGAAGGTGTTGGGACTGCGTGTTAGGCTGCATCATGTTCTTGGTCGCAGCAACAAGAAGAGGGTTGACGCCGCCGCCCGGGTGGTGAAAGGGGTGGTTTCCCTGGCCGGGGATGGGTGTGTTTGTTCCAGGCGTGGCGACCGGAGTTGTGAAATTTGAGGGAAGCTCGGAGGTGAAGATCGTGGCGGTTGACGGAGACAGGATATATCGTGAGTTGAGAACGGAGAGAAGGTTCGTTGTAAAGCCTGTGAATCGAAAGGAAAAGGTGGGTTAGCAATGGGAGCTTCTGTCAAGATCCAATCAAACATACCTCTGATTCGACTTCCATTACCCAGTACGATCAGATTGTCCCAGATAGTTGCTCGTTGGGGGATGTCGGGAACACTCAAGATGGTATGATGGATCGCCTCCGCGATTATGTCGACGATTCCATCGCATGCTCCTGGCGGCGGAGTTACTGCCATGAATCGTTCCACTCCAACTTCAATTTCTCGCTTTCGTTTCCGACTCATGGGTTGATCGGCATCGTTCGACTCGGCGACAGGGACGAAGTCCACGTAGGTAAAAGTAGCTCGTTCTCGTTCTGAATTGCGTAGTCGGATTTGTCTGGCAGCTTCAGCGGCGCCACCTTTCTTCGCCGCGGCCTTTTCGGCCTTCTCCCGTTCGCGCTTTGCAAGTACTTCGGCGGCGTTGTCGCGGGCAACGATGGCAGCGACGTCAAGGACGCCCTCATTATCCTCGTCGTCGCCATTAGGACCTTCTTCACCCACCACGGTTCCCATTCCCGGCCCTCGGGGTGCCTGACCTGGTCTTAATCCCTCGCCATCCTTCGCATTCATCCCAGAGTCCAACGCCCCTGTAGATGCAGCCGCAGCTGGGTTAATAGCAGTGGCGGCTGTGCCGCTAAAAGAAGACCTTGGATAAGGGATTCCAGCAGGTAAAATCTCGCAAATGGGACTCTTTTTCAACTGCTCTGCCATATCCTCGTCAAACCCCTGGCTCTCCAGCGCCTGTTGCAGCCGCTTGGTCATCGCTCGACCACCACATCCGGAAAGAGCGATACCCCTCCCAATATCATTAACCTGAAACTCGGTGACTGCACTGACATCACATTTCTCGTGCCCGATGTCCAACACCAGCGCAGTCGGCACGCCGTATGCGTAACATGCCGTTAACGCGGCATCCATCAAACAAAATGCTGGGATCTTCCAGTGTTCAAAGACATATTGGGTTATCATTTCGTGATCTCGTGCGGTCCAACAGGGTTGAGCCACGAATAGAACCGGCATATGGAAGGGAGGAGAGATCATGTTGTAGATGTGCGAAAGGAGGGCAAAGAAACAGGACCAGTTTTCAATGTGCCCTTCTTTGATCGGGTAGACAGCACCTTCGGTGGACCAGTGGTCGTCTTCGAAGGTTTCTGTGGTTTCATCCTCAACGACGGCAGCGGCTTCTCCTTCTTCTAGTTGGGTGGGTGGTTGTGCTTCTTGCTCTGGCGGCGGAACCATTTCGGCATCCTGGGTTTCGGGTTTTGCGGTTTCTTCGGCCGGAGGGGCCTCTTTCATTTCGACATCTTCTGACAAAGCAGGCTGATCTTTCTGCTCTTCGGTTTTAGGTTGCTCTTCAGCGGTTTCTTCAACCTTGGGTTGTGGCCCTTCCTTCGGCTGCTCCGCACTGGGTGTTTCGCCATTTGTTTGCTCGGACTTGGCCTCCTCACCGTTTACTTGCCCGCCACTTGCTTGTTTGGTTTCCTCCTCATCGCCATTCGTGATAGGAACATCTGATTTGGAATCGACTTCCATCGGTTCTGGCCTAGGAGGCGCAGGCGTGGGCTCGGGCTCTGCTTCGACCTCTTTCGGCTTCGTTGCAATCTTCGTTCTGATTTTGACGGGCTCCCATTCTCCAGGATTCGCGCCCGGGAACATGCGCGTGGGAAAGCGATACCTCGGCGGCGTAAAGGACTCGGGCAGCCCCAGTTGCGCAGCAGTGATTTGCGAACCGGGCGCAATGATCTGGGAGTGGGTCAGCGAAGGTGACTCTTGGGCATTGCTCTGTGCGTGCCGGTAGTGAAGCTTACGAGCACATGCTCATCTTTGAAAGGAGGCATCGCGGAGGTCGCGCGGTCACAGTTCTCTCTCCCTGTTAACTTGGCTGGCGCGGCGGATCGCAACTCTCAAGGGACATTTTCTGTCGCGCCGCGAAACCGCAGAATGCGACGCGAGGCTTTGCCAAGACATTTCACATGCTACGGCGGAGGATTCAGCGGTACCTGCAAACATGGCCTCACAATGATAGAAATAAGATGACCCCAGCCAAAGCCCCAGCCTCAAGGAACGAACTACCACTTCGGATTTAACGTGGTAGCATAACTGAATCATCGTGAAAGGCTTTTAGTAGATTTCATCTATGGAAGTTCGTTATCAATCTCAATGGACCTCCTGTGCTGATAACCAGCTACTGCTTTCATCCCTAGTAATCGTACAATTGGACCTCGCCCCTTGCCAAAGTTGTGAATTTCTAGCAACGGCCCTATAATCAACGCCAGCCATGACTTTGAACTCCGAAACTCCCTTCTCCGCGGCAGCACCGTTCTTGTCCATCCAAACTCGACGACGGATTTTCCGATGTTCTCTCTCCAACCTCAAAATGACCCACTTAATCGTCATCAGACTCGACCATGTCCACCGACGATCAGCATCTTCCGCAAACCCCTCCTCGCTAACCACTTGCTGCAAAGCCCGGTCTGTCGCTGCCAGTAAGAGGCGCGCCATGTGTGGGCTGCAAGCGAGTAGTCGGCTCAGAAGCTTCATGCGAAAGACCGCTGGCCTGGTCGGTGTCGAAGGCATCGAAATCAAAGAATGAATTAGGGGGAAGTTGATCAGGATGGAGGAGAAATCCTGTTCCGTCGAGGTCATTGACAATCGCTGCGCCAAAATCCGGAAAAGATTGCACATCGGCAAGAGCGTTGTCGTCGAGAAGGAGTGAAATATCGTCAAGGTCTGGAAGACCTGAAGCAGGTAGCTGATCCCAAGGTTGTGTTTCGGGGTCGATGGGAAGATTGGCAAGCTCATAGCCCAGGTCTCCGGCTGACACTGCAGGTCACACAATACCACAGCAGGATATTGTGCCAAACCGGAGACGGTGGGGAAGCTTGACAGCGTTGCCATCGAGTCGGAAGCCGTCTGTTCAACGTCGGGATGTTCGTGGATGAGATTGAGTTGAGGAGCGAGCACCGGGGATTCGTGTTTCATGGGAGTCGAATCCTCGGATTGAACCAAGGTTGGATGGTTAGACTCGGCATCCGAACAGTCGTTGAAAGAAGACGGGGTGAAGGGTGGCTGATTGGAAGGTGCATACAACTCTGGAGCCGGTGTTGCATCCCCCGCGTCGTCGAGATCCATGTTGGGGGTTTCGACGGAGACAGGCAAAGGAAAATCTGCTTGGACACCGAATCTCGACTGGTAGCGAGAGAGGAGGTCGCGGAGAGCGGCATTTTCTTTCTCAATCCGGATCTGCCTGGCCTCTAGCTCTGCCACAGCAGCCTTCTGTCGCTGTCGAGATTTGTCGGCTGCCCTGCGGTTTCTGAGGATTCTCTCGTTCTTTCTCTGTTCCTTCTCCTCTGCCGTCTTGGCTCGTTTTCGGGGTGGGAGAATCTGTTTGATTTCGGGAACAGGCTGTCCCCAGGCCTTCCTCTTCTTCTTTTGGGGTTGGTCTGAGGGAGGCTGGCTGGCCTCTTTGCTATCGTCTAACAATGGAGGTGGCGTTGGGTAGCTGTGGCTGTAGCCCGCTACAGTGAGCGAGGTAGGGTCGACGATGTCTACTGGGCCAGCCATGTTGGTATGATGAGCGGGACGGTTGCGCGAATGATGGCAAGAGGAATGATTAAGGTAGAAGGCAAGTTGGGTGTTGAGAGGATTAGGGTATGCGTTTATTACGGTGAGGCCTAAAAGACCACGTATCCTCAATGCGGACTCATGGTTGCTCAGGCCGAGCCGTGCCAGTATAAAGTGGAGTGAACCATCAAAGAGAGATTAACCAAGGAAACTCGTTCAGAGAGGAAAAAGTGAAGAGGTTTGGTGATGAAGTCGAGATGAGTTGAGAGCAGGAGGAACAGGCACCTGGAATTAAATAAGGCCAGAGTGTCAATTCAGGCGATGCAGGGGGTGCGTAGGGTGCGCAGGGGTGCGGTCACCCAACGATCCACCAGCACATGCACACCGCAGACTTCAAGACCAGACTTCACCAAGGGGTTTTGGGTCCAAGTCTCTAGACGAGCCAGACGAGCCAGTCGCATCACCGCTTCTCCCTCATGATCCTATTTCTGCCCTCCACTCGTATCCAAGACTGCGTCCTACCGTCGCCATGATCCCCATCATCCCGCCCTTGAACGCTACCGTCCACCACGCCCCTTGCCGCGATCCACATCGATATCGCCTCCCACATCAGTTCCTTCATCCTCAGCTCAGCCTCAGACTCGTCAGCCGCACTCGTTTGTCCCACTCCTATGCTTGATGTACATGAGATCATGCTGTTTTGGTCTATTGGTGCCTTCAGGAGACAGACAGCTTGTTCCAGATGTACGGAGGAAGCTGTAAGTTGCTGTCAAGACGCAGGGGAAGTTCTCCACAAAAGGCAAGGGGGATCCAGGGACAGGCAGAGACAGAAAGAAGCCAGAAAGTTGCTTGCCCTCAGCGTAGCCCTATGAGGCAATCTTCTACTGCCGCAACTGTCGGCATTGCCATAGCGAGAGTGCTGACTGCAGCTCTTCGCTTTCCGTATAAATCTCTATAATCTGACTCCTTGCAGACGTCTTCCTAGGCCTCGGACTGCACGTTACCAATCACGAAGTCGAAAAGTTTCTGAAGATGCTCTTGTTGATGTGTTTGTCATGCCGTTGCTATTTCCTGTCCTCTACCGTAAAGGCTGATGCGTAAATGGGGTATCTCTGTAATCGACTTTTGTCCTTTCCTGACCACCTGTCAATCATGATTTGCCTTTCCGTTACACCACCAGCCCGATATTTGCCTTTCTTTTTTTTTTCTTCTTCTTTTAGTTGTGAGCATGCCGTATCCTTCCAAACCGGGTCGGCACTTGTCATTGCAGGCATCATGCATTTCACCATCCATGTTCGCTGCCCGGTACGGCCATGCCATTCATTACTCCGTAGACATCACCGCCAGGTGAGATGTTCCCAAGAATCTCTTTCCAAGGATCACGGCGAAGTCTATATTAGCTGTGTTGAAGACTAACGGGCGCATTCAAGACCCGCTTCTTCATCCACTCCGTGTCCTCGTAAAGTTTCTCCTGGTAGATCTCGTCCACAAGGTCATTGACCATGTCCTCGACGATTTGTTCTTGATACCGCTCACCAATCGGACGAGCGTTATAGTGCGCAGGACCATCCTTCCCGTATCCATACCACCAGGGCCCATCGAACTTGCACTCGATTGCTCCGCCAGTGTAGTGACTGATCGCCGGGTAGTAACCTAGCAAGCCGTCGTCCACATCGCCATGCCCTCCGGTGATGGCTCTACTGCCCTTTTCAATGTAAGATGCTGGCGGCAGGAATGCAAAGAGGTGTTCCCAGACCACGCCATGGTATTTCCCATTCACCCAGAGTTCAATCTTGCTGCCGGGCAGGGTCCGCAAGTGAGGCAGGTCGTGGTTAGGATGGGGATCAGTCAGGAGGTCGTACTTCTTGCCAGTCTCCGGGTTGATGGATTTGTTCTTCGAATTCAGCGTGGGTCGGCTGAGGTCGTGGTTGGGGGTGTACTCTGGACATTCGAAGTAAGTCATGCCCTTGTGGAGAAATGGATTGCGATCGCGGATGATGTCGTGATCGGAAGGTGCAGTGCATCCCAACATTGGAATTACGGCGGAGCGGATTGCAGCTCGGGAAGTGTTTGGTTTCTTTGCAGGCTCGTCCTTGCTCTTAGCAACCTCGACTTCCTTGGGTTTTGGACCGCCCTTAGCAGACTTCTTCCCACTGCCTTGCTTCTTCTTCATGACTGCCGGACCGCATTTGAGATCTGGGTACTCCGACGGGTTGAATTTGCCCTCGACCACTTTCTTGTGTACCTCCAGCGACGGCAGCGTGATCATCAGACCGACCACATCACCTGGGGACAGGTCGTCGGGATCTCGCGCACCTTCACCTTGCATATGATACATCTGGGTATTGAACCGCACACTGCCATATTCTTTGGATCTCCCACTCCTCAGGATAACCGCATACGAATAGGCATTGCCGCCCAGATTCTCGCTCCAATGGTGTTCGCGTCTGCAGAAACCCACCCTCAGACCGCCTCGACTTGTTGACGTTCTGTCTGTGTTTTGGGTCTCTGCCAGTGCGCGGCCTGGGGCTTCTCGACCTGAGGGGGCAATGCTGATAACTTTGGCTTCGAAGAAGAATTGCCCCTCCCTGGCGAAGACATTGGCTCTCGTAGTATAGCTGCCGAACTCCCCACTCTTGCCCAACATGTCCTTGGTGAAGACATTCCTGATGTTCTCGACACCACATTGAGGGTGATTCTCATCGCTGAGGCGCGCGTAGCGTGGAGGAGCTTCGTCAGTGTGGAAGTAGAAAGTAGTAGGATCTCGCTTTGCGCGGATGTAGTAGCGTTTCTCTTTGCTCTCAACGCTGTTTCTCGAGGTTAGCGATCCGCTCACTTTGGGCAGGGAGAGGGGCGGGTTCATACTGCGTCCCTAGAGAGTAGAAGTCAGTCTTGTCGCCATTCGGGGCGATCTTAGAGTGATCGTAGAACTTCTGCACCTCCTTCTGGTCTTGGAGGAATTTGGGGTCGTTAGGTGCAATGTAAGTGGGAAGCGTAACAGGTTTGTCGTCCTCGATCCGGTCGATCTTGGCCGAAACTTGTTCTTTGAGCTTCTCGCTCGGTTTTTTCTCCCGATGGCCACGGCCTGAAGACTCGTCCATGCCGGGCTCGAGCTGAGGTTCAGGCTCAGGTTCAGGCTGAGAGTTGGGCTTGGGCTTTGCTTTCTTTTTGGGAGAGGGACGAGATTTGGTGATCTTGTCGCGTGTCGGCATTGTCGATTTCGGGTCCAGCAAAAGTACTTGGAGAACGGATAAATTTCGGGCCGATGTTTCCCCGGGAGAGGGAACTGTGACAGCTTTAAAAGGGATCAAGAAGCACCGACAAGGGATGAACAAGTTGAACAAGGGCTTCTTAATGCTTCCAGTGCGATATTCACTTTGTCCGATTCACTTGATTCACTTGACTCACTTCTACGTAGTGTGCGGAGACGTTGACAGACGAAGTCACTAATTTTAAGGTAGTACTAATACAGTCTCCTCCAGCCCGTATCTCCATTGTCTTGTCAGCTACCTTTGAGCCACACTCTAAGAAAGCGATAAGCGGCCAGTACATCTCCAACAGGACCAGTATCCCGTGCCAGTCCAATGAAACTCAAGAACCACCCTTCCACAATCCACCGGGCGACGAACCCAGAAATAGCCAAGCCAGTAGCAATCACGTATCCACAGTTGAGTAAAATCAGCAACGCTTCGATGTTGTTGAGAAGGACGGCCCAGCCCACGTAGTTTGTGGCTCGAAAAGCAAAACCAAATGAGTCGCTCTCCTTTGTTTCTGTTGGCCAGATGACCAACAAGATGGGAAATAACTTGGTGCAGCTGGAGACTAATAGGGCAGTGCTGATGGCGCTGGGACTCGCGTGACTAGTTGCAATGCTCGAGCGGGCGTCGGTTGTCGAACATGAGGCGGTGGTGGGCGTCGCATCTGCATGGGCTTGCTCTTGCCTTTCCTGGTGGGACACCAGTTTCCGAACCAGTGCGCGAATGATGCCATGCTGAGCAAATGTCGCCAGGACGTTCATTGTCAAGAAGAAAAGATATTGTGCTAGAATGGGCATCTCGCTGAGCCGCGATCCCACAGCAGTGCCACCGTTTGCTGCATTTGATTTTTCAATTCTTGCCCAGGTAATGTAGACATCGAAGAGGATAAGCAAGGTGCCCAGGCGTAAGATGCTGGGATCGAACTTGTCATCTGAGCGCCCCAGCCTGTTGAAAAGAAGATGGCGATAGACCTATCCTCAAGTCAAAAGAGGCATGGCAGACATAGACCATCCACTCACCTGCGGTTTTATCAATACCAGATCGATGAACAGGACGACAAAGTCATGTTCGACATATTTGTCGGCGAATCGTTTGCAATTTGGGCATTGTGTCAGGCGAACGCCTTTGCCCAGGGTTCGATCATCCGCCTTGCTGTAGACAGTATATAGCTCCTTGACCGGAGTACTGCATGTAATGCATATAGGCATGCCTGCCTTGGTTGTGATTGAGGGTATCCCAATAGTATTGCATCAGGGGGAAATGGTACAAAGGAAGTGGATCAATGTGGCTTGGCAAGACTCTGGCCTTCCATGAATCCAACGGGCAACTTTGCCGGCAGCGAGCAAAAATCTCAAAAAATGAGCCTATCATTTTTCACTCGTTTTCAGTCAACCAACCTTGGTCGTCTACCTTCCAGAGTTCAAGATATTTTCACGCAATGTGCTTGATGCGGCTTAGGGGTGTCTCCCTTCTGCAATTTTCCTATACCCCAACTTTGATTCACAGCGAAGCGAGCAACACAGCAATTCCACTTGGGTTTTTAGCAGGTTCACCCGTGAAACTGCCTTGAATGATTGGTTCGAAAAATGTTCCTTTTTGGGTATAGACGAACCCACCGTGCTGGAAACAGCAGTGGCGACAAGCAGGCCTCTATTACTGGTATTCTCTCTATTCCTCTTTTGGCACATTCCGCGAGAATGCCTTGGACTCTGGAGGCAGAAAGGGAGAGGGCTGTGATAGCGCGGGGGCGAAGCGAGGTATCGTATTCGCGTTGCATATATCAGATACATGAGGTAAGTAGTGTGAGAGGAAAGATATAAAGTGATTTTCCCAGATCCCTTCTTCTCTTCAGCCATCTTGCGTGTTGCGTTTCATGTTCGCTCTTTGGTTCAATTTCGCATCCCGCCATGGTTTTCATATATACGTACCGCAAAATCAGAGCCTACCGCGCTCGCAAAGCCCTGGAAGCTGAAGCTCAAAATCAAACAACAATAACACCAGGCCCAACCTCATTAACCGCAGCAACCAACTCAAAGTCTCCAGCCAATACTCGCAAGAGGACAAAAGCGTGCCCGGAATGCGCTCAAGAAAAGAGCAAGGCCCGCAAATACAGATGGAAACTCCTTTTCTGCCTGCTCCCGGCATTCTTCGTTGCCTGTCTTGACTTGACCATAGTTGCGACGGCGCTACCGCAAATCGCATCTCATTTCAGTCAGTACTATTCGTCCCCTCTCAGATTCGGCCTTCTTCTCCCACGCCTGAGACACTGACGGATATGCGACAGACAAATTCAACCAGCTAAACTGGATTGTCACCGCATTTACCCTAACATCTACGGCGTTTATTCCTGTTTTTGGCCAACTAGCAGATACATTTGGGCGCCATGCGACCCTGCAATGCGCCGTGGTTATCTTAACCATTGGCAGCGTTCTTTGTGCTGCTGCTCCGGACTGGGCCGTCCTTCTCCTCGGCCGTGCACTGCAAGGCATGGGTACTGCGGGAGTTGGGAATGTCAGTATGATTGTTCTAGCGGATTCGGTGTCCCTAAGAGAACAAGCTGTCAACACAAGTATCTTCCAATTGTTGAATGGAGTTGGCTACAGTAAGTTGAGCCCCATTGCCACGTCTGCAGCTCCAATTTGTACGGCCACGAGATGTACCGAGTACCTCTTTGTAACCTCGCTCCCTTCAGGTGTTGGACCCGTCATAGGTGGGTATCTCACGAACGCAAGCTGGCGGTACTGCTTTGTTCTCTGTGCCGGACTCTCTGTGATAAGCATCTTCACCATGTTTCTCCTTAGAAGCGACCTCAAGGCCGGTAAGGTCTCAGTCTCACACCCTCCACCGAACACCAGCCGCCTGCAAGCGCTAGCGGGCGGTCTTTCAACACTCGACTTCGGCGGCATCGTCCTCTTCATCTTCGGAGTTGGTCTTATCATCTTGGGAACAGCCTGGGGTGGTTCAACATACCCCTGGTCATCCTCGGCCGTTCTCGCCCCAATAATCCTCGGCGCCATTTTCATCCTCCTCTTCCTGCTTTACGAGGCGCTCCTTTCTTCTCCGACCAGCTTTCTCTCGCGCCACTTGCCACAAAACACGGTGCCCATGCTCCCATCCTCAATCCTCTCCTCCAAAGACGTCACTTTAATCTGCTTCATCGCAGCCGGCACCGGCGCAGCTCTCTATAGCGTCTTCTACTTCATCGGCATCTATTTCACCTTGGTCGAAGGATTCGAGGCTTCCCACGCTGGCACCCAACTCTTGTACTACGTTCCGGGGATCGGAGTCGGCGTGTACGTGGCAATGTTCATCTGCAACGTATACCCGCGGCAGACTTTCCCGCCGCTCCTGCTGGGCACCATTATCGAAAATGCCGGGATCGCAGCGCTGGCCTATGCGGTGAAGGTGAAAGATGAGACGTTGGTCAATGTCATGATGGCGATCGCCGGCGCGGGCACAGGCATGCGCTTCATGCCCTCAAACCTGCACCTGGCGGGCATGTTCCGCGACAGGTTGGCTCCGGTATACTCGATGTTGAGGTTCGCACTGCCGTTTGGCGGGACCCTCGCGCTCACGATAATGGGCTCCGTGTTCCAGAATCAGATGAGCGAGTACTTTGGCTCCAGCGCGGTCAATCCTGGCATCAACAACAACACCACCACCACCAACGGAACGTCCTCGGTGGGATTCAGCCTGCACAACCAAGCTTCCCTCGACCTGATCAACGACCTACCACCCTCCGAACAGAAAGCGATCCGCTCCCAAGGCGCCACCGCGACCATGTGGGCGTTCATCTCCATCCTGCCGATCTTGAGTTTGAGTCTGCTGGCCAGTCTGTTCCTGGGTAACGTGTGGATTTCGAAGAAGCAGAACAATAAGACAACGACGACCGAGAAGACAACAAGCGAGAAGACAATAGCAGCGCCGTCGAATCAGAGTAGTAGGAGTCCCATTGGGGATGCGGAAAAGGCAGAAGGTGTCTTTGAACGTGCCGAAAACGAAGCCGAAGACGGCCTATGTCGCAGGCACGCTGCCGTAGCGAATGGATCTTCTGCCGATGTGAGGGCCGAGGAGCAGAGAAACGAAGTCGAGTTCGTCAGCGAGGTGTTCTTGCTCGCGCTGGCAAGGGGCGACATGCGCAGATTGAAGAGGAAAGGCGCCGAGGAGGAGGAGGACGCAAGCCCATCGTCGACGACCACTCGTATTACTTCGCAATCAACCCCAAGGAGGAGAAGCGACGACACAGCTGCAAAAGAAAGCGGACCTCGAAGGGAGGCAAAATAAGTGAATGAATATGATTTTCGTCGGTGAGAGCAAATTAAATGGGTACGCTTACACTGACGGAGCGACATGCCATGATTTTGAGCGGTTTTCTGCATACATACCACATATAACACAGCATGGCATATGGGAATGGTGGGTTTTTTATGGGCGGCTTGGGCTAGAATTTTGTGTCCATATTTTAGATGTTGTGAACACCACATTTGATGGACTCGGTTTGACTCGATTCGAGTTAACAATATATTCCATACATGTCTGGTCATGTACTTGCGGAACAAGTAAGCTTCATGGTGCAATATTGGTCCATTCCAATGGTCGCTGGTCCAAAACTGGTCCAAATCGAATGCACATTTTGCGCTGAACTGATCAGTGAGGCAGTGCAGGCCTTGGCAAGAGCCCAAACCCCCCGAAGAGTCATCTTTATCATATGGGGCAATGCCATCGGCATCCACGGTAGAGAAAACGCCTTCAACGAAGACATCCTCAGCGCAGAGATCCAGCACACCACCATTCGACTGCTTTCCAATTTGAGAACCCTGTTCCAAGATGTGGAGCGTTTTCAGAATCGATATGGGATGAAGCAGGTTCAATCAATTGAAGGGCCAGCGTTCCTGTTCACGGACAGTCTTACCATCCACTATACACGGCTTCGCTTTGGTCTGCTTCAACGTCAGAAAAGCTTCACTGATTTCCAAGACATCGATGGTCCATTAGAAAACGCCCTCGATCAAACTGGGTATGAAGACATTGATGAGTCCGACTTAGCATTCAGTCGGCGAAACAGCCTCAAGTCGATCCAAGAAAGGGGATAGGCAGCATTGCACCAACCTACAACCAGATTCAATTGAGTGTTCGCCCGAAATTGATATTCCACATGGAACACATGAAACAAAAGCTTTTCCAAGATGAACGGTAGGAGGGCTCAAACCCGTGAAAAGTTCTTTGCAAAAGGATGTTACCTTCCGACTGGGACGCTTCCCCCGAACCGAACTCGCACACCGTTAATGAGTGTCAGAGTCCAAGACTCTAATCTAGTTCGTTCGACTATTCTACTATCTTATAAACAAGGCAAGGCTAATCGCATCATCGCGGATTCTTTGGGCAACCATTCCGTGGTCGGTACTTCAGAAACGAAAAGGTCTGTCACATATAACAGTCTGATTCTGCCTATGAGGGCGGTGTGTTCTTCGTCAGTATACCTACTAATCCCGCTCGGCTTTCCATCGACGCCACCTAATTGGTACTTTTGAACCCTGATGTATCATCCAAACATCAGCGTGGACGGTGAAATTCTTTTGGATCTCTTGAGCCACAAAATGGACCCCCTGTATGGGAATTTCATGCGAGTACTGGGTAATAAGCGCAACAAGAGGCTGATAAGGATGGTTTTTTATATATATCGGTGTTGTACCATACAATTCCACCCCACTGATCGGCAATGGTCTTGCTGGCTATCGTCTTTGTCCTTGACGAGCCAGACTGGTCAGCTTCTTGTAGACAAGACGTGTCTTTTCATTGATTCTTGAAACGCCGTCGGCTTCGCGGCCGTGTCACGCATTCCTACGCAAAGATACGCACAGCGAATCGATTCACCCGAGGAAACAGCTTCAAGGTGACGAGCTTGAGATTGGGGGAGTCGTTTAGGGAACAGCAGATCTCGTGGCCTACTTCAGAGGCCGCTATGGCCTGGATGTAGCTTAAGTCCGCCACCCTGTAAATGCAACACTAAATAGAGCGCTCTGTGTACTCAACTGGCACTGTCGTTGACATAGAACGCGGTCATGAACGCCGCCATTGGATCGGCGGCAGAGATGGTAGCACTCTGGGTAGGCCTCGCTCGCCTCGTTGGCCTCGCGGCCGCCGCCTCTGCCTCTGGAGCCTCGTGTATAGTCTCAGTGGCGGTAAAAGGCCTTGTTGAGCTTGATTAGCTTTCCTTTTTGCTCTCTAGTCTTTAGACGAGGAATCTCGTTCCGTAGACAAGCTATTTAGCTATTCTTCTATCTATTATATCACTTATATTCTTCTAGAACTTACCTATCTCAACTATTGTAACGAGGCAAAGTGGCAGTGTTAGGCTAGTAGAGGGCAATAGAGGGGTAGCAGGAAGGAGATTTGGCTGGTCACATGTCAAACCAAAATGGACTAGAAGGGCAGGACAGTTTACAGTACTGGCAGTGTGCCATTCTTTATAGTTTGAATAGAGTATCATTCCATGTTTTTGATGCCGTCTACCTATTCCTGAGTGTTTTATCGGTCCTGTCCCACTCCTCAATGCCGCCGCCGTGCTAGGTGTTCGTTGCCCTGGTCGCTGCCTCTTAGGGTGGTGTTGGTGGTGGTGTTGTCCTGTCAGCGCCAACCAGAAACGCGTTCTCGATTCCCGACCTGCTCGACAGGCCTCTGTTCGTTGTTGCACGTGGACGCCAAACCCTAAAGTGATCTGTTACAATATTACCTTTAGTACCTAAAGCTTTTTTATATTATACTTATATTGTCTTTCTTATAGGTATTTTAACTATAAGAAAGACAATATAAGTATAATATATAAGTTTATATGGTATTTTTAGATTAATATTACCTTTAATACCTAAAGCTTTTTTATATTATACTTATATTGTCTTTCTTATAGGTATTTTAACTATAAGAAAGACAATATAAGTATAATATATAAGTTTATATGGTATTTTTAGATTAATATTACCTTTAATACCTAAAGCTTTTTTATATTATACTTATATTGTATGTTCACAGCAATGGCGTCTTGCCCGAGATGATAAATCCATAAGCTCCATCGCTTGCTCGCGTTAACTCTGCCATCTTCAGATGGGTTCTTTTCCGGGTAGTACATTATTGACATCCGGACTCCATAGCTCGGCTCTAATTGACCCAGCTCCTTGTTGTTAGAGATTGCGTCGGATCACTACTCATCTTCCCGTTCGTGTCGGAGCCGGAATCAATTACTACCCATATATGGTTCTGCTGCATTTTGATTCCCCACTTTCGGACAAGGTCGCTTTCCGGCTAGCATCGAGACGGGAAATACCCTGGCCAGACGATGCCGGCCGACTCCATTTTACGATCCAGACCAGCGCGGTTTCCGACCAAAACGAGGATGCATGCCCTCCGCGAGCCCTTGGCTTTTCAGTGGTCAACCTTGGCTTATGCCAGACCTGCCCCGTCAAGATCTCCAGGTCTTGTCTGGAGGGGAAAATCTGGGGAACAGGAGTACGGATCCTTTTGCCACCACTTTCCGGGGCAGGGTGGATGGAGATAAAGACCTAGCTTAGCCTTCAGCTTCAATGTCCATCCTCGGAGGGTTTGTCTTTTGTCCCACGTCTTGTCATCACCTCGCCGTCACCCAACCATTGCTGGCTCCAGTCAGAGATGTCCACGACTACTAACAAGAATATCCCAAACATGGAAGCAACAAAGCTGTCCGAGAAAGACGCTGAGCACGACGAAGTCATCCACGGAACATCGCCCACTGAGTCTGATTTGGATGAGGAGTTCCATTTCACTATTGGCAAATGCATGGCCATAGCGGTAAGCATCGGTCATTCCTTTCGTCCCAGACTGCGCTATGCCTGTACTTTTTCAGGCCACCATTCGAAAATGTGATGTTGATGTTGAGACAGGGTATGCAAATAGGCTACATGTCAGCCGTCTTCTGCATTCAAATGGTTTCTGCTATCCTCACCACCATCAACAGCGAGATTGGTATGTGGAAGTCCATGTGACTGGCGTGTTCGGGCGCTCTCTGCGCCTTCTTCTTTCGACTAGGAAGTTTACGACGATTATAGGACCTTCCACCTCTTTCTCCTGGATTTCAACTGCCCAGGTTGTCCCTGTAGGTGTCTTCGGCCTTTTGGTTGGCCGTTTAGGCGACATTTACGGCCGGCGATATTTCATTCTCATTGGTGACGTCTTCGGCTTGATAGGCTGCTGTGTTTCTGCCACAGGCAATAACATCAACACTCTCATCGGCGGAGGCATCTTCATCGGAACCGCCTCTGCCTGCCAGCAGCAGGCGTGGGCAGGGGTTTCTGAGATGGTTCCCAAAAAGTATCGCGGCTTTGCCATTGGTATTTTCGAGTTGGCATGTGCCCCCGCGGGAGCATTTGGACCCATCATGGGAAACGCAATCGCGTACCACACCACTTGGCGTTGGGCTTATTGGGTCCCGTTCATCCTGAACTGTGTCGCGTTCGTTCTGGTCTTATTCTTCTACCACCCCAAAAATCAATACATACGGGAAGAGGGCAAGAGCCGTTTCCAGGAACTCGCCGATATGGATTGGGTCGGATTTGCCTTATGCGCCGTCGGCCTCTGCTTATTCCTTCTCGGAATCTCTTTTGGCGGCAATTTGCTGCCCTGGTATGATGGATGCTCTACCGGTTTTGGGTGTAGCCAGCTAACGCGTGTCTAGGAAATCTGGTGGGACCATCTCCATGATCGTCCTTGGACTCCTTCTCTTGATTGTTTGCGGTATTTACGAGGCCCACTGGAACATGGTACTCCCTCTATTTCCCCCAGTTGTCCTAGGGAAGATTCGAGGAGTAACCTGCGTCCTTGTCGGCACCTTCCTTTTTGGGATGTTGTACTATTCAACCGCAGTGTTGTGGCCCCAGCAGGTTCAAGCCCTTTATACGCAGGATCTTTTGAAGATTGGCTGGTATGCATCAGCACTGGGTATCGCTGGTATCCTTTCCTCTCCCTTGTTCGGGTTTCTTTTCACATTCGGACACGCCCGCATACTGTTCATCTTTATCATCGTGATCGGTACGGTGGCCTCGGGATGTATGGCAATCGTTTGTAAGTCTTCACGCTCTCTCCGCTTCTCGCCTTCTCCCCAATCCACTAACCTCAGCTAAGCACCTAGTTCGAGCACTGCCTCTATTGTCTTGGTCGCCATGGAGGGCATCAGCATCGGAGGTGGTATGATCGTCGCCACTGCCATGGTTCAGCTTGCTGTGGAGCACCAATACATTGGTATTGCCACTGCCCTGGCCGTCACCGCCCGCAACATCGGTGGATCCGTTGGTCAGGTCATTTATGTCACTATCTTCACGGAAAAACTCAAGTCAAATATCGTGAAGTACGCTGTTTATCCGCTAGCAGCGGCTGGAGTCGCCCCGAGCCTCATTCCAACCGTCGTGGAGGCCTTGACCGGCACGGCGCCGGCATCTGCTCTCGAGCAGCTGACGCCCACACAGCTCGGCATTGGTGTGAAAGGGGTCAAAGACGCATTCGTCCACTCTCTGAGGATTGTCTACTTGGTCTCTATTGCCTTTGGTGTCATCGGAACCGTGTTCGCATGCTTCAGCAAGAATGTGAACGAGTATATGACCAATAAAGTTGACATCAGATTAGACGAAGGTGCAAAATTGAAAGCGATGACGGATACTGGCGAAGGTCACATCATCCGTGTTGAGGAACAGACACTGCATCGCGGTCACTTACGTCGCCATGGTGAACATAGCTCCGCAAGTCCGCACAACGGCGTCGTGGAGGCTAAAGCTTGAGTCGGATGGTATTGGATCCAAAGCTAGTTCTGGCTGGTTCGGTTGAGGGGTTGGTTCTGGCCAGCTGAATGGCGGTTTGTAAATCCGTGGACGGAGCGAGAGCAACAGAGATACAGAATAAGGGAAAACCATGGTTACTTTTTGCCATCTTTTGGACCTGACGGGCTGATGGACACTCACTATTATCTCCACTCCCCAGGCAGGGTTTCCTCGCTGTCTGGGAATCATATGCGTCTGGCACCAAAATCGTCCTGATCAGAAGGTTGCCGGGTCTTCCACTACTCGAGTTCCACGTTTTCAGTCAATCTGGCTGACATCCTTTTGAATAATACCCTTCAGGCAAGAGCTTTTCCAGCTAATATGGGAATTCCGCCCCAACTCTCTTGCATCTGCGGACAAAAAGAAAACCAGGGTTGTCACATAGCTTGCCGAAGTCCCGGTCACTCTTGCTTCTCCTGAGGGCGTAAAATGATCTGCTTCTTGTTAGAAAAGACCGTCAGTGGATCGGATCTATCGCTGATTATGCACACATGAGATCTCCCACCTATCTAAAAAGTACATTAATAAGGGACACTTCTACTGACTGCTTCCTCAGGGCGGGAATGCGCAACTGTGGTGAACAGCATGTGCAGATCTCGGATGAATGCCGGGTGCCACGCTGATGCCTGGGAAATACGGCAACAAGGCCTCTCCAGTTGCAACTAGCAGCGCAAGATCGCTCCGGCTTTTCTCATAAGGTACAGGCATGTTCTGGTAGAAGGAGCGTTTGTATCCTTTCCTCTAAACTTTGGCAGAAGCTTTATTTTCAGACCTTTTTCACCAAGTAATCGCATTCAGATGCACCAGTGCGAGCCGATGCACATGGGTCGGGGCACGGAACCTTACGGGCCGACACCTCAGGAAGCATTTGACACCATGATCGATGCTGCGTTGAGAATGAGCCGGTCATCGGCCTGGTAATCAAAACGGAGGTGTATTTAGTTGTTCATGCCCGCTTCCTTGAGCAAGATGACGACGCGGCTGCTTGTCTCGGAGCACCGCTGCTGAAACCTATCATCTAGCCACGACACTCTGCTCTAAACGCTCCGGCGCTGTTCGATAAACCTTACTCACCATGACGCCTGATCTCTCATTCGAGAAATTCCATAACATCGTCGCGGGGAAACCGCGTGGCTCTGAGAAAACCTCTCATACCGTTGACCCTGCAACCCTCGAAAACCTATGGGAAATCCCCGTAGCCACGGAGCGGGATGCTGACAATGCCGTCACAGCAGCTAAGGATGCCTTCAAGACTTGGAAGAAGACGCCATTCGAGGAACGAGTCGAATTGTTGAAAGCATGGGGCGAGGCCTGCCGACCCTACCTGAAGCAATTCGGCGAGCTGATCATGAAAGAAAATGGAAAACCGGTATGCTCGGTTTTCTTGGTCTGGTCCACTTTACTTTGATCGAAGCCGAGGCCGAGCCCAACGGAGTGTCCAGGTTGGACTAACAAGAGAGTAGAGAGCTTTTGGTGAATTCGAGGCCAACCACTCCTTCAACGAGGCCTTCAATTATTTTCGTGAGTCAAGACGACCCTGTTGATACGGAGATTCAAGATGTCTAAGGACAAAGCACAGTCTCTCTGAAGATGCCCGAAGAAGACCACATTGTAAACGACCGGAACTACCATGTGAGATACACACCTGTAGGGGTTGTCGTTGCCATCTGTGCCTGGAACTGTAAGTGCACAAGGCCATGCTTTGGATCAAAACAGGGTGAAGGAAGCCGACATGTCTGTGTGAACCAGTTCCTCTCGGTCAGCCGATCATGAAAGCCCTGCCGGCGCTGATGGCCGGTAACTGCTGCATTGTCAAGACCTCTCCCTTCACACCTTACAGTGGGATGAAGGTGGTGGAGCTAGCTCAGAGGTTCCTGCCCCCGGGGGTCCTCCAAGTGCTCAGCGGCGACGATAGACTTGGCCCGTGGCTCACCCATCATCCCGGTGTCGACAAAATCTCCTTCACGGGCTCAACTAAATCAGGAAGAAAGGTGGCAGAAGCCGCTGCCAGAGGCCTCAAGCGCATAACGCTTGAACTGTACGTTCGTTCTCTGTCGACAAGGCTCCGCATGCTGACCCCCGCTATCAAAGTGGTGGAAATGATCCAGCCATTATATGCCCTGATGTTGATGTTGACAAGATCGCCCCTGACCTTTGTTTCGCGGCTTTCTGGAACACAGGACAGGTTTGCACCGCGGCCAAACGGATTTACATCCACCAAGACATCTATACACCTATGCTCGACGCAATGGCTCGTGCAGTACACAAGTGGAAGGTCGGAGCTGGGACGGAAGATGGTGTCATGGTTGGTCCGATGCAGAATGAAATGCAATACAAAAAGGTCAGAGGACTCTTCGAAGAGGCAAAGCAGAAAGGCTATGCCGCATGGTTCGGTGGAGAAGTGAGGGACACCAAGGGGCTCTTCTTAGATCCTACCATCATTAACAATCCGCCGCCCAATTCAACTCTTGTGATGGAGGAGCAATTCGTAAGGATTCTCACACAACCTGCCACCATTACGCTGACAGAACCCCGAAGGGACCAATTGTGCCGGCGCTTCCCTGGTCGAGCGAAGAAGAAGTCATTCAAAGTGCGAACAATACCTCGATGGGCCTGGGAGCGAGCGTCTGGACCAAAGACTTTACTCGAGCCCGACGAATCGCGGAGCAGCTCGAGGCTGGCAGCGTATACATTAATAGCTACGAGAAGGTCTCCTTCCGAGTACCATTTGGCGGTCACAAAGACAGCGGCATTGGATTCGAGTGTGGTCCGAACGCTTTGATACCATTCTGCAACATGCAGGTGTTGCACTACAACTTCAAGACGCAATAGGGTCGGCCAGATGATGATGCCGCTGGAGATAGTAGGGTCAAAGAGCTCGATTGATGGCGCCTCCATTAGAAACAGCCTTCACAGTTGAAGACGAATCTCGGGTCATCGAAACCTGAATGAAGCGGCATAGATCCGGAGAGTTTTCTACCCGAGGTGAAAGATCACTGATGAAATTTGGGCCTTGACACGTTAAGGACGGGGTGAAAATCTACAGCTCAAAAGGTAGCTGATGTGAGTGTCGACAGCAGTGTGGGGCAGAATTATTGCTTACTTAAGTATAAATATGGACCTTCTTATACAGTACTTAAGTAAACCTTAATAGTCCACTATACCTAGTTTAGCAGGTGTAACCGAAATTTCAAGAAAGAAAAAGGTTAGAGAAGGACAGCTAGGTAAATTTCGGCAAATTTCGTGACTTGTTCACGTCTGCCCATTGAGAATTTCGCTTACCGCGCTATTCTGAGGCCTATTTAACTACTCCTAGGCCTAACCTGGAGTGTCGACTATAGCCTACCCAGTAGAGTACCTCGTACTGTTATACACAGATTGGGAGTGGATCTATCTGCTTGATTGTCTTCTGTGTCCCTCGCTATTCAGAGAGACTCCGCCTGTTTATATACTTTGGCCTGTGCTCTGAAGGCCGTTCCTGAAACCTCCTGTTCCATCGCCATGCTATCGCAGATCGGCGAGAACAACGGTGTGGCGCAGTTGGTGAAACAGCTAGCGTCTCAGGTGGTTTGTCACAGTGGCTACCTGTCAACACGTACTGGGGTACCTTGGTCCATTCCGTAGATAGTGACAGCATTAGTAAGTCGGGTAAGCGTTTCCCCGACGCGATAGTGCGGAATGAAGTTTTGGATCCTTTTTTTTTTTTTTTTTACATTTCCTCAAGATAAATAAGGCCCAAATCTAGCTAACTTGTTACTCAAGTAAATTCAGACTGGTCAACAGTGACTCCGGCTTGAACATATATTTGACACTTGGGGATTCAGATAAACCGTCCCCTGACAACAACTTCTACCGTCTATCCTCTGTGCAGGAAGCCTGCGAGATGATGAACCTCTTAGATGTCGAAATTTCGTTGCTTGTCTTCATTGCCCACGAACCCCCAGTACCATGTGATATCCCTCCCATCCACATCACGTAGGGAGAAGCCGTTCCCTAGAAACTGCCACCTATTGCGGTTCTTGTACTTGATGTCAAAATCTTCGAATCGGGGGGTTGCCAGAAGTTCCATACTATATGTGCGCCAGGTCAGTAAGCAAACAAGAAGGCTGGGAATAGGGGAGAGAACTTGCGCTTGAGCCCTGGTTCCAGCGTATGAACTTGGTGGGCCATCGATGGTGCCCGATTTCATCCAACTGCGACATGGCCCATCCCACACGAATCGCTTGATCAATAGTTTTGTATGTTCACCGTATTCCTCAATGGCGTCTTGTTTCGGGACAAAGCTCTTAATGTCTTCGGTTTGCATTTTTTCGATCATCTGCAACATCCAGACCGTGAAGACGTCCATCATGGCCAAGACGCTGCCCTGTCCGATGGGGGAGTACGGGCCATAAAACGTGAAATAGTTGGGCATATATGGCGCGGCTACGCCCAAATACGAAAGCGCGTCTTTCTGGTAGATGTGCCGAAGATCCTTTCCGTTTGCAACTATCGGAAATCGTGGTACCCAAGTGGTGTTAAAGCCTGTGGCGAGGATGATGGCATCGACTTCGACCTCGTTACCATTGGGATCAATGAATCCCTTTTCGGTGATCTCATCCAGGGACGCTTTGCAGAAAGTGGTGACATTCGACTGAACAAGTGCCTCCAGGTATCCATTTCCAGGTGTGCGTCGCTTGCATCCCACGGGAAATGTCGTCGGTATCAGTGCTTCCAATAGGTCTTCCCGTCCCCTCAGCTTCTGCTTCATTAGAGTTTTGGAGAATTCCTGTGCAAGTTTTGAAATGGGCGTGTCTTTGAGGACCGCGAGGGGGTCGCTGAGCGCTGACTCCACTTCCTTGACGTACTTGAGATAGTACTCTGGGTCTTCGATAAATCTCTTTTTTTGCTCTTCGGAGTATTCGAAGTTGCCGCCGTCCGGACCGGCAAAGTTGGAGCCATAACTTGAAGTGATCCACGTGCCAGTCCTGATCCAGGTATACAGGTGAGATGCCTTCTTTTGAAGTGCCGCTGTGAGCTGAAGACCACTGGCCCCAGTGCCGACAATGGCAATCCGTTTTCCTTCGAGCTCGAGGGCGGCCGGATAGTTGGCCGAGTGAGCTAGGATACCTTTGTAGTCTTTCAAGCCCTTTATCCTGGGCCACTCCCAATAGCTAGATCGGGTGCGAGGTCAGAAGGCGTCCGGCTTGTTAGTACCTTGAGGAGTCTTACTTGAAGATGCCAGACGCATTGATGAGTATCTCGGCGCTGTCCTCGAACTCGGTGCCCTCCGCGAGGTTCTTCACCTTGACTAACCATTTGCCCGCGTCCTCGTCCCATTGCGCATGGACGACCTCGTGTCGAAGTTTGATGTACTGTCGTAGCTCATACTTGTCGGCAACGTGCTTGAAGTATTCCAATATTTCAGCGGCACCGGAGTAAAACTGCGACCAGATCTTTTTCTCCCAGGTATACTGGTAAGTCACGGAAGGAATGTCGCAAGCGCAGCCACTGTCGTCCCGTTTAGCACGTAAAACGGCGATCCAGACTGTTCAGCACTTACGGATAGCGGTTCTCTGTCCAGGTACCAGACACCTCGTCGTTCTTCTCGTAGATCACACATTCAAAATTGGTTAATCGTTCCCGTTGAAATTTGGCGAAATCCAGCCCTGAAGCACCCGCGCCCACGACTATTGCCTTTCTAAAGCACTTAGTGCCCATCGGGACCTCTTGAATTGTGTAACCATTTTCGTTCGTTGTGGGCCAGCCGTAAACCCCAGGGCGCTCCTGCATTGAGGGAGCGGCCTCAATGCCGTTACACACGGGAACATCGATGTTCGTGGCCATGGTTACTCAGGTGGGTGAGACAGTCTGATTGTTCAAAACATATTGAGGCATCTAGAATTCGAGGAGCCCTCGGAATATTTCTACTTCCTTCCTTCGAAATTCCAGCCGCATAGCGTCTCCGGTCACAAAATCAGTGACCGCGATCAGAGTTGAAAAGGGATGGTGTCGACGAGTGTCGCGTTAACGATGGGGCGGAACCAGCATTGCGAAGCACCCGAATGAGTCCCCCTGGCCGTCCGGATCTACCCTGGTGTACAAATGGGTGACGGTCAGCCGTACCAACGAACGTCCCGTTTGTACCGCACGTCGGGTAGGAGAAGCTCCCGCGACCTCAACCCGTCACGGTCAAAGTCTGCAGCATCCGAGGAGAACATGTCCACACAAATAGCACCGTCTGTTTTGACGCACCCAAGAGTCCCCGCAGCTTTTCGCTGTTATGCCACGACGAGGATGGCGGATTGACTACCACCATCCGTTTCTCTAGTCCTCCGTCCGCTCTCGATACCAGCCTCGAAGGGAATCCTGGAGAGTCAGAAGTGGCCTTCCTAACCGCTGGAGGCGCTTGGACCCAAATCCTTCATGTCCAGATCAGTTTAATCAGAGATCTCAGTAGTATCAATGGCTTTGAGTCAGTGGAGGGTATTCAACTACAAACTCCTCATTTGTGAAGAGAGACGTTTTGATTCCCTACAAACTATGATTCTGATATGGAGCCCCGGCAGAGGCTGGCTGCACTTGTTCGTGTACCCACACCAAAAACGCCTGCTCAGCACCATGATTCCGAATAGTCCACGAGGCACCGGCTGGAATGTAAACCGCATCCAGCCTTCGCAGTTCTGTGTTTCCTGCGCCAAAGTTGACAACGGCCTCGCCGCGGACGAGCACATAGACCTCAGAAGTAGGGACTCGCTCTGCCACTTTTTTGTGGCCAGGCTCGATGACTAAGAGGCCGATGCCAACGTTGTCATTCTCAACGGCGACACCACGGTTGAAATTCAACCTTCCGTCCTTGCCCCCGACATAACTAAGCATGTAGTGCATGTGGCCTGGCTCCCTAAGGTCTAGCGCTGTCCATCTGGGCTCTAGGTCTTTGAACTTGACTATTTCGACTGGCCTGGTTTGGGGATTGGGAGTGCTGCCGTCCCAATACTTGGAAGTACCCTTCTTCTCAATGGCGTCATGTATCCAGATCAAGTCCACCGGCTCGTCTCCGGCAGCGCGCACTCCATGTGGAGTGTCTTTCGGGGTGTAGAGGCAGTCGAGTGGCCCGGCTCGATGAACCTCTTTGTTGCCATCCCAACCCATGACTTCACCCTTCAGGATGACATAGATCTCGTTGACACTGTGGTAGTGCAGACCGCTCTGGCGATTCCCTGCGGGTATGTGCATCAGGCCTACTGCCGACTCCAGGCTCTCATAGGAATCGCGAGGATTCGAGTTGACAAAGCCTTCTCCTCCGCCAACCCAGTTAATCATCCAACGCATCAAGCCTGGTACCTGGTTCGGCAGGTGCCATGAGGGCTCGAGATCCTTGTATCGAATGATTCTAGGTGACTTCTGCTGCCCCAGCGAGCCCATGATCGAATATGCGCGCGTGCGTGTGGTAAGTCTGCAGATATGCTGGGAGACACTAAAAGTCTTGATGGCGGCGACTCGAAGTGGGAAAGTTGATGAGTCAGGACAAGCAGGATACGTCGCCCTGCTTTAAAATGGGCTTTTCGTCAACCAGGAGAAGCCGTGATGCAACTATTCCGCTGCCTTTCAAGGCCCGAGACACTTCGTTGAAAGACAACCTCGGCCAAGACATGGTATATCCGTTCATCGGCTCAACCCTTCCGAACCGGGGTTCAAACAACCAACCTGACTACGGAAAAAATTCTCCAAAAGATAGCAATGTTGCTGCTGAAGAAGGATTTTTTATGTCAGGGCACTTGAAGCACATTTTCTGTCATAGGATGTCTTCCCAGTATCTGAGTGGTAAAGTGATTGCGATCACTGGCGCGGGCTCTGGAATTGGTCTGGCAACGGCTCGTTACCTTGCAGAACGAGGCGCAAGTCTGTCATTGGCAGACATCGCGCAGCAGAACCTCGAGGCTGCTATTGAATTGGTCACGAAACACTCGCCTAACGCCAAAGTCATCGGGACGGTCGTTGACGTGAGCAAGACCGACGAGGTCGAAGCCTGGATTCAAAAGACGGTCTCCCATCTAGGCAAGCTTGATGGAGGGGCAAATCTGGCGGGAGTTTTTACAGAAGAGGCGAAGGGAATCGTGGAGATGTCTGACAATACTTGGGACTGGATCATTGGGATCAATCTGACGGGGCTAATGTACTGCTTACGGGCCCAGTTAAAGGCCATTTCGGATGGCGGAAGTATTGTCAATGCAACCAGTGTTGCTGGAATGGTTGGGTCTGCTCAGTTCCCAGCATACTCCACAAGTAAGCATGGAGTGATTGGGTTGACAAAGTGTGCGGCTCGAGAAGCTGGGAGCCGCTCTGTGAGGGTGAATGTGGTCTGCCCGTAAGTCAAACTGGCCCCGAGGGTATTCAATGTCTGACCAGAAACAGTGGGAGAATCGAAACCCCCATGATGGCCAGGGCAAGTGCTCTGGTGCCAAATCCACAGTTCGCGTCCGGCAGAGCAATCGACCGGCCGGGTGAGCCAGAGGAAGTGGCTGCTCTGATTGCTTTTCTACTCGGCGACGAGAGCAAGTGGATCACTGGATCAACGTATGTCATTGATGGTGGTAGACTTTGCTGAAGTGCAATGACAAGATATCATCCTATCCTTAGAATATAGCCATGGCATTCGGAGGGCTTGCCACACCCCCTGGGACATTCAGAGGCATACTAGCCAGGAAAAAAGAGTATCGGTTTCGTTTCTCGCACTCCTCACCGAGCTTCTCGAGGTTGAAGAATTCGCCTGTCATATCAATGTCAGCCTAAGAGCTCTGCGGAAACGTTCTTTCCCTTGGGTAAATTACCGATTGGCATGCCCCATCCGCTAAGCATCACCTCGTGAAGCGCCAGGTTCTCTAGGCCTCCCTCTTCCGGCTTTTGCCAAATAGGGAAGCTCTCCCAGCCGGGCTGATCTCCTCCACAGGCTGCGAATCCTGTATCCCATAGCCAACGGGCAGTATTAATCGATGTCTCCAGGCCAATCCAAGTTGTTGTCTTCTGCTCACTCCAGGCAATCTTCTCATCATCATTCAACTGACTGTAGCCCTTTGTGAATCCTGACCGCACCAGAAGGATGTCTCCTTGTTTCAGCATCACGTTTTGTGCCTTCGCAACGGCCTGAAGATTCTTGGCAGTTATCTGATGGTCGCTCATGTGGTTATAACCGACGAGCTTCTGAGCCTCAGCCCACCGACAATAGTCCAGCAAAACGCCTCGGCCGGCGATCCCACCGTTGTTGCACCATTCTGTAAACAGCCAAGATTTAGTCCCAGCCTACAGCCTCCCTCGTCGTGGTGGCCAAACGTGGAAGGGGCAAAATACCGTGAATTCCGAGTTTTGTGCCAGCGCCAGGGCCCGAGATTTCTTCAACAGTCACCCCTTGGTAGAAGAGTCGTCGGCTTTGGAAGGCGACATGTCGGAGACCGTCCCATTGCGAAGAAACCTTGGGGAGTCAGCTTTCACATTTTCAGCCGGGTGCGATATCGTCGTCGTAAGTCACCTGCGTATTTAGTTCGATAACGTCGTCATGGTTTGGCCGGGGGTATTTGATGATGGAATGATTGAGTGCCCGCCTGTTGTGCGACGGCCGCTTCAGGAAGTTCAGAGGGAGATCCAATCCTATACGGATGCCGGTTTTGATTTCCTTAGCCGCCTCTGCAACAGTCTCTGCCGTCAAGAGATTCAACGTGCCCAGCTCATCATCTTTGCCATACAAACCCCAGGCCGAAAAAGGAGGGTCGTCCGGGTTGAGAGGAAGTTCGTCAAACGAAGGCCGGGGCATGTCTCGTGTTTCGATCAGTCGCTGAGATTGGTGCACATACACACCCACAACCTCGACTGGTGTTGTAATTTATTACCATTTCCAAATTTCACGGGATTGAGGCCCCGAGAGATTAACTAAGTTGATGACCAAAGAAGAATAGCTTAGCGATGTAGCTTGTCCATTCTGATCAGTCTATTTCAGGTTGCTCAGGAAATAAGAGAGATTGGGATGCATAATCCCCGGGCTTCAAAATTGTGCAATCAAGAACTTGAACCAATTTCACAATTCGGGTTGTGCGAACGCAGTGGCAGAAAGACCAAATCTGTTGGCAAAGGCTCTCCACCCTTTTCGCTAGTACGGAAATCAAAGGCCGAGCCGCTGTTAAAAACAACGTCGAGCCACGACTTACAGACCCAGAATGTCGACAATGAGCAAACCGTGATGGTTCGGACAAAGCTTCCGTTCCCGAATACGAGAAGGAATATCAATATCTCAACCGAAACGGCGGACGAAAGCCTCGGAGCAGCCATCTCAAAGATTCGGAAAGCCAGGCAACATATATCCGACGCGCCTGAGAGACCTCGTCGAGAACCGCAGAGCCATTTCTTGGACCACGGTCCGAGAGGCTATTCGCAAACAGGTCTCGATGTGAGCTCACTGCTACTGCGAAGATTCCAGCCTCTGACAGGAGCGCATGTTTCTCCGATTTTGATGATAGTCCGAACCCGGCTGCAGCAACACTTTCTCTGGTATTACCAACAGCTCGGGCCACACCAAGGAAAAGGAACTGTTTCAAGTCTAGCGTGAGCCACGGATCTAGGGCAGAGAAGGGCTTCGTCGATGGCTTGAATATTGAACACAGGCTGCAGGTCCCGTGTATCTAGTAGGTCCTTGACCCTACAGTGGCAGTGCGTGGCTCTTCTCTCTTCATGTCAACTCAGCTGTTAGATTTGCATCATCGAATCCATACCTGCTTTGAAAATGCCGTCCCCCAATAAGGTCGCGCTGATAACTGGTGCTGGTAATGTCGTCCATCCCTGAATTGACAGATTCATCCTGAATAAGCTCCAAAGGGTCGGGCATTGGCCTCTACACAGCCAGGCAGCTGAAGAAGGACGGCTGGGAGATCTCGATAGCAGAATTGAACGAGAAGACTGGCCAAGCCGCGGCCGACGAGGTCAGAGGCATCTTCACACAGGTGGATGTCACCAACTATGCTTCCCAAGCAAAGGCGTTCGCGCACACCTGGGAAATGTATGGACGAATTGACTTCGGTCAGGATACGCCTCGTTTAGATCTTCACGGTGAAGCTCTTGGCAAAATGCTGATGAACCTGGCGCAGTCTTCGCAAACGCCGGAATTCTCGATGTGGAAGACTTTTACCGCCCGTCCGAGTCGCTTCCTCCTCCCGAACCTAGCCTCCTCACGAGCAAGGTCAGCTGCGACGGCGCAATCTATACAGCTTTTCTAGCGATGCACTACTTCCGCCAGAACCCCGTCGCAGGAGGTAGCCTGGTAATTACAAGTTCTGGTCAGTCAACCCTGTAGCGACATAGATGGGTCACCCGTAGACTGACTTTCCAATGATAGCTTCCGCTCTGTACGAAGCCGCCATCCTCCCAATTTACTGTGCTGCCAAGTATGCCGTCATCGGACTGGTGCGTAGTCTTGGAAAGGAGCTGAAGAAGGAAAACATCCGCGTCAACGCCATCCTGCCAGGCGCCGTTCCGACAAATATCGGCCTTCCGGTGAAGTTGGTCAAGCTCGGCGTCAAGCCAACCCTACCAGATGACAAGATTACGAAGCCCGAGCATATCGTAGGTGCCATCAAAGAACTTTTGGATGACCCAAATGCCTACGCCGTGTGTCTGGAGGTAAGCGCGGCGAATCGCTATCGTCGCGAGAAGCACGAATACCCTGACGAGACCATGGCATACCTCATGGGTGAGAAGGAATCCTGGACGAAACATTGAAAGAGAGGTTCTTAGACGACATCGTTATCTGGGACTCCAGTCGAAGTGAGAAAGGAGAAGAAGAGGGTCGTGGGGGAAGTGACAAGAGGCCAGTTCAGCCCTTCAGTAGAAATGGCCAGACAAGGGAAACCAGTTGAACTTCCTGTCTCCAGTAGCTCAGATTGTAGCCCACAAAGAACAAGCTGAACAAATCCCTGTTTCTATGATATCTCTGTGTACCGTACCTCGTCCTCCACCGTCTATGGCGCAAGCTCATCGGTCAACAGCGTGTAGCTTGACATACAAGGGTGGGCCATCCCAGATCACAATCATGTTGTGCGGGAACCACTTCTCACTCTCAGACATGAGCTCGAGATCGAAGTGCCATAGAATCTTGCAAAGGACCAGGCGCATCTCCGCGTAGGCAAGACTAGAGGGTAGTTAATACCGGTATAGATGACCATTGAGGAGCTGTTATTCTGAGGAGACTCACTTCTTCCCAATGCAGTTCCTCGGACCGAACGAGAATGGTTGGGAGGCGGCCAGGTCGTCAGTCTTGTACAGAGGGTCTTTTAGCCAGCGTTCGGGAACGAAGGAATCAGGGTCCTTGAAGTTGCGAGAAGTGTGTGTCATTGGATACGGCGCCACGCAGACGGATATCTAACTCGAGGTTTAGTTTCGTTAGCAGATTGAATACTAGGGAATATGAGGTTAAGACTTGAGCATACTCCGCCAGGAAGCCATTTTTCACAGACGACAGCTCCTTCCTCAGGGACCACTCTGGGCATGTTTGAGGGCACAGGTGGGTAGACTCGAAGCCCTTCGTTAATGACTGCGTTCAAATATTCCATGCCCGCAGTGGTGCTGATGTTGATCTCATGGGCGTCCTTGAAGGTTGACCGAATTTCCTCCACCAGCCTTTTGTACTTGGACGGATGTCGGAGCAAATTCCATGTTGTGCCCGTGAGGAAGGTAGAAGTTGTCTCGCTGCCACCAGGGATCAACACGTTGGTGTTGGAGCGAATCTCAGGCACTGTCAATGCTTTCTCTGTCTCGTTGTGTTTAAGAATGAAGGACATAAAATCGGGACGGTCAGTTTCCATGGCCATTCGCCTGTCCGCCAGGTTTTTGCTAAACTCTGAATGCCATGCTGCTTGTTCTGTCTTCTTCTTGGGAATCGCCTTCATTACAAGGCTTTGGAGTCCGGGTAAACGTCTAGCAAGACCGAGGTAATAAAAGGCTTGGATTGACTCGCCGATTATGTCGATCCAGGGATGGCTTTTCCCAGACTCTAGGCAACCAAAGGGCTGATTGAAGCAAAGATCGCCAAACAAGTCGAACAGTGTCCATTGATACCATTGCTTGATGTTGACAGGGTCTCCCGACTCGGTGGCTTCGTGTAAGCGCTTCACCAGCAGGTCGCTGTATTGTTTCATGATGGGCTCTTGATCTCTCAAAGCCTTGTCGGAGAAAGCGTGCGAGATGAGCCGACGCATACGGGTATGGTCTGCATCGCTTGACACGTGCAGGCTAGGTATTTTGTCGTGCTTCTGGTAATGCAGCGGATCTTTTTGGAACTGGGATTTTCCCGAGCGTGATTGATAGATATCTTTCCAAGCTTTGGAGGAAGTGTATGACAGCTCGTTGGGACCAATGCGAACAACATCTCCATATTTCTCATGAAGTTGGGACAGCAGGAACTGAGACCTGCCAGAGATGACTTGAAAACTCCAAGTGAGTCTTGTTGCAGCGTTCTGGACGGGGCCGGGGTAGTGGCGGAGCGGATGGAACCATATGTTATACACTCCCAGAGCGACATAGTAAACGAATACCTTGCCTGTGTCAGACCAGCATCAAAATTCGCTGTTGTCGTAACATACCGAGACTATGATGGCCACAGGGAGAAGGGTGAGTGCAACTAGATTCGGCATGTAGGAGATAGGAAGGGCGTCTAGGAGGCCCATGGCGCCTCAAAGCTTCTGATCAGTGAAGGACTGAGAATAATAGAAGTCGACAAGTCTCATCTTCGTACCACTGGTACAAGTCAATGTTCAAGGCAGAGTCGAAGCTGTGAGTACTTCAAGCCTCCTTTAGCGGGGCGACGACTGGATGAACTGTTTACTGTCCATTGCTCTTCTCGGGCGGGTCGCTGTTGGTGAGCGAGCCGTGCCACATGCAGTGCAAAATAGCGTCGAAGCCGAGAGTCCGATGCAGACAGCCATAGAGTGGGTCAAACGGCACGGTCGTGCAGTATTTTCGGATGTTGAAATAAACCCTAAACATGGTTCGGAGTTCAGACCATAGGGAAATCATCCTGGTACAGTCGAGATCAGGTCCGCAAATTGTATTGTTGGTAAGGACCATCCCAGCCCGAAGGCGGGATTCAAGTACGACATCAAGTTTGGACTGGTGCCTGAAGCCTCTTGCGTCCGACAAAGTTAGCTATAAACGGCGGTGTAATTGACAAGATTCAGACAACACTGTCACCCCAAAGTGCGGGCATTTTCCCAACCCATTTTCTCTCCGTTGGTTCTTTCTCTGCTTCCCGTATCAACCAGAAGGCCAGTTGTGCCCGGTCTATCGTCGATATCCACCCATTCTTCCCAACGTACCCAGCCTTCCCACCTTCAAGAGGCAAGCCCGAATCCTTCAGTAGATTGAGGCGACACACGGTCCACTCAACGTCGGTCTTCTGAGACTTGATCTCCCTCATGAATACGTCTTTAATTGCCATGGTTTCTCTGCGAGCCCCTGGTGCGATGGTCATGATGAAGAAGATGTGGAGTTTAGTGAAGAGGTCAAAGCCGTCTTCTGGGTTGACAATCGATTGTGTTGAAGTTAGTAGTAGGTATGGACGCTGCTGGATGTGCAGCTGCCGTAATTCGGCCAGCATCCATTCGTAAAGTTGTGCAATTTCAGTCCCGGTGTAGCTCAGACTATTAGGCCCAAGAACAGAAATAATAGCCTCGAATTGGGAGAGGATGGGCGAAAGCCGCTCGCGGAGGGCAGAGATCTCGCATTCGATGACCTGACACCGCGCATCAGAATGATAGCTGTAAGGGTCCTCCGGGAAAGAAAACTTGCCGTCAAGGAGCCCTTGCTAATGGCAGAGCCATATACCTCTTTCAATCTTGTTGCATTTCGCGCGTAAGCCGTGACCGTATGACCTCTTCCGAGTGATTGCTGCACAACCTTGATACCAGTTTTGCCGGAACCGCCTAAGATCAGAAGATTTCTGTGCATCGTATTTTCTTCAGAGGTTGAGGGAAGGAGGCGAAGCAACCTCGTTCTGGCTAAGAAGACCTGCCGGATGCGCTTTCGCTCCCTTAGTAGAGGGACTTTCTTCCTGAACTTTGACTCGCGTAGCCTACGAGCAAACAAGTTATAGTTCGGGTCGAGTTTTTATGTCTAGGGCTAGTGGCAGGCCAAAGATACGGAAGATCTGCTGCCGGATCGCAGCCAGTCTCTCCGATCCGCTGATCATCGGCCCAATCTCATGCCTAGCTCTCTGGCTCGCTAGCGATTCTTGAATGCTCTTGAGTTGGGTGACAAAGTGCGTGTTGTGAGATCGCAGACGGCATGTTGGCGAGCGGGTCGGGAACTGAAGAAACCCGTTTATGGCCCTCGGTCAGCAGCTTGCTCAGATCGTTCACCCATGATCTGGTCTCCACTCTCTCATATTCGAATGAGCCCTAACACAATTTGATTTGGGGTTGCCTTGACTTGTCAAGGCAAGACCAGGCCCTCCAACATCAGGGATCGAAATATACCAAGACATCATGGATACCTCCGTTGCGCCTGTTATTAAAGTTGACCTCGATTCACCTCAAGCCTTTGCCAGAAAGACCGTCATAGTCACTGGCGCGTCTTCTGGCATAGGCCTTGAGATCGCAGAGTTCTTCTATGACCTTGGTTGCAATGTTGTTTTCGTCGGTGGTCGCAATCGTCCAGACACTTACGTGGGATTGGATTCATCGCGCGCCTTGGCCTGCCAGTGCGACATAAGCTCATGGGACTCCCAGACCGAGGCATTCGAAGCGGCCATCAAGAAGTTCGGCCATATAGACGTGGTCTGCCTCAATGCCGGGGTTGCCGAGCCACGCGGCCAGTTTTTCGATCTCAAAGTTGACCACACAGGGAGGCCGTTGGCCCCTGACTTGAGAGTCTTAGATGTGGATCTGAAGGGAACGCTGTATGGGGTCGCCCTGGGGTTCTACTACTTGAGGGACACTGGAGGGACTGTTATCATGGTCACCAGTCGGGCAGGTTATGGAGGAAATGAGATAATGCCGGCATATTCTGCGGCGAAGAACGGTGAACATCCCCTCTTCACAGCTTCATTCATTTACCGTGAGCATTTTCACTAACAGTGCTCAGGAGCCACAGGCCTACTCCGCTCCTTAGCCGGTTCCGCCAAAGAGAAAGGAATCGCGCTCACCATCGTTGCTCCACATATCACGTTCACTCCTGGAGTATTTCTGCAGCAGTACAAGCGAGGAAAGGAGGCCTTTGATCAGATGCGTGCAAAACTACAAGCTGTGGGAGTCAATCTCAGTTCTTCGCGCACATGCGCAATCGCTTGTGCTTATCTGGTTCAGGGAGGGCTGGAGATGTCGGGCGTGGGACTTCTTGTCGAGGATGACGAGATCTACAACCTCGAGCAGTCAATCAATGACAACTTGCCCGCCTGGTTCAAAGTGAAAGGCGATACGAGAGCGGCACGAGACGAATATGCCAAGCAAATGGAAAGGGACCAGGCCAATGCACACGGAGACAGGCATCGGGCCAAGCCTGAGTGGGCAAAATCGCATAGTGACCGAAACATGTGAGCAAAATCTGGCATGTTTGGAAGCCTTGAGACGGCATCGACACGGGCTGAGATAGGCGAAGCGGGGTCCTTTCTTCCAAAGTTATATGCTCTATCTCCTAGCATAACCTCAGACCTCGGCGAGACATTGGCTCATTCTAGGCCAGCGTAACTATATACACGCCAAGAGCTGCCAGAACGCTGAAGAGCGCAATCATCAGGTACATACTGAATCCAGAGCCGTCGGGCCAAGACACAGGAGCCATGGTAGTGGTAACGGGCTTCGCACTGTCGTAACCCTTTCAGAAATCAAATGTCAGAGCTCAACTCAGCCTATAGCGCACTGGAATCTTGGGAGCCTACTCTTCTGTCCAAGGTGCCGATGGCCAGTGTGTCTAAAATCCGGCGGGCGTCTGCGCTATGACCGACATCTTCGAAGGCATCTGTGGCATCCTTGCCCCCTTGGTCCACTAAAACCTCTTCCCCGCCACTATGAGCAGTTAGTACCACAGTGTTTCGAAGAAGGTAAGATACATTTCTAGGCGAACCAGAGGCCCAAGGTCATTACCGTCTAGCTTTTCCGTTCAAAGCGTGCTGTAGCGGTGCCCAAATGCGTCGGCGCAAAGAAAGAAGAAAAGGATGATGACTTACGGGTGTTCGTCGATAAATTTACTGAGGTCCAACACTTTGCTGTGGATGATAACGTAGAGGTCGTGTCTCGCTGTATGTGCTGCCACGTCTGCGTATGTCAGGGTGCGTGACATGGTGACTTCCGTTGGACGCCAGCTTTGCACTGAAACCAATGTTGAGTTCCGCAAACTACATTGACAACGGCTGCTAAGAAGACCACCATTTAAAAGAAGAGCTATGACTTGATGTAAGAATGGGGAATCATTCAACTGGTGCTCAAGTAGGTGCGCCGTACCGGCACCGACATCAATCAGGGCGCCTGGCGTCATGACCTGCCGCTCTGACATGTAGATTGCGGAGAGCCTGGGACGTGATCACCGTCCCCTGTGAAAGGCTGCTCGGAAAGATTTCAGCGCACCCGGAAGATCCACGGAGCGTCAGCTGGCATGTGTATGCACCATTACTTGGCACTCATTTCAGTGGATTCGGTCTATGGAAACAGGTGCTCGACTTCTTGAAATCGAGGCCAAGAAGTCGAGTCTTTGCCCTCATGGTTCGCAACCATCTCGATAACGCCCTGGATTTCGGCCGCATCCTTTGAGCTAACACCAATGCGGCGGGCCCCCCGTAGATGGAACCGAGTGGTATTGTGCGCGCCTTGACCCATTACGCTGGCCAGTATTACCAACTCGTTCTCTACCGGTCCCAGAACGGACAGATCCGCCAGGAACAGACCATACACCGCGAATTCGACTGTCCAGGCTAGCAGGAATTCAGCCACTCGAAATGCAACGGAGCCAGACATGGGGGTCACTGACCGAAATCCGGATTCGTCTCATACGATTTGTTGATCCCGGCCACTTCTTCTTCTCCAAACACGTGCTGCCACCACTCCTGAGTACGCTGGATCGCCTTCTCTGGTCGCCTGGCAAATTCAGCCCGGTCCCAGTCTTGAGCCGCATCTTTGGAATCCTCAACTCCAAGGAGGGAGAAGAGGCCGTCACTCGCGCGCGGCATGCCGACTAGTGTCCATGCCTTGATGATGACCGCTCGCAGTCTTCGTGAGACATTCTGCCGACTTTTCACGGTCGCGTCACTGCCGAGATCATCCAAGACGAATTGATACAGCTCGGCCAGGTGCTTTCCCCCATCAGCGGTGATGAGCGTGGCTGCCTACGGAGAATTGAAACGATTAGGCAGGTGCTTTCCCACTGTACAGCTGGTGCGTTGGCGAGACTCACCACAATGAGATACCAAGCTCCGTCGGGAAGACTTCGGGGGGTTGAATTTCGTGCCCTTTGGAACAAAGCCCTGTAGGATGTCGTTGGAGATGCCATAGGTGTGCTATATGCCGTCCACCCTTCTGACTTCTGGCGCGGGCGGCCAGGTTCGATTGGCCGCCGCCATTATACCTACATACACGTCTGCCAGAGGCAGGTAGCAAAGCCGAGAAACCTCGTCACATACTGCGGATGCGATCACAATGCCACCGGACCGGAATGACAACCAGACTTTCCGAAGCCAGCGATTTGGCGTCACGGTGAGGTCTCCGGGTCGGATGTTAATTGATTCCAGACGACATGCTAGCTCAGGCCTGAGCGCACTAGGGGGTAGTCCTGTGACCACGAATCAATCATGCGCGGCTCCTCCTGGATATCTTTGCGTACTCCGAGGATCCACCCCCGGATTTCCCCACGCTTCCCCCGCTCCTCAGTTCTCACTGGTGAATGTCCCTTTAGATCGGGATCCTTCTGGCCATGGCGGCAGCAGCTTGTACCGCGCCACTGCAGGCATCAACCGCTGGGAGCTGCACAACTTTTACAATTGACAGCACAAAGGCATAATGACACATTCCAATGTGGCTGGCGACAAGTGAGCGCTACCTAGTGCGACCAGGCAATTTCAGACCTCGGCGACTTCAGATCTGTTCTCTGGGGAAAGCTCTCATCTTCATCCACCCTTCCTCAGCAGCTTTCGCACTTTTCTCTTCTTCTTAGCCTGCAATCTGTCCTGTATCTTGTCTTAGCAGCCTATCATCGCGGTGCATGTATGGCGAGAGGAAGCGCAGCGATGGCAGAAAATGAGCCTTCTCCAGTAAAGCGGAAACGGATCGCTACAGTAAGATGGACCACGAGGAGACCCCAGGTTGTCGGGTAAACGTGGTGTGTTGACTTTTGGATCTTGAAAAAAGGCCTGCCGCACGTGTCAGAAGAAAAAGATCAAATGCGACGGAAACCAACCGTGCACTTATTGTACGACCCGCGACTTCGAGTGCGTGTTTCCTCAGCTGCGCCAACGCGGAGGCTCTCGAAGAGGGTATGTTTCCCAGCACCCTTCATTTGCTGGCTTACTCTCATATCCTCCACAGCGCAAAATACATTGACACTCTCGAGAATCGGGTCACCGCAATGGAGTCCCTCCTCAGCATTTCGGGCTTCGCATCAGACAAGGACAACCAGCAGCCAGGACCAGAATCATTGCGCACCTCAATACCCCCGGTCCCGAGTGTGACGAGCGGATCGACCGCGATTCCAGCGACCATGACTTCGCCCGAGTCCACCAATCACGGCCTGCCGACACTCGAAGAGTCGGGGTCACAGCAGAGCTTTCACCCCTCGCCAGGGACCAGCGAAAGAAGAGGAACGATGGATCGTGACATGAGCGCAGACGAAACTCTGGTCTCACAATCGGGGTGTAGAGACATAGGCTGTTTCAGGGATCCCGATATTGCTCATACGCGAGACCCAGCCCCCCGTATCGGTTCGGCAGCTGGCTTCTCAATCTTTTCGCCAAAAGGCGTACAATGGGTCATCGAAAGGACAGGAAACAAGACATTCAAAGACGCCATAATTGCGGCTGCCCAGGATGAGCATACGATGAATCACTGGACGTCAGACACCTTCAACTGCGTCTTTACTCGACGTGTGTTCCGCCAGCTGCCCCCGAAAGAAGAGACCGTCTCTCTCGTCCAGCTGTACTTCAAAGATTTCAATAGCGTATGTCCCTTGTTCTCTCAACCGACGTTTATGGCATTGGTTGAACGGCAATATTCCCCGACTCCCTGTGACAGCGTGGGCTGGTGGGCCAGCTTAAACACGGTCCTGGCCATCATCGTCATGCTACAGGCCCTCAACAACGCTCCTCCGGCGGAGATGGAGAGATCCCGTGATTATTTCAGGAATGCCGTGGCCGTTCTTACAGAATTGACGATTCGAAGCACTGACATTCTCGGCGTGCAAGCCTTGCTTGCTATGGCCTTGCTCATGCAAGGGACGCCAGACCCCCGTCCCGTGGCTTTCTTTGTTGCTTCAGCAATGAGACTTTCTCACACCCTCGGCCTGCACAAGAAGGAGTCTTTATACGGCTTAGAACCCCTCGAAGCCGAACAACGGAAACGAGTCTTCTGGATCGCCTATAGGATCGATAAAGACATGTGCATCCGCTCTGGATTACCGTTGATCCAAGATGAAGACGACCTGAGCCTAGAGCTCCCAAGTGAAAGGCCTCCGGATGATCTCGGAATGGTGACGCTCCCCGGTGGGCAAGGAAAGCTCAATATGTTTAGGGCGATGGCCGAGATTGCAACCATCCAGGCCAAGATTCACAAGCGGCTGTACTCGGCAAGCTTGTCAAACCAGTCGGACGAAGCACTCATGGCCACCATCACCGAACTCGACCATCAGCTCGAAGAGTGGAAAGAAAGTGTCCCGATTGATCTGGATCAACCAGACTTCGAGATCCGGACGGCATACACTCCACATAGTCTCCACCTCATCGTTCTGCACTTTTCGTATTACAGCTGCCTGCACACCATCCATCGGACATCAATTCAGCACAGCTATTGGACAGGCCGGCAAACCCCTTCTGAAGCTGGGCCGCTGAATCACCAAGTGTTCCAATCCATGGCACAATGCAGCTACTCCGCCAGAGCGTCGATTCGCATGTTGAAATACATCCCTGTGCAAGACATGGGCTTTATCTGGTATAGCCCCCCGACCCATCTATCCCTCCCATCTGATCAGATGCTGACCAGTCCCAGGCGAGTCTTATACTTCCCCGTGAGCGCATTCATCACACTCTTTGAGAGCATCCTCCGGTGCCCGACAGACTCACGATCACGCTCAGACCTCCGATTAATGCGTTCGGTGGTCGACTTTCTTTCCAAGTTGAGACGTGAGGACAGTATGGAGCTGAATCGAATCTTCAGAGTGTGTTCGGAGTTTGAGAAGACTTCCAGAGAGGTAGTAGAAAGGACGGAGAAGACTACACAGCGCGGGAGCGACGGAAGACGGTCCGCGCCGGGTATCGCGGCGGATAAGCAATATCTCACAAGCAGTCACACCGTTCCCTTGACGCCTCTGTCTGCCACGCAGGCTGGTGACATCGGATTTTCGTCGCCGTCGCTGTACAGTCGTGCTGTCACTCAGGTAAGAAGCTGTTCCTTTTTTCCCCTTTGTCCGCTTTTGCCAGCGCATCTTGCGCGTTAACACATTTGGAAGTCACAGAACTTCCCATTAGGGCTGGACGATTCTCTCGGCCAGTCCCAGTTCCCACAGAGACTTCCTGGGCTCATGACAGAAACTCAGCCCATGTTCCCGGACGGCCTCACGATGCCCTGGAATGGTAATATGTTCCATGACCTTTTCGGGCCAGGACCTTTCAGTGCAAACTCCTACGGCCTCGAAACAACCCTGGAAGGATGAGGTGCAGGCAGCCACGGCATGCGCCCGCGGGCGCGGACGGGCATCTTCATAAGACTTGTGCGATGGATAATGGCACAGGCCGTCCTCAGCATGAATGAGGAATGAGGAATGTCGCCAACCTTTACCCAATCACCAAACATGATATGAATTCCAGTCGACTTATATTCCTGAAGACTTACAACTACAAGCATTAGCCTCAGGGCCGACACCAATCATTTGAAGGCGACGGAGCCAGTGTTTCTCGAGCCCAACTCGGCACCAATAGCCGCTTGCCTTATGTCAATAAAATTTCTGGATCTTTGGCTTCTCGTCGGGAGTCGATTCTGTATTCAAAGAATAGTTAGCTCATTACTCTTCTGAAGATGTTTCCGTGCCACTTTCAGGGCGGGGGGGGGGAAAGCGCTTCGTACCAGGATCAACTTTCGGTCCAAGCGGTGCGATCTCGTGACTGGCAGCAAGTTTTGTCCCCGCTGGTGCCTTTGCATCCAATGCTGTGCTCGGAATGGTGTTGCCGTCCACATGCTCCAAAGCCGCATGCTGTTGCTCTAAACCCTGTTGATTTGTCTCTGCGCCGTTGACCTCACTAGGCGCCTTCTGTCCAAAGGCGGGCAATACAGGCGGGACATAGTCCTTAGTCGGTACGGGGAGGATCTTGGACACATCTTTGTAGTCCATGTAGTTGGTCGTATCTCCCACGCCAGTCAACTCTGCCACCGTGCATCCATTGCCCAGCCACGCCAGCGTGTCGTCCTCAGGAAGCCATGAGGTATACTCGAAGTCTTCGAACCGTGGGTTCTTCCAGCCGATATGGCCGTTCATGGCGGAACCAGGCCACATGGTGATCGTACGGCCATCAGGCTTGTTGCGTTTGAACCAAGTCACGCACTGGGCATTTTTCAGTCTGCAATCCTTTCGAGAGCAAGCATATAGACTTACACTGTCAGACATGACAGTCTTACTCATGTGCCGATCGACATGTTTGATCCAATTGCGAAGGGCTTGCGGCCTAAATCCCAGAGTCAACTCGTACTCGGGCGCACCGTGGTAAGAGGGGGGGGGAGCGCGTTGGAGCCACTCACTTGCACACCATCGACTTGAGGTACTCTCGTTGCAACTTCTGCACACATTTGATGATGTAGTGAGCCGTAGACTCGAAGGTGTGAACAATCGAGCCTGCGAACGGTGCCGTGTTGGGACCGAACATCAAGAAAAGATTGGGCATTTGTTCAGGATTTACCCCGAAATAGGCCACCGGATCTGGGTCCCACACTTCAGAGAGCGGTTTTCCGTTCCTGCCGATGAAAGGCGTGCCACTGCTATCCAAGCGACTATCGGAATGTAAGTACAGAAGGAGCGAGGGGGAGCGAAGTACTGACGTGTCGAATCCTGTAGCACAAATGATAGCATCATAGTGTCTCTCGACGCCGTCTTCGTCTACAATGCCATTTTCCGTAAACTCCTTCACGTCCTTGGGGATGATGTTGGCATTTTCTTCCTGCATGCACTCTAGCCACGCTTGGCCCATGATGAGTCTCCGGCAACCAGGCGCATACTCGGGCCTGAGAACGCCATACAGCCAGGGTTTCGGCTTCGTGGTTTCTTTCAAGTTTGCGTCGAGAAACATGGTGAATTGCTTCTGTGCCTCGGAGTCTTTGAAGAAAATCCGCTGTACGTTGTTGCAGTAGGCCTCTTGTTTCTTGCGGAATTCAAGATACAATTCGGGGTTTTCTGTAAATCGCTTGCGCTCCTCGAGGGAATGATCAACTAGTGGAACGTTAGAAATAGGCCCACACAGGGCTCGCCGCTCGGGTAAAATGCCTCACAGTTGTTTTGGACTCCTCGTTCAATCAATTCCTCCGTGTTAGTGCCACCCCCCGGAGGAACCCAGACCCTTCCGCGCACATAGTGATCGAGCTGCTTGACGGCCGGCTGGATGGCTGGGGTGATCTGGACGCCAGTGGATCCATAGCCGAGGACGGCAACCTTCTTGCCGGCTGGGTCGAAGTTGTCATCCCAGTTGGCTGTGTGAAGCATCGTCCCTGTAAACTTCTCTCGGCCGGGAACGTTGGGCCATCGCCAATCGTTGACGAACCCAGTGGCCTTGATGATGACTTCTGCTAGGTCCGTGATAGTCTTCGAGATCGTGAGCTCGAGCGAGTCCCGCGGTCTGTTTTTGGAAGTAACTTACTACTCCATCTTCTAGTCGCCGAAGGGTGACTTCCCACTGCCCCTGCTCCTCAAGCCACCGAGCGCTGATGAACCTGTGACGGAATTTCGTGTTCTTGTACACATCGTATTTCTTCGCGACGGTCTTTAGATACTCCTCGAACTCCGCTCCGGGTGGGTAGAATCGAGACCAGTTGGGGTTACTAGCGAAGGTGTACTGATATACATGTGGTGTAAGGTCCGGAGGAATGTTAGTTCTCAGTTTCCTGGGGGAGTTGCCCGATAATCGCTTACCAGGACGTAGTCCAGGATAATGGTTCTCCAACCACGTCCCGCCAACGTCAGCGTTCTTCTCATATATCGTCAACTCTAGATTGGGAATATGTTGAGGGAAGAGACAGCCAACAGCGATCCCACACATCCCGGCCCCGATGCAAATGACTTTGATCGGACGGTAGTCATCAATACATCGCTGATCCGGGGTGGTTGGTACACGGGGTTCCGTCATAGATCCCATGGTTGATGCTGGCCAGTATGAGCTGGCCAATGGCAGTTCTGATAGTATCAGGAAGGAATCGAGGACGTGCTTTCGGAAGTCTGGGGATTGTGGGAGTTGTGACTCTGCTTTCGTGGGTTGGCTTGGGGCTTCACTTGCTGCCTATGTACATGCCAGCTTTTGTTCGTCTCCTGACTGTGAAAAAGCATCAACAGCGCATGTATCCTGATGCATGATGCGAGCCGTGAGCAGCATGACGGCGCTCGTAAACCCGAAGGATTCCCGGGATGTGGTATGTGAATCCTGGACTGTTTCGTGGAGCTTCGGCGCCCCAGAAGAGGGAAAAACGTCGAGCTCGGATGACGGGTGTGCCACTCCCGACACGTGGGAGCCCCTGAGCCGCCAACGACCGATCCCTATCGAAAAGGAATCAGTGTATCGAGCGTCTGCTGAAGGACGGTCGTGTGATATCAAGCCACTGGATGCAAATCCTATCGGTGCGCAGTGGCTCGGCTTGTACTCGGCCGACTGTAGACTCTCTCTAAGTCCCTTCGGACACGCACTCGGAATTCCCACATCACTCATCCTTCCCCCAGGAGGAAATGTCGGACTCGCATATCCTGAAGAAGGTGCTTTTCGTCGGGGTAGGTGTTGCGATACAAGGCAGCTTCTCTTGTGCAAACACGTTGGCTGACCAAGAACTGATGTAGGCCGGGGGAAATATCGGAGGGCGTGTCTTCCGATCGCTCGAGAACGCTGGATTCGACCTCACAGTGCTGACTCGTCCAAACTCGACCAATGAGCTCGGTTCCAACGTAAAATGCGTGAGGAAAGAGTACGACGATCCGTCTCTGCACGAGGCTTTCGAAGGTCAAGATGCTGTGGTGTCGTTGGTGTCAGTGACTGCGTTGCTGGACCAAGTGAAGCTGATTGACATCGCAGTGAAAGCTGGGGTCAAGAGATTTATTCCCAGTGAGCTTGGTTCCAGCACCCTCAACCCCAAGGTACAGGAGCTGGTCTTCTTCTACCAGCAGAAACGGACAGTGCTGGACCATCTGGAGGCCGTGGCAGGGGAGAATCCAAGCTTCTCGTGGACTGGGCTTGCCAACGGCCCTGTGTTTGACTGGGTATGACGCCCTCCGAGTGCCTTGTCTCACTTCTTCGACTCTGCTGTCATTGGTTCTAGTATGCTTCTCGACTTTTGGCGGCACAAGCTCACGCAGCCATCAGGGTCTCAACGCTTCTTTCTTAGGCTTCGATTTGAAAACTCATACGGCACTGATTTACAACGACGGCGACACCCGTGTGTCGCACAGCAATCTTGACACTATCGGAGAAGCAGTCTGTGCGATCCTGCGCAAGCCACACGAAACCGCGAACAAGTATCTCTTCATATCATCCTTCACTGTCTCGCAGAATGAAATCCTCGCCTCGCTTGAAAAGACGACAGCAACGAAGTGGACGGTCAACAGAGCCAGCACAGTCGACGCGGAAAGGGACGGCAAAGAGAAGCTGACAAACGGTGACTTCTCTGGTGTGCGGCTATTGTTGGCCCGCCTCATGTACGGAGGCGACACGGGAGCAGACTTTGAGAAGGCGCCGGCATTGGCTAACAAGGCACTTGGACTGCCCCAAGAAAGTCTTGACGCGACCATTCAGGCTGTTGTGTATGATCAAAATTGAGAACCGGCTTGGCGGCTTGCAGTTCAATCCTCCGAACGTCTACTGGGTACCTGATGTCTAGCAACAGTGCGAAGACAATTGTGGAGGATTCTGTGCCAAGGGCAATCATGAAAAAATCGCCAATTCTACCACATCAGATAGTGATAGATGCTGGGCACGCACACCAGACATATACACGAAAATAGGATAAATCTTTCTATCTCGCACACCTCACGCTCAACCTACGCTAGGCAGGCTGGCGAATGAGATGCTCTTATGATGGCGACAGTAGCGGCTGGGATCAGACACCGAGCAATACGGTCTCAAGCACGCAGCAAAATACGATGAGTCGAACCCATTCTGCGTGCTTCAAAGTACTAAGAGGACGACCTTCCCACATGCCGCGCAATCCTCCATGCGTTGGTGTGCTGCGCCCACGTCCTTGAGTTCGAATACACTGTCCAGGAAAGCCTCCTTCTTGTATATGCCGCTTCTCACCTTCTCCACAGCGCCAGCCAAGACGCGACCTGCCTCGTCATAATCCTCATCCAGGGTGGTGAAAGTGGTGAGCTTGCGCATGGCAGTGACGACGCCAGCCCCGACTGGCATTTGCCACACCTTTCCAAGAATACCACATTTAACCACCGTCCCGCCTCGCGTCGTTACTGGCATAGAGATGGGACCCAATGCCTCCAGCCCAACTAGCTCTAATACCGTGTTGACATCTTTGGCTGCAATTTTCATGATGACTTGCGGGTCCTGCAGTTCTGACTCCAGCACAACCCAATCGGCGCCAGCAGCCTTCAGCTTTTGAACCTTCGACTCTTGCCTGGTGCTGGCAATGACATAGCAACCTTTCTCTTTGGCCACCAAGACGCCCCACAGCCCAACACTGCTCGTGGCCCCATGGATGAAAACGACGTCGCTCGGTTCCGTCTCCGCGGCGAGGAAGAGGGCGCCGTAGGCGGTCCAGAGGCCCATCGGGATGGCGCCGAGGACATCCCAACCAACCTCTTTGGCTGCGTCGCCCAATTTCCACAGTCGCCGGTGGTGACAGATGGTATACTGCGCGTATGAACCGTCATACGCCTTACCTCCGCCGTAAGCCCATCCTGCAACTCGATCTCCAACCTTGAATCCTGTTTCTGAACCGGCCTCACTGACCTCGCCAACAAATTCTTCGCCGATTATGAGGGGACATTGATTGTGAAATTCGTCCTTAAAGATCCCGAACTCGACCGGCGAGACTGGCTCAGCATTGCGGGCACGCAATTCAGCGCGATTGAGTCCCACGGCATGGATACGGACGAGGCAGAACTTCGGACTGGGAAGTGAAGGCCTCGGATAGTCTGTTTTGTATGTGAAGCATGCAGCCGGGGGGCTCGAACCAGGTGAAGTGAGAGTGACGGCGCACATCGTGCCCTTTGGTACGTTGTCCCAAGACGGCATGGTTGCGCGAACTCACTGCCCCTCAGACGACTTTCACGCGTACAATCTCGCGGTTATCCGAGCATTCTGAAGATGAGCTAATAAACACAAAGGTTTTTGAGGAGAGTGGTGTACGCAGATCTTCTGGCACACGCAGGACAGCTTCCGAACCTAGCATGGCTCACCATCTGCACCACCCAGTATTAGGTATCGAGAGCGACGTGGGAGCTTCCACTCAGACACCACAGCTCGGAACCTAGGCAAGCCGCATATAGTTCTGAAACATTTAAACCCATGAGCCGATGGTCCTCTTCCTGAGCGTACGTGGCTGTTTGACAACTAGGACATCTGGGGGGTATCTGGACCTCTCGGGGGAAATGCCATCAGCTGCTTGCGATGCCGCGGCCGATAGAGTTGCTCGGGTCGTGACTAGTGGAGGAACTTGGAATGAGCGGATGGTTCTCCGGTCAGCGGACGCCGACATTAAGAGTGACCTCTATTCATGTACTATGTTCTCCTGGTAGGTTCTCAAATTCCGACTCTTTAGCCGTCCCAAGAATATTCTCCATTGGGGTCCATCCCATTTTGCGCAAACTGAACTAGCACCTTCTCAAAGTTCGGGAATGTCGTCACGAAGAACTTGCCGGCCTTAACGCCTTCCAGGAGATCTTTCGCAGCCTGCTCCGGCTTCACCGCTTGAGCCAGAAAGAACTTTTGAAGCGCGGCTTCAAACTCTTTGCTCGCGGTTCCATGTGGCATCTCGGACGCTCCGGTCCACACTGCACCTGGATAGAGGACGCTCACTCCGATGTTGTGCTTTCTCAGCGTCGCGGCCAGGCTTTGGCTGATCGAGATATCCGCGGCTTTGGTGAGGTTGTAAGGAATGCCGTTGACTGCGAATGCTAGGGGTGGTGCAATACCATTGGGAGAAGCAGTGTTGACAATCCAGCCGCTGCGACGCTCAATCATCTCGGTAACAAAGGCCTTCACAATCCGCAGGTAGCCAAGGACGTTGACTTCGAAAGCCTTCCGTGTCCCCTCAATGTCAATATTCTCGATTGTTCCATGAGGAGAAAACATGGCGTTGTTGTGCAGGATGTCGGGCACGCCGATTTCTCTCTTGATCTGCGTTCCAAGCGCGGCAACTGCACTGTCGCTACCCAGGTCACAGGTGAAGGGCCACACTTCATACCCCTGTTTCCTCAATTCTTGGGCTGTTTCTGTCACCTGGCCATCGAGGATGTCGGTGATTATAAGCCGAGCCCCGTGTTTGGCGTATTCCAACGCCATTCCCCGCCCCAGACCTCGCGCGGCACCCGTGACTATTACCAGCTTACCCTTGAATTCAGGCATGATGGCCGGAATCTCCTCTGTTTCCCACCACAGAAGAATAAGATGATGACGACCGCCAAAAAGACCAACGATTGTGAATTCGTTCCTGCCCAATAGTCGATTTGGCCTTTCCCTTGCCGGTATTCGAATAGTCGAAGAATTCACGTCTTAAGTTCCGTCCCGTGGCGGTTCGGATTCGCACTTTCTGCTGTATTAGAGTCTGGCGAAATCATTGTCTGGCTTATAGTGAGCAACATGCCCAAATATGAGTGACCATAAAAGGATTCGGGTCTTGTCCCTAATGTCTTCCCGTGCATTTTAGTTCTGTCACGCGAAGAGAAGAGAGCCTGGTTGGCACGGCCGGCCCCGGATGTTAGAGACGAATGCGAGCAAGGACGAGATTATGATAGTCACAAACATCGAACTCCCCATTCGGTGTAAGTACATTTCTCTACCGAGAATTATCTCTCGTGCAGCGCTGTACCTACGTCTCCGGGTACGGAGTTGCAACCTCTCACGGCACCGAAATTGTGCATGTCGAAGTGAATGTGGACTCGCGGCTATATCTGTAGCTGCTTCATCGCAGTCTCGGTATCTTCGAACAATCTATCCTCAGTCTTCCTAAATCGGCCGAAGGTGTACATCTCATCCGCGCTCCGTCAATCCTGCCTGCGCCTGTATTGAATCTGGCCTCTCGGGTCTGGGACCATGCTCACGCCGTTCTCTAGAGGCACTGGCCTATTTTGCCCCGGAGGGAATCTGAAGTCGTAGGTGGTGAGCATCTGCACTAAGGCAATCTTGATCTCGTTCGAAGCGAAGAATCGGCCAGGACAAGCATGCTTGCCATGGCCAAAAGCGATATGCTCGTTACTTGTTGTGACGAATTGGTACTTTGTCTCATTACCGGGCTGCTGGCGTAGATTGTAGAACCGATGGCCGTCAAATGTGAGAGGATCTTTGTGGTACTTTTCGTCGGTCATTGCTGTGATTGGAATACCAAGTCCGGCGCCTTTGGGAATCACGGTCCCGTCTGACAGGGTGACGGTTTCTTGGGCAACCCGGTTCATAGGCACTGTCGAAGTCAGCTCTCAGATGGCTCGCTCCATTAAACCCAGCCGCTTTTTGCACTAGACCTCGGGATAGGGGTTACTCACTGAGCGTCACGGGACTGAGCCTCTGACTTTCCTTCATGAAGCTGTCCATCAGTTTGAGATTGTACAGCACATTCTTGGTCAAAACATCGCCTGGTTTCCACACCGCCGCAATCTCCTCTCTCAACAAAGGAATGTATTCAGAATGCTCGATCAGATCATAAACGACGTACACAAAGGTCATCGACGTCGTGTGGATGGCACCGAGCGAATAGTTCAGTTGGCCCCAGACATAGTTGTACCGATCTGCTTGCTCTCCAGCGGCAGCCTGCATCCATGCTAAGGCGTCCACGTATCTGGGGGGCTCCTTTCCGGCAGCAAGTGCCTCTGCTTTTTCTTTCCGCCGGCGAGCAAGCTCAGGTTCAATGAGACGGGTTGCGTCTGCGACTTCCTTACGGATCTTGCGAGTTTGAGGTAAGAACCAGTGGACAAATGGTCGCAGACCCTTGGGCCACATCCTCAAGACAAAGGCGGCGGTGAAAAAGTCGACCGTGTAATTGACGGCGATGTCCAGCCACTCCTGGTCATGGCACAGAGGCTCAGGCAGGAAGATACGTGAAGACAATCGTGTGATGATCGCCAGTGCATTTTGATTGAATTCCGTGCTAGTCCATTCTGATGTGGCATTAGTGATTGGCGAACCAAAAACCTGGCTGCGAGATTGAGGATACCGTCTTTGACCGGCCACATCCCGCGAAGCATTCCTGCCATCTCCTGAGAGAGAAGCTCTGTGACTTGACCTATGGCTTGCGTCAGGCCAATCCTGACAGATTTCGTGAAGACGTGGTTTTCGACCGCGGGACGAAACCCTTCGAATCCCGGGTAGTTGGAGAAAAAGTCTTTCTTCAGGGCCGCGGCGAAAGTCATTCGGTCGTCGTTGCGAACTTCGTCCATGAAGTGGGCTGGCAGGATTATCAGAGGTCCTGTGCTGGCCATGAGCTGGAAGGGCTTGTTGCTCTGGCACATGTTAGCCTCTTGTTTCACTTACGATTCTCATCTCAGTAACACCTTGCCCAGCGTGTCATAAATGAGCCTCTTCGCCTGGTTGACCCAGAGCATCTTCAACTGCCATATGGTCTTTGCTTTCTCATCTTTTCCCACCGTTGGGATGCCCGGGGATGCAGAGCTCGAGGTGTTGCTCCAAACCCCATACATGAGAATGAGGGATATCATGGCTGCAAGCACGAAAGCTCCAAGCTTGGGCACACCTTCATCGCGCCCAACAAGTGCACGCTCCAGTTCGAGGGTCAAGATCTTTCCAGCCATCTTCGTCGATTCTGTTGAGTTAGAGACGCTCAAGGTAGCCATTCATCGTGTCCTGCTGTAGATATAATCTAGCAACCATCCGGAAGGTGTGCTTATGTAACCCAATCTGCTCTAGTCAAATACCCAAGACGAATTGGTGATGGCGGGTTTCGGAAGCAGCAATGTTTGCCGCTCGACGGTAGTGTCATAACTTCCGAACTTGTTGCTCCGAGAAGGATGTCACGGATCGGCAAGAGATGAACTCTGCTATGGGCTCGCACAAGGCGATATGGCAGCAAGCAAGTTTGTTGATCTGAGGAGTTCAAAGTCCCGTAGACGAACAATCATTCCTAACATACACCCTGTTCTGTTGGGCATGCATTTCGACTTGACCAAAGACTTTGATCAAAGGCAGCGAACATGGTTGCTACGGACGCGACAGCCTGGGACGAGGAATATGACACCATCGGCGTCGGTTCTGGTATCGGAGGCCTTTCCACGGCCATCACCGCGGCGGAGCGTGGGGCAAAAGTTCTTGTGATTGAGAAGTTCGAACTGTTAGGCGGAGTGTCAGCTTTGTCGTCAGGACAGCTATGGCCAGGCCCGAATCACTTGGCCGAAGCAGCCGGCATCCACGACAGCCCAGAAAAGGCAAAAGAGTACATCGATTACCTTGGACAAGGACATGCATCCCCTTACGTCCGCGACCAATATTTGATCAGGTCGAAGGAATGCTTGAAGTACTTCGACGAGAAGATTGGCATTCACATGAGCGTCATCAGAGGCTTACCTGATTACTACTATCCAGAAGTTCCCGGATCAGCACCAGAAGGTCGCTACATCGAAACCATACCCTTTCCAGCCGCCAAACTCGGCGAATATCAAAAGAAGGTTCTAACCTCTCCTTACGGAGCGTACTACAGTTACACAACTTCCAACGAGTGGGTTGAGATGCAGGCGGGCGGAGAGAGCCTCGGGTCTTGTATTCGACGGCATCTTGCCAATGATGAACGATGCGCAGGAGCAGGGATGGCGGCTGCACAAGTCTCTGCGGCCCTACAGCGCGGGGTGGAGTTTCGTACATCTACGGAAGTCGTCGAGCTTGTGACTGAGGATTCACGTGTTGTGGGAGTGATAGCGCGAGACTCCTCTGGGACACGTCGCATTCGAGCTCGTCTGGGAGTCATGCTCGCCACGGGTGGCTACGACTGGAATCGACGGTTCGTCGGTAGCTATGATGCTCTCCCAGTGGCCGGAACTATGGCCCTGCCTACTGTTACTGGTGACCACATTGTGCTTGCTTCGAAGGTGGGAGCAATTCCACTGCCATCACGGGCCCCAGGCCAGTCCCCAATCTTTGTGGGCTATAAAGTTCCGACCGAGAAGATCTATGGCAGAGGCCCGGCGTATCGACTCTGGGTCCCTGGACGACCGCATTCGATCATAGTCAACTTTAAAGGGAAGCGCTTCTCCCAGGACTCTTTCTATCCTGATGTGGTGACCAAAGTATCGCGATTCGATGGGCAAGAGGACGGCATGGTGAATTGGCCGGCCTGGATTGTCTTCGACCAAAGAATGCTCAATAGCCGAGGAATGCCGCCTGCTCCGCCTGGTCAGCCACTTCCTGCAGGCATGGCCATTGAGGCCGACACTATACCTGAACTGGCTGTGAAAGCGGGTATCGAGCCGAAGGGCCTACAGACAACGATCGAACGCTTCAACAAGATGTGCAGCGACGGTGTGGATGAGGATTTCAAAAGTGGAAGCAACCCGTGGGGCCGCCTCATGGCTGGGGATCCTGGGCTGAAAAATCCCAATATGGCTCCGATATCTCAAGCCCCGTTCTACGCGGTAAGACTCGAACGAGTTACGATGGGAGTGCCGACTGCTGGTCTACCAATCGATGGGGATGGACGTGTGGAAAATAGTGCTGGTGGGATTGTTCCCGGACTTTATGCCGCTGGCAATTCAGCAGCATGGGGAGACTGGGGAGGCGGTTTCAACAGTGGCATCGCGGGCATGCGTGGCTTGCTATACGGCTACCGTGCGGCGTTACATATGACTGCCACGTAAATGCGCTTGTGGACCTGGATATTACCATTCATTATTCGGCTATAAGAGCCCTCTCACATTCCATCCGAGTGGGCGAGGGAGACAAGAACCATTCTCTAGACCTGGAGATAGTGCGTCGTGTGCTGTGTTCAAAGTTTAGTTGTGTCAAGGTGGGCCTGAGACGTAGGGCATTTACCTGATTCAGCCGAGCATTCGCAGCAACAATGACGGAGCCCAAGAACGTACTTGTGTGGCTGCCGAGTTTCTGTTGACGCCAGACAAAGTCCCCTGGAGTTCCAACTTTGCATCCCGCTTCCCTGCAGCATTGGACAACATTTCAAGTCAAGCCAGGCTTCCTCCAGCGAGGAACAAGCCTTGAAGTCCTATTCCTCCCGCGGCTACTTGTAAAATTTGCCAGAAGCTCAGACTGAGCCATCGACCATCGCCCGAGTATCGACGATTCGATTTGATGCGCGGTGGGCTCTGACTTCCAGATTTTGGGAGTAGAGGCCCGGTCTCGGTCTGAAGATCGATATCCATGTTCGTAATTGAGCTCAAAGGATCGGTGAACACGGCTGCAGAAACAAGCGAACAAACCATCATTGCTTCATTATGTGTCAAGATGACAGTGAGCGCGGGACGCGGTGTCCCGGCCCGGATGACATGGACTTCCGTTAGATGCCTCCTTCCGCGGGGCTTAAACGTGGAGAACGGGGGGGGACCACGTTGTCGGACAGCCTTGTAGCATTGTTCAATATCCGTTCTCCACGCCCATAGCCACGCAGAATAGATTCCGTGCAGACCGATTTCTGTCTTCGGATTTTCGGATCGCGCCCAAGAGATTCATGTATACGACTCTGCTTGTGCAAAGAGACTCGCATATAAGCGGCATGCAGTATCTAAAGCTGCCTCTGTCAACCCAAGCTTGTCGCGTTCCTGCCAGCCGATATAGCGCAAACCCATATTTTCGAGGTCTTTAACGCCCTTCGTCATGACTGAGTCGCCTCCATGGACGCACTTGGTTCGTTTTACTCACAATGGTGTTCCGACATTTGCCCAGCTTGTCGCACCTAAGGAGGATGGTGATCTAGACGAACAATTCGAGGTCGAGATCGCTACGGGTGATCCGGTCTACAATAACATCAAGTTAACGGGCGAGAAAGTAACAGTGGGGCGGAACACCCTGTTAGCGCCTTTCGCGACGGTACCCATGGTCATCAATACCGGTCTCAACTACAAGGATCATGTGAACGAGTCCCTGTTCTACAGCGCCCCTGTAGGTGACGGAGACTGGGGGCTCGCATTCCATTCAGCCGAGGAGGGCTTCCGTGGACCAAAGATCAAGCGCTGACGAAAAGATAAGGATCTCATGCCCAACATTCCGTATATCTTCTTCCGACCTCCAACGTCTCTTGCGCCACCATATCCCGCTCTCTTGCGCACATACAAGGTGCAGCAAGAGTGTCTCGACTATGAAGGCGAGCTCGTTTTCCAGACAGGCTCGCGGCCTTTGAAGGATATCTCCGTTGAAGAAGCGAAGAAGCATATTGTGGGCTTCACTGCAGGCTGCGACTTCTCTCCACGTCCGGGAAAGGTTCTGGGACGCATGAACTACATCTTCTCCAAGGCGTTCGATGACTGGACCCCCGTTGGCCCAGTCCTCGTTCATCCGAGTGTGGTTGGAGTTCTGCCGGAGTTGGATCTGACCACAAAGTGGAACGGGAAGGTGGTCCAGAGCGACAATACCCGTAACATGATCTTCAGTGTTGCTCAAATATTATCCTCGATGTCGACTGGTACGCTTACAGTGTCCCTGTAGACTTTTTTGAAGCTGACTTGGATCTGCTTAGGAACGACTGTCCAGCCTGGCACGGTTGTCTTCTCCGGTACTTGCGGCGGAGGCGCTTGGTTCATCAATGAGGGTAAAGCCGGAACTGGTATTAACGACGGCGATGAGGTGGAGGTGGGGATTGAAAAAATCGGCAAAGTTCGCGCCTACCCACGTTTCGATAAATAGGCTATTCTGCTCGACAGCAGTTCTAATGCTATAGAAATGAGTCCAGTGCCTTTGCCGCATATATCATGAGCCATGAGTAACATCAAAGCCAACGAGAAGTGCTTCTCCTTGCCGTGTTGAGGAGCAGCTTTGTGACAGGCCACCATGTTTGAAGCACCAACCGTGGAGGCCGCGCTTTACCACAACGCCGACATGGCAAACTTGAAACTTTCTGTTTCCAACCATCTGGACGTGTGTGAGGTCCAAAACGTGGCGCAAGGAGGGGAGTGGTTCTCCACTCTGAACCAGCATATCTCCTTCCAAGTCGACCGGATTTGGATAATGCAGTGTTTCCTGCATCTGCGAGCCGGCGACGATGATAGAGGGCGGTCGTATACTTTGATGCTATTGCTACTAAGCTCTCATGTTAGTAGAACTAATTTCGGGTCGTTGAAAATGAACCCGAAACGAATTCCGCAGGGAAATCCTCACCTATTGGTGTAGAGTTCCGGGTCGGTTCTCAATTCCTTCCGAGTTTACCTGAGAGCACTCGTGCACGGATTCCTTCAATGACTTTGCAGTGGCAAATATGCTGGATTCGGGAATCTTCAATGCTCTGCGTGTGCGGTTGGCGGGCCGCTCTGCAGAGGATAGCCCAACTTCGTGGGAGGGGTCTGTTAATCGCGGCGAAGGATTATAACAAGGCACATCGAAACTTTAGTCAAATCCCTTCTCACGCACAATTGTAACTTGGATCATCACTCTTAATACGCTCGATCATGGGTTCACTCGTTCCAACAACCAAGCGCGCGCCAGCGTTTTTCGTTTCCCACGGCGCTGGGCCCTTCGCCATCCTCGGTGCTCCGCACCAGCAGCCACTTGTCGACCTCTGCAAAGAGACAAGATGGGTGCTGGATGGAGCCAAAGGTGTTATTATCGTAACTGCACACTGGGAGACAGACCAGCCTCATATTTCGTCCGGTGCTGAGCCAGAGATCTACTACGACTACTTTGACCACCTAGCAAAAGACCTGCCAAAGGAAGCCTGGGAAATAAAGTACCCTGGTGCAAGAGGTGATCCAGAGCTCGCTCGCCGGATCAAAGAGAAACTCGACAAGGACGGATTCCAGGCTGTTCTGGACGACAAGCGAGGCTGGGACCACGGGGTCTGGGTGCCCATGATTATGCTCCGCCCGCAGGCAGACCTGCCCATTGTCCAGGTCTCGATTCCTAGTGGAGCGGATGCGGCTACTGAGAACTCGTTGAAACTCGGACGCTCTCTTGAGGCATTCAGAGATGAGGGCTATGTCATCCTCGGCAGCGGATCAAGCTACCACAACTTCGCGGCTGTCATCGACTCCATCATGGGCACCCCTGGACCCCCAGTTCCCAGTAACCGCCCGTTTGAGGATGCGATGGAGGAGGTTGCCAAGATCCCAGATGCCGACAAGAAGTGTGAAAAAATTGCCAGGTGGAGAGAAGAGTTCCCTAACAGCGAGGCAGTCCAGCCCGTCGGGAGCTCAGAACACTTCATGCCGTTCCTGGTCAGCATTGGGAGCGCAGGCAACGATATCGGGAAAAAGTTGGGCGAATGGGAACTCTTTGGAGCCATCATGACTTCCTACATCTGGTAGCAATGGCACGAGCTTGTCTGCCAAATGCGGCGGCACAGTGGCAAGTGCCGTAGCATGCTTGAAACGAACGAATGCCGTGAATGTCTTTTGACCGCTGTTGAAACTTCTTTTTCCTAGCAACGCAATCACAGGATTGCTGGGGGTAATTTGGCCACATGCTCTTTCCTGTTACATTCAGAGTTTGGTATCAGGAAGTTTTGTTCAGTGAGAGTAACTTCGTTTCCAGCACTTTGTCTACTAGATAAACTATTAGGTTAATCTGCGGTGGCGGGCTGATACAGTTAGAATGCGTCTTGTGGTCCTCAAGACCGCCTATCACCAGATGAACTGTGGGCAGTCTGTGCGACATGCCTCGTTGACTTCCAGCGACACTGAACACTCGAGGGGAGAGGACATGTTTCCAACGAATGCAACGCCGTTCGTTCCCCCTTGCCATCACGATTGCAAGGCTTTGATCAATGGACCGGTGTCCTGCGTTCTTTGTTAGCCGTCAAGTCAGGTTGTGCGAGCAAAGAAACAGACGCACACCCCAGGCCTGCAAGAAGGACATCTTGGGCTCCAAGGTATCGATTCCCTCGATGACGGCTCGCGCGATGAAGTCTCCCTCAATCTTCTTGCCATTCTTAAGTCCCAGGATCGCGCTTCCGATCATCAATAGATCCGAGCCGTCGCTAGTGGCGGAAAATACTTTCACGATCGAATGGTATCGTGATTCGACCAATTCCCAGGCTTTCTTTCGGGAGCCCCTAATTTCTGCGCAGGGAAAACCGGGCACAAGTCAGTCCTGTTGGATGCTGCTTCCCAGCCTCATGAGACGGGCAGGGCGCTTCCACGAGCAACCAACCTGCTGACCCCTTGAAAACCCCACTGGAAGAGATAAATGTAGCCTCGGGTGTGAATATATCCTCTATTAGCTTCAAACCGGCCTCGTCGCTGTTGGTATCCATCAGCGAGAAGAAGTAGTCGAGAAGGTCCTGCACCGCCTTGGGGACCGCAGTCGAGGGCCACGAGGTAGAAGACACTCTGGACGACATGGTTGAAACGTCAGACGCTGGACTTGATCGTAGATACCGCCTAAGCAAATTGACGCGGCGTAAGACTGCTGCGAAGAACGGTGTTTCTCCATCATTGAAAAGTTAAGCATTTTTGTGTTGACTGGATAATGGCTTGATTATCCTTCCGAGGTGACCGACCTGGCCAGCGGCGACAGTTATCTCCGAGGTACGGGTATTCCGCGCCGACAGCTGCACCTCGTGTTGGCCGCTTTGGTACGCATCGGGCTGACCTGGCTCAGCATCGGTTCAGCCTCACCGTGAGTTGCTCCGCGCGGATCATGCCTGTGCTCAAGCTTCTTGTTCTTGACGTCACCCGTACTCAATCCGCTTTCTGGACCCGGCGCAGTCGTTGAATCCGGGAAGTGGGGCATGGAGACAGAGCCTTGTCATGTCTCAGCCTCGTCTCGACGGCCGTGCCTAACTGTTGACAGGGTTGCAAGATAGCCACTGTGGCAAACCACCTGAGACGCTAGCTGTCACACCAATTGCAGCACTTACCTCAACAGCGTTGTTCCCACCGACCTGCGACAGCATGGCGACGGAATAGGAGGTTTCAGGAACGGCCTTCAGAGCATAGGCCAAAGTGTATATAAACAGGCAGAGTCTCTCTGAATAGCCAGGGGGACAGAACACAATCAAGCAGATAGATCCACTCCCAATCTGCGTATAACAGGAATTGACTCGGTTGAGGAGATACTGAAGGAGTCTTTCGTATGCCGCTAATGTCTCCGTCGTGTGTTTTAGTTTCCTGTAGCGGTGTCAGAGCCTTCTGTGCCGGAACTCGTCTAATCGAACTCCTCTAATCAGACCTGCTCCTTGAATTGATCACGCTTCTCACCTTCGTAGAAACAGACAAGATTGAGGTCGAGGCATTGATGACATTTTAGGCGTTCGCTGCCGCATTTCGATTTTTTCTATCTGCATGGCACGCAAGTTTGATTATCTTATTCACTTTTAGATATTTTATTAGAAGATCGTTATAGTGTAACAAGGCAAAGTGGCTATGATGTGCTCGGCTGGTGGAGTGGAAGGGAGGAGATTTGGCTGGTCACGTGTTAAACTAAAATGGATTGGGAGAGCAGGACAGTTAGCAGTACTGGCAGTGTGCCATTCTTTATAGTTCGAACAGAGTATCATTCCATGTTTTTGATGCCGTCTACCTATTCCTGAGTGTTTTATCGGTCCTGTCCCACTCCTCATTGCCGCCGCCGTACTAGGTGTTCGTTGCCCTGGGCGCTGCCTCTCAGGGGTGATGTTGGTGGTGTTGTCTTGTCAGTGCCAACCAGGAACGCGTTCTCGATTCCCGACCTACTGGACAGACCTCTGTGTGTTGTTGCACGTGCATGTCAAACCCTGAAGCGCTCTGTCACTCTTAGCTGGAGCACATCAGATCACCGTTGCATTTGCACGTGTTCCCTCGACAGATCTTCCCCTTTTCGCCCCCTCAGGTCCCTTCAAAGGCCTGTTCGTAACACTGACGCTATTCCTCCCCGTTGAGTTTCCACTCGTAAGTGAAGTCTTGCCCGGAAGCGATCTTCACAGCTTCCGACTGACATCTAATTACGGTTCTACAAGTAGTCTAGCACTTCCCAGCACCCCCGATCGACTCTCCAGGCTGAGTTGTCCATAGATTGTTCCCCGACATGCTGGTGTTTTCCTACACGCGTCTCGCGAGTGAGGTCTTACAGAATGCGAAAGAGCTCGGCCGGGGGTCTCCAATGCTCCGGCACGCGCTGGATTGAAGCGGCCTCGCCCCGATTTCTGAAACAAAAATGGTAACGGACGGGGCACAACTCGGGTGTATATAAAAAGTATGTGTATACTCAGTCCTACCACTCATTTCGATCAAGGTCACACTCAATCGGCAATCTTCTTCCCGTCCGCCCAGGTGGGCTTCACCGTGCGACAGACAGCTTCGTAGTCGAGAAAAATGCCCGATCTTTGTTGTGGGACGTTGTGGAAAATGTTCGGCGTGGTCCAAAACATGGTCCAGTTTGTGTCCGGGATCCTCCACGTTCCCCTCGACCGTTCAAAGTACCACTTGTTCACGGGGTTGTCCTTGCGGCTCCGCCAACAGACGCCATTGGGAAAGCAGGTGCGTACCATCGCGTTAAACACAATGTCTGCAACGCCCCCGGCCCCTTGAGATCTCTTCAGGACGGCGAACTTGTCCAGGTACGGGACTAGACGGTCTGTGTCATCGTCGGAGCAACCTGGAGGGGTTTCCCATGTGAGAATTGCACCGCCCTCATATTCCCCTGCGATAATCACTCCGGCGATTCGCTCGTTGACACGTTTCAGATACGCCTCCACGTCGAGCTTTCTGTTAAAGGAGTCGTCGACAAGGTAAGTAAGCCGATCCAAGTCGATTCTAGGGTCAGTCAATTGCAGACGAGGCTTCGACGTGGCGGTCCAGGTTTGTGCCTCTGGATTGGGCAAGATAGTGAGCGGCATGCCCCGTTTGACAAAGGTCGAAGTCGTTACGGGTATTGAGGACGCATCTTGTGCCAATCTCCCGGTGGGCAAAGATGATGAATATGCCGGCTTGTCGGTCAATAAGTTGTGGATTAAAGGGTTCTTTTGCCTTCTAGTCCCGACACTGGACACTCCGTTGTCGCTCAACCTGGCAGTGTTTGCGGCTTCAAATGGAGTGGTCAGCAATCCGGATGAGGAAGGGGGTAGCATTTTCAGCGCGTCGCGAAATAGTTTCAGATTCGACGCATGTTTCTGAGAGACACTTCCCTCCGTTGAGCTTCTCAGTTCCTCCTGCAAAGCGGCATACTCTTGCTCCAGATTGACAAAAACATGCCTCTTGTCAATGGACTTTGTGCTCGGGATTGACCCAGTCTCATCAACAACGATGATCCTATCCAATGATATTTGCTTACGCGTCGACTCGAGTTTTGCAGCCTCTTGCTCGGGCTGTTCCCCTGTTCGAGGGCTGAAGTTGTGGCCGGAAAGTTCTCTGGTCAAAGCTAGGAGTGCCTCGTCAGCCGTGGTTGAGACGGCTTGTGACTGTTCTGCAGAATAAGCCACTGGCAGGACGATCGGTATCCTTCCCCGTCGCAGAGGACGGGTCAACAGTTTTCGCAGAAAAACTCGAGGCCTGCCATCGGCACCCAAACTCAAGAGATTGTCCAGTATTCTTGCTCCAAAGGGATGGATGGCGTCGATGGCAGCAACCAGTTTATCCGCAGCCTGGGTGAGATTTTCTCGTGTTGCTTGTGGGCTTTTCTCTTGAGGCCCCTCCAAGACGACACAGGGTGCCATACTAAGACGTGAGAGAGAGGACAAGGTCTGGGCGATACCTTTCACGATCTCGTCAGCCATGGCATTAAGGTTGCTGATCTTGACCAGAGCAACATGAAGGGTCTCCAGCTCTTCAACAGTAGAGTGCTGTCCATTTTCGAACTGCTTAAACACCGGGCTCTCTTCCGAGGCTCTCGTTAGACCGAGCAGATCTCCTGTATTGACCTGAGGTTGCGACCTGGAGGGAGCAGGTGTCTGCTCCGGCGCTGCCTTTGTCGGGCGCTGAAGTCGAGAGATGTACGCCTTTGCATCTCTTTTGGTGACTGCCGAGCTCAGGAGACTGGTGAAGAACTCCCTATTCGCCAGACGCTGTTTAGCTCTGTCGGTAAAAGAGCTTCTCTTGTCCCGCTCGGTCACATCTTGGGCGTTGTACGACGCAGGGTCATCTGTCCGTGGGGCGGGCTGGGACGAGTAGAAGCGAGAATTGGATCGGGTGAACAGCGAGGGGGAACACGAGTGAGAGATGAGGTAGGCCTTCAAGGCTTCAGCTGCGACGTTTCCGCAGGTGAGCTGTGCGGCATAATGACTCCGAACTGCACCCAGGGCGGTCTGGTTCATGGTTTTCCTGTGCGGTCAATGATGAAGAAGCCCCAGCGGCCCAACGAGTTAAATGAGAACGTCACCTAGGTAGGTACCTGCCACGGGTCTATACCAGGCAGCCCTGCGCAGATTTTCATCCTGTAGGGTGTGTTCATCGAGGGAAAATTTTGGGCATGGTTGTGTCACGAGCAGAGGAAAGATACTGCAGTATTCTGCCACCGCAGCCGCGTCTAACGATACCCAGACTTCACCGCCCTGCCCAGCCGCAGCGGTGATTGGTCAATGCGTTGCCCCTCGACAAGGGGGGGAATCTGCGGCGAGCGGGCATCTTTCTCTATTAATCCCACGCTTGCCACGCATCGAGAGAGGGCTCGAGGGATAGATAGACATTGTCACTTGCAAATGCTGACCCAGTCGTTGCTACGTCCTGTAAACCCGTGTTTTCCCGAGTCTCAGGAGCATCTCAGCCCTGCGTATGGGTTTGTAAGTTTGTACAATGTACAAAGTAGATTTTTGTCAGCTCCCGGAATCTCTCCGCATGCTGCATCTGCAACTTACGAGACCAACGTCATGATGGACAACGGGGAGAAACGGATCAGGCTGCAGACGGCTTCCTGTACGATCTGATCGATATCAATTGACATCTCAATGGTATAAGTTCGTCGAATACCGAGTAGGCGGATGAACCGTGTCGCGCAAGTCACAAGGCCCTTCACTTGATTTTCACTTCCTCGTCGACACTTTTGACAAGATGGCGCCTCAATTGGCTTGGCTAGGTCTGGGGAATATGGGCAGGGTAAGTTACCGCCAATGCTAGGACTGTCCAAGGATACTGACTTCCAACCCAAGGGCATGTGCAAGAACTTGGTAGAGAAGGGCAACCTGTCCAACCCGCTGATCATCTTCAACCGCACCGTGCAACGGGCCCATGACCTCGCCGCAAACATCGGCCATGCCACCGTGGCGTCCTCCGTGCAAGAAGCCGCCTCGAAAGCCGACATTATATTTTATTGTCTGGGCGACGACCCGGCAGTGCTCTCTACTCTCGAAGAGGTCCTTAAGACCGACGTCCAGGGCAAGGTGATTGTGGACTGCAGCACGGTCCACCCTGACACCACGGCCAAGGAAGCAGAGATGGTAGAAGAAAAGGGAGCCAGTTTCGTGGCGTGTCCTGTGTTCGGCGCCCCAGCTATGGCCGACGCGGGCCAACTGATCTGCGTCGTGGCGGGTCAACCTGACGCCGTGCAAAAAGTAATACCATACTGCAAGGGCGTGATGGGCCGCGCCAACGTTGATTTCTCGGGCCAAGAACCACGCAAGGCGACACTGCTCAAGGTCATTGGCAACACATTTGTCCTAGGCATGGTCAATGCGCTGTCCGAGGGACATGTCTTGGCCGAAAAGTCCGGCCTGGGCGTCGACGAGCTCCACAAATTCATCGAGGTCATGTTCCCGGGACCGTACACCGCTTACTCGACCCGAATGAGGACGGGTGACTATTACACGCGAGCGGAGCCATTGTTCGCGGTCGACCTGGCACGGAAAGATGCGAGGCACGGCATGCATTTGGCCAAGCAGAGCGGGTGTCGAATGAGGCAAGTTGAGGTGGGAGACGACTATCTGAAGACTGTCAAGGAGACGGTGGGTGAAAAGGGCGATATTGCCGGCATCTATGGCGCCGTCAGGTTGCAGGGGGGCCTGAAGTTTGGGAATCAGGATGCTTAGATGCATCCCAAGTTGGTGAGGGTGACCGAGGGAATGGACGAGTTTGGCTGATGAACGAGCCCGGCTCAGAGAAAGGACCCGGCATGACATACATGCATACATATACAAGGGTCTAGAGCCACTTAGCCCCTCCCAAGCAGATAGATACAAGACACAAGATGCGGGATGCAAGGCGCCAGATGCCCGTCGGATGCAGAGAACTAGCCAGGGCATGCTGCTCGCGAAGCTGCAAAGTACGAAAAACACGCCCACCAGATCTCGTCACGGAGAGTCGATCGCCGCCTCGCCTCGCCTCGCCTCACGGCAGCGCATGTCACCGGTGCATGTCAGGGGGCATCATGTGATATACCCATCTGTATACCTGTCTTCTGGCCCGCCTGCCGTTTGTAGACACCCGCTTATTCTCCATTTCCTTCCTTCCTCTTCCCAGGCCAAGAAGGACGTACCACGTCGAAGCAGAAGGGGAAAGAGAAGGGGAAAGAGAAGGAGGGGAGAAAGGGGACTAAGGATTTCCTTTTCCGATTCGATCGAACGATCATAACGGAACCATAATTGAATTACTGTACCATCCCCTCCCGCCCGTGGATTCGGTCCTCCCCCCCCTTTCGTCCCGTCCCGTGCGCCTTGAGCTCTGTGTCCCGTGCCCCCGTGTCCTCGACCGTTGGCTGGATGGTGTTGTTAGTTTGTTAGTTTTGTCAATTGCGTTACTCGTCCTCGGAGACGTAGGTACGTGGGGAGCTGGGTAGGCATCTAGCAACCCAAATCTACAGCAGTAATAAATACCCTCCAGTTATTCAGCTATTTTCTATTCATCTACATGGTTGATTGGCGAGCTTGAGATTAAGGCTGAGGCTACATCACCTACCTACCTACCTACCTACCTACCTACCTCGATGTAAAACCCAGATCGCCCAAAGACCCAAAGACCCTGGCACCGGTATTGGAGTGACACAGTACACATCAGAGCAGAGGCGAGTTAGGCGCAGCTAATAAGGCGGACAGGGTAGGACAGGGGTTTCTTTTTGCATTGCTTGCCGGCTTGCTCATGTATTCGTACCGTGCCACACACACACGGTCCTTCCAAGTAACCCATATATCAGCAACAACGCACCCCCCCCACTCACTCACCCGCGGGATTACAACCATACATAATAGGTACTTCGCAAGCTGGAACGACGCATGACCCTGGTCCATCCACTCCCGTGGAGAAATATATCCCATACATGCTGGAGAGAGAAGTCGTTGGGGGCCTGACTTGCCTGCTTGTCCAGCTCCCGACCTGTCCCACGCTGGCTATATTACACTGATAGAACCAGAGGGGGGAGGGGAGTGTGCGCGTGTTGAGTGTGAGAGCGGGATCGCTATGGTGGTTAGATAGAATGCGAGTGTTGCGATACTCCTGGAGATGTGTGATATATGTATCTATATAAATGGGAGATACCGCCTGGCGCGGGTGGGTATAGATGGGCATAGCTACATATATATGTGTCCACGTAGCTATGTAGCCTATCATGTATGCAGCCATGGCGGGAGCCAGGTGGCTATGCATCCAGACAAGGTTATAACTGACAGCATCTCTGGATACCTAAATCATCTTCCATCGTCCCCGAATATTCAACGTCCCTTCGTCCTCCTTACCCTCTTTTTCTCAGCATCGTCGTCCTCCCCGTCCTCGCCGTTCTCGCCCTCGTCTTCCCACCCGGTCTCGCGACCGAGGTAGCTTTTCCTCTTCCCTCCCCCCCTCCACAAACCCTCTCTGACAGAGACTGACACTCTCATACCCTCGTACCCACATGTCTTATATTTCTTCTGCGTGGCGGTTTGGGAAAAGGGAAATCCTCAGCTGAGATCTCCCACCCCACCCTCTGTGGTTGGTAATATGTAGAAAGCTTCGCCCGCCTCCCTAAAGTAGCCCGCCCGGTCCGCCTAGGAAAGCCAAAAGCAAAAAAAGCCCCAAAAAAAAGAAAGAAGAAAAAAAAAAAGGGAGCTCAAAAAGCCTCGTGATCACTCCCCGTCTCGCTCCCGCCGTCGCTCCTCGCGTCGTCCCACTGCTCATGCAAATCCCACTCGAACAGATCCTGCAGACGCAGTTGAGAATGGCTCTCGACAAGCACCACCTTGGCGGACCCGTCATCTCTCCTGCCAATTTTCTTCTCGACCGTCCACTTGCCCCGCTCGCAGAGCAATTCTTCCAGGTCGCGCTTCATGCCCTGCGTAAACGTGTGGTTCTTGCCCAGCATCTTGATCCGTCCCTCCAGGACTTGCCAGTACAGCTCCTCCGTTAGGTCTAGGTGCCCTTGCTGTTTGTACAACAGGGCCAGCAACCGTAAACTTTCAAGTCTCCGCGGGTGGTTGTCGCCCAATGTGTCTTTCGAGTCCCTGATCGCCCGTCTCAACACGGTGGCCGCCTCCTCGATCCGATTCTGCCGCTCGAGCGAGCGGTGCAGATTCGTCAGGGCCGAGATGGACTGCAAGTGTTTGGGCCCGAGCACCATCGACGAAACCTTGTAAACTTCACGCAAAACCTGCTCCGCTTGCTGCACCTTCCACTCGACATTTAACATAAATCCGTAGCAATACTTGGACGCGATGGACCGGGGATCTTCTTGACCATAGCGCTGGACAAACAGCTCATGCACCTCGTAGAGATTTTGACTCGTGATGTCGCGATCTCGCATCTGTCCGTTGGCCACATAGACCATCCAACGCACAATTGTCGTGAGGGGGTCATTCGGTCCCAGCACCCGTTCTGCCACCAGATACGCACTCTGCAAGATGGTCTTGGTAATGTCTCCCTGGTTGTGCATCTGCAGGATCTGTAATGTCTGGTTGAGCGCCAATAACACTTTCGGGTCCTGCTGTGGGGCGATCATCTTCTCAAACTCGGCGTCCGCGTCTACCAGACTCCGTTGCGATAACGTATAGTTGCCTCGTCGAAGGTAGATGCAGGCGGCAAAGCACCGAGCGACCCACTTCCAGGAATGTTCATGGCCTCGTGAACTGGCGGGGATGGAAATCGTGCTTCCTGGCAAATCCTGGGTGGCGTTCAGGATGTTGCGAGGTAGCTGGGGCATCTCCAAATTCGGGAGACTGATAAAATGTTCTCGGGTGGATTCATGGCATTTCGGACAGATCTGCTCAAAGTCCATCGAATCCTCTGACGAGCTGTCAGTGAACATTAGCGCCCAGCTCCGAATGTCGTCGTGGCCGCAGAGTGACTTCAACGGCGGTGCGTCGACTATTTGCAGCGCCATGTACTCGACATCTCGACCCAATGAGTGGCAAGGCATGGTGGGGCTAGTGTCACAGCCGGTGCCGGCATGGCGCACCTGGTCGTCAACGATGGCCCGCGGTTCACTGGGGGGAATAGGGTAGGTATATGACAGAGCCGCCGACAATGGTGCATCCTGGGGAGACGAGACGGCATGGGCGCGTGACGACGACGACGGTGAAGAGTCGGACGAGCATGTGATATTGCTTTCTCTGGACGCAAGATAAGGACCGTGTCTTTGAGGCGGTGACACGGTCAGTGGGAAATATGGCGAGGCTGAGTGGTGGGGTGACCACCTCTGCGAAGGACTAGCAGGGGAATGTTGGTGGGTGAAGGCGGAGGTGGGGGCGGTGGAACACGAGGCTGGTCCTAGTCCTGGTCCTGGTCCTAAGCCTGAGACCGACTCTGACGCAGCTCCCGTAGGCGAGTGCAAGTCCTTGGCCGACTGGACATTTGCTGCTGCGATCTCGGCCGGCCGTCCTCTCGTGGGAGGAGTGGGAGGTGGCCCTTCTTCGCCCTCTGCCTCAGGCTCAGGAGTATAGGCTCGGACATGAGCATATTGCTCCTGTTGTTGATCGGCCGCGGTACTACATTTGACATTAGCAAGGGCAGTGGCGAGGAAATCCTCCTCGGTCATCTTCCGCCCTTTGATGTATTTGTGGAGGTCCTTGAGTGAGCGTTTGTGGCCATGGATCACAAACGCCGTCGACCGTTTACCGCTTTTTTGGCGGGTGTGGTGCAGCACCGCACCTAGGAAGCTGATTGTCAGCAAACCAAACAGTAGTGACGGTAGAAGCTCTTGCAAACAAATAATTGCTGCAGGTCCTCAAAAGGGGGGGGGGGGGGAGAGCTACTTACATATCTGATAGTCCTTGTCCGAGTAGTTCTTACTGATTCCCCACTGCGACAGTCGGGCTTTATACATCCGCTCCCTGTTCCAACTCTATCAGCAAAATGCATGGGACGTTGAGCGCACGGCAAAGAATAAGATGAGTGGCTGGGCTTCGGCGATACTGTGCACTCACGTTGCGCGGAAATTGTGCCGGTCTAAAAGTATTCTTCTCACATCTCTCAAGGGGTGCTTTTCATAAAGGATCCTGATTTCCTCCTTCACCGCTTGCCACTGAGCGGGAGCGGGGCCTTCGCGCGCCTCGAGTTGAGCAGAGGCGGGCGCCTGGGATTGGGATGATGCTGATGCTGGTGCTTGAGCAACATTCTCGAGCGTCCATCCATGGGGATTGCCCAGGCTCAGGGCCATTGACTTGATGTTGTTCTGCTGTGCTCAACGGTCATCACTGCCTAAAGTGAAGTTAGAATTAAAATGCCGAACCTAGTCAGCTTCGAAACAGAAAGAAGAAAAAAAGGGCGCGACAATAAGGGCTTGCCTTGCTGGTCCGGCTGTACGCGGTTCCAAGGGCAAAAAGGAAAGGAAAAAAAGGGCAATGTTTGCCTTGCGAGAGCGGCCTGTCACAAAGGAAGTCGACGAGGAGGGGTAATTTTGGTGGCCCGTGGGCACAGTGGCTCGTCTTCAAGTGTCGTGGCCCTTGATGAGACATGCATCTCAACGCTACAGGCCCAGTTCTAAGGGCCCGTTGCATATGCAAAGTCCCTTCTGTAGCCCAATCAGCACCCCTCTGGTGACAGCGGCGTGCTTTTAGCCTGACACGTAGCCGACAAAGTAAGATTGCGGCCAAAACAAAGGCTGAAACCCTTGCCCCTCAACGGCAGTGGCTCCCTCCAGCCTCGAGGTAGTGGTTAGGATCATCGTCGGGAGGGACATGGCAAAGGGACAGGATTCTTCTGTGGCACTTGAAAGGGGGATCACCTGAAGTTTTAAATACTCCCTGTGCGTCACTGTCGTCGGGCACTCCCCCTTGAAGAGACCAAGTCAAAGGCATCCGAACGTCGGTCCTTTGCCTGCTGCCTCTGGACTGGCTCGCCTCCCCTGGCTTGTTGACCGGCAATCTGTACGCGGACCGCACGCCAATAAGACGATTCATTTTCCAAATTGACATCGAAGAGACTTGTTTGCCCTCGCCTCTCCGGTCACTTGGCTGTAGCCCAATTTTGGTCGGGCTGGTAGGAGGAGCATTTGCAATGACACTCGTCGGACTTTGAATTCCAGGCTTGGGCCTTCAGCATGTCGCCAGCCACAATCAGCCTAACTCCGGATGGGAGACTAAGGGGGTACGTATATACAATAGATATGCAAAAGAAGAGAAGATCGCAATTGCGACTGATACCACACACAGCTGTAGCAGGGATGGCTTTCGAGGGCTTGTTTTCCAACTTAGCAGCATCGTCCATAAGCGGGTATACCTGGGGCCCGCTTTCCTTCCTTTCCCCGTTATCACCCGCTGACCATTGCCCATTGACTGTCCACCGTTGGCACCATGTCCAACCGTCGCGGTCGATTCGAGCATTTCACCCACAGATACTTTGGGCATGTGATGCCATCTGAATGGTACCCAGCGTCATCAAACATTCGAAAGATGTGTGTTAATTCGTGGTGGGCAATGCTCGGTCCAAAATCTAAAGAGCGCCATTTGAGAAACCCTCTTTGTTGTTGCTCAAACCATAGAGCCCGGGTTTTAACTTCCAAAGCATACCTGTCGTGGTATTATATTCCATTCAGCTTGTCAGACCAGGGGATAACAGATGAGGGTAACCAGCCTTGAGCGACTGCCGAGAAGACATGGCCCATGGTACCAAAAGGGAGTCCATCACTAGGACTGGGCTAGGAACAAAACAAAACACAGCAGTTGATCCGGGTCGGTCAACAGGAACATAGCAATAAGGGGCAGGGGCTTCTCCTCAAAGGGCTGTCAAGCATGGTAAGATCATGAACCACCGGGTTCCTGGCGATGTCTTTAGCCGCTGAATGACTGAAGCCCCTTTCTGGCGCCTTCTTTGAGTCGAGACAACGGGCGGAACCGTTTCGGGTCCTCCTTCTTGTCCTTGGGTCTCTAACAGCGACGAGTCTATGGGATAAGCAGATCGCCTCCAGTGCTATTATCAGAGCTAACGAGCAGATCTTCGCGCCTGGTCGACCGCGGATGGTCGACGATCTTGGGCACTATGCGATCGAGGAAAGTCCTCTTTGGAGTCTGCCGAGCCTTGTCGCGTCGCTTGGGCAGAGAAATGTCGACTTGTCACCGCCTTCTCCGCGTCGAATGTATCGGGGCCAGGCTGTGATGGCGGTTGGGGACCCGATGGGCCGCGACTTATCATGGCTTGCTGGTAAGCTGGTGGAGGATCAGCTTCCGCGTGTGCAATTTGCGCATATCCCGCTGTTTGATACGCACCCGGCATATATTGACCAGGTTGACCGGGTCGAGGCGCAAATGTTGCAGTGTTCACCGTGATGTTGAAACTGGGCGAAGGTTGCTCTGGTCTCGACTGCCCTTGATAATACGGACTCGGGCTCGGTTGGATACCTTGCGGCTGAGAATGGGTAGGGTATTGACTGAACTGAGCCTGAGGGTGATGGTATGCAGGTTGCGGAGGGCTGGCGGGGGTGTTGGATGTCATGGCAGCTCTCTCTTGCCGCCCACTGTCAGCGGGCTCATTCGTTCCTTCTCGCTTGACCCGGGGTTGCTGCGGTCGATTTGTACCGCCTTCTGAGGGACCCTTTTTCGCTCGACGCCTGGCAGTGTCTGATTCTCTATAGTCATACGGCTCTTTTCTATATTCTCCTGCGACACACCATTACGGTCAACATTTGTTGTAATTTTTCAGGCCAAGGAAGAATGGGGCGTACTGCTTTGTGTTTCCAAGTCCCAGTCTCTAGAATCATTGATGATATCGCGAATGCTAACCTAAACGCAAGGAAGCCGCTCAGTATGAGGGGGTGGTGGGCGGGGAGGGGGGGGCATCGGACGATGGAGAGAGAGAGAGGGGGGGGGGGGTTTCCTTACGGCATTGAGCGCTCTTCTCGCCAGGACGCTGAAACCGACTCGCGCTTTATCCTAGCCATAGTCAATCAGTGGGAGACAAACCAAGACTTGACGAGGCTGGTCTCACTGTGGGATGTTGAGACGATGTTATCTTTGCGGTACGATCAACCCATCGAGTGATATAATCGACCAGGACTGCGGCGTTGATGTTTTCGCCGGGGACAAAAAAGTGAATGGGCTGGAGGTCGTCGTCGCTGTCGTCGGAGTCATTGTCGTCGTCACGCTTCAGCCTCTTGCCGGCCTTGGAGGGCTGCTTCGGCATGACGGGTGGTAGGTTCGAGGATCGCAGGAGCGCAGGCTAGATGCTGTGTGATCACGGGAGAGGCTGTTAGCAGCAGCGGTCCGGCTCGTGATGAACCTCGGTCGCAACGCAGGCAACGCAGGCAACGCAGGCTAGCGCAATCAGGGAGAGGGCGAGAAGGGCAGTGGGAAACCGAATGAGCATGCTTGAAGAGATGAGGCGGATCCAGACTCGATGAACCCAGAGGGAGATTAACCTGGAAGACTGTGAAGTGACAAGATGGGTTCGTGGGTTGGTTTGGCCTGGTTTGGGCGGCAATTCAGAAGTGCAGCCGCAGCCGACTCATTGTTGGCAGGTTGGCAGGTTGTCAGTTGTCAGTTGTCGGTTGCATGTGCAGTGGGAATGGATGAGTTGTCAGGTCCAGGAATAATGGGTCAAGTAAGAGCCAGCGATTTCCAGTCTGGCATTAGTGAGAGTAGAGTGAGAGAAGCCCAGCCAGAGCAAATGAAAAGGCGAGCCCAAGGGCGGCGACCGCGAGAACACATGATGTCTGCCGCCCACTTACACACTTACCCCGCCGCCGTGCATCATCCCTCATCCGTCATCCATCATCGTATTGTCTCGCGCGTTGTTGCAGCTTCCCGGTGGCCAGAGTCTTTGGAGACAAGGCCGCTCTTCGGAGCGAGGTCCTCCGTGGATTACCGCTGCCTCTGGTCAATTCTCATGCCAGACGGCCAAAACGAGGTGGAAACCCAAAAGCCCTTTGGCGTGGTGTTTTTTTTTTAGCGATATCTCAGGAACCAATGTGGCGGCTGGCTGTTGGAGGATGGAAGTACGAGCGACCAACCGTGAGGGGCAGCAAAGCCCCATTCCAGCAGCGCAGCAGCGAGCAATCGGCCGATGGGCTGCCAGGAGAAATAGCCCGGCCGCAATAGGAGGGAAGATGCAACCCGAGAAGCTTGTGACAAAAGCCGATTTGAAGTCTGCAAATTCCACGGGTGGGAAGCCGAGTCCTCGTCAGTACAGAGATGGCGAGGGAGATGTGTGTATGGCCGAACAAAGGTTCGATGGCTCAGCTTGTGTTTGGGGAGCTGAAGCTGCCTTCAGACGGGGGCCTCAATTCTTCTGTGACGAATGCGACTCCGGCTGTGTGGGAGAATGTCGCTCTCTCGCCCTGCCCAATGTGGGGCCCGATAAACGACCGGCCCAGTGGAGGAAGACGGGCGAGGAAGATGCACCAAGGGGGGACCTGGTGATAGGCGGGAAGTTCATAGATATATCACCGTATCACCGTATATACACACACACACACACACGGGGTGCAGACGTCGAAACCGTGGTCGAAACAAGGTTGTTCACCATGTCAAACGGGCCGACAGGCACTACCATGGTCGATCGACTTCTGGCTGGTACTCTGCAGCCAGCACAAAACGACAAAGCCTCCGACGTCAATGTTGCCTCACCGCTTCTTCTCGGCCGCAGCCCCCTGGTTCCGAGATTCGAGATCTGAGACTACTCGGCTAGTGTGTGACTGACACGGCCTTGAGAGAGAGCACCATCGGACCACTTGATACACACGAAAAGATGGGAAATAGCATATACAAATAAAAGCTGCACTGCTTGACGAGTGATATTGGAATGCGGTCTCTGTTAAAAGAGGAAGTAGGGGGAGCGAGCCTTGTCCTCAACTGGTGAACACCACCCTTGGACTCCACCCCAATCCTCCGTCCCTTGGCTGGTGGTCGTATTAATCCCTGCTTCATCTCATGGCTGACATCTCCAAAATAGCGACTAACTCTGTGATGCCGGCAACTGGAAGCTAGCATCCTGCGTCAACGGGATGCTGGTGTGGATTGTGACCGCCATAGTTGCATTGTCATACGAAAAGGTCGTGTTGGGTGCACCAGGTACGTTGACGGTTTGGGGCGCCGATCCGACACCGCAAATCGTGATCCTTTCGATGCTGACGTTGGCTGGATAAGTGTAGTCGCCGGACATCGAGAAAGCGCCATTGGTGTACGTGAAGTTGATCAACGTCGTGCCGGGCTGCTCAATCATCAGCCCGTCGTCCAGGTAGAGCGATCCGTTTGCCGCGCCATCCGTGCCAGGCGCAATCAAGAGATGGAATCCTTTCGTACGCAGCTCGGCTGTAGTGTTTGTGCTCTCAACTCGAAGAGGGAGAATTGCACCGCCCCGGACGTGGAGTGGGATGGTGGTGAAGTTGACGTCGGTCAAGGTTGTCATCGACCCATTACCTCGCACCGGGCTAAATCCGTCGTTCCAGTCGTAGAATATGTCGTCAGGCAGATAAATACGCACTGTCGTTTTGTTCGCACCTGTCACGGGAGATACCAGCATCGAATCGCCAAAGAAGAACTGAGCATCGATGCCAAATGTCTTGGTGTCTTCGGGGTATAGATAGAACATAGGGTTCAAAACAGGCTTGCCATTTTGCGTCTGCGTCCAAAAGGCGGTATAGAGATAATCAAGAGCACGGTAGCGGATGTCAATCGCGTTCCGGGACGCCTGAGCAGTAATTGGCCAGCGATAGGCTTCTTGAGGTCGGGCTCCGAGCTCATTGTGGTTGCGATAAAATGTTTGGAAAGCCCCCAGCATCATCCAGCGCGCGCAGAGTCTTTCGCTAGAGTTGGAAGAATATCCGCAAACATCAGATCCGACCATGGGCAACTGGAAAATAGAGGCAAAGTTCAACATGTCTGAGATGCTGATTTCGTATTGATCCCAGTTGGCAACGTTGTCCCCAGTCCAATGGCCGACATGGGCACCGGCTCCAAGGAAGGTGCTGCGTGTGATGACCAGTGGTCGCTCGCCGGGACGCCGGTTGAGAAGAGCGCCGCGTGACGTCGACGACATCATGGTGCCGTACAGGTTGTGGGTGTCGTACTCAACAAGGCCGTTGTAATGAACGAGGTCGGTGTTCAATGTCTTGTTGGACAAGCTACCCGCAGCATTCTGGATCATGTAAGGAGGGTTGATCAGCTTCCGGCCTGGGAGACCTAGCATGTCGCCTGTATTCGGTGCTTGTCGTTTAGTATTTGATGGTGGTTGGAAGTCTGGCGGAAAGCCGGGGAGGGCAATAGCAGGGCCATTGCGCAGTGCCGCCGGCTTCGGAGGAAACCCGTTTTCTTTAGCAAATGCACTTGGGTTGGAGCATGGATAGTTGCAGAAGCTGGGTGACCGTCAGCAAACCAAGGCAAAATGACGGCGCTGGTATCGTTCATACTTTGAGGCTTCGTTCATGTCAATCCAAAGTCCTGAGATATCCACCCCAGTCTCGGGGCTGAAGAAGGACGCAAATTCGCCATTCCAATAGTCTTGGGTATCTGGATGGAACCAATCTGGGAACACGGTTGGGCCGGGCCAGACGACGCCCTCGAATACTGACCCGTCTGCCCTCTTCATGAAGACACCCGAGTTGTTGCCGTTGTTGAATGCCGAATAGTTCTGATACGCGACTGCTGGATCCACCATCACAATATAATGCTGCTGATGTGCGTGGAGATAAGTTACCAACTCGCGCATCTTGTGCAGAGGGAAGCGTTGTGGATCCAAAGTGAAGACCTTTCGGGCGTCCTACTCCTGTGTTAGCGGCTCCTCAGCACGATTTTGATGGTATTACCATATAATCAATGTCCGTCCACATGGTCTGAAGGTGTTAGCCTCATCCTCACCGCAGGGAGGTTGCCTACCTCTAACGGTATGTTGGCTGCGCTATAGTTGTGCACGACTTCGGCGACTTCGTAAACATCCTTGTAGCCATATCTGCATTGATGGAATCCAAAGGTCCAATACGCCATCATCGCAGGTTTTCCGACGACCTCGGAGATTTGCTGGGACACTTCAATGGGAGAAGGTCCGGCCAGGAAGTAGAAGTCCAGGACGCCCCCAAGGGTATTGTATTCGAGGTATTGTCCAGCAGTGTCGTTGATCTTGATGTCCATACCATTGGAGTTCAAGAACAGCACTCCATGCGTGCCATTCGACCCTCGGTGATCCATGTATACTGGATGATTCCCATATAAATTGGTGCCCTGGGGGATGCCATAAGCATCGCGGGACCACAACGTCCTGGTGTAATTGGAGGTGTTCAATCTGAAGTGATCCGAGTGTTCACCAAGGCCGTACAAATTTGGATGGCTGGGCAACGACGTCCGGAGCCTGAGATATTGAGACTCGAAGATGATGGGAGGCCCGGACGTGTTGAAGAGGACCTCTCCGGAAGAACGAGAGACAGAGAAGCTAAAAGGGTTCTCTGTGTAGTCAAACACAAGCTGAGAATTAGAGGCCGTAGTTCCCGCTGTGGCATTGGGGCGAGGAAGAACCGACTCAGGAACCTGATAGACGGTCTGGTTCTGGTCCTCGATGATTACATGGAGCCTCGAAGCTTCCCGTTGGGTTAGTAGCCGAACATGGATGGTTCGCAGGCATAAAGCATACCAGACTGGTACTCAACAGTGAGGGTGAGATTCCGCAAGTCAGCGCCGTAGACGTTACAAGCTGGGCCTGCGAGATTGAGATCAGCGGTCAAGCCATTCGCAGTCTGCTGGACGTTGGTAGCACGGTAGCCTGGGCAGGCCTTTTGAGCAGCAGTTACCCCAGAAGCCAGAAGGGCAAACAGAACAGAAGTCAACTTCATCTTGTTCTTGTTCACGGCGGTATTCTGGACAATGGGTAGATGGACGAAGGTCCTCTACACAACTGAGGTTGGGCGACGGCCCTGCTTATGAACCATAGAAAATTCTGCTCGACCACCTGCCGTCGTGTGCCTCAGACGGATGCAATGCTGGCCAAAGAGTCACGATTCCTTGCTGGAGCTGCATGAGCTGATCGACCAGTTGCCGCCCACAACGTCAGAGCTTGAGTCAAAGCCGTGGAGACAGAGGCAGCTCAGAGGCAGAAGCTCCCCAGTCAAGCTCCAGCTTACCCCACAGAGTCGCATTTCGATCAGCCTGGCGCGGAGTCACGGATTGGAAAAGGCGTTCTGTAGAAACAGCTCATTCTGGGGAAGAGCAGGTCAGAGTCCAATGGAAAGGCTAAGGTGCCTGACTAAAAGATCCCGTGGCGTTGTCGAAAATTCAAAAATGGCTAAAGTGCGGCGGAAGAAGGACACAGTGACATTGGGAATCTAGAGAGCTGCCACTGCCAAGCGGTGACATTGGACCATTTCACCGAGTATTTTAACCAGGCGAGTGGCAGGATAGAAGACGGAGGATGGAGGGAAGAAGGACGCGATTGAGTTCAGTGTAATACATAAGCACCAAGACGAGGGCCCGATCTGTCTTCCTTCGTATTCGTGTTGGTCTTCCGAGTCCCGCACCGCCAACAGGCTTGTTCTGACATTCTCCCCTGACACAGCCTTATCACGCTCTAGCAAGGCTGATGACATATCTTCTGTACCAGCAAAGGAGATGTCCTCCCATGAACAATGTCCTCTGTAACTAGATTTGGAAGGTCAGAATGATCTCTTAACGATAAGGTGGGCATCTCCTCCGTGTTAGAGCCGCCGGCAGTTGGCCGGAGACCTTGACCGATGGTATAGACACCATGCATGGATACAGGTACATACATATATATCTCCAGTAGCCATAGACCCAGCCGAGAAACATGCTACATCCACGATCCAAGGAGACGAGGCGTTGATCAACCCAAACAGGACAAAGATGGTGTATTTCCTCAGCCTCCTCGCACTCTCCCTCTTGCTTCCCACTTCCTCATTCACCCAGACGACGTCTATCGATGTGCGCGAAGCCACCATCTCCAGCATCCACAGCTCTCTATTCTCTGGCCTCACTACTTGCCGAGGTATTGTCAGCGCCTTCATCGCCCGGATCGAACGCTTCAACTCGGACATCAACGCCATCATCACCCTGAACCCAGATGCTCTCTCAATAGCCGACTCGCTAGATGAGTCTCTTTCACGAGGCAATGCCACGGGGCCACTCTTCTGCATCCCCATCTTGCTCAAGGACAACTATGACGCCCTCCCCATGCCCTCGACGGGCGGCTGTCTGGCCCTGAACGCTTCAAAGCCTGCTCAAGACGGTCCTGCCGTGCGCGCCTTCCGCGACGCCGGGGCCGTGATCTTGGGCAAGTCGAATCTGCACGAGCTCGCGCTCGAGGGTCTCTCGGTATCCAGCCTCGGCGGCCAAACCATCAATCCGTATGACTTCACCCGCACGCCCGGAGGGAGTTCAGGCGGCACAGGCGCAGCAGTTGCTGCCTCGTTCGCCGTGTTTGGCACGGGGACTGACACGGTGAACTCCCTACGAAGCCCAGCGAGTGCCAACAGCCTGTTCAGCTTCCGGCCGACACGGGGCCTGATTTCTCGCGCAGGCGTCATCCCGATCTCATACACCCAAGACGCCATCGGCGCGATAGGACGATGCCCCTTGGACCTAGCAACGGCCTTGACGGTCATGGCTTCCGTTGGCTACGACCCAGCAGACAATGTGACCTCCGCGATCCCGCCCTCAGTGCTGGGCACCGACTACACCTCCTTCATATCGCAGGGCGTCCGCGCAAACCTGACGGGGATCCGCATAGGAGTGCTCGAAGGGTTCTTCAACCGGACGGCGAGCAACGAAACCACGCCGGTCAACAACGCAATGGACAACGTGATCTCTATGCTGCAGTCCCACGGCGCCAGCGTGATTCTCATCAACGACACGACAACCTACAACGCCACCTCGATCTCGGCCCAGATGGACGTCCAGACGTCCGAGTACCGCGAAATGCTCAACCACTATCTCTCGACGGACAACCTGACGGGGCCACACCCTCGAACGATGCCGCAACTCTACACGCGCAACCAGAGCACCCCGGAATTCCTCGTAATCCCGTCTCAGTACTCATACGTGGAGACGGCGCTAGTCTCGTCGACGTCCAACGCCTCGTACTACCTCAAACAGTCGCTGATCGCCAACCTCACGCGGTCTCTGCACGCGACCATCCTCACCAACAAACTCAGCTGCGTCATCTACCCAGAACAAAAAAACCTGGTCGTCCCAATCGGCTCGCCGAGCCAGTCCGGCCGCAACGGCATCCTGGCGGCCGTGACAGGCTCCCCCGTCATCACCATGCCCATCGGCTTCTCGCCGCCCTCGACGACCGCCCCAATCGGCATCCCCGTTGGCATGGAGATCCTGGGCCTGCCCTGGAGCGAGGGCACGTTGTTGCAAGTCGCCAAGGCCATCGACGATGTGCTGCATGCTAGGCGGATGCCCGTGACGGCTGGCTTGAACGAGACTGTCGAGGTCACCAAAGCCTACACTCAAGTGCCGCGCGTCGTGCCGCTGGGGGCGAAGAATATAGACAAGGCTGCGTACCCTCTAGGCGTGTATTGATGCCGATACTGACATCGATATCGATGTAAGGACCGGAAAATGAAAACAAAAGTTTCTCAAATGGTGAAAGACAGCCCGGCCCGTCAATCGCACATGATATCTTGTACGGCGACCTAGTTGAACTCGTGGTGCCCCTATGACTTTCAGACGTATCCTGCAAGCCAGAACCCCCAGGTGCTTAAGAGGCTAGAGCGAATAAGACTGTACAGGTACTTTGTCGGGAGTAGTTCATCGTGTATTAAACTCTCGTCACTGCCATGTAGTACTATGTTTCTTTGGTATCTCAAAAGCCCATCAATCGTTATTCATGCAATAATTCCCCTGCTCACTCCATGTTCGTCAAGGTCCAGCACACATAACAGACAAGCAGCAGTCCAATCCACGCTTCGCGTTTCATCAAATGTAAAGTTTGCCGTCGAACCCGAATTCTAGCTCTGAACAAGGAATGTCGTGTCTTGTCTCGTCAAGATGAAGCCTCTGAGCCCGCTGTCAGCTTCTCCTCTTCCGCAACGATCGCGGCACCGCCTTTCTCTTGCCCATGCTTCAGCTCCTCCTCAATCAGGCTTTGCTTCTTCACGTAATCCAGCACAATCTTTTCCTCCGTTCTTTGCCTCTCAAGTTCTTCCTGGCGCCTCTTCTCGTCCTGCTCCGATGCCGTTATCGCCCGTCGTAACTCCTCATCATTTTCATTTTCATCGACTATTGCTTCCTTTGTGCCCGTGACTGGTTCGTCATGTCCATTCGTGGCCGGAAGCGCAGCTACACGTTCTGTTAGTTCTCTCTTCTTCCGTTCATTCTCAGTGTGTAGTTGTTTAGTCTCCTCAACCTTGCGCATGAAACTTTCATCGTAGTCCGTGTCAATTCCAGAGTCACTATCATCCAGATGATGATGATCTTCATGCATTAGCTCTGAATTCTGTTCTCTCGCAGCCTGAGATTGCCTGTGCTCTTCCAGGCTCTGTGCCAGAGCGTTTTCGAGATCGAGGTCATGCTCCTCCGACGGCTTCTCCGTGGCTGTGGGTAAGGCACCGCTCCGCCGGGCATGCTCTTCTTGAGCCCTCTTGAATTCTCGGATACTGGCTTGGATAGCTTGTTGATATGCAGCATCAGAATACTTGTTTGGATCGTGACCTGAACTGTGCAATTCGAGGAGACTCGCTCGCAGTGCCCTTTCAATGACGGCATCCTCCAAGGGGTTGCCTGTGCTCGTCGAACTCACGGAATGCTTGATTGCGTGCTCATAGTCAGCCAGAACGTTGTCTTCTCGCGACTGCGACGGCGCCTTGCCAAGACTGAGGGAAGACTCCAAACTTGAGAGAGAATGGCTGTGCTTGAGATGGTGGCTAGTGTTGTGGTCAAATGGACAGAATTTGCATCGGCTCTTGATTTTGCCGCCGGCTTGGCTTTTTCTTCTCTCCTCCTTCTTGATCTCTTTCTCGCGGCGTTGTAGTTCTTTTTCTTCCTTTTTCAGTTGATCCCTTCGCTCAGCAAGAGCCTTTCTTTCGTCCCAGCTAAGGTGCCTGGTATTTCTAAATCCGTGAACCAGTTCAACAGAGTCAGTGTTGGTCCTCGTGATGATGTGGCTCTCGATTGCGACCTTGCGGTCGTTTCCGTAGAGTTGTCCATGCTTTCGAGTTTCCAGCCTGCCATCCTTCCAGGCGGTGACAATTCGTTGCCTCTCTTCTGGTGTACTGTTCTTCCAATCCTCAAAACCTTGGGCTGTCCGAGCCGCAATGATATAATTCTGCACGGAACTCCCAAAGTGTTTGGAAATTTCGCTGTAGATGCCTTTTGCAGTGTATCCTGGGAGTCCCCAAATGCCCGCGGCTGGCTTGAGGACCAAACCGCCGAGACCCTTGGCTGCCCCCTTGAAGAAACCAGCCGCACCCTCTTTCTTCGCCCCTGCAAAAGGCTGGGTGACGAGGCCAGTTATACCGTCGTAGAAGCCATACCCGAACTCTTTGCCTGCCACTCGCAAGCCAGAATGAAGACCCACGATCTTTTCGTTCTGTCGTACAGTGTCATCTCCATATAACTTGGGTGCATTGTGGAATCCCTTTGCTAAAGACAGTGTGAAATCCATAGGGGACTTGACGCCGGCGGAAATGATTTTTCCAGCGGCTTTAGCACCGGATATTGCAGTTTCCAGCGACACTTGGCCGACTTCTTCGCCGACGCAGGGGTCACGATTCCCATATGGTGACGGCGAACCGGAGCGAGATCGAGATCGGTGGTGAGACCAGCTACCGTGTTGGTGATGGCGGGAAACTTTGGACGATCCATCAGCTGTCAAGACTGTGGACATGGATGAAGGCACTGGCGCGGCGGTTGTTCCCGATGAGATCGATTGCTGGGATTGGACAGGTGTGATGATTGCCGCTGTGGCATTTGAAGCTTCAGAAGGGAGTCGTTCCGAAGATACGATGGGTGTGGAAGTACCACTGTTCGAGTGTCTCTCGTGGATTTCTTTCAATTCTCCTGAAGCTGTCTTCAAAGACTTTAGGATTTCAACAGGGAAATCTGCGATACCCATGGAGAGATTTCCGAGTGTCCCAATCAAGGCGGCTGCACCACCAGATATTGGCTCCCAAGGGCCGTCCTCTGTCTCATACTCTCGGGGTCGGTAGAGTTTCAGGTCAGAGAAATCTAGGAGACCTTCAGTCCCGAGGACCGTGGCTGCAAGCGGCGACAGACGAATATCGGTTCGTTTTACGCGCCACACAGCAATGCGCGACGGATCCAAGGAGCATCTGAGGTTTGGCATGTGCAACTGCTTGTGGAAAGACTGCGCACCAGCATCACAACCATCCTCCGCTTTGATCTTCATGCTCAATTCCTTCGCGCGCTCGAGTGACTCCGGCTTTAATGCTTCCAAAATCGAGTGCGCGAGTTTATCAGCATTCAAGTTCTTGTAGGCAATAGGTACAGGACCTGCCCCGGCCCTGGCAGTCATCGAACCCCAGAACGGTTGATCGCCAAAAAATGGGACTACCACCGTTGGTCGACCGGCTAATATACCGGCAGCGGTTGTACCGGCGCCGCCGTGATGCACGACACAAGATACATGCTGGAACAGCCAGTCGTGGGGGCAATTGCCGATCATGAAGACACCTTCCGGTATTCCTAACTCGCTGGCACCGAGCCCACCCCAGCCCTTGGAGACTATCGCTCGTTGACCAGTCTGTTTGATGGCGTCAAATATCATTCTGGTCATGGCGTTTGGATCGTCGACCACGATTGAGCCAAATCCAATGTACACAGGAGGCGGCCCGGCAGCCAAGAAATCCGCCAGGTCCTGCGGTGGTGAGTAATTTGTGGATAGATTGAGGAAGAAGAAGCCCGAGATGTCGATATAGTTGCCCCAGTCTGCTGGTTTCGGGATCAAAGCAGGCGACCAGCAGTAAGTCCACGGGATGCGCAATCGACTGACCATCCCAGGAGCCCACATGATACTCACGGGATCCAGGCCCAGGCTTCTTTCTCGAAATCTGTTGATAACATCCCCTAAGCCCTGCCAGGTCAACATGTCCACCAAAGCATAGGTGACAAAGTTCGTAATGCTGGAGTCTGTATTGGAAGAGATAATATTGGCGAGAGGATGTGGGAAAGATTGCGTCGGTGACCAAGGCATGGTGAACATTAGGTGGAGAGGAATGCCTAACTTCTCTGCAATATGCACATGGGCGAAACTGGGCGGGTTGGCGATGATTGCATCCGCAACAAAGGGCTTCAAGGTCGGATCCATGCCGAAAGACACGGCACTGTCAAAGCTGCGTGTATCCATATTGTCATCGTTGACTGGCGTGCCCATGCCATTCCCAGCCTCAATGCAAGATCTCCAACAGCCTGTAACGATTTCGTAGATGCCCTTTCTTCGTTTGCCCACGTCTCCATTTTTGAGAGAGTCCATACCCGGCATAAGACCCGGATTCTTGACCATGAACGCCATGAGCTCGGCAGGATCCCCTCCTATGCTGAAGAATTCCAGACCATTCTCGGTGACGAACTGTTTGAACGTGGGATGGGTTGCGATTCTGACACGGTGCTTGTACTTGTTCTTCAGCACTTGACCCAGGGCCACAAACGGTTGCACATCTCCTCTGCTGCCCACTATCTGAATCACAATGTTCATCGGCGGCGGGGGCAGGCCGTCTACTTCTCCCAGACCCTCGGGAATCGGAGGTTCTGCAGGAGGTTTCTGTCGTGACAACTCCAATTGGCGGCGCAGAGCAGGCAAAAGAAGGCTCGTGAGTTTGCCCTTGTGTTGGTTGATATTGATATTAACTCGGCCATCACTGGCTATCCGTGCACCCGTATCAAGGCCATTCTGACTTATGTCTAGCTGCCCGTATTCCGCGCCATTGTAGGCTGGTGGAGGAACTTCCTCCAGATGTGGAGAGACGCCGCCATGATGCCGTATGTGGCCTTCCGGAGAAGAATTGGAGACAGTCGGCTCTTTTGGTCCGCCACAGGCCTCCTCTTGGGCCGCGGCAGCTGCAGCTTGCGCTTCCTCTAGGATGATGGGAGGGACGGGTTCGCCTTGTTTCGGCGGGGTGGCGGGGGGATCTGAGTTGGACATTATTGCACCTAACAAGACATTAAGGATGCGGTCAGGACGATTTGAGGGGAGAAGGACCGCCTTGAAGAGGCGGGAGACGGTGGGAAAGGAGCAACTAGAGAGCGCAAGAGAGAAGGAGAGGGTGCAGTTCAGCAGGTGATTGGGAGAGAGGGACGGTGAGAGTGTCCCGACAGTTGGGTCACTCGAAGTCAGGTGGGCATGAGCGGTGACGAGGAAGTAATCACTGCTATGGATGGTAACAACAGGAAGGGAAGATCTCGAAGCTTGCCGGTAAAGGGTATATCATCCATTTTTTTCTTGTGTCAGTCCGATAGCAGACATGATTGTCAGGGTTCTGCAACATTGAAGCGCGAACCAGGAAGGGGATATTGAACTAGTAGGTGATGCCGCTCTGGCTGGTTTCGAGCTGGATCTCTAGCCCGGGCGACGCTTAACCGGAGCCACCACACCCACTCCATTGCAAGTGGCTGCTGGGGGGCACATGCGCCTAGCCATGTTTAAGGGGTTTAGTTTAGGTGGGCAAGCCCAGTGAGCCCCCTAGCCTTTATCCGTAGAGCATGCGGGACATCTACTCGGGAATCGCAGCCCCTTTCCAGGACAGGCTATAGGGTTCTGCCCCGACCGCCCCCTCCTTCGACCCGCGAGGGCTTAATCAGCAAATGCTAGAGTCAGCACCACCACCCTGTTCTTTATACGTTTTGAGCAACTAGTAATAAAGCACATTCTCTGTTCCACCGCTTCTGGCCAGATCTATTCACAGCGTCCCGAGTAGCGATGCAAGTAACTCACATCAGGCTGAAGGAGCTACTGGACGCCACCGCCTAGCCACTTCATCACGTCCACAGCTGAGGTAATCCTAGGTAATCGTGACCTATACATTCCAGGTTCTCTCCAATATCCTGTCTGGGTTCTCTACGAGCGCTGCTGTTTCCAGCTTTGTGCGACATCTTCCATCGTCTCGAATGTGATCTCGCCGTCCCCTGCTGCATGTTGCCGTAGCACTAGCCTCCCGATGAATCGATCAATCATGCCCACAATATGCGCTCGACCAGCGCTTTCGGGGTGCCAGATCATCCTACAAAAGGTCATTTCCTTGATTAGCAAATTGCCTCAAACGGATGAATCGCTTATGGCAGCAGCATTAGTGTGACTCACGGATATACGGAGCCATAACCTTGCCCAGGCCCTTCATCCAACCAGCTTTCATTTTCCCATAGCCACTCGAACCTATCCCACCACATCTTTTCCACAAGATCTACGCCAACGTAGCCTTGCGTATTGGCAGCGTAGGGATAAAAACCGAGCTGATAGAGTCAGCAGTGAGGTCATTTCTGCAGAACCCAGGCGACTCACAGGTGTCATGTCCTCTGTATACCAGCTTCCGGGTATCTCCACCAGAGCCTTGTCGGCTTCGGCGGTTCCTGGCTGCGGCTGTTCGGGTACAGGGGTGGGGACCATCCAGCTACTGGCATCCTTTTTGTAATCCGGGACATGCGGTGGCTCTTGTGGAAAGGGGTTCACTAGGAAGTAAGGTAAAGAATCGTGTGCGTTCATACTGCTGTCATAGAGAAAGTCGTGGTCCTGGAGAAGCCGAACGGTTGTTTCTCGGATTTGGTAGAGAGGTGCTCGATAGCCGACTGGTTTCTTGCCTTGTCGGAGCACTGTGATCAGGTCAATGCATTTCTGCAAAACGTCTTTCTCCTGTTGAACGGTCATCGCATATGCTCCCTCGTGGCTATACCCATGGAGTCCGATCTCCGCTCCACTTTCAGCGATCTCGCGCGCTTGCGATGGGAATGTTTCGAGACTGTGGCCGGGGACGAACCAAGTGAGTTTGTCGGAAATACCGTGCTTTTTGAAAAGACGCAGTAGCCTGCCAACCCCCACATTGGCGCTGAAAATGCCCGCTGAGTAGTCGGAGAGTGTGTTCTGGGGATCATGACCAGTCCCCAGATACCCTGATATGGCGTCGAAGTCAACAGAGAGACAAATTCGCATTCGCCGCCTCCTCTTAGCCGCAGTCAATGAAGCAGGAATAGTCACCGTTTGCACCTTAGTCTCCTTTCCGCTGTTTCCGAGGACCTGCTCCTCTCGCCAAATAACCCGGCCTTCCATCCCACCGTCGACAGAAATGCATTCCCCAGAGATATGACCAGCAGCGCGATGGCTAGCTAAGAACGCCATAGCACGCGCTACGTCTTCAGGTTGTGCAATCTTCTTCAACGCAACGGTGGCCTGGCATTCTGCCCACATCTCCCTCGGATCGTCTAAGCGGTCACCGATGAGAGGGGTGTTTACCCATCCGGGAGCTACTGCATTAATTCGAGCTTTCGAATTCAGTCGGACAATTTCGTTCTTCACTGTGCGAACGAGGCCATACTGCAAGCCTGCTTTGCCAGAAGCATATCTACCCATTCGTTTTAGTATCTCCTTTGGCAATTTCCTGGGGCCTCCTGAGTAATACTGACTCTGCATGCCCTTCTTGGCCGAACTTTCCAGTTTCTGAACCTGTGATGACAATGGACACGTTGTCAAGTTCCGTTCCTTGGGCTTCTTGTGCCTTCTTCACCGAGAGCAAGAATTGCTTGACTGTTAAGAACGTGCCCTTGATGTTGTTGGTGTTGACCTTCGTTATATGAGTAAAAATGTTCAATTCAAGGCTCTTTGGAATATATCAAACCTTGTCCCATAGACTCTCCTCGATCTCCCATATTGGCGGATGAGAGCTTTCATCAGTGATTCCAGCATTGGCTATTAAGATGTTCAAGGGGCCGAAGTGGTCTGTTGCGGCTTGGAAAGCTTCAGAGACAGAGTTTTCAGAGGTCAAGTCGCCCTGAGTCGTGAAGAGCCTCGACGACTGCTCTGGCGTTGAACATAGCTTCGAGACATCAATGGATCTCCGGTCAAATGCCGTGACGCGACACCCAAGAGCTGAGGATGACTGTCAATTCTTGCTCTCAAGGGCATGTATATATGAGGTACTATGTGGGAGGAATGCATACCGAGAAATTCCTTTACTGCAGCACCTCCAATCCCCCCTGCGGACCCTGTGATGAAAACATGAAAACCCTCGAGTCCTAAGAACGTGGTCGAGCTTCCAGCCATGATGGACATAAAGACAGTCGACCTGGATGATATTCGCACTCTCCTACAAAGGCAGCAGTTTGACGTCTAAACCATCAACCTTTCTCAACGGACATGTCCGTGTAGCTGCTCAAGGCTGAAAATGTGGAGGGGACGAAGCTGTCCGTCAAGTTGTATGGAATTGGACGCGGCCCCCCTGTAATCACCTAAGATACCACTGGAGTCGTTGATTCGATTCGCAGGACACCTCGAGAGCCAAGAATCGTCCGGCTTCTCATCCATGCTCTCTCGTCGTCTCCGAGTCTCTGGAAAAGTTTTCTTTTTGGGTCAACGCCAAAGGTGGAGAACTGCACTGGCCTCGTGGGTACCGGGGAGATGGTTCGCTCCTGCCTGATTAAATTTAGTCTCCAGCCCAAACCAGGCTTCGAGACTTTGGCTATGGAGTGCCTGAAGCTCGATTTCTTACTTGACATTTGGTGTCAGCTATCTCCCTCCGCTCGGTCCCCTATCTGAAACTTGGACTGGATTTATCGCTTGTCTCCAAATTTGCCAATTGGATCCTAAGAGACGTCGTCTTCGTGGCTCGGCTGGTCTTAAGACAAGCACTGGGTCAGCGACTGATTGAATGAACCACGAATCCCGGATCCTGCGCTCATTAGTGGATGCCCTCCGATATCAATACCGAGCGCAGATCCGAGTGTCCTGCCCGTCGAACGTGGTCTACGGTCTGGGCGAGCCGCCCCTATCTGACTCTTTCCCAGAGTTGCCGATAGAGAAGATGAGTATATAGCAGCGTTGGGTTTCCTTCCATCTTTTCCCTTCCCCGTTAGTTTTGTTGTAAGTTACCTTTTAGTGACAATCGCAAATATGTCAAGCGTGGATGACAAGAAAGATCCTATGCCTAATGAGGTCGCGACTGACTCCCCTTCAAACACTGCGAACACCGCGGACACGGGAGTCACTGAGCTCATCAATGCTTCTGGCCACGTACAGGAACTCGAGCGGAACTTTAGCCTTCTCGCCGCTGCTGGGGTCGGGCTTGTAGTTGGCACCGTATGGCCGGCTGTCGGGGGGTCGATCCTCGTCGCCATCTTCAACGGCGGTCCTCCAGGAGTCATCTATGAGTTCATTGCAGTTTCGGTTTTCTACTGGATAGTGGCTGCCTCTTTGGCGGAATTGGCCTCAGCCATACCTTCCAGCGCTGGGGTTTATCATTGGGCTTCAGTAACTCCAGGCAAAAAATGGGGTCGCCTGGTTGGGTATGCTCCATCTTCAAAACGTTCCTCGTCAAATCGCCTGACATTCTGGGTCTACAGATTCTTTGCCGGATACTGGAACTGGCTGGCATGGGTGTTTGGTGCAGCATCAATGAGCTTCATCCTCGGTTTGTGCCCCGCTCTTGCTGAACGATATGAAGCTCATTCTCGACAGCGAACACGTTCGTGCAGATGTATGCTCTCGAGCACAGCGACTTCACTGCGAAGCGGTGGCATGTCTTTGTGACTTATCTGGTAGGTCGGGAACAAGCGCCGGGGCGAGGCAGACCCAATAGTGGGCATTGGCTGACAAGTGATTTAGATTGTAACCTGGATTGCCTGCCTGTGCGTCTGCCTGTTCAACAGGGCGATGCCTTATTTGAACACTGTAGGCATCGTCCTCCTTCTGGGCGGTCTCCTAGTTACTATTATCGTTGTGTGGGTCTCACCGTTGATGTGATACAAGAAGAAAGATTAACTGTTTCTAGGGCCGCAATGCCAGGATCCGGCGGACATCCACCACATGCCTCCTCTAGTTTTGTTTGGACCGAATGGACTGCTGACATAGGATATCCTAATGGGTTTGTGTTTGTTGCCGGAATGCTGAACGGCGCATACTCTGTCGGAACGCCAGATGCCGTGAGGTTCGTTCAATAAGCACAACCTCACGATCGCGGGGAATTTGGAAAGCTGACCTTTTGCCGCACAACAGTCACATCGCCGAAGAGGTTCCGTATCCTAGCAAGAACATTCCAATCGCCATCGGGCTGCAGATGAGCATCGGATTCGTCAGCGGACTCTGCTATATCATCGCGATCGTAAGTTCCCCATCTCCCAAACGTTTTGGCGAACGTTTTGGCGAGATCATATCATAGTCCCGCCGTCGTTGTTAGTTGCTGACAGATTTCCAGATGTATGCAATCAACGACTACGAAGCTCTGTTCAATGCGCCGTTCCCACTTGCCGAGATATATCGCCAGGCAACCGGGTCAGCTGGAGGTGCCATTGGCTTGCTGTGTCCATTCCTCTTCTGCATCGCAACCTGCTTGGTAGGAGTATATATCACAGCCGGCAGGACATTATGGACGCTCGGACGAGACGGTGCGACTCCGTTTCCTCAGTATATCAGCAAAGTGTCCCAGAGGTTCGAAATGCCTCTCTATGCAACTCTAGTGTGTGGCTGTCTGGTGACTGTTCTGGGCTGGTGAGTGTTCCAGACATTACGTTCCGCAAATGGCTGACGATGGACAATGTAGCATCTATGTTGGGAGTGCTACGGCCTTCAATGCATTCGTTGGCAGCTTCGTGCTAATGTCTTCTTCAAGGTATTTCAGATGGGATCTTCAAGGGAGACATTGCATCTGGAGTTGCTAATTTGGGAACAGCTATATCGCAGCCATCCTTCCTCATCTTCTGACCGGTCGCAAAAACGTCAAATTTGGCCCGTTTCAACTGGGAAAATTTGGTGTCGCGCTGAATATGATTGCGTGTGGATACATGATCGTCTGGTTCGTCATTTACTGTTTTCCTTTCGCTTTGCCCACGAATGCGGAAACCATGAATTATGCCTGTTTGATCTGGGGAGGTCTGACGACCTTCGTCACGGTTTGGTGGTTCCTTGGTGCAAGAAAAGACTATGTTGGACCCAAACCCGCTGGAGGGGTAGAACACGAGGTTGAACACGTGAGAAGAGCTAGTGTAGAGAAGCGAGTTTCAGTGTAGGTATTGCTGTAGTCATCAAGTATGTGCTCTGCATGCTCAATAGGGATCGAAAATGAATTTGGCAAGGTACTGGAGCAAAATTTCATGTTACTTTGTCACAAGCCTGTTTTGTCTGTTGATCTGCGAGCCTCAAGGGGCCGAGGGGCCTACGAGCCTGTGCCGGATAAATTTCGGTGCTGATACATCACGTGATAATCAGATCTTGGCATGAATTTATCCCACAACTAAAAATCGAGCCTCTGAGAGATCGCAGCCGTCGAGCGACCCGTACCAAATTCGACATTCCGCAAAACCAGCACGTCAAGATGTCCGACAACGGCGAGGTTGAAGTCGAAAACCCGACCTCTGGTTGGCCTGTCCTACCAAAAGATGTCATGCAAGAAATCGGCAGCGTGAAGCTCTTCGGGCGCTGGAGTTACGAGGATGTCGAAGTCAGAGATATCTCCTTGACGTACGAAAGCCCATACCGGACACCAATTACTGCGCGAAGGAAAGCCCACTGACAAGACCATTTGTAGCGACTACATTCAGATCCGATCACCAGTCTACATCTCCCACTCCGCGGGTCGATATGCCGCAAAGCGCTTCCGAAAGGCACAATGCCCTATCATTGAACGACTGACCAACTCTCTGATGATGAACGGTCGCAACAACGGCAAGAAGTTGATGGCGATTAGAATTGTGGCACACTCATTTGAGATCGTATGTCTCTCTGTCCTCCTTTGCGAGCCCTGGAAAAAAACCCTGTGCGAGGGACGAATATCTGACTCCCATTTTGTTCTTCTAGATCCACATCATGACCGATCAGAACCCCATTCAAATCGCCGTCGATGCCATCGTCAACTGCGGCCCTCGCGAAGATAGCACCAGAATCGGAAGCGCCGGCACAGTCCGAAGACAGGCTGTCGATGTCTCCCCTCTCCGCCGCGTCAACCAGGCCATTGCCCTCCTCACCATCGGCGCCCGTGAAGCCGCGTTCCGGAACGTCAAGAGCATTGCTGAGTGCCTCGCCGAAGAGCTGATCAATGCTGCCAAGGGAAGCAGCAACTCCTACGCCATCAAGAAGAAGGACGAGTTGGAGCGTGTGGCCAAGAGCAATCGGTAAAGCGGTTAATGGTGATATGGGATGTTGTTGCTGGTCGGATCGAAACATGGTAACGACTGGCAAATTCATGGCAGTCTACTTCAAGCATGCAGATGTTAGGCATCATCGTCTGCTCTGGGAGAGCATCATTCGAGAGTGTAGCACACGCGCGGAGGACCCACGAGGTCAGCCAGGGTTGCAGATTCAGCGGCTTAGATGATGCGGCAATGTCCACAAAATTCGAAATGGCATGAAAACGTTGACAAACACTCGTCAAAATCCCCGTTGCTCCCTCGAAACCTCCTTTTAAGGAATGGGCAAAAAACCTTTTGAGGCTGCCTCGCTGCATCGTTCACCGCCATTTTATTTTGCGACAATCCTGGACTACAACCGGACTTTAAACATTCCCGAGACCCTCGTCACGACGTGTCCCCCCAACCATGTCCTATATCCTTGCTCGCATCCTCCCACCGACATGTGCTCTGACCCTCTTTGTTTTTTTCCGACGCGAGAGACCCGCGTTGGGTTGGTGAGTTCCCGGTAATAGCATTTTGCTTCTGTGTCTCGGGGGGTGCTCTTCACTTGGTGGTTCGCCCGACTGTGTCTGAGTTCTCCATGTTGGCGTCTGGCTGCTTGTCGCTTTCCATTGTGCCGAGTGCCCTTCCAGTATCGCACCAATTGTCCCTGCCACAGCCACTTTGCCATCCATCCAGCGTTGGCTGAAGTGTCAATTCTCCCTTCTGTCACAAAAGCCCCCCCTCCCACCACCATCTCGGCCAGAGCACCAGGAGAAGCATTTGAACGAGCCCTGCGTCGTCGTGTTGCGTACAGCGAAGCGATATCATATCTCTCGGGGATGGTGATGCGGCGGCCTGATGTCCCCAAAGGCCATCACCATGTTCCTGGAGCGCACCTCCCTCATATACGCTTCTTGCTCGGGTTTCTTGTGATTGAAACCGCCCTCGTCCAGATCTCCTCTGCCAAACAGCCTCTGAAAAGCGAAGCCGACGCAGACAGCACCCGCGGCGGCTAAGATGCACAGAAGGACAACTACCTGATCGGGGAGGCCCATGGTAGGTTGTTCTTGACGGATTGTGATTCCAGTGAAAGGAAGGGGGGATAAGTCGAACTCTTGATTCTCTCGTATTCGTTGACCTTGGGCTGGGTAGGTTAACACTCCAGCAATGGACTCGGACAAGGACAGGGAGGTAATTTTCAATGCTTCACAGTGGCGATTAACTCAACTGTTAGGGTAAACGAAGGCAGCTGGTTTCAGAAATAGGGAGGAAGAGGCAGTTATCTGTGACACCGGGCTGGATTTGCACATGTACCCTTCATATACCACCATCCAGCACATACTTGAAGGGCGCAATTTCAATGCGTGGCAGCATAGCAAGAGCCGCTACGCGCAGTGTCTCGGATATTGAAAGTCCGTCCTTTGCGGATCATGCATTGATCGCATGCAAACAAGGTTGGAAGCTTCATCTTCAGTCACAATTCCTGCTTGTCCAAGGGCCCAAGGAACTGGCCCCATTGATATCGAACGACGAAAATAGAAAAGCGCAGACCAATACACTAACCAGTTTCGATCGAGAATCCGAGCGAGTCGAATCGGCAATGGTGCTGGAGCTCCACTAAGGCCTGGGATATCCCACAAGCCCCCCTTTGGACCAAAAGTTTGATCTCCTGCCTGCCAACAAACGCATGAATGTGGGATTCCTCTGGTCTGGCAGGGGTCCTTTTGACCGGTTCTAGAGGGAAGTTCTGATGTCAGAGCCTGCACTGAATGGCAGCATGTTCCGTGCTTAGGCTCTCTGTGCGCTCCCTCGACACCGCGGCCATTCAACCGAATATCATTTTGCGCAGCCAACCACGCATTCAGCAATCGGCCAAGGGTCGTTCAGACTGTGAATGGTAGTCCCATGAGCTCTCGTCGGAGCGGTCAGGCGAAATCCAAGACTGGGTGCTTGACCTGCAAGTATGTCTCTGTCCCTGAAAATTTGAGGGGTAGTGTACTGACATTGTCTAGGATCCGTAGGTTTTTCTTCTGCTCGGACTCATCAGTATCTGGATGGGCCCTTGTCGTCAAACTCATCAGCGACTACGCAGACTAATAGGCACTCGTAGGTAGGATAAAGTGTGACGAGTCGCATCCGTATTGCAGGAAATGCACCGATACCGGTCGAAAGTGCGAAGGGCCCATCATCCGCCAGATTCGTTTTGCTGAGGACCAGTTCTCGACTCCAAAGTGTCCAGTTCTGCTACCCGAGGTCTCTCTGCACGCACCGCAACGCAGTGCTGATGAAAGATGGGCTTTCAATTATTTCATCCATCGCGCAGCGCCAGTATTTGCAGGAATCATAGATGTCCCCTTTTGGCTCGAATTGGTCCCCCGTCTCGCTCAGTCTTATGCCTTTGTTTGGCATATGGTGGTCACGATTAGTTGGGCCTTTGAGCATGTTGAATACCGGGAGCTGCCGGCTGTTTTCGGTACTGGTTGTCCAACTGCTGTTGTTGTCAATGCCGACCACCGACGAGCACTGAAGTGGTATAACAAGGCCCTTGTAAGTTTCCGTCATCTGCTTGAACAAGGCGAAGCGGACAATGGATATACTCTATTGAGTTGCATCCTGTTCGGCAGTTTTGAGTTTCAGCAGAGGAACGTCGGTAACGCATTGCGCCTGATGGACAATGCTTACAAACTGCTGGCTCGGAATCTCTCGAACTCTCAGACTCTGCAGATGCCCACGACCAACACCGACATCCAGGAGATGGTGACGGCTTTCTCGTCACGAAAAGCGATCCTAATGGCCACCCTTGCTACTCCGACGCCCCCCGAGTGGAAGTATCACGCTGCAGAATGCAACACAGGGCGTAGCACCATCGCCACCTTGTCAGTGCTCGACGAATTCCGAAAGCATCTGTACCAGCTCATGTATGATGCGTACGAAGTGGTCCGAATAAATGCCCTCTTGTCTCACGATGAATACGAAATGCAGAAGTTGAGGCCAAGACAGCAGATATGTCTAGAAAAATTGCAAAGATGGAAAGATTCCTTCCTCCATCTTCCGGATGACCTGCGAAAGGGTGAAACTGGGTGGATCTCGTCCTATCTTCTGATGCAATGGGGCGTTTCCCACGTTTGGCTGTGCTGCTGCTTGAGCCCGTTGGAGACCTCATTCGATGAGTACATGGATGAATTTGCAGCTATCGTCAATGGGGCAGAAAAAGTCATGGACCACAGTCCCGGATATAAAATTAGCAGGCCCATATTCACTTGCGAAGTCGAAGTGATACCACCGTTATACTTTGCGGCAAGCAAATGTCGCGATCCGATTTTGCGCAGGAAGGCTTTGCGCCTACTACGAGAAGTTCCCTATCGAGAAAGCGTCTGGGCATATATTGCATCACCGCGAGTGGTTGAGAAGATGATTGCTGTCGAAGAAGGCCATGACCAATTTGTGGAATATTGTTTGCCCACGGGGCCACTCTCATTACCACCAGAAGAGCGCCGAATTCACCATGTTGCCATTATTAAGGCAGATATGATCGAAGGCCGGCGTCGCCTGAAATTCCAGTGGAGTAAGGTTGCGTTAGACGACAACGGATCGCTGAGAATGGTGCATGAGAATGCCTGGCTAGAGGACTGCATTGAAGAACCTAGTCGACACTCAGCAATGTCAAAGATGGTATAAGCACATGCTTGTCAAAACGTCAATCCTCGTGGGACGAGGAGGGGGGAACCCCTTGCTCGAAGACCTGACATGGAAGAATGCTCGCCAGCGCCGCAGCCGACATCTTACCGCGAAGGGAATTAGGTCGCCCAATTACTCGAAGGCTGGCATAGTGTGAAGAGAGAGAGATATCTTCATTCCAGGACTCGCGATGCCCACTACTTGGACCACTAGTCGTCTATCTGGAAGGGAGAGGAGGTCTGCCTCTGATCATCGTATTCTGATCTCGCAGCTAGTTCCTCCACCCCTTCATGCATTTCCTTTGGAGCTGCTTAGATATGCAGGACCACCTTCGATTAGGCCGCGGGAATGCTTTCCATGCGCGGAGGAAAGTGCAGTTCTGTACCTATAAGTCGTATGGTAGTTGAGGTCCCTTCCACTGTTCCCGGGACATCTTCTCTAGACCTTTTTTTTTTTTTTGATTTTTTTTTGATACTTCATAAACCCACACAGTGGCGAATAGAGGTTCATCCTACGGCAAAATCGAGTTGTCCAAATTTGCTCGTATTGGTCATTATAAAATATGGCCGCCAGATTTCCTGGGCGGAAGGTCCAGCGTGCATATCAGTGAAGGAAATTAGTATACGGGGTAGTTGAGAGTTGCCAGGGGGAATGCTATCCGAGGAACCAGCTACATATTAGAGATAGAAATTGGGTAGATCTGAAGTATGCAAGTTTGTGTCAAGGTGTGATTGAGGATGAATTGTCGCACTGAGCCACAAACTGTTGTAAAGACTTCGCAGCGTGACCTGTAATAGCCAGCTGTAGCCTATGATTCCAGCAAGAGGCACCTGGAAGCAGCCACCACACTAGCTGTCAGACGAGTGGAATTTATTATGCCGTGAGGCTGTTTGTGGAATCTAATCTAGATCAGATCACTTGGGAAAAAGTCCGCAATTTTTCCAACCCCCCCCCCCAACACGCTGGCTTCGACGTTGCAGAAAGGGTGCTATACCTATTCACCTTCAGGGCTGAAATTGGGTGGGAGAATAGAAACATGGGCAAGCGCAAACTGGGCGCGCTGGAAAAGGTCGACGCAGACCTCGCCAACCTGCAGAACAAGATCAAACGAGACCCGAAATCCTACCACACCGACTTCCTCCACCAGCACATCCAGTATGAGAACCAGCGGCAGATCTTCATGCAGGCGCCGACGTCGGCCACTTCGAGCGGCATCATCTCATTTCGCGACCTGATCGAGTTCGTGGCGCACGTGGCGGACTGCTACAAGGACGAGACCAAGGACTTTCCGCGGCAGTTGATTGAGATTCTATCTGCGCACCATGCCACGTTGGAGCCGGAGTTGAGGGAGAAGATCGTGGGCAGTCTGGTACTGCTCAGGAAGAAGGAGATCATTGACTCGCACATCCTGCTACAATGTTTCTTCCCCATCCTCACCGCGACGCCCAGCAAGTCACTGCGAGCGCTGCTGTTCCAGAAAATCCTGAGCGACCTGCGTTCCGCCAATTCGAAGACCACAAATCACAAACTCAACCGCAGCGTGCAGACGACCCTCCACAACCTGATCACGGACGACCGATCGTCCCCTAAGGGGCTGTGGGCGGTCAAGATTACGAGAGAGATGTGGAAGCGGCAGATCTGGACGGACGCAAAGGCGGTTGAGATCATGAAAGAGGCCGCATTGGCCGACAACGAAAAATCTGTGGTCGGAGGTCTGCGCTTCTTCTTAGGCGGTGACAAAGAACGAGAAGAGTTGGAGGATGAGAGCTCAGACGAAGAAACTGTCGATATAAGCAAGCTGCGGCATCAGATCGGGGTCAACAAGAAGAGTAAGAAGGCGGAGAGAAAACTCGAAAAAGCCGCCGCAACGGTCCGTCGGAAAGAGAAGAAAAAGGGCCAGCCTCATCCGTTGAATTTCTCTGCATTACATCTTTTGCATGATCCGCAAGGCTTTGCGGAGTCCATGTTTTCCAAGCACCTACAGAATACAAGGTCAAAGTTAAATCTCGAGCAGAAGTTGCTGGCGTTGCAGCTTGTCTCGAGGCTGATCGGGCTGCACAAGTTGACCGTCATCAGCTTTTACTCTTACTTTTTGAAGTATCTGACACCTCGACAACCATCGGTCACATCATTTCTGGCGTCGTTGGCGCAGTCCACACACAACCTGGTGCCACCGGATATATTGGAGCCTCTGGTACAGAAGATTGCCAACGAGTTTGTATCGGAGGCAGCTGCCGGGGAGGTAGCCGCAGCGGGATTGAATGCAATTCGCGAGATTTGTGTACGGCAGCCGTTGGCTATGAATGACACCTTGCTACAGGATTTGGTCATGTATCGGAAAAGCAAAGATAAAGGGGTGATGATGGCAGCAAAAGGCCTATTGAGCCTGTATAGACAAGTCGGCGCTGAAATGCTCAGAAAGAAAGATCGTGGGCGAGATGCCACACTGGGCCTGAAGTCAGGTGAACAGAAGCCGCAGAGATTTGGCGAAGAGGCAGTAGGCGAGATTGAAGGCTTAGAGCTACTTGAAAAATGGAAAGAGCAAGAAAGGCAGCGGAAGAGGCTGGAGAAGGGTCTTCCGGCAACTGGCTCTGGGGATGAAGAGGACGAGAGTGAGGAAGAAGACTGGAATGCATGGAACGTCGAGGAAGATGCAGACAGCGATGATTCGGGTGGATGGATCAACGTCGAAAGTGACGAAGAGATCAACATCAGTGACAGCGAGGATGAGCAGCCGTCGGCAAAGAAAGTACGGTTCGATCTGCAGATATCCACCACCGACGACAAAGAGAACGAAGGCGAAGAAAAGCCCGACCAAGGTGCAGAACTAAGCACGACCCAGCAGAAGTCGAATCTGGCCACCACTCGCATATTGACACCAGCTGACTTGGCCAAGTTGCAAGAGCTTCGGACGACGGCCACAGTCTCTTCGCTCATGAAGAATCACAAGTCACATCACGCCTCAAGCACATCGCAGCAGACGAATTCGCAACGACACAGGGATGACCCATTGACGGCAGCAGAAATTGAAGGGCTGGCATCCCTCTCACGCGGCAAGGCGACTCGAGCGCAGAAACTGGCCTTGCTGCAAGAACACAAGGACGACCGTGAGGCACACAAATCCAAGGCAGCCCGGAAGAAGGAGCGAAAGGAGTCGGAAGGCAAAGGCACGACTAATAAAGAGAAGGCGCGCAGGAAGAATTTCCTGATGACGCTGAGTAAGGCCAGGTCCAAGGGGAAGAGAAGCTTGGTTGAGCACCGGAAGATCTTGAGAGCGCACGTTGAACGGGGGAAGAAGGGTGGGAGGAGAGGGAACCGAGGGTAGATGTTGAATGTGATGCGCTGGCGATGCCACGATAGCAATACAGAAGGTGCTGTGAGGATGTACTGGTAGACCATGTTTGACCATGTCTCTTCTTGGTGGCTGTGAGTGAGCAAGCCACAGGGCACGACTCGTGAATGGTCAGGAAAAGAAAAGACCAAGGAAAAATTCCATCCTCGTACCAACCGCCGACAATTGAATCAATGCATTACTCGTACCGGGTATGAGCAATGAGCATGCCAGGTGAAATGGAAGGGAGCAATCTCATCTCAACCCTTTCTCCCGCTTCCTATTCCTCTTCTTCATTCGGCTCCGCCCACTTTCCCAGCGAACCCAAAACTGTTCTGTGCCAGCCACGCGCCTCAAACCAATTAAAACGTGGTCGCGTAAAGTGGGAAGCCTCGCGTCAATTTCGTGTCAGCGCCGCCCGGTTGAAGTTGTTCAGGAACAGAACACGAGTTCGGTCATTTCGGACGCAGACGGCCAATCAGGGCTCTCCAAATCTGCCCAGCCCGCCCAGCCCCGGACTTTTGCATTGGGCGAGGTCCGCACGCTAGGCCTGAAACTCTCTGGGCTAGCGGCGGAAGCGAAGCCACTATTAATATCGCCATGCATGAGGGTTTTACCGTAGGCTCTTAGGGGGGCGGCGCAGGGAGGTTGGAGGCGGGAGGCTGAGGAGGAGACCTCTGGTTGGTCTGTGTCGGGGGGGGCTGCAGGGGGGCTGCAAGGGGGTTTTGCAGGGGCCTCTCTACGAGTACCCAGTAGCCTCCTCTGGGCCGCTCAGGGCAACTCAGGGCTGACCTTTCAGGCCCAGAAACACAGCAAGAAAGAGGCTCACCAGGCCCCGTTCAGCAGGGTTCATGGCTCTCGCTTGATGCTTGACGATCCAGTCGCTCCGGAAACTCGATAAGCCCTGATATGCTCAACCTCTTCTTGACGCTTGGTGTCTCTCCTCGCTCTGTCATAGTAGTCGCCGCCGTACGAGGTACCCAGTACATGCACACCAAGAACCAATTGCTGCTGCGCGCAGTTGCCGGACTCCAGAGTCGGTTAACTTGCGACTCCCCAATCCCCTCGTTTTAAACTTCGACGCCTCTTTTTCAATTCCTTCTTGAATCAGCTCCTTTCTCTTTCTCCCTCATCTCACTCTCATCCTCGCCTTGTTCTTCACCCTCATCCACCAGCACCAGCTCTAGCTGGACTTCCTTCATTCACAGCATTTATCTTCCCTCAACCCTTCGGCGCCTTGCTATTCACTTAGCAGGGAGGGACCCTCTCGTCGAGCATTCACCCCTTCACATTCTCACACTCGTTGTCTTTCACTCTCACTGATCAGTCTCGAGCTCTGCCAGCTCACTCTTTCAGTCGCTTCTCACCAGTTCTTTACCCAACACAGCCACACCACAACAACATGGGTCTGCCACAAGACTTTTCCACTCCGGTGCCCTCCATTGAGGCGGACTCACCCCTCTCCAAGCGTCGTCGCTTCACCCCCAACTCCCTGCCTCCCATCATCCCTGTCACGGACAACGCCGACATTGAAAACCACACCTTTGACTCGCCATTGCTCCTGCAGCTCTGCGAACAAGCCCCTGACCAGGCGGAAATCGAGGCAGGTCTTCTCCAGGTCGGTATGCGCGTCAGGAAGGCCGTTGCTGAAGGATACAAGACTCATCAAAAGAAATTCACTCCTCGGCCCTTTTTCGACATGCACCGGCTTTCTCCCGAGACCCAAGCTGCCCTGTGTGCTGGCAACGCTGATACCACCAACGAGCTCTCCCCTTATTCTGCCGCCGAGGTCCAGCCCATCAGCACCGCCACCTTTTGTGGTGTCAGTTTGGCCTACCTCTCCCATTGTAGCGAGGACTGGTCGAGCCCTTCGTTCACCCAGCAATCTCTCTGGTCTTATTCCACCAGCCACAAGCGTTCATACGAGGCCGACTCCGACAGCGACGACAGCCAGGACTGGCAGCCTCGAACTCCAAACTTGGTGGCTGACGCGGGAGTTCACATGCCTGTCGATTATTTCGCCATCGACATCGACACCATGAGTGATGTCAGCCCAATGACCCAAGTCGGGGACCGTGCCAGACAACATTTCAACGGTCGACGCATGGCTCTGCCAAAGAGTCGCGGCAGATTCTTCCAACAACCCGAGACACAAGTGCCGCCTACCTCGGCCGTCAACCCATTCGCCAACATGATTGTTCAACAACCCGAATCTCAACTCGCGAATCATTTTGGTCACAAGAGGATGATGAGCTGTGGCATGGAAGCTGCCATGGATTTCGGTGAAGCTTCATTCCTGCAACGACGGGAGGATGTTGAAATGGATTGCTCTTAAAAAACAGAAAGGGAAAAAGATTACTTGATTAAGCCAGGATTTTGACGATTGTGTTATTGATGGTTTGCATTGCTTCATGATTTTTTTTTTTTTTTTTCGGTTTCAAGGCGGAAAGAAATGCGTCGAGACGGATGTCCTGCGGACGAATTGCGATGACCTAAAAAGGCTTGGATACGCAAATCGATGAGCATAAAATAGGGGAGACGGAGAAAGTTGAGAGATGCTTGGATGGATGCCTCAGCAGCCGTCCTGGGTAACGCTGTAAAATATTGCAAGCTGTGATCATTACTGGGTGGACATGGAAATGGGGAACATTGTATATACGGCCTGGAATCCGTCAACCTGGATTGAGTCGTCTGCGGAAAGCTGGAAAGGTGCTCTCCGCCTCGGTCGACAGGAGCAAACGGAATTTTGCAGGAGTCGGCGCACACTGCAACAAGAGAGCGACTTGCATGCCTCATGTTATGCATTATCAAACGATGAAAATCGAGCTCAGATAGATAATAAAAGAATGAAAATTCGATGAGAGCCGAAAACGAGCTCGACTTCCCACTTTGACCGCCTTTTGAGATACCATCGTGGGCATTTGCACGTGATTGTGGAATTGGTGGGAAAATCCGCAACCTTCAGACTTGATTTTTTCTGTTTTTTTAGTCCTTGACTTCAAGCTCGCTTCTACTGCAAACATCTTCTCTTCAGGACTCCAACAACAGATTTTGTGGTGTTTCGTGGTGTTAAATACGGCGGCCACACTCGACCAGACGGCCGTAGAGTGTGCGGCCATGAGAAGAACATGTTAATCAACCTTGAAACCCATCCTTTCGCTTTCATGTTATCTTCGACAAGATTATAGCCTTGCAGACCAGGCGAGTGAGAATGCTGTGGCGGGTAATAACGGCAGATGCCTTTCCAGGGAAGTGAAGGCTGCAGACATGTCCTGCCCAAGCCTGGCATACCCTGCCAATGTCAGTTCCCCCCCTTTTAAGACAGGGGCTGGAAGAGGCCATCGGAACCAACCATTTTCTATTGGCTACATGCAGCAAACACCCTCGTGAAACAGGCAAAGGCGAGGGAGATGGCATGACCCCTGAACTCGCCAGTGAGTCGAGGCGCCGATAACAAGGCCCAATTTAAATGTCATTTCGCTCTGCTTAGCGATTATTTATGGCCGGATGATCTTGTCGTCGTGATTCCTCTCGAGTGCGCAGCGATGAGTTTGCCCATGAAACCTTCATTCTTTAATCAACAGCCAAAGCGTTCCCGAGAAGAGGGGCTTTCTCTCTTCTCAATGTGAACACATGATGTCCACTATTACCATTCCCGACCTCTCGCTCATCCTCCGTGCGAGACGATCGCCACCTCTCGACTTGGTTTACAAGTACACGCCCATCCCGGTTGAAGGCTGGATCAGGATTCTGGTGCTTTACCCTGGATTTGCGAGCGACGAGCTCTCTTGCGGCCTTCAATCCTGGAAAATCGAGGACGTTGCCAGGTTGGGTTTCGAGGCCCTATCTTATGTCTGGGGGAGTGACAATGGATCTCAACAGACGAGAAAGCTCGACTGTGATGGTGCTCCGCTGCACATTCGGGAGAACTTGGACTGTGCATTGAAGCATCTTCGTCACGACCGAAACACGAGGTTCCTTTGGGTGGACGCCGTGTGTATCAATCAGGAAGACAAGGAGGAGAGATCTCGACAGGTGAGTGGTTTCAGTCAACGCCGTCGAGATCCACTGTCTCGAAAGCTAGCAATCTCACACCAAGCGGTAGGTCCAACAAATGGGTGAAATATACGCAAGCGCGTCGAGAGTCCTCGTTTGGATAGGCCCCGATATCAATCACGATGCGAAGGAATCTTTCGCCCTGATACAGAACACTGCCACTCTCCTTTCGGAAATGGTCTCCGACTATGGAGATGTCAATCTCTTCCCTCCCATTACCCGGGAGAGTAGACTAATCTGCTCGGACACCCGCGAGTGGGATATGGTCCGCCGATTGATGGATTCGGAGTGGTTTTCGCGGGTCTGGGTGCTCCAGGAAGTCGGCCTGGCCCGATCAGCAGTCCTGCTCCATGGTAACGCAACTATGAACTGGGCTTACCTGGTTGAATTGATGCTTATCGTCGCATCACGTGTTGATGTCGCCTCACTCATGGGAACCGTCAAATCTGGTATGGTCTGGGACTTGTTTGAAGACCTTTGGCGGACATTTGGAAATGATATATCTTGGAGGAACGAGTTGCCGATGTGCAGGACCTTGAACTGCAATGAGAGTCGAGTGAGCTTCATCAACATTCTGAACGATGGACGGTCCTACAAGGCTACTGATCAGAGGGATCGTGTATATGCTTTCCTCAGTCATCCGAGTACAGCTTGCGGTGTTGCAGAAGAGAAAAGACTGGTGGTCCCCAACTATAACCTGTCCGTCGACGAAGTCTATTTCAACACGGCCGAGGGCATCCTGGAAAATGACCCATACCCGTGGACTCTGCTCACTTGCATTGACCATACTACAAGATCCCCCTCACTTTGCGGTCGGCGACCCTCGTGGGTTCCGCGTTGGGACGAAGGGTGGCGTGTGTACTGGTTGGGCTACCCAGAAATGTGGTATCGAGCTGGCGGAACTCAGCCCGCCACATTTCAATTCGAGGTCTCTAGACCAGAGTCATCTTTACGCCTAACGGGCGTAATCTTGGATTCCGTCGAGTGGACATCTCGGGTATTCGATTCCGAAGAACTTCTACTTGAACCCCAGAAGAAGGAGCGGCCGTTGCAAAAGCTGTGGCAGAAGTTGGAACATGGAGATTGTAGTCATGTTTACGGCAGTAGCGCTTACGATCGAGAATACGCCTACAGCCTCACGATCATAGCGGGACGGGCAACTGATGAAGGGCCTGCCGAGGACAATCCGAGTCTTCACCGCGCCGTCTATCGAGCATACAAAGAGCTACTCCACGACGGGACTAGCGGTGACCATGGAAGTGATCCACTGCCATCAACAGAAGCAGACTCCAACCGTCAACAAGGGCAGGATTCTCCAAGATCCCTCGAACTCGATGCGCTTACTTACGTCGGCAGCAATCAGCGCAGAGCCTTACATAACCGCCGATTTTTCCGAACGTCAAGGGGCTACTATGGAGTTGGCCATATGACAATCGAGACAGGTGACGAATGCTGTGTTTTTAGGGGTGCAAATATGCCATTTGTCATTCGAAGGGTACCTGCCTACGGTGTGCAGGGAGCGCCTCCCTCGAGTCGACATATGCTTGTGGGTGAATCTTATGTCCAAGGCGTCATGAGGGGAGAGATATTTCAGAAGATAGACGCAGGCGGGCGTGATGACCTAGTTGAACAGACAATCACCCTTGTATAAGATGGATTTTTGCTGATTGAAAAGAAACGATGATCGAACCCGTGAATAGTATGTGAACGAGCCCGCTTTGGTACTTTGTCGAGGCGGTCGGTGCTGACCGGCAACGGATGGATGACTAATCACATCACGTGCCTACGGCCAAGACTGGGTTTCCCGATTTGGGGTGTAAACAAAGACTTGACAGGAAATGCCATTCTGCCGAGTACCCAGTACTCGTCCCTGCAGTGCCTCTCATCCAACTCGCTACCCTTGCAGTACTACGTCAACTGAAACCATGAAAGTGCTATGACAGTGACTTTCACCTCAAATGGCTTCTAAACTCATGGATGCGGCAATTCTTGTCGATGATAACAACATGGAAAACCACAATCCACACATCAGCCCGAACCCGCTCAGGTGCCCTCCTGCACCTCTGCACCAACTCTCCCCAGAGCGCATCAACCAGCAGCGCCTCCCTCAATCCCCCTCCCTACACAGCTATCTCGTTGACCAAGACCGACCGTGCACCCGTGATTCCTTCACATCGGACGTTCAGTCGAAAGTTGCCTTCCTGAACAGCTTGGTGGCAAATACCAGCGTTCAGTCGTCACCCACCCGGCCCCGAAGACTCGGAGCCACGATTCCAGACAGTTGCAGTGGCACTCCTAATCATAATCTTAATAACAACAACGCCCTCCAGCGGGCAGTCATGGGATACGAGGAAGCGCAGGCGAGTCTCGCAACCCTGAACGCCGAGCTCGAGCGGGCAAAAGAAGAACTCGCCTCGAAGAAGAAACGGGAGAGAATGCTCTCACAACGTGTCGAGGATCTCTTGGAAGAATTGCAGGCGGAGAAGGAGAAACGAGTTCGAGATCAAGAATCCTACACGAAAGAAATCAAGCGGTGTCGCAAGGAGACGTACCGTGCTGAATTGGCGGTCGTCGAGGTAAGACAAGATCTGCAAGAAGTGAGGGCTGAGTTGAAGAAATGCCAGGCTGAGATGCAGCATGAGAAGACGGAGAAGGAGAAGGCTCGTCAAGAGAGTTTCGAGAGGGCTTACGCGCTGGCGGGAATGGTTGGGGAGATGGATCAGCTTAGGGATCGTCTAAAGGCCGTTGAGAAGGAGCGGGACGCAGCACTCTTGGAGGCAAAAGCCAATGCTGTCGAAAAGAATGCTACTTTGGAAAAGGGTGTTCAGACTGAGTCGAAAAAGACCTCAAACGAGGGTGCAAAGACAGAAAAGACCGAGCAGAGGAAGACGTTCAAAGAGGGAGAAAAGATCCAGACTCCGCACCACTCGGACAACGAGAGCGATATCCAATCCGTGCCAACGTTCAGAATGGTGCCAGCATCAGTGTCAGCGGGTCGCATGATACCTGAAGATCCCGCACGTCTGTCCGCACCAAAATTGCCAAGCTTTGCTTCTGCCATATCTCGCTTGAACTATTACGACAAGCAGCTGGGAGGAGAGAAGATCAACCCCGAAGAAGAAGTTGAGTTTCTAAAGCAAGAACTGGCTTGGGCACGGAAGAAGCATGAGGAAGACTCGGATTTGATTCATTTCATGCATATGCAGTGCCAGTTCAAGGCATGTCCGTGCCGACTCGCTGAATCAAACGGGGATCGTTTTGTTCACGATCAGGTTTATGATGCAAAGATGCAACAGCAGCAGCAGCGCGCTTCAAAGAAGAGGAAGATCTCGAATGATGTGGAGGAGAAGATATCACCTCTAGAAGAGAGCTACAAGGCATTTGCGGAGCAGCCGCTCACCCACATAGACATGTCTACTCAAAACACACAAAATACCGAACCCGAATCGACAGAAGAGAGCGAGCCAGCGAAACTTCCCCCTGACCCGACGCTAGAGTCGATGGCGAAGGCGTCTGAAGAGCCCATGGTTCTCGAACAGGCTATTGAATTGCCCCTTCCGGAGCCAGAGCCTATGGAATTGGACTCGAGCCGTACTACACCAGAGCCGACTGCCCAGTTGGAAGAAATTACGCAAGTCTTGGTTGAACCATCAACCGGCTTGCAGCCGTTCTCCTTTTCGACATCTACCACCAGCAATGCCGGCGTTGGAACCACGGCACCAACACTTCGGCATACCGAGAGTGCCTCAGCCGTCCTTGATCAAGACCTTTTCGATCTCTCGCCGCCGAAACAAGCACCTCCAAGACGACCTTCGACAGCTCTGGGTATCTTAACTGTCGACTCACCTATCCGACTAGTGCCAGATTCACCACGCTCAGTCAGGTCCTCTCAGCGTGAAAGCGTGCGGTCTCTCCCCAAAGAACGAAGCCAGCCCATCACGCAATCTGTCATGACAACGACCACGAAAATCGCTCTCAAAGACTCGTCATCCCGCTCTAGCATGCACAGACGAGCACAGTCAAAACCCAATCTCCGAAGCCACTCACCTTTGGTGACTTCGGTTATGTCTCACCACGACGATATTGACGCACAAGAAGCATGTGCAGAAGAATCGTCAGCATCACCTGCAGCGAGCACTGTATTTCCTGTGACACCCTCACACAAGCATTCAAGGTCGATGCATAACCTGGCTCAACATGCGCAACCGCAGGCTCACACTCAGGGCCAGGGTCAAGCACAAGCTAAAGTTCATGCAAGGAGTCCACAGACAATCGTTGCCGCGACCACCACCACAACAACTACAACACGAGTACCGCTTAGAGAAGCCGTGGATGCAGATGATGTGTTCAGCCCGGAGCACCACATGAATCGTAACGGGTATGACCATGCCCAAACCGAAGTGTTAAACATCAGGGTGGAATCCAACACAAGCAGGGAAACAATGACCCAGTCACAGTCAAGGGTGGCCTCGATTTCGAGCTCGGCCATGCTCTCCAACGTCCCTGGCACGCCAATCTCACGCGAAGCCGCGCTGGCGCAGATCCGCGCGCGGCGAGACCGAGCCAGAAGCGTCAATCTCAAGCGATCGCTCGAAGGGCATGGAAAAGGAAATGGGAATGCTGGCGCAAGGAGCCCGACGAAACCATCGCGTCCTGGGGTGTTGAATGGAAGCAGCGGCCTGTTTCAAGCAGCGGGAAAGGAGAATGCGAGGAGAGAGATTAGCCAGGCGAGTGCGCCTGGACGACTTGCTTTCTGAGTTGGGCTGGCTGTATATGTATGGACTACCAAGCAGCTCTCGATGAGATGGCGAGACTGATTGATTGAATGAATGGGCCGGAGTTTGATAAATGGACAAGAGAAAAAGACATGGCTGGTCGCTGGCTATGTAGTAGCTAGATAATCTCAACCGCTGCTTTACAGACAGACCGACGACAGACTGTCACCTTTTTGCAAAATGCCTGTTTGTTCCCGTCTTTGCGTGTCCCTCTTTTTGAGGAATTTAAAGATCCGCCGTTCTGTCGTTGTCTTTGTGTGTTGTGTCGTTTATCGCATACGGCTGTACTTGTCCTCGCAGTATGACCTTGAAACCTGGATAGAACATGGTAAGTTATTCACCGTGTCTAGTTAGTACATGGTTACGAGAGTTACGTCGAGTGAACGCCGCGGTATATTGGTTCCCGTCATATTCCGAACCGATGTATCACGATGAGTATGAGTGGATGTTCTAGGCATTATAGGTACGGTGTTCAGGGTATTATAGTATGCAGATAGACAGATAGACAGATAGACAGATAGACAGTGGCATTCGCTGATCATGCGCACAGAGGACGGTTTGTCCGTAAGGGCTCTCGATGGTGGACGGAGTATCTATGTGCCATGTACACGGGAGATGGACTGTCCTGTGTTCCGACCCCCTGTTGTGGTCCTTGACTCGACATATATAGCATTGACGACCAGGCGGAACCAGGACAGAGATCCCTCCCCCGGCTCTCGTCTGAACATCTCCTCCGGTCTCGGAAATAGTCACCTATAACCTGTCTGTCTGTGTTCCTCGCAAATCCCGCGTAGCTGCTCGATCGATCATGCTTGGACAAGGCCACGGGAGGTGTGCTGTAGGCGGTGTTGGTGAGGAGGGCATGATTCTAGCTGTTTTGTGCTTAAGATCTCCTCTCAAGTTCGTCGGCCGTTGTTCCTTCGGCCGATCCCGCTCTCTTTCCCTTTTTATCATTGAGCCGTCGCAGAAACCCAAGGCGTATATACCCACGAGCAAAGCGTTCCACGAATCGAAACGAAGCAAGCGTGTCCGTGTGCCACGTCAAGCCGTGCAGTTTCATGCCATTGATAACCCGTTTGACCTCGTCCAGGTCAGAAGAGATTCCGAGCCAGAATCTCTCGTCTTTGTGACACTTCATAACTTGCAATCTCAAATTATTTAATCTTTGCCGGTCAGTCCATCGGTCAGGGTGAGGTGACAAGTCCATAAGCATCTCGTCCGTTACTGCTGTCAGGAACGGAATGCCGGAGAACCCCCTTTGCCGATACGTCAGCATCGACATCAAATAGATTACGTATGGCCTTCCTATGACGATATTTGATTGCAGCCTTCAACGTGGTACTATAACACTCTGCGTGGCACTGGAAATTTGTGCCAGCGTCGAGCAGAGTCGTGAAACCTTTTCACCATGTTCACTCGACCTTTGTCGTCTACCCGGTCAAGTAAAAGTTCGTAGAGGTTGACGGCATGCTGAAAGTGGTAAGGAAACACAAGTGCTAAGAAATCGGTCGTTCTCTCTACCATGGAGTCCTTGTGCCATCCCGGTGGTAATATGGGTTTGCTCCACGTTGATAATGGCCCTCCTATGTCCCTTTTCTCCAAGAGCCAACCGTCTTCCCGTGGAAAGGGAACAAGTTCGTTTGGCTTCGCATCTTGGAGATGTCCGTACCAACAAGCCCCCGCATATTTCAGGAAACTCCATAAACTCCATAAACTCCATGTGTCTTCCTTGGTTACGTCCGCGGGTTCAAGCAAGTCAGCATCGCTGAGCTTTGTTTGGAATAGCCAGAGGGCGTCAACACATATCTGCGCCAAGATTCTCGCAGTGTCCGTGGGCATTAGTGAGTGTTTCCAAGCACCGCATTCCACCTGTTGGTTGTGAATTAGAAATTCCTTCGCAGTCTGATGGACGAGGTGAATGGTCGACTTCTCAATGAAAACAAATAGTCCGCACCACTCTCGGATATACTTCTCCAGACGGATCTTCTCGATCAGAGTGGGTTTCAAAGAGTCCATTTCCTTTGAAGTAGCTATACGGAGGGCTATAGACATCTCGCCGACGTTTAGTGGCCGCCGAGCACCTACTACTATGTGCAAGATGGTTCGCACAATGTCGCGTTGATGGTCCCGCACCCTGTTGAGGATCTTTTCGTACGCGTCTTCCACCGACCTAGGAAGCGCTGCAATCGATGTTTTGATCGAGTCCTCGTCATGATGAAAATTGTCTCTGAGGGTTTCATAAATCCCATCAATGGCGAGAGAGAGCCACAGATACGTCCGGTTTTGCATGTTCAATAGCTTTTGCTCCAGGAGTTTACTCACTTCCAGCGACAAGGGCAAAGTTTCTGTCATTTCAACAACGCGAGCGCGAATGACCGAGTTGATCTCGGACCGAATTGCTTTATTTTCGTCTTCTCCCCGAAGGCGGATAATGGGAACCGATGGAGCGGCTGCTTTCATGCTGCGTTGGAAGTCTAATTGTATGCTGTCATATGGCCGGCTGGTAACCACGATCTTCAATGAGTGTGTCCGGCATCTCGATGTCCTTGTACCCGCCAAAAAGACAGCAAGTTTTTCGATCAGTCGGTGCCGATCGGCATCTCGGCATTCATCAAGGCCGTCTAGCACGCAGAAAACATTACGCGAGTTGTCTTCCGTAGTGGCTGCCAGGAATATCCTCCAGAGTTCAACTACCTCCTTCGCCAACTTGTCACCATTTCGTCGCCAAGCAGGTATTGCGTGCGCAAGAAGCCGCGGCTGGCTTGTAAATAGTTGATGGAGGAGAGCGCAAAATGCAGACGCCAGATTGTTCTGATTTTCATTGTCTTTGAAGAAGAAATAACAACATGTTCTTTCGGTTGTCGTCTGCAATTCGTGATCGACGAGGAACTTTGATAGCGTGGACTTGCCGCAACCGGGATCGGCAGATATCTATAGTAGATCCTTACTCGTGTTCTCTTGCCATTGTCGGTATTCGATATTGTTTAAAACCCAAAGGCAAGTGTCAGGAACTCGAGATGGGTTGACGTTCTTCTGTTCTTCATATGAGCCTAGTTTGAAGACGCGATGGCATGACTGATATTCGGCATCCTGGGGATTTGTCTCTCGTCCTTGAGCTCGTTCTCTTAGCCACTGAACTTCGCTCCCGACAGAATCTATCAGAACAAAATCATTTGAGTTGGGAAATGATAATGACAGAGGGGATACACTGCACACTGGGAAGATGACAGGATCAGGACCTACCTGGGATTGCTTGCATCAGTTGTTGCCGGCGGAGCTGCTCTGGAGTGACTTGGAGAAGAAGTTCTTTTGTCCACGCTGCCGCTGTTGCGGCAGCGTATGGATGCCATTCGTCATTTTTGTGCGAATCAGCATAGTCACATATTCCTCGTACCACAAGGAAAGGTAAACTATTCGCAAGACCAGCGGCTTCCATCTCCACACACAATGCACCATAAGATGCCCGGAGGTTGTCTCGGAGAACTGGGTCCTTCACTACCTCATTACCGGAAGCTATGATACCATAATGGATCTGAGGGTCAGTGGTTTGTCGACTTTGACGAGGGATTTCGTGGACAGATAGACATTGATCGCAATTGTTTTGACCTTCAGGGTGAGGATATCTACTTTCGAAGAGGCGATCTTTCTGCTCGCCGGGGGGCCCATACATCGGATAATGATGGATCATGTCGGCGAGGTATGCCAGCATTGGTCGGCTTCGATTTGCATGGTGTTGCGCTTGCAGCGAAGTGATTGCAGTCAAAAGGATATTTGGGGGCGCATTGAGAGCGCCCTTGAGTTCGAAAGCACCGCCATGTTTGGCCTTGCCCTTCTCGTACTGTACAACGCCGCCGCTGGTGCCGCTTGGCTGGCTGACCACAACGTCGCCGAGCCTGATGTCGATACCCTTCTCCAAGTGTGGTACTCCTCCGCCGATACCAACCAAGAGTATGAAATCCAAATAGTGGAATGTTCTGATCACATCTTTTGCGACGTTCGCTGCTGCGACAAGTCCGTCAATGCCAGCAGGGAGACCGGCAATAACCACATTGTGGTCGTGTATGATTCCAGCATGGTAAGTGTTCTGATCTCGACGTTCTCCCTTGATGATGCCATAGTCTCTGTCCAGCATTGCTGTCGCTGCCACCATCTCCACCCTCAAGGCGCATATCAACCCAATGTGATATTCATCTTTAGCTGTTTGGGCCATGCCGACCAGATTCGGGTCGAAACAATGCCATATAGGAGAAGGATTGTTCTCGAAAAAACGGACGCTCAAGGGACTCGGGAAGGCTGGGTGCCAGATCGTGAGAAGTGTGAGGTGAGGTTAACAGCCCAACCGTTGCGCAGCTTCAGTTGAGACAGTGACTCGAGCCCGAAGAGCCTGCTGATGAGGCGCACCGCTCGGACTCGGTTTGCTTGCATTGCCATGATCAGGCTGTCAAACGATGGCTCGTTTTGGTTTCGCCCAGCACAATGCAGGGTGGCTTGCAGTTGCACGAGCACGAGCACGAGCGGCTAAATCTGAGCTCTGTCCGGCGGCCTTGGCAGCTCAGATGCCCCCCTGCCTTGCCCCGGCACATTGACGAGGTAGTGGCAGCAGCATCAGTTCTCAGAAGGCGCCACCAGAGACTTGACAGACCATCACCCAAGGAAACTCGACGCTTTGCAAAGACTTTTCACACGTCACATGCAGAGACGACGACCTCACCTGCCAGAGGGAAGCAAAATGAACAGAGAAACCGTATCTCAAGCTTGGGCTTGGACTTCCTGGAAAGCAGATCTCATACTGAGTACTCTTCAGTTCCTGGATCGGTTTGATCCGCTGTCCATAAGCGTGTTCGTGAACATGGACCGGCTGGTGGAAGTGTGCATGGTTTCTATGGTCTAATATGTCGAAAGGGATACACCGCACCAGGGGGAAGTCCGCCAGCTCCTCCCCTCCCTCCCTTCCTAGTTCAGGTGCTTCAGCATGTTCTCCTTCAAACGGTCGTCAGCCTCCGTGGCCTCTGCCTCGACGTATCCTTCGTCTGTACCCACGTACCCTTCCTCATCAACATAGATCCCCTCCGGGATGAATTTCCTCATTATGTTATTCACCCAACTGTGCGGAACGCCGAGCTTCACCGACTCCTCGATTCCCCTGTTCATCCTCCCGATGTACTCTTGCACAATTTCCCCAGGCGTGGTGCGGAACTCGTCGACGTAGACCAAGGCACGGATTGTGGTGTTGTGTGATCCTGTTGGCCCATAGGCGCCATTTATAATGTGAGAGGACGGGTTGGATGCACTGATGCCGTACTCTCCTGGATCCTTCAACCATCTCGTTACCGTGACGGGCAAATAATGCTTGTTATAATCCCACCCGCCTTGCAAATACCGCTTCACCATCTGCGTCTCTGGATCCTGGTTGACTTCGGGTGTAGGGTTCCTTGCCTCGTTGTGGCCCTCGTACATATCCAACCGGGCCTCGTCCACAGGATGCATATTGTACAGGACGCCCCACACGGTGTTGTGGTCGGCAGCGGAGTTTGATTCGGGGAGCGCAACGACATTGGCATATCCACGTTCGCAGATTATCCATCCGTGAGAGTCCAGACGGGCGATGGCCACGGGTTCGCTGGAGGAAGGTGAGTGCTGCAGGCGAAGTGACATTTGGTATGCCGAGAGGTTGGAGCCATAGGCGAAGTAGAGGGTGCCAGTTTTGGAGGAGGTAGAGTGTGGGTGGTGGAGGGACTGTTCCTGCGACATCGTTTGGTCTGTCGCATTCGCTTCTCGACAGTGTTCGGGAGAACAGTATCCTTTAATGACCTTCGATGTGTATATCCTCCTCAAAATGGCGATATCGCCTTGAATGCTGTGTCGAACCGCCAATCGTGTGTATGTAAACCCGATAATATTCACGAGCAGTATCGTAGAGCGCCTTGCCTCAAGATAAATCAGATCTCGTACACTTGTGGGTTGCTGTTTGCCGCCCCCTTTGTCCGGGCAGCCCACAAGCAAGAGTCTTCAATTCGAGCAATTTATCATGCATGCGCAGGCGCACGTGTGCGTCTATATGTCTGTATGTCTGTATCTAACCAGGCTTTCTAATCTGCAGCCCGCAACAGAAAACGTACAAAGATTGTGCCTAGTGAATAAATGGGCTGGCTCAATGGGAAACTGGAGGGGACAGCAGGCGGTGTTCTCTATGTGTATCGTAACGTAAATGGTAATGTGAATGCTTTCGAAAGCTGCGATGTTGAAATAGAAAATCTAGACGAGTGACAATAGCGGACAGCAAGTGATGAGCGGGAATTCGACCAGGTGAAACAACGACGGCGTGGGGGAAGGCGAGATATGTATGTATCTGGTATGGAGATGTGCGTTCGTTTTCTTGCTCGGTTGATGACATAAAGACGACGCAAGGCTCCGAGATTGCCTGAGGTTGATTGGCTAGAGACGGTGCCTGCCAGCCTGCCAACCGTGGAGGGATGTGGTTAACAAGGCTGAGTGACATCTTGTAAGTGTCTATGGTAGGTGAGTCTAGAATGTTCTTTCGTTCCACAGTCGGTCCCATTTAATCATCGAGATGTTCCATCTCATTAGAATCTTCCTCGCCCGATGGGAATGCGATCCAGCCTGTCAGTCAGTCGGCTCACCCAATATACACGGCATACTTCATAAACTCCTCATCCTTCCTCAGCCGGTCCAGATCCTCCTCCCTCAAAGACAGCGCCACTGCAATTTCTCCGTCCGGCCTCTTGGGCATCAAGTAGAACAGGCTCTCCAACGGCACAAACTGCGGCCTGCGAACAGCCTCTGGCTTTCCCAATCCCAGGTTGAAATCGAGGTCGTAGCAATCATACTTGGCCCAGGAACTAAGCATGATGTCCGCGGACAGGTCCAACGTTGCGGTCACGTTGATACTGTTGTCCTCCGGTGAGCGATGAAGCCGTGTCGCGAGCGCGCGGGTCGCGTAGGCCAGGTTTGAAGTTGCAGGGTCGATGGCTTCTCGGAGTTTCGAGGCGATGTGACCTAGTGGTGCATTGAGTAGTCTCTCGAATGTGTACGTAGAGTACGTCATGTTTTGAACGAGTCCCGGATATGTGGCTGGAATGCCCAGGTAGCGCCGTGGATCGATTGCCCGCGCCAAAGTTGTCTCCCTGTTAGCCTCCAGGCGGGGAAGACGGGCCCGGGCCACACATAACCAGATGAAAGCGCTCAGAACGTCGTCGGTCGAGACATAGCCTGATTGGCTGGTGATGAATTGCATTGCCTGCGATTTTAGGCGGGCGAGGGACGCGGCGGAGAAATCAAAGTAGATCCAGCTGCACTTTGGAGGTTGTGGTTGTGCAGCTTGGCCTTCCGCAGCCTTTGATGCGGATTGATGTGCAGGAGGCTTCCCAATCTGATAGGCGAGTTCAGGCCCCGGTTCGTAGGTTTCGTCCAGGAGTGGGATGAGATTGCGCCGGTCGAGGTTGCCGTTAGAGACTTCTTCGGCTGTGAATGGCTCATTATGACAGGCCTTTGAGAGGAGGTACATGATTTGGGCCATGCCCGTCATGTCCATTGTATTATGCTGCGTCACAAAGGTGAGCAGCAGACCGCCTGTGATGAAATTGGCCTGCATCAGAAAAACCGGCGCTGGACCGTCTGTCCCCGCAGCCAGTGTGTTGATGGGAGCAATTAGGGACTCGTCCAGCATGCGGAAAGGGAAATTGTTCCGTCGAAGGACATACATGGTTGCTGTCCAAGGCCCATCGTGGAGCTCCTTGACCACCAACCGAGGCGTCTTCTCGAAGGGCTTGATTCTGTAAATATTCCGGGCGCCATCACCTGGGCTTTCGCGAAGTACTTGGCCTGCTACCCACGGAAAGCTGGCAGTCAGTCTCTCGAGCCCTTTCGTCAGTGTGTCGATAATGTCTGATTGGGACGAGCCACCACCCATCGGAAAGCACAGACATAACTGAGTATATAGCTTGTAGAGCCCTTGTTGTTGCCCGAAGATATCCAGATGAAGGGCGAGGTCCTCCATGTTTGCCAACCGAGGGTGTTTGTGGTTTGGTACTTACATTGCTGATGGGAGGGTGGATCGTATTTGTATTAACATACAAACAACCACTGTGCCTCTGTCTGTGGTCTTGGTATCATTCAAAGATGGTCCGGTATCGCGAGACGATGCTCGTTTTGCATTTTGCGATTGGGGAGCTTTAGCTTTTCCAGCCAGGGAAAGTGGAAAATTTCAGTCGGCCTCAGTCCGGTCGGACGGACAAGCAATCCAAGGCCATGTACGGAGTACAGAGTTCATAAGTCTGGGCTAGATATAAGAGAGAAATGTTAAGTTAATTACGACTGCTATCGCTTCCCTGTCATCTCCCTCCAGTTTGCGTGACCGGATATAAGACGGTTACATATAGGCGATTGATGTGTGAATATGTAGTGATTTGTCAAAGTCTCACAACGCGCCGGTGACGTTGGAGCTTCATGCGTGCCGACGTTTCCATCCGGCCTCAGATCCTCGGTGGGTAGTGATTGTGCTTCGTTCGGTACATACGAGGCACAAGTATCGAGTGTTCCTCTCCAGCAGTAGCAGTATCATGCCTGAAGCCCGGCCATCAGCAGCCTCCGCTGACCCCGCCATGCCGCCCTTGCAACTTCCACCAAATCTGAGATTCGGCCCCTTTCTCGTCGCATCACAGGTCTTTCACCTCTCGCCTTCTCGCCTTTCCTACGGCCTGGTGAACCTCAAACCTCTGCTTCCAGGCCACGTCTTGATCTGCCCGGTGCGCAGCGTCCCGCGTCTCTCGCAACTCACCAGCGCCGAAACAGCCGACTTATTCAACACGGTCCGCATTGTGTCGAGGACCCTCCAACGTGTGTACCATGCCAGTTCGTTCAACGTCGCCGTCCAGGATGGGATTGATGCAGGCCAGTCAGTGCCACATGTGCATGTTCATGTGATTCCGCGACAGAGAGGAGATTACGATGACAAGGGTGGTGGCGACAGGATCTACGACGCGATGGATGGAGAGGAAGGCGATCTCGGCAAAGCCTTTCTTGAGATACGGAGAATGAAAGACGAAAAGGCAAAGTCAGGAAGGGAGGCGTTGGGCGGCCCAGACAGCGATAGGGAACCCAGGAGTGAGGAGGAAATGAGGAAGGAGGCGCAGTGGCTGAGGGAGGAGATTCAGAATGATCGTGTACATGCACAGGATGAGGAATGATAGACGCCCTCGACGATTTAATGATTGTATCAACAACTCAACGGCTCGTCCATAGAGATAGAGTCAGTGTGTGCCAGAATACAGGGAGCTTGTCAGCAGCGGAAAATGAGCACAGGTCAAAACACGCCGTCTATTGTTTTCTGGGTATCATTGGTCTTCGTGGCTTTCAGGGACGTTTCCAGCAAATAGCACTTCTGGTCCAATCGGCATCGCATCGCATCATTCATTCCTCTCATCACTTTGCATGTCCATTCATCTCGGCCACTCCATTCCCCAACACCCGGCGTTCCCCGTTGCTGTAGTATTCGTCCTGTTGATCCTTGATTGTCGCCGCCTTTGTGGGCTCTCTCGGTTCCATATCTTTGCTCTTCCAAAGCTCTGCTCTCTCATCCAAGATCTCCTGTGCCCAGGCCTTCATCTCTTCCAGACTGATTCTCCTCGCCACCCAGCTGAACTCACTCAGATCAATGGCGCAATTGTTGGCGCGCTCGTACTCCACCATCTGCAGTATCAGCTCCAGCTTGTCCACATCATGAACGAACTTTGACTCCAGAGTCTCGCTGTCCTCATATTCTTGCCAAATCGCGCGAAGATCCTTGCCCGGGATGCCACCATGCACCTTTCCGAGCAATGACTGAGCCACCCAGTCCATGGTCTGGGCCTCACGTCTGTTCTTTTCCACTTTCGGTACTCCATCAACGGGGGTCAAGTCCCCGACGAGGCCTTCAGCCATGTCATGGACCAACGCCATCTTCGTACACCTTGGGATATCCAAGCGTGAACTTAGTTCGGGGGGAGCGAACATGGTGATCAGGGACATGCGGTACATGTGGTCTGCTATAGATTCGCCGGTTGAGATACCAAATCTTCGCCATCCTTCACGCTTCTCGATCTTTAGGCGCTCAAGGTAGTGGAAGAAGGCTATGGGAGAGGAGGAGTTTTCCGGTGGTGGATTGGGGAGGTCTTTCAGCACTGCACGGACGGACCATGGGTTCGGCTTGGGCAGAAGGGATGTGTGTGAGGTTCTGAGGGTGTACGAAGGTTGAGAAGGAGGAACTAGAGAGTGTCAGTGCTGAGCCGTGACCTAGAGGCGGAATACATACTCTGCGGTCTGTCTGAAGCCATTGTGCTGTAAAGCAGAGCAATGTAGTTGTGGGATAATGAGTCAGGTGGGAGACGTGGAGAAGGAAATGATGAAGACAACAGAGGCAGAAATCTAGATACACCACCCAGTTTATATTGCCATACCTCTAATGCTCGAATATACAGACCAAACTTTGCAGGACAAAGAGCGACGCTTGAGAGTGCCCGAAATGTTTGTTGAGCAAACTCCGAATGAGGCTTTTGGTTGTTTACCAAGCGACGTCTCCCCACCAAACAAAAGGATCCTGTCCGTCCCGCCCGCAGCCGCCAAGGAGGAATGTTAAAGCGGCTAGAGGACTCACCCTGTTTGGGAACGTGTGTGATGCTGCTATGTGTAATCTCTGAAGGAGGAAGGTTTACCGATATGAACAGCCTCGCCGCCAAGGCTGAAGTTTCTTTTTGAAAGCAATGTTTCATTGAGTGTGGCCCTGGAAATACTGTACCTCGTACCATATTTTTAACAACAAAACGTCCACACAACCCGGTCGAAGCATTCTAGTGACAAGCTGATTGGTCTCCACCGTCTTCGAAATCTCGGTAGGCGGGTTTCCTGCCACTTGACCGGTATCTCGTATTGTACCGCCGACCTCCCATGGGTTTGGCTTTGCCACAAACTCGTATCACTCTTGTTTTCAGCCTTTGATTGTAGTTTCCAGCCCGAGCCAAACAAAACTGGTATGTTGGCGGAAGCGTTCAGCCGCCAAATTGATTTGACATAGCCCCTGGAGCTTTTGACGGCTGCCTTGAGCTGCTGCTTTCCATCCTCTTCAAGACGGGCTCCTCTTATTGTTTTGATGCTAGGCTAGGTTTCGCTTAGAGAAGACATTTATAGTTCTCACCGTGCAAGCTGTTGCTGGCCTTTGAAATTCCAACATCCCAACGCAATCAGACGACTGTCTGAGATTCCCCTTCCACATAATTGGCAAAGAGCTAGGTGTCCCAAACGGCGGGCTGCCTCAGTCAAACCTCGGGAAGGACTAAATGACACACCAACTCCAATTCCTCGTCATACACGAGTTTCTTGCCGTTCATCGGTCCTCATCCACATACATCTCAATCTGGAGCAATCCCGAGCTAAAGCTCCAACGAAATGCGGGCAATGTTGTATAGCCGGCGGTGACGGCTGGCCTCTTGCTGTGGCATCCGTGCTGGGCTGTCCGAGGATATGCGCTCGTCCGCCAGCTCTTATATCTCTGAATGTATCTTCCATAGCTGTACGACGTGCGCGACTTCAGGCGACTATATACCGGCAGCCTCGATCTGTGACAGATACTACTCGTTCACGGTGCCGGCAACGGTCACCAACTACGCTGATGAGTCAAGTTCGTGCAGACAAAACGTCCTTTACCACGAATAAAACTCATTCAGCTACTACCAACCCCGCTCAAACCGCTGCTAGGCGGAGGCATAAGCAAACTGTGGTCATCTAACCACAATCGAAGTCCTTCTCCATCGAGACAGCCAATTCGGGGTTCTAAGAAATGTCTCTTGATTTATCGTGTCCACTGAACAACCTACAACAATGAGTTCGGTCGGCTCGAATCACTCCGAATCTATTTCCCTCGAGCGATATCTATTCGTTCACTCTGAAGGCCGAGGAATTCAGGAATTCCCACACACCTGTAAGCAGTGCTCGCAGGACGTTCTCTTGGCTAATTGCTGGATATAGGAACGGCATCGTGCGTCTCACGCCATTGGTGTCATGGTCGATGGCGCCGTGGCAGATATCGCATTCATCGGGGCGTGGGGTCAACCATTCAATAGCTCTGTCAACCCGCTTCGAACCTGGTGGGGAACCATTTACCTCAAACATGAAGAGAAAACCTAGCTCGTATGTTCTGCATCTTGTTCTATATATACTCTTATCATGCAGGTTTCAAAAAATTGGGTATCGATCCCTGTCCGACCTGACCACCATCCTCGTGCAGTGGCACATGCTGAGTCCTTTGTATAGATATGCCGTTTGTAACCTCCTGAATCCATCGCCTCGTCCGGCACCGTCTCTTGCGTTTGGGTTGGACACAAGAAACAACAGATGCGGCTCATCTTCGAGCTTGATTTTGTCACGCCTTCTGGTGTTTGGACATCCGGTGGGTGCCTCGGAGAACGCCCGAGGAGAATGTTCGGAGGCTGGTCAGCACTGCAACTGAGGATACCCACGATACCTCATCACTCATTCTCTAGATTGAAAGGTTGTCCACTCTAATCAGATGCTGTTGGATCATCTAATCTGATAAACTCCGCGAACCCTCCATCCAGCTCCGCTATGTACTGACCGTCCATGGTCGAACAGTGCATGGCCTCGATTCAGATCTGGTCTGTATGTCAAGTCCTTTACCGCCTGCCATTGGCGGCCAGTTGCCTATCCGTCGAAAAAGAATAGGTTTGTTTCCCTTCGAAAGTATTGTTCTGATTCGCCTCGGCCACAGTCAATTTTGCTTGCTTGGGAATTGCAATCAGTCTCTAGCCGGGGAGCAGGATCCGTTGGCTCTAAGGAACATGCTGGTGCGATAATGCAGGGTTCTATATTGCGCCATCTGTCAAAGGGGTGGACTTTGCCTGATCACGAAATGGGGGTCTTTGGGTTTTCCTTTGGCTCGGGCTGAGGAGCACAAAAGGAGCAGCATTGGCCCTCTTACTCCGGCTTCCTTTTCTTTTTGGTATATCCCTTTACACTGTTGATTGAACATTGCTATCAGCATTTGAGGATTGAGCACTTCGCTCCTGCTGAAAGTTTGCCGTTTCGCCCGAGGACATTCTCTTTACTTCTCCTTCTTCTCCTCATGGAGGGAGTTCATGTCCTGGCAACGTCGGCTTCCGAAGTGGCTGTCAGCATGGAAAGCTCGCTCCTACCACGGTCTGTACCCGCGGCGACAAAACATCGCTCCGACAAAGTGCATGGCATCATGATGGGGATCACGGTCATCATCGTCTTCCCTTTCGGCTCGATCTGTTGGAGACTGCTCGACCGCGTCGTGAGCGGAAGGACGCTTTTCAGGATCCACGTATGCTGCCAGCTGCTGGGCCTGGGGATGCTCATATCCGGGTTTGGTCTTGGGGCCTGGGTCTGCATTATTCACGACGAGGTGCGTGCAGGAGGTTTTGATTTTGTTGATATATATGTCGATATCCGGCGACCCGAAGGATAGCGTTATCAGCATGCTTCATCAGTCACGCCGCGCTGGATTATGACCCTGACTGACAGACACTTCTCTAGGTATACAACGACGCATACGGCCATGCCATTCTCGGCACTATCCTCACGGCTCTGTTTATTCTCCAACCCCTCATCGGCCAGTGGCATCACTACCTGTACAAATCTCCGAGCCGCAAAGGCAGACCATGGATCCGCAGATTCCACATGTGGCTGGGACGACTACTGATGGCTGCGGCTATTGTGAACGGCGCCACGGGCATCGTGCTGGCTGCCAACACTCCTGGCGGCGAGAAGGGCTACGGCGCGGCGGCTGGGATCGTCGGTGTGGCCTACATTGCGATCGTTCTGCTTTGGTACTGGAACAGAAGCAGACAGAATGTTGAAGAGAGCAGCCGCCGTGACATGCCGGTGGAGGGACACACGGATATGGAAAGCAAAACCATTCCCGCTGTGAATACAAAAGAGACTTTGACGACCACAGCAGCTCCGACTGGACGCGGGCCATGGCATAGACAGACAAGCACCGCCACTGAGTAATTAATCTCGGCGTCAACCCGATGCTATAACACGACTATGATGCGAGACATTGGTTTTACAACGCTCTAGACAAATAGATTGAGGATCCTGAAAAATGCGAGGCGTTCATAACTTCATATCCTCGAGCGCAGAGCTCAGTGGCCCTGTTAAACAAAAGCGCGAAGTATTTCTGTCTCTATTGTGCGTTTTCGTCTCGGGTGTGTCAACATGGCAAGCTGTGTGCCTAGCGAGATATGATCGTCCTAAACAATAAATGTGTAGAATACACGGAGGCTCATACGGTCGACTTACTGTTCCATTCTGCTGTCCAACCCCTCTCCGCCCCTGGAGTTGGGAATCGTAAACGACAAAATCTCAATTGTACGTCGACCGAACTCTCCACCGCCCCTTTAATGTGGCCTTCATGTTGTGAACCGGTGAAGAGGTGAAACTAGAGTACAAAGATGTATTCCGTATACCGCCCCCTATATGCATGAACGCGGCCGCTACCCACACTGCCTAGCCACGGCCGTCGCCCCCCATGAGCCAGCCAACACACCTTTCCTCGCGCGCAACATGTTTGCTCCATCACCACTTGCTCCGAGATTTCGCTTTGAGTCACTGCATCATGGAGCCTCACACAATCAATATCTCGACAAGCAGGGCCGACGGAAGCACGATATGCCCGTGCGCCTCTTTCGCCGAACTCAGACAATGTGGATCGCATCCATCGTCTTGGGAGCATAAGCAATCGCCTTGTTTACTGCTGTTTCTGGCAAGAACGCCTCACCGACCAGCACATACTGCTCGACCATTCCTTCGGCTCCGGACAGCTTTCGCAGCACGTATGGAAATGTGGCCCCTCTGAAGACGGCGATCGCATCACCTGGTATGGCGTCTCCGGGCAGGAGCACGGGTGTCTGCTGTCCCGCGCAGACTCCCAATCGTCGACCGACGCCGTACTTCGTCAATGCCGCTCGAATGGGTCGGAGCGGATGCAAACTCGACTCAGATGAAGCGGGAAGTAGATAACTCTGCGCCAGTTTCAGATTCAGGCCAATGTACTGCATTTTCAACCCGTCTTCGCGCTCGGAGAGAAGGGTGGTGTTATCGTTGGGTGAGTAGCGAAGATGCCTGCTGGCCATTCGGTCTGTGGAGAGGAAGTTGACCCAAAACATATCCTTTCTCTCGTGGATGCCGTATTTCGCTCCGTATTGGTATCCATGAACCTCAACGTGTCCAGCCTCTTGTGCCTTCTCGGTGAACTGTTGCCACGACTGGTACAATTCGTCGAGCTGCCCTGTAGTTGCACTATGCGGGACGACGGTATCGCAGATTGTGGTCACAGAGTCCAAGATGAACCCCTTGGCAAGCAGGGTGTCTTGATCGAATTTGACGCTTGGTTCTGCGGTGGAAATATAGTGCCTCGCGTCGTCAGCTTCGAAGGGGCGATACTTCCAGTCGTCGATCAGGTTAGGTACCCAAGATGGTAGGTCGTGGCACCGCTCATGATTCTGGCAAGCACCCAGAAGGCGCAACCCATTTTTCTGTGGCAAGATCGCGCGAGCTGCCGACTTCAACACTTCGGGCAGAGAGAGTCGATAATCTGCTCGGAGAAGGTAAATTTCCGGATCTGCCAGTCCCAACATCGAATAGATCTTGTCTCTCAGATCTGTAGCTTTGCAGTGGCGAAAATGAAGGAGCAGATCCTGTAGAGGAAGAAAGGAGCGACCTGCGTGGGAGGCTTTCCTCAAAGCACGAATGCTTCGTGCCTGGTGGTAGAAGCTGAAACCAAGCATGCTGTCTCCAGCTTGACGGTCATCGACATCAGAACAAAGACCTGGGATTCGGTGGCCCAGGCTGTCCGCATACTCAATGGCCATCACAGCTTGTGTGTGATATCACGTCAAAGCTGACACTTTGATCGCCCCAACTGACTTGTGTGCGCGATCCCAAGGAGACTTCTTGACGGATCCCTAGAAAAAATCCGTTAGTCCTGTATCTCGATTGATTCGGTAATGGTGAAGATCCTTTTGAAAGCGAAACAGGGTGCAAAAATACTTACAACTTCGTTCCCACCAAGATTGCTCCAACAATAGACGAAGGGCTTGCCAATGTTTCTGCACATCGCCTTCCGAAAATCTTGGATATTCAACTTCCTTCTCCCCAGGACCTCGGGTAGGGGGCCGACCAATCTTGTTAACAACGTCCATGGCGAGTTCAGACCCCTCAATAGCATCGCCTAGCCAGATATGAACTGACTGGGCTCCCCTGTAGATGCGGCGCATCAATGAGACTTGATTTCCTCGCTCTTCAATGTCTCCTTGGTTGATGCCTCCAACGAGTCAGCTTCATCGTCGTTCGCACCCGAGTGGAAAAAAAGAATCACTTACAGATCTGGTCAATCCACCAGAACGTCTTTGGAGAAGAAGCCCTAGTTGCCGCCGCTTCCTTTGCGGCTCTCTTCCTCATCTGACGCAAGGCGCTTTCCAAATTCTGTGTGACCCGAAACACATGACCGTCGACGATGACACGCCCATCCATCCTCGGGTCGCCCCAGCAATATGACATGGCGTTGTACTTCCTCAGTCGCGCAACTTGATTTTCCTCGAGACTAACATGCACTACGGAGCCTCTAATGTCTTCCGAGTCATCACCCGCATCGTGCAGGGCAAACAGGCGAATTTCGGCTTTTCCGAAATCGAGCGCCTTGTATTCATACGGCCCGTCAGAGACCTGTGAGTTTGGAGCGCCTTCGGGTTGAGAAGTAGAGAGAAGGGCGTCTGGCTCTCCATCCGCCGGCCCAATCCCGTCGGGCAGTGAGATGTTCAGGTGTTTCAATATAGCGTTCACTGCGAGATCGAGTCGATCCAATTGCTGTTCAAGGCCCTGTAGACGGTCCCAGATAGGCGCAACCATTGGGTGCTTTTCAAAGTTGACTCCGAAGCTGTGGGCCATGGCGAAAGCACCTGCTACAGGATTGTTGGAGATGAGTAAGAAAGCACAATAAGACTTTGGCCAAACTCGTGGTGAACCAAGCCGAAAAAGCGCCTTTCAGAGGATTCTTGGATTAGTACGGAACAGGAGGAGAGGCGTTTGGTGAGAGAGAGGGAATGGGCGAGTAGACAGTATCATTATATCGAGGGCTCCCTCGTATTCCTTCAACTCTGAAACGAATATCTCGTACTCGGTATTGATTTCAGTCCTCTACGATTCCCAAGAGGTATGTGATTGGTCACTGTCATTCTCAGTTTCACGACTCGAGACTATGCAGGGAGAGCGTAACATGATGGCATCCCGGCCCCTCAGAATGGAAAAGGGGTTTAGGGCAAGGCTCGCTTAAACACGGGGTCATTGACGAGGCTGGCACCAACTTGGGAGCCAAATCTCTTGCCGCTCCAATGACGCGCAACAAAAACATGCCCCTCGTCTTTAGCCGACTTTCTTCGATATGGATGCCTCACGGTTACAAATCCAATGGCATCTTCGGAACAACACCGCAATCTTCGTCCGTGCCCTGCACATCCTCGACCTCGACCTCCTCCCAGACTGGTCTAACATCTCCGACTCGACATTCCTTTCTGCTCCCGCAAAAGCCTCCACCAATACAACAAGTACAGCACAAAGCCAACCCCGGAACCGCATAAAGTCCCTCGAATGGGCCCTCTTCCATCTCTTCCGCCTGTATTCCCCCATCGAGGCAGCCTCAAGACTCTCGCCGTCTTTCCCACCTGCAACACCGATACAGTCGAGGGATCTGAGAGCCGGGATATACAAATGGCTCGCGGAGCTGAAGCAGAGCGGCGAGTTGCCGAGAGAAACGGTGCTGAGAAAGACAATGCTGGACGAGTGCAAAGGCGACAAGTTTGAGGAGTTGGTCGCGAGATTCGCCATGCTCGTGGTGAGGAAGACGCTGGCACAAGACCGAGGTGAAGCAAGCAACAGACAAGTCAGACAAAGGGAACACGATATAGGGCGTCAGAAGAGGAGCACCACCGAAGGAGACAGGCGCCATGACCCGGAGTCATTATTGCCCTTGATTCTCGCCCATCGAGTCTCTCTGCAGCACTCGCTCTGCAAACGCCAGGACCTCAGAGACAAGGCTACGTCGTATGCGCAAAAGCTGGCTCAGCTGCGGAAGGACGTCGCGAGCGGCTTGCAGGATATTTCTCAGCGTCCCCCCGCCGCCGACGATGATAATGCCGAGATCATCCTATCTGCAACGGAACACAAATCGCTGAGTGAGCGAATCAACCTTGCATTTGCGAGTGATCGCCGCTGGGCACGATATATCTTGGAGGGCGCCCCTGCTTCGTCGACTCCTGCTTCTGCCCGAGACCTGCCGGAGTGGCCCTTCGAAAACCCCCTCCCATCCACACCTCAGTCCGCAGGTACGGTGATGCCGTCAACGGATGAGGCGACTGATGCAGAAGACGAAGAAGCTAACCAACCAATGCGCCAACTACAATCTTTGATTTCTCAGCACCAGGAGCGAATCGCGCGACTCACAGCCGTACGCGACTCTCTAATCTCCGCTTCTAAGTCGAAAGGCCAGGCAGGAGAGACACCTCGTCTGCCTACTCCGCATTACTCGACCGAGACGATCCTGGAGAGGGCAGCAGAGCCGCATACCAGCGCGAGCAATATCCCGTCGACTCGCTCGAGGCCTCGGTTTACCCAGCACCAAGACCTGATAGTGACTTGGAAAAGCTAGGACCTCAATCAACCCTCTTTCATTCCTTTGCACTGAGTTATTTCGGGATCAGTGTGAGGTAACTTTCCAGCTCACCTACTGATCAATGAACACGGACCCCATCCTTGAGGAGATAAATGTCCAATCAAATGAATGGCGTTCGTCACAATTTAGGTGTCTCACCACACAACCTGATTTACATACCTACCGGCCGCCAATCTAGCCCGTTGTCTCCTCAGATCGACTCCTAAGTATGTGGACTTACAGTGTGGAGAGAACATAACTTGGCAGAGACTTCCAAGAATCAATATACTGGACTCTACTACAATTCAAGCCACACATCAATTCAACATGTCGGTTGTGCCGTCAGATCTTTCTTCTACCATTCCATTCGTCAAGCCATCTAAGAGATGCGCAGAAAAAGAGTCTAGGATATGTTTCTCATCATCCGAAAATGTGAAATCGTTCAATTGGGAATTTGCCGTTAGGGGTATCATGTCTGACACGACGTTCCAAAGGAAGAAAAGAGAGGGTACTGAAGACAATATGAACAAGAAAAGCAGAATGGGCAGTGACTGACCTCTCTGCCCCCTTCTCCCCAGCGATTCCCCGGACGGTGTGAGCTGCCCATGCTCCTGTCAGTCCTCCCTCTTCATAGGTGCCGGATTCTCGTTTTGGGCGGATTCATGCTCACAACATCAGCCAACCTCGCCGTTCCATTCGCTCGACGGGTCGACTCGTGCATGAATCTAGTTTGATTCGGCACCCGATACTTCACACCACTCTCCACATTCTTCCCCATCGCCGTCTCGACACTCGTCCTCGCCCTCGTTCTCAGGAAGCGGATCGCACTACGACCATGCTCCTAGACCAGGGGCCGGGCGTTCATCCTGCCTGTTCCAGCTCCACGTGTCCTTCGTTGTGTCTCTATCTAGGGGTCCATCTCCGAAGTATCCTTCATCTACATCCCCGTCATTCTGGTAATCTTCAACCTCAACCTCGACTCGACTCCCCAACGCTGCCTGCCCTTCCTTTATCATCGCCTGCAATTGCATGTTGAACCGATTCATCGTCGCGTCTTGCTTAGCTTCTTTCCGACGAAGTTTTTGTTCGAATTTGCGGACTTCGGGAGACTGCTTTGGTGACGTGGGGGTTGAAGCGGATGACAGTCGACGAGAAGTAGAGAGTGAAGCCCTGTGGGTGCTAGAGATACCGCTCGGGCGCTTTGAAGGCTTGTCTGAGCTGTAACGCTGGTCGATCGCAGAAGCTGCGGAAATGGAGTCCCAAAGCTGATGCTGTGATGGCGCGGTGTTGCAGGCGCTCGCGCTCATTGAAACCCGCGGCGATGCATATGACGCTGACGATCTAAGTGTCGATGATCGAGGCGTCAAGCGAGGGCGAGATAGAGGGTGGCTTGAATGGCGGGGCGCAGATGATGGTCGGGATGCAAAGAGGTTCGCCGTGCTTGCTCTGGATTTCTTGCGTACGGGACTGGATTCCGTTGATGCTGACGTGTCGTTGGCACCATCAACCACTACCCAACTATTATAGCGGGAGATCGATGGAGAATCTTGGTCTGGTAAGATGGCTGAAGCTGAATTGTTCTCCTGGCTGGGTTGAACAGACAGTCTCGACATGTAATCCTCGATAAATTCAGGTCCATCTCCAGGAAACCCACCAGGAACAGGGGTCCGCTCTCGGTCAAGTCGCCTTGAGTCGGCAGTAGTGTCGTCATTGTGAAATACATCGGGTTTTGAATCAATTTCCGTCCAGACACTAGAAGAACCGACATCTGGGGGTCCGATATCGAACTTGTACCCACCGCCCCCGCCGGCGTAAAAGCCCTTGAAGGTAGTATTCCAACAGAAATTGAAGACTCTGCCTGCCAAACCACCAGTCAAAGCCCAAACTGTCTTTCCCCAGCTCTTCATTGGTGGCGCCGGGGGCGATAGTCTCCGTTTACTCCTCCGGCACCGATCTGGGGCTGGTGTCTGTGGGAAGTAGGACTCTGACGTCTGGAGCGACTTTTGGCTGTTGTACCTGTTAGGCCTGCAGTCGATCTCATAGTCAAATTCATGGGCATCGTCTTCCTTTTGGATGTCTAGTGCGGTAGGCGTATCCAAACCACCTGCGATGCGGTAGTTTGTGTTGACGAGAGGCGGGGGACTGAGGGCTTCTCGCCAGAATGAGGATTCTGAGGTGGTGTAATGGTCATCGTAGACTGACTTCGTGTCAAGTCGCGGTCGCTTGCGGCTATGCTGGTGATCATCTTCTGACGGGTGAGGACCGTTTGCAGTCTCCAGCGGTCTCGAAGGTCGTGGCTGCGACCAGGCAGCTGATGAATCGGGAGTAGGATTGCCGTCCAGGGGAGGCAGAAATGGAGAGGCTTTGAAACGTGCGCAGCGCAGCGAAATGTCGTTCTCGGGCAGATATGAGCCTAGCACTAGGCCTGAAGGTTCCATGACTGCAGCCATTTCGAGAAACAGGCTGATCAGGCGGTATCGTATGGTCGGGGCGATAGTCTAGGAAGGACTGACTAGAATCATCCGAGGCTTGAAGATGACATTGTCGGTGCGAAAATGATGATTATGATTCAGATCTCAAAGACGGAAACGGAGCAGGTGATGAGAGATTCAGGCTGCGCGTGATGAGCTGGCAATGAGATGTCGTGGTACAATCAGACTCCAGGCTCCAGCTGGCAGAATACGAGGAGAGCGCAGACAGCAGGGCGCAGAGAGCGACAAGTCACGAGTGAGGAGGCAGTGAATTGTGGAGATGGCGTCATTGTTTACTGGGCGCGGTTGACACGGCAATCATTTCAGCTTCCATTTCACCATCGCCGCTTCACTTTTCACTCTGCCGAGTATGAGGTACCCATCTCGACGACCAATTCATCGAGCTATTCACTGAACAACTACTCTCGCCCTGACATGTATCACGCGTGTTAAATTTCCCTGAGAATCTCTTCCTCTTCTTTGTTGTGTTTCGCTACGTCGGAGATCTGGCACCCCTCCTTCCGGTGCAGTCACCCGCTTCCGTCCCAGCAATTATGGGATTGGCCATGTGAAGTGCTTCAACTCTCGGCGCAACGCATCTGTAAGTGCCTATACAGGCTGATACGTATGCACACTTCCGGCTGTTGGAAGAAACACATGTCGCTCTCAAGCCGGAAAAGGAGGAGAGGGAAGGGGAAGACGCAGTCCCCCAGAAGGGCGTATGCATAGTCCGCCGGTTTTACACTCATTCGCTGACATGCGCCATGGTCTGCGTCTACCCTTAAGGATCCAGTGTCCGCCCATTTTCCACTGCCTTCTTCGCTCCTTTCTTTGCGGTGATACCAACTCGCACAAACTGCCACTTATCTTTGAAAACATCTCTTGTTTCGCTAAAGAAGCTCAATCTCTGGGCAAGATGGATAGCAGAAATCAATTGAAAGCACATTTTGATCGCTCAATGGAGTTCGAGGAGCGGGAATGGGAGTTGGCGAGGTGGAGATTGGACATGGATCGGAGGAAGCATGAGGCCGAGAGACGCCTCAGAAGTTTCATTGACCTCGCCGATGTGGTTGAGATTAAAGACGAGCAGTCGGAAGGAAACCAGACCGACAGCCAAACCACTGTTGGAAACACCCCGCAGCCACCTCTCCCGGCTCTTGAGACTCCAACACCACTCACTGCAGATAGCATGGACGGCGAGCGATGTAACGTGCTCACTTCCAAGCAGCAGCATGCGGCTCATGAAATTTCGGCATCCAAAACAATCCAACAACCTCAGAAGATGACTTCTCATCTCCAAGGTGCGTATAATGCGAGACGACATATTGACTAGGTTAGCTCAACTCACTCTCCTTTAGAGGCCTCACATCCCTTGACTGATAATATCCGAACCTTGATGTCGGCCACAGTCAACAGCAATGCTAATCTCGCTATACACACCCCATCGGCAGCAGAATCACGAAATCAGGAGAATAATATCAGTCGGTGTGAGCATCTAGATTTTGATGATCTCTTGCAGTCTAGTTCAGAACCACTAGAGCCCAGAGGCTCGACTCCACCGGTTCGTGCACCCAAACGACGAGCTGTTTCTATGCAGGAACCTCGGCGGGAAATTGAAGCCTTGGACAATTGTCTCAAGAACAAACTGATTTCCCACTACAAAGACCTCTTGTTGAAACACTTCCAAGAATCTGGGGAGTTGGGCAGATGTGAGGACAAGGTGCCAGGTCGGACTCAAGTCGGCCAGGCTGTGATGGACGTGCGCCGCACGATCAAAGGACGGAGGTATGAGAGCTTGTCTGATGTACATGATGAGTTCAGCAGAAAAGTCGAAAGCCGTGTGTTGGACCGCGATCTACGCCGCTCTGTTCAAGAGGAACTAGGCAAATTTGTTCAAGCCGGGCAACATTGGTGGGCACAGTGCACGGCAATGACAACCCAACAGGAGAGACTGTCCTTTGTGACATCTGTCGTCCAAGAAATTGCAATGGGCCAGTTCGAAGCTGTTTGAGTTCGGATGAAGATGAAGCAGGGCAACTTGTGAGCAGGAAAGGGACAAAGGCTCCTTTGGTAAGTCATAGAACCATGAAGCCACTATCGAGTCGAATAAATATGAAGAGCTAGTCAGCCTCAACGTCTGGACCTCATAAAGAATAAACAGAGGAGACTAAAGACGGCAACATCCGAAATCCCTGTTCATGACTCCAGTGCATAAATTTCTTCTTGTCCCCATATGTACCCTGAAACATGGATCTGGTTGTCGCTTAAAGGCACTTTTGTGGGGTGACATGTCAGCAACGCGTGAGCCGTGGCGTGATAAACACCAAAACTTGCTCCCATGATAGATGTCTTCGATACCCGAGAGTTGAATGCATTCTGCATCGCAAATGCCGGTAGCCGGATATCTGATATCCAACCGCCGCATAAACCTCGCTTACAGCCCCTCACGCCTAGCTATTTAAAACAGTACTGGTTTGCACTACCACCACCACCACCACCACCACCACCACCACCACAACCTATGAAGTGGTACTGGCATAGACTAGGTCAAATTCTCGTATTTTCAGTTCTTGCAGCTCTTCTCTCTATGCTCGCTGGTCGGTTCCGGATGACGTCGTCTATTACCCAAGCTACAGCCGCGCCCTCCCGAGTTATCGTTGTCGGTTCAGGTCTAGCAGGTCTCTGTGCCTCTTCCGAGCTCGTCGCCAGAGGGGTGCCAGTCTATATTGTCGAACGCCAGCAGAAGCCCGGCGGAAACTCGATCAAGGCGTCGAGCGGGATCAATGGTGTCCCCACGCGGTTTCAAGCCCCGGGGTCGGACACGGTGGCAGAGTTCTACGCCGACACACTGAAATCGGCCGGGGCAAGCTTCAGGGCCGCCAAGACAGAGGCAAGGCAGAAGCTCATTTCGGAGCTGACGAGTTCCTCGGCGTCGGCGATCGATTGGCTCGTGGATGAAAAGGGCATCGATTTGTCTCGCGTCGCCCAGCTGGGTGGCCACAGCCACGCTCGAACACATCGAGGAGGGGGCGCCACTCCGCCCGGAGCCAGCATTGTCTTGACACTGTTGAAACTGCTCCAAGCGAGTCCTCTTGTGACTCTCCAAACAGGTACGACCGTCACAAGGATTCTAAAGTCGAACAATGGGGAGGTTGTAGGAGTGGAAGTCTCCCGCGAGGGCAAACCGGAGACGATTGAAGGGCCCGTGATATTCGCGGCTGGCGGGTTTGCGGGTGACTCGTCCGGCCTGCTCGCTCAATATCGGCCAGACCTAGAGGGATTCCCATCCACAAACGAAGCTCTCCCGGGGTCCCAGTCCTTGTTGGCTGATGTCGGCGGGCATCTGGTCGATATGGAACAAGTCCAGGTCCACCCAACGGGATTTGTGGATCCAAAGGAACCATCCAAGCGGACCAAATTCCTGGCGGCCGAAGTCTTGAGGGGAGAGGGTGGAATCCTCCTGAGACAGGGCAAAAGATTCATCAACGAGTTGAAGATAAGGAAGGAGGTAACAGATGCTATTATGGCGCTGCCTCCCAAAGACTTACAGCCGACCAAACAGTGGGATATCCAAATCTTGTTGGACGAGGCCGCGTATGAGACCGCAAAGGCACACATCGACTTCTATATCTGGAAAGGGCTGATGCAGAAGACGACAATATCAGAACTGGAGCATCCCGAGATGGCTTTGGAGTCGATGAAGGAATACGCTGCCACAGTGCAAGGCAAACATTCCGATCCTCTAGGCCGATCATCATTTGGCCATTGGGGACTAGAAGATCCGCAACCGGAATCGACAGTCTACGTCGGCACCGTGACCCCAGTCGTGCATTACACAATGGGAGGTGCCATATTTTCGACCGAGGCAGAAGTCCTGGACGACAGCGGGAAGCCAATCAAGGGCCTGTGGGCGGCAGGGGAAGCCACAGGTGGCATTCACGGAGAGAACCGGCTGGGAGGAAGCAGTCTGCTCGAGTGCGTCGTGTTTGGACGGATTGCGGGTCGAAATGCTGCCAATTTCTTGGGGGCCAAGGCTCTGTAGACTGGGATGGTGAGACCAGTGGCCCGATTCTGAGAGTCGTGTCTGTTGTTGAGTCGACGATGGACGAGGCTCCAGGCTCAATTACAACACACTCGGTCGCTCCCCCGGCAGACACTTTGACCGGGTCTAGAGACCTGATGGTTCAGGGGGTCAAGTACTCGGTACCGAGCAGGGAGTAAAAGGTTACGCTTGCCAAGGTCTATACTCAGTAAGTTACCACTTCTTGGTAAACTCAGCAACACATGAAATTTCTTGGCACTCATGTATATAACTCTTCTTTCCCCTTCTCTTTCCTCTTCTCTTCCGTTGTTCGGTTCTTCAACAGTCCTCTTGTCCTCCGTTGTTCGGCTCTCCACAGTCATCTTCTCTTCCGTCGTCCTTTACAGCCTTGCGTCGCCATGAATTCTGCGAATGACGCCGAGGCCGAATTTCTTCACGAAGATCGCCTTGCACTACTTCAGAATCTGGAGAATGCTCTCGACTTTGCAGTGGTCCCACCAACAATCTGGGCGTGCCTGTGGCTCTCTGATATTGCGAATCTACGGAATTTAGTATCACGAGTTCAGCAGGACTCAATCCCCTGGCCATCACATTTCAGAAACATTGAGAGTGAACTCCAACTGGTCAAAATGTGTACGTTAACAAGACGCATCTTACTCTTGCAAATTGCGAATATTGTTTAGGGACTCAACGAAGTGCATCAGCCTCTGACGCCTCCACTCCACTTCAATCTCTCACCCCACAAGGCCAACAAGGTGGATCGGCCTCTAATTCCTCGACTCCACAAACACTTGCCAACCCTTTATTTACATCCCCCTTACGAGGCGACCGTGGACGCAAGAGGACCGCCAGTGGACAGCCGCGCCCGTTTCCAGCAGAGAGTAGCTCTGCTGGAAGTGGCCGCCGCTCACGGAGTGCGAGAGACCTCGTAAGTCCTCGAGCTCTATCTTAGTCCGAACAGTTTGGTTCATACTAATAACAAAATCAACTATTTAGTGTCAAAAGAGAGATAAATGGAAATGTGTCCTAACAAAGGACGACGGCGCCGTTGAAGTTGCCCACATTTACCCGTTCTGCATGAGGCACGTAATCGATAGTCCCCCAGCCGCAGGTCGCACAGTCACCTTTTGGAATGCCTTGAGACTGTTCTGGTCCGAAGACCGTGTGAGGGCTTGGCTAAGATCAATATTCCCTGCAGGGACAGAAGTTTGCAATAATATGATTTCTCTCACGGCGACCGCCCACAAGTATTGGTCAAATGGTTACTTCGCCCTAAAGCCGGTCGAACTCTCAGATGACCAAAAAAGACTCCAGGTACGGTTCTATTGGCTGTCAAAAAATCCATATGTTCCGATTGCCAACATCACGACGTTTCCATCGCTGTCGTTGGAGGATTCAGATCACGGTCCAGGCGCAGCCAGGTTGTTTGATCATGAGGACTGCAAGGTGATTCGTTCCGGAGATACTTTCACTCTCGAAACCGACGACCCGGACTCACAACCACTTCCTGACTTCAAGCTGCTGGAGCTGCAGTGGTTCTTGCAACGTCTCACAGCGCTAAGCGGGGCGGCTGATGCTCCAGACGACGACGACGACGACGACAGTGAGTTCGGAGACGAATATGGCAACATATATGAGTCAGACATAGACGTGGGGGGACCGGTCGAAGGGAGGGAGCGATTTTAGGAGAGGCGTTTCCCTTTCCGACCACTGGGATTCCAAGGGGTTCAACAAGGGGTTCTGCTGCATCTTCGCGGGGGCGCAGGGCATCCCGGGGACTTTCTGGGTTACGACCAAAAGGAGGAGGCAGAGGAGGAGGAGGAGGAGGAGGAGGAGGAGGAGCGGGAGGAGAACTGATTTTCGAACATTTCAGGCATCTTCGGGGTACAGTTTCGCTTGTCTCTCCTTCCACTCCTCATAGTCCATCACATCGGCGTCCTTGTTCCTGGTCTCGGGGATGGTGAAGAAGGTAATGATGGCGCCCAAGACATTGCAGGCGAAAAACACCCATAGGACGTTGGCGAGCCCGATGATATTCGGCCCGCTGAGATAGTTGAACAGCAGTGCGGACAGGATGGCCCCCAGTTTTCCCACGGCGGCGCTGGTGCCGTGCGCCAGCCCACGCACCCGTGAAGGATAGACTTCAGCCGGGATAATGAATGTCGTGGAGTTGGGACCGAAGTTGAAGAAGAACTGCAATTGCCAATACAGTTAAGAACTCATTACGTAATGCAATGGACAATGTTTTTGACGTTAGACGTACCTGGGCGAAAGCGAAGCAGACGAATTTTCCCGCAGTCCCAAGATGGTCGTAGTCGCCAGCTATGATGGCAAACATCAACGCAACGATCAGGAACCCTTGTATCTGGATCCACCGCCTGCCGAGCTTCTCGATAAAGTAGATGGTGAAGAAGTATCCGGGAACGTAGCCGGCCACGGCAATGATCAGGTTCCCAATTGCGTTCCGCATCAGCAGGTCGTACTCATTCTTGCCGGTGTTGAAGCCAATCTCATCGAGCAGGACGGATTGGTTCAGGTTCGTGCCATAGAACGCCACGTCGAGCAGGAACCATGTGGATGTCGTTCCCAAGAGGACCTTGAGGTGCTTCCATTTGCTGAAGTAGACAAAGAAAGCCTTGTATTTCGTGCGACCTTCGGTGCTAGACGTGGGGTTGAGCTTGTTTTCATTGGCCGCAGTCGTCGCATCGATAGAAGAAGAAGAAGGGCCGACATTCGTTGAGACACTGGGGTTGCCGAGTGAGTCGAGCTCCGGTTCCTGCGCAGGCTTTGAATTGTCGTGGTTTTTGGCTCCATTGGAATTCGGCGCGGCCGAGTGACCGTTCAGTTCGCGAGATTGCAGGTACTTCCTACCTTCAGGCATTGTAAGACGAAAGTAAAGTGTGGCGAAAGCCGGAACAAGGCCAAGGCCCATCTGGATTCGCCAAACAGCATCCAATTGGCCGTAGTGTCCTTCTGCACCCAGGGCGTGGCTGAACGACGCGAGAATGATGATCGTCGCAATGGAACCTGTGAGCGTACCCTAAGAGACAAAAACCGAGTCAGTTGAAAAGGCACTTTAGAAATCACTGCACAACTTGCTCAACACAGAGCTTCTGGCGTCCCGATAGCTCTTCAATGTCAAGACTCACCCAACCCTGGTTAGAAAAGATCCATCCCAACAGTTGGCCACGCTTTGGCAGCAGGGACCTCTCTGACACGATGGATGCGGACATGGGATAATCGCCACCGATACCCACGCCCATAAGTACTCGAAAACAAAAGAGCCAAATCATCTTCAACGTTGGTGTTGGTATGTCGTTGGGCAGGCTGATGGTGAGGATAGTGCCAATTATCACGACGATTAGCTCCTTTCCGTACACGAATTTTCGACCAAAAACGTCTCCGAGAAAGCCGAATGTCAGCTGTCCGATGATGTTGCCGATGTTGGAACCTGCATTGACGAGACCTCGGAGGAGAGGCGGATAATGAGGTTTACGACCATCCAGCCCTCCCCAGTATCTGAAATAAAGAATCACGTCTTAGTTGCTGGACGACCTCGAGAGTGTGTTGGTGGAGGGGAGAAGCTTACTCGTAGAGCCAGACTGGCGTCACCAGGTTAATGATGAACAGATCATAAGAATCAAGGAAGAAGCCGACGCTGCCAATTATATCATTAGTAGTCGTTGATTTGTGTAGCCAGGCAGGTGGACCGTACCCAGTAATAGCAAACATCTTGAGGTCGCCCTTGGTCAAGTTCCACCTGTTCCTCTCGGTAGCGTTATGCGAGGATTTCTTTTGATACTCCTCCTATTCACACCGATGAGTCCAAAGAGCGTGTGCAAAGGAGCCAAGGCAAGCTCACAAACGTCACCGGTCTCCCATCGTCGTCTCTTCGCGCATAGCCATCGTCCTCCCACTTCATAGTGGGCTATGGAAAAGATGATCAAGAAAAGAAAACCGGGGTTTCAAAAGGTAGTGGTGGTTTTGTTGGAAGTTAGGAACGCCCAATTGTGTTTCGCAAAAGGCATCAGATGGGTCCAAAAATCGTTTTTGTCGGCCTTGATCTCAAGCAGGACACTTTCCATTGACTTGTCGTCCGACGAAGGGCGGTAGTACATATAGTACAACGCCAAATGCATGCCATTGTGCATAACTGTCGCCACAGACGGTATGCCATGACCGTGCAAAAAGAAAACATACTCGATAACTTCCTAGAAGCGCAACTGTGTGGTAGTGTTGTCGAGGGCTCGAGGTCGACAACAAGACCAGCATTGCAAAACGTGTTGTAGGAAACCCCATTGATTGAACCAGATCTAAAAGCCTCGTGGGCCTCGAGATTTCAGCGCTAGCCTATGGTGTGATGTGTTGATAGATAAAATATAGCAAGGGAGAGATCGCACAATAGCGCGTGAGCTTTTGGGGTCGCCGGTTGTCCAATTGGAAGGCGTGAGGCTGAACCTGGAAAAGGCGCGTGGTCACATGATAGCCGCACACAAGCGGAGTGACTTTATTGGACGGCGTGAGTGCTACAAGGATAGGTATACAAGTACAAGTAGAGTATACTTGTACAAGTCTGGGGGCTCTGGGAAGACGTCAGCCTACATAGACTTGCACAACCGGTACCAGCCGGCGGCGCCGAGGGGGCCCAGAACTGGGGAAGCCCCCCAGGTGCTTTAGGGGCTCCATTGCCCCTGCTTGGTAGGCCAAGGGCGCCGTTCGAACTTCAGTTCGTCTGGCAACGTGTGATGCCGATGTACGGCAACATTCGGCTATGGTTGGTTAACGGCCTAAATAGAAGTACAGAGTACATTGGTCCATCATCCACTGACAGCAGCTGCTTCACCCTCGTGCACTCCTCCGTTACCCTCGACAGGCAGCTGGGAATTATATCCGTCCTCTCGTCCCAATCGTCTTCCGACCTGAACTGTCGCATGGGCAAACTTATATATATCGTACCATTTATTTGGCCTCTGACGCTGTTAGTTCATGTTCCTTTGACCCTGAGATTCTGTTGAAGGTCTCCTACTCATCTGCCCGAGAGTTTCCCTAGCCTGTATCTGACGAATAAGCTTTTCTCTCCCTGGGGTATACCGTTCCTGACCGTTCAGAAGGAGACAGGCGCGCATGGTCCAATGCGGCAAAGTCTGAGAACGATTTATCCCCATGAGCAGACAATGGAACAATCACGTCATGTCACGGATAGACCAACTTTGGTCGCTTTTCGCCGCCACTTGCTTCCGGCTCGCTCTCTCAATTGAGCGATGATCTAAGATCGAGTTAGGTTACATGTCTCTATATTGTCGGACGTAACATCATGGATGCCGAAGCTGCTGCGTCGGGATGGGGTTATGCGCCTGACAAGCCACCCACTTCAGCACCCGGTCTCCTGCATAACACCCTGCCACCTTTGCTCTTTCAACCCTAGCACCACTCTCATCTCCTCTTCCGCACGCTTCTTTAATCCCTCTCCTTCGGCCAGACGGTCTTTGTCGATGGTCTGCTTCGCCTGCTCCTCCCGCTTCTGGACCAGACTGAGCACATCCGTCAATGCGCTATCCTCCAGCCGTTTTCGTACATCTGTGCATATTCTGTGCCGCCAGTAAATCACCCCATCTCTACTCAACCCCCGATTTGAGAGATCACGCAGCCAATTCTCGACCTTGTCGCCGGTGACTCCAGACGGGGTCGAGATTCCCAAAATCGCATCAAATATGTCAAGCATGAGGAAGATCGTGTAGATGTTGGTGGGGTTATGTCGACCGACCAAGCGCTGTGGATTGACGAGAAAATAAATCCGAAGTATGTTGACCACGGCTTCGTCCAAGGCCTGCTGCTTCAACCCTTCCAGAATGAGTCTCATCGCCATCTCGGGGAATTTGCCCGTGGTGTAGAGCGCGGGATATTCGAGGAAGCGCTCTGACTTGTCCATACCGGCGGCGGCCCTTCGAAAGGCGTCAAGGCTTCTTTTTTCTGGCGCGAGATGGCGTGAAACCGACTCCGTCCATTTGTCAAATTGGGTGGGGAGACTCGGTTGAGTAGCAGCTAGGTCTGTAGCGGCATTAACATCCGAGAGGCATTTAGGACAGTGGCACGTAAAGAAGTAGTCCTCCATCAATTTCGCTCTCCGGGCATTCGCCGACGCCGTGGGAACAATGTAGCAGTTAAGGAGCTCTTCACCTTGCTGGATGTCTCTCAGGGGAATGACGTGGACGAATGTCCGGCGCTCATCGTCTGAGAGTTGTGTAGAGCTCATCCAGCGGCTGCTCATGGTATGTTGAGGCCTATGGACGGCCAGATTAGGTTCACAACTGTGGTTGAATTTGGCCACGAGAGGCTCCAACATAACCCCTATTCCCCCCTGGATCGGCGTGGGCAGCTCGGTCGCGTTGGACTTCACGATGAAAATGAGCCTCTGAATCGTCTCAATGCCCATGCTGGACGCGGCCAGATGTTTGATGCCTTCGGCCATGTCCGTCAGGTTTGACCGACCTCGGGCAGCAAGGATCTGTTCGTGAGAAACTAGCTGCGAAATGCGGCTCCATTCGTCGCTAGGCAGGACATCTCGGTCCTTGAGGAGCACTACCCGCAACACCGCCCTAAGAATGGCTGGGGGCAAGTTGTTTTGCAGCCTTTTGAAGATCTTACATTCGTACTTGTGATACGCATGCCAGGCGTCAACCTGGCAGTCTTTACTGCAGAAGCGAGCAGAACGACAGCCGTTGCAGATCTTGAGTTGGATAGATGTGTGTCCATGCCCTGGGAGGGGTAGGGGACTCTCCGTGACAACCAGGCAATGATAGCACGTCATCGGTAAAAAGTCCGAGTCGATCGCCATCATGGCTGGGAAGTTTAATGAACAGACCGGGTCTTTCACGGACAAGAACTGTTTTGCGAAAACTCCTTGACCTTTCCCAGGTATCTGCTCGACCTTGAGGGTGTTTTCATATCTGCAGTCGATATAAGACGCCTCCGGGGCGTTGCGTTGTTGAATGAGCGAGTCAATAAGGGCGTCCAACTCAGCCATGGCTTGGATTTGCTATTGCGTATCTGGGTGAGCTGTAAGCAGTGGGGATTCGCAATGGACCAGAGACAGTTACTTCAATATGGACGTCTTGGGATGCAACAAATTGCGCGGACTGCTGGTTAGACTGATTCCTGTGTATGCGTTCAATGTGGCCAGGAGTCACGATCGAGCCCGATTTCAGCTAAGCGACTGGCCTACGGTGTTAATTGGGCACTGGCATTTGATAGACTCTATGCCTCTTCGGTCAACTGGTGCTAGGGCTATTTGGGAGTTGTTCGAGATTTGACTGCGAAGAAATGTGCGACCCTCCACGTGCGCTTACTTATGATCTTGGCTTGCCCTATTAACACAAGGCTCCTTTCCCTTGGTGGGCCTCTCCGCGGAGAGAGTTCGGCTAGCAATGTGTCTCCCTAGATTACTCGCGAACTAAAAACCTCATTGCCATGTACGGTTCAATCCTAGAGGGTGAGGTAACAAGCCAGCGACGATGGTTATCTGCTTGAAAATCCTTGGCTAATAGAGGTCGCGGTGGTATCAACTTTGATAGAGCTGAGAGGCATGCTTGCGTGAGCTGTACTATTGTACTCTTTCTCCAAAGTTGAGCAACAATGCAAGGCTTATTGAAAATTCGACAACTCACATTCTGACTTCGACAGCTATCGCGATAGTGTCTACTTGACGTCGGCAGTGCCACAGAGAGAGCAATATGAGCGGCTATAAGCCCGGTCATTTCGACAAATGTTTTCATCAAGTAGGTCATCCATGTTTTCAATATGCTCCGGATATTTCTTGTTCTGCGGACGGTCTGACGAGGTAGGCTTGAGGGGTCCATCGCTGGGTCTGGAGATATGAAGTCCCGTTCAAAGGCGATTGCGATATTTCCATAATCACCCAAGAAAAGCAGATATTTGCCTAAAATCTGCCGGCCATAGAAATGAGATCGCTAAGTAATCAGAGTATGTGCCAAGGCCAGTGACTTTACCTCCGCAGGAGAGCTGTCTCGACTCAGTCCCATGATTCGCCGAAAGGCAGCGCCCCCTACGACAGGGGGATCGGATCTGCTTCAGGGAGGTCGCCGTGATGGTCTTCGCGCCTAGGGTCTGTCCATGCCCAGGCAGAGGATTTCATCTCCTGTTTCCACGAGTTGACTTGAGTCCCATCCAGGGCTCCATAACCTGATGGTTTCGTGGTATTGCGTCCTCGTCCCTGCTCTACATTATTCGATGCAAGCATTTCTTCGTTGTCAGCGTCCATCCTCTGGACTTTCTCAATCGTCCAGATAAGACAGTAGCCAGAATCAGCGTTCGGAAACACAATTCTGGGTGCCCTGTATGATGCTCTCTGGCCACGCAAGCCACTGGTCCCACCGCTTCCCCAAATATTGATGGATTTGACCCAACAATCGAATACCTGCGTGCCCAATAGCCCATGAATGCCTCCGTCGATGCAGCACCACCGCGTAGTGTGCCAGAAGAACAAGCGCTTCAGGCTTGCGCTGATCGATGAGGTCGGTGAACGGCTCGGACAAAGTCACTAGCCAGCTGAATGCTTGGTGTGTGGATGCTGACGGTTGATCTAGAGCGTTTTCGCTATCGAAATTTGTCTGCAACATGTCTAGGGACAATAGGCATGTCTGTATGGATGAGGCGCTGAGGTCCGCGTGGTCTAGCATTGCGCGCAACGCTTCGCACTCCCCTCGCGATTCTTTAGGACTTTGTTGGTGCTCCTCCGATTCCATGATGATCGGTCCAATCTCACTCTTGACCAGAGTCCCAAACCAGGAGCGGATGACAAAGTTGATACCGCGCAGGAGGCGGATACAACCGACTAGTCTTTCGAGGAAGCTGCCAAAGTCGGCCTCGGGTTGCTGCGTGAAGATCTCCCAAAAAACATGAAGGGCAATCAAGTGTGAAAATAACAAGACGTCCAGACAGTTCGAGGCGTCAACCCTGCACAGAATGTCGCGATAGCCAGCGAGCGCCGCAGCCTGTTGATTGGCTGCGATATCTAGATAGTAAGCAGTCGCTTGAGGTCTCTGAAGCGTCATATGGCATGCGGACAAAGCGATGATCTGGTCCAGTAAGAAATGCTGTTTGAAAGACCGCTCAATGACGATGCGACGGTAGAGCTCGACCTGTCCTGGATCGATGGCGATTGTGGTGCATGTTTCGGTGATGAATAGATAAAACAGCTCAATGTGGTCGACGTTGGATCCGGCTCCAGATGAACCAGGGCCCGGCGGCGACAAGCTGCTGGCAGAACCACCTACGAGGGGTTGTTGATGTCCGCGTGACGATTGTTGGTCTGTGCGTGGAGAAGCGGGTATTGAAGTCCCCTGTGAGGGAGCCACCCTGTATATGCATTCTCTCTTGGAAAAGGCGCATTTCCCGCACACTGGTCGCTCCTCGTTACACTTCAGATGCCGCCGTTTGCAGGTCTCACAGCCGGCTCGCGATTTTGTGGTGGATCTCCTTGGCATGCCGTGAAAGGAAAGAGTTGAGCATGAAACTAAAAATGGTAGGATCTTAGGCAGGTTTTGCGCGGGGATTGACGAGGTATGTTAGATTCTAAGTTCCCCAGGCTAGAAGGGCACCACAGGCGTGCTAGTCCAGAGCCCCCCCCTTCAGGAGAGCGGGAGCTCGGTAAAAATGAAAGAGAAGTAGGAGCTAGCTGCTGTGCAGATGGCTACTATTAATAGACTGGTTAGGGGAGAAAGTCTAGAGTTAGATGGCAGACAAACGAGACTGCACTGTAGTGGGACAGTGAGGTCGTGATAGACGTAATGGGGCAGTATGGTGTTGGGTAAACCCACTCGGTATGGAGGAGAATGTCTGACCGCACAAACAGGCGCAAGTGGACGCCAAGCCGCTAATGGCCCAACATCGCATTCCCGAGTTATGCCGCACGCTAACCCCAAATTAGGTTTAAGCGTAGCAGCTATCGATTACCTAAACTTTAACTTAATTGGTGCCTAACCTTGGCAACCCGAGCGCCCAGAAATGTCACCGTACGCCTCCAGCCACCACAAAGCCAGTCTCTTTATCTGGTACCTCGTATTGGGTACAGTACTGGGTACCACGCCTCTCCACTGTTTCCGCAAAAATTCCTATGCTTCCTTCTCAATATCTGCCCTCGCCCGTAGCTCAATCATTAGAGGAGGCTTCTCCCACAGCGCAAAAGTGCGCTGACTCTCTGTCCACCCTCGACTTTGTGGAGCGAGCCTCAGATCAAAGTTCCAGAGAACATGCGCCAGGATGAGGCGCATCTCATGGTAAGCTAGATTGCGGCCGATGCAGTCTCTTGGACCGGTGCTGAAAGGCTTGAACGCGTCACGTTGGTCATGGGAAAAGGGAGAAGCTGGATCTCCCTGCACCTCTGGAAGCCAGCGTTCCGGACAGAAATCTCTGGCGCGGTGGAAGTTGGTGTCGGAGTGATAAGCAGACATATGGTGAACTCCGACGCATGTCTGTGAAAACATCAGCGAAATGGCGCGACATCTATCTATAGGAAGGCTAACTGACTCTTTCAGGGATGTCGTATCCGTCTACCATCGTCACTTGGCCCGGTGGTGTATGGCGAAACAGAACCGTCGGAACTGGTGGAAGCAGGCGCAAAGCTTCTTCGAGACAAGCAAGCATGTACGGCAATCTACTGCTTGCCGTCTTAAAAGATATTTCCTTGCTGCTTCGGAACGCACTGCGGACTTCCATGACACATTTTCCGAGGGCCTCCGGCGTGCTGAGAAGAAAGTAAGTGACGCCACAAAGCAGAGTGGCTGTTGTCTCGGAGCCGGCCACGATCAAGGTGTCTGAATTGGCTACAAGCTCATCATTGCTGAGCCCATGTTCCTGACCGTGCGAGCGCATCATACAGTCCATAAAGTCGCCGCGATGCTCTCGATCCTTTTTCTCTAGTCGCTTTGTCACTAAGACTTTGACGAGGTTCAAGTGCTTTTGGCGAGATTGCTGGATTTTCTCTCCGGCCACAAGAAGGAAAATTTTGGATAGCAAAGGTGAGGCGTTTGCAAGCACGAGGATCGGGAAGAGTCTCATCATTCGCTCAACGTTGGTCACCCATGCGTTTTGTTTGCCTGCTTTCAGACCACCGAAAGACTCTCCGAATGCAAGGTCGCCGATGAGGTCAAAGGTCGTGAACGTATACCATTGCACCATATCGGTTTGCCGTCCTTCTGCAGCCACTCGACGAAGCTTGTCAATGAGCAAGTCGACATATACCTGGATGAGAGGCTCTTGTTGGTCGAGCGCTTTATTTGAAAATGCTGGCAGCATTGCCCTTCGAAATCGAAAGTGGGTTCTGGCATCTGCGGAGATGATTTCGCTCGGGCGACCACTGTCGCCATGCCCTGTACCCTTGGGGAAAACCTTTGGAAGCTCTACATGTCCGTGTCCGTATATGTCCCTCCAGGATTGACCAGATGTGAAGGTGAGTTCATTTGGCCCAAGTCGAACGACGTTGCCGTATATTCGATGGAACTGGCGGATCTGAAAGTCGAGCTGCCCTCGAAGCTGCGCGATGCTTTTGAGAATGGGAAACGCGATCCATAATTTTGGTCCGTTGAATCTGCGGAGAGGATGGAGGTAGAGATTGTGTATGGCCAGCAATATGCTCCAGCCGACGCTCGCAGCTGCCAGTGACAGAAGAATGCACGATATCCCTTGCCAGGACACAATACGAATATGCTCGCTAGCCACGGCCTTGAACATAGTGTGCACAGAATCAAGTTGATTCACTGCTCGTGTTCAACGGGCACAAATCGATCTCTACCATGTAAAAGAGATTTATACGCCGAGCCGATGCGCGGGGGTACTTAATGCTTACCTCTACGTTATCCCTGATGGTCAAGCCAACAATGTGGTTATCTCAAATGGAAGGCTGGACAATAGTGCCCATGTTAGACTTTGGGGCAGCCCCGGATCCACGCTCGTGTCCGTATACTCGTGTTCGGAGTTAGAACTGACTCTTTTCAGACTAAGCAAGGATGGTCGCATTCAACATCTTGAATCCACAGTGAGTGCAGCCAACTATGTCCCAGGCTGTGACTTCCGTCCCTGCCCTGCCATGCAGAATCGTCTGATCGGCTAATAGCCGTTGTTGACGTGGAACACCAAGTCTCCAGGCGGTAGCCGTCTTAAAAATGTTGGTCCGTGGGCAGCTGGTAACTGCGCGTTGACGAAGATTACCGACACCAACTCCTTTCCATCTGGCATTCTCTCACACTCAGTCATCGTTTGCACCATGGTTGATGCTCAAGCAAACTCTGTGAAGGTCGAAGTATTCAGATTAGAGGCAGCATTTATGAGCCATGAAAAAGCCAACTGGCCCGGGGAATCGCAAGAAAACGATACGCCTGGCCACACAAGTGTTCAAAACATCGATGGCAACGGACTCGACGAACCCCGACCTAATATTCATGGCGATGATGTTGAGACGGGGCGAGAAGATGCTGGAGATGGCACGAACCCCGAGTTTCTTGTTGGCTGGGACGAGCCTGAGGACAAAGATCCAGCGAACCCATTAAACTGGAAGCCTCTACGAAAATGGGGTATCATCGCTGTCTTGTCCTCGATCACATTTTTGACGTGAGCACGGCGTAGCTGCAGTGTTGAGGAAACCCTGCCACTGACACTCTCAGGCCGCTTGCATCTTCAATGTTCGCACCCGGTGTACCCCAAGTCATGAGCGACTTCGATAACGACTCCTCTATCCTCGCAACCTTTGTCGTGTCGATTTTCGTCCTCGGCTTTGCGATCGGTCCGCTGCTGTTGGCCCCTTTAAGTGAGATGATTGGCAGGACAGTGGTCTATCATGTATGCAATGTTGGGTTCATTGGGTTCAGCGTCGCTTGCGCACTTGCCACCAACATGGATATGCTTGTGGCTTTTCGCTTCTTTGCCGGTTTTGTTGGAGTGGCCGCCATAACATGCGGAAGTGGCACTATTGCAGACATGATACCTCAAAAAGAAAGAGGCCGAGCGATGGCCGCTTGGTCAATGGGTCCTTTGCTAGGACCAATTCTGGGACCTGTCGCAGGAGGATTTTTGGTCCAAGCCAAAGGATGGCGGTGGTCCTTCTGGTAAGTCTCCTTGATCTTTTAGTCCCTCTGGCGCAGTTAGGATACTGCTCGGCGATTAGCTGTGAACGGGCGCACATTGCATTTTATCCCCCAAGATTGCTCAGCCTTGCTCAATCGAAATTGACTAAAGATCTTTTTGTATAGGGTCATAGCAATATGCGTATGTCGAGCCTCAATCTAATCTCATTGCACGAACCATGAACTGCTAACCCTCGGCTAGGCTGCTGCAGTCACCGTGGCTGCTTTCCTTGTCCTTCGAGAATCATACGCTCCGGTGTTGCTCGCCAGAAAAGCCCGCGAGCTCAGGAAAAAAAAGGGCAATCCACTGTATCGCTCGAAGCTCGACAATGGAGAGCCTCAGAAACAGCTGTGGGCCAGATCGCTTGTCCGGCCCGCCAAAATGCTTTTACTATCACCGATTGTCAGCCTCATGAGCGTTTATGTGGCAGTGATGTATGGAGTGCTGTATATTCTTTTCACCACATTCACCTTTGTCTACCAGGATCAGTACGGGTTTTCCGCTTCGTCGGCTGGACTCTCGTTCCTAGGGGCTGGGATCGGTACGCTCCTAGGGCTGTTCTTCGTTGGAGCTGTCAGCGATCGTGTCGTCAAAAAAGCAATCGCCACCCGTGGTTCGGCAATGCCCGAGGATCGCTTGCCCTGGATCGTTATTGTCCCAGCCGGGCTGTGCCTTCCCGTAGGTCTCTTCATATATGGCTGGGGTGTGGATCGGCGTGTCCATTGGATCGTCCCCATGATCGGCAATGCCGTCACTGGCTTTGGCATGATGGGGGAGCTCATGTGCATTCAAACATACCTCGTTGATGCGTTTACGATTCACGCAGCTAGCGCCATCGCGGCCAACGCGGTCTTGCGAAGCCTTCTGGGAGCTCTTCTGCCGCTTTGCGGTCTCAAGGTATATCATGCTCTAGGATTTGGCTGGGGTAATTCTTTGCTGGGATTCGTCGCCTTCGCCCTCACACAAGTTCCTGTGTTCTTTAAGCTCTACGGCCAGAGGATTCGCCAAAACCCCCGGTGGCAGGTCAAGCTCTAGTAACGGAGACACCTATAGCTCGAAGATCCATCTTATAAATCTTGGACTTGCTACGTGAGTTGTGATGGCGTCCAGAACCCCGTTTCGAACCACTGCAACGGGTGGTGGCGATCATCTTTAGCTGTGGGATATGTAATGAATGCAATCGTGAACTGCCAGTTTGGATTTATTCGCGATTGACAGGCATTGGTGACAAATCCTGCACGAATAATGGTCGCGAATCGCAACTGATAACAACGATGGGCTTACGAGCCGCGATAGGTTGATGTTTCTAGGATGGACGTGGTCTAGTTGATCTGTCGATCAGACCAGTCTCCGAACACGAGAAGTCCAAGGGAGGGCCTTCAGATCCGCGCGCCAAGCCTCGTGTCCGTATTCATTCCGAGCAGCCTTGAAGTTTCGAACAGTTTCGAATTGCGAAGCTACTGGCCCATTAACACTAGGATGCGGCTTTCAAATAAACATTTCCCTTAGATGAGTGGTCATTATGTCCAACATGCCACTTGCCATGGCCTTCCTACTAGTGATGCTCGACTCCGCCTGCCCGGTTTTCGTGAGTTTGGGCGAGTCCTTGGCAGGGCTCCATCCTCAGGGGTTGGCCAGATGGCACAGCCCTGCCTCACATATCACGACTGCAGAAGCTTTTGCTGCTGCGACAAAGCTATCTGCTTCAGCCTCGTGAAAAAAATGTTGCTGCCTAGGCACTATACCTTGCAATTGGCATCTGTAGACGGATCACCTCGTACCCGGGGGGCCGCGGGTATCGATGCAACAATGGTTAGATAGGGCTTTTGGCAAAGGCCGTGCGGCCCAGGCTATCTTAGGAGATGCACACGAACATCACAAAGCTTACAGAGTTGCAGTAGTCAAAATATGCGCATGTTTAAGAGAGATAAGTAGGGACCCCAAGGCCCTGCCATTGCCCAGCTCCTACCTTCCGGCACTCTCTTCTCGAGGACAATTATCCAGGTCACCTTTCTCATTTCAAGAGTCTAGTCCGATTCTCTGACAGAGAGCATACAATGGCCTTCTTCGACCCTCGATACAAGCTCCGAGTGCACATTCTGCAGATCATCCTTGTCCATGTTATCATTGGTGTTGCCGCACCACGGCTCTTCATGAAAAACCAGCCAAGAACTCGGGCGACTACCATCTCGTTGGCCATGGTGAGTGGGATATCATATCTCTTTCCCTGTTTCCCCAGTCTTGGTTGGACGCACGCTGATCATCTCGTGATTCTTGCTGATATATAGGGAGGCAAATCCATGATCATCGTCTGGTACCAGATCCTGACGGAGCATTTCGCCCGTTTCCGCAGGTGGAGAAGTCTCAAGGCCTACGCGATTCTCAACGGCCTGGAGGTCGTTTTTTGGGCCGCAGTTGTGTTCCTGGTCATCCAGGCGAATATCCAACGCTGCGTCGGGACTGGATGTACCCTCAGCTGGATCGCCCTCGGATTTGCAGTCCTCACAACGTTTGTCGTGACGCCCCCAACTGAGGAACAGGAGCTGACGCCGACCAATCTGCAGGCTTGTTGCCGTGTACATGGCTATCCTGTCGTGCTTCCAGTACAGAGCATTTCGTCAGCAGAAGCATTCCAAGATTCGAAGCAATCCAGAGGATGGTCTGCCCTTGGCCAGTGGACAAAAATGAGGCTTCTGCACCGAGACAGCGTGGTTGAAGGAAAGAATGTTGCCCCTGGGGTTGGGCGATTGACAATTTTGGGGTTAGGAGGCGGGCGCTCGGACTACATCTAAGTGAGAAGAAAAAAAAATTCGAGCGTGTCTTCAGGACTCGAAGATCAGCTTGAGACGCACCTCACGACGGGCTGGCCCGTCAAGTGGGTTGTTACTGGCGTAGTCCATGGATGGTGTGGAAGCAAAAGCGCTGGCAGAATATTTTGGGCATTACAATGTATGGGTGAGATCCATTTGAGTAGATCCATTTGACGTTTTTTTTTTGGCGCAGAGGTGGTGGTTGGTACTTCGGTCTTCAGATGAACCTTGCTGGGGATTCTGGTTATTTCCTGGACTGACAAGAATGTGTTTCTGTCACTCCTGCCGTCCCCTGATCTGTTCCTTTGCACTCGATTATGTAGAAAACCCAGATTCACCAGAAGCTCCGGGTGAGTACTGAGCACAGTGTGGTGTCATCCACGCGTGAAAAGATCGCAGTCTTCAAGTAATTTCTGACTGACTTGGCGATATCATCATGGTATTTTCGCGGCTTTGCCAATGAAGACTGCGAACTGTGTCCAGTAGATGGATAGCATTGATCCATCTTCAGAGATGTGCGAAAGTATTGTAATGAGGTAAAGTAGCTATGTTGTGCTGGCATGGGGGTAGTAGAGAGGCGATTCAGCTAGTCATACGAGGTATATTAAACTAAAAAGGACTAGTATCAATTTTAGCTATGGACGAGAGACTGAGGCAGAATGGGACTATTGAGCGTTAATCAACAACAGAATAAGAAGAACAGCGACAACAACCATGACAACGGAGATAGAATAGCTGAGATAGCATACCATCGCTGCCTGTGTACTTAATAGTTTACAGCGCTGGCGGTGAGCCATTCTTTACAGTTTGATGAGAGTATTCTATGGCGCTTTAATACCGTCTACCTATTCCTGAGCATCCTCTGTGTCATTTTTCACTCCTTAACGCCGCCGCCGTGCTAGGCGCTCGTTGCCCTAGCGGCTGCCTCTCTGTGGGTGGTGCTGGTGGTGGTGTTGTTTTGCCAGCGCCGACCAGAAAGGCATTCTCGATTACCGACCTGCCGGATAGGCCCCTGTGGGTTGTTGTAAGTGCATGCCGAACCCAGAAATGCTCCGTTATAGTATAAGGGGAGATAATTAACTTACACAATGAGTAGTATTAATTAGCGAGCCATTACGATTAATCTTATTATAGTCCTTATCTATTCTCTAGTCTCTACAACTATAAGCTTCTTCGGACCTTTAGTAGCGAGAATAGCTTCGTCATCCATATTTTGTTCATCTATATTAATCTCGTCGAGACCCAATTCCTTTCGAACGTGAATTGGGATGGTGACGCTCTCCTCCTTGCCGTAATTGGTGTCGGTGGTGTGTTTGTAGGCGACGAAGAAGAGAATGGGCCAGCAGAGGGTTGTGAGGGCGAAGAGAGCCCCGTTGATGTTCTGGTAGGGAATTCGAGTGGCATTGAGGCCGAAACACACCGATGTACCCGCGCTGAGAACTAAAAGAGAACACAATCAGTTCGTTTGCCTGTATGTGAAAACCGGTGGGAAACGACTTACCTCCGACGTATAGACCACCAAGTGCAGCGGTTTTGCGTGGGTCGTTGGTGAATGTCGACAGAGTGTACAAGACGACGCCCTGGAACCCACCATACAGGGCGGCGTACAGCAGATAGATGACGATGGCGCCAGCATATGCCTTGTCATGGATGTCGATGTCCGGGCCCGGGACTATCAGATCAAAGTCCCACGCCGCAAGCCAGGCGGTCTGAGCAATATATGTCCCGGTGAACCAGGTGCCCACAAATGCTGTCGCGATCATGAGACGCCTCCTCCTCGGTCCAAAGCGTTGATTGTCCAAGATCCAGGCCACGAAGTATGTCATGGGCATTTGGATGAGCCCGTTCAATAGGCTGTTCAGTGTCCGGGTTCGAAGATTGAAGATGTACGCATTCATGGTCGACTGGAAGGGGAACAACATCTCCGGAGTGAACATGCAGGGAACCAACAACAAGACGCGCCAATCTTTAAGGGCGTCAAGTGTAAGCTTTACCGTCTCTCGCGTGGACATTTGCTCGAATCGAGCGATGGAGGTACCATCGCACCGCCTCAATTTCGCCGGTGGGAGGATGAGTGCCGCAAACCCAAGTGAAAAGACCTGGAGGACAATGAAGGTAATGTAGACAGCGCGAGGAACGCCGCTTGTGGTAGCATTCCAAGAGATCCCCAATGCCACGGCCGCACCAATGGTGCCACCACCGAGGTTAAAGATCCACTGGATTGCACGCCAACGGCCTTTGTCCTTCTCCTCAGGGTATCCCACCGACATGGATACTGAGGTCGTCCAGAGCAGGCCAGCCGTGAAGCCGAGGTACACACCGGAGAAGATGGGATACCACATGTGGCCTTTTTCACTAAAGTACCACATTGCACCGTTGAAGACTGGGTAGCCAGTACATGCTACCAGGAGCGTGATGCGAGGGCCGAAGATGTTGAGTATGGTCCCGGCCGCCACAGAGGAAACGGCGAAGATACCATTCAAGACACCGCTGGTTATGTTGGCCATGCGAAAAGAAGATGGTTGGCCGCCGCCAGCACCGAGCAGCTGTGTTTTTTTGTCAAAATCAGGATGACTTGGCCAACTTGGGTCACTCACGTTCAAGGCCAGATAGAACCCCGGATTGAACGCAATGCACATGCTAGACAACAAGATTTGGACCGATGGACTGTTCAAGCCGAGGGTCAACATTGGGGAACTCTCGAAGGCATCAAGCAACTAATTGTTGGGTTTGACGTACTTGTTGCGCCGAAGCCATGGCAACTGGCCGACGGTTGCGTCTTCTGCAGCAACGGATGACATGATGAACTGTGTGTATCAGGCTTACTGCCAGAAGGATGTTGGAAATAACAGATTTCTCCTTATTCTTGCGCTTTGACCAACTGGGGAGGGGAATCTGGATAGCTGGGAGATCAACCCCTGTGTTGACTTATTGGAGCTTATATACCTTATCGGGCCACCGGAACGAAGCCTTCAAGATGAAGCGATCGGTGCCTGTATCTTGTCAAGGGACCTAGTGTTGGAGACCCTGGAGCAAGCTGTAGAATACTTTCGCCAGGAAACTGGCTAGAACACGCGCAAGATAACGGCCGTCGCTTTCAAAGTGGCAACAAGAAAGTTGACTTGCGATAGGGGTAGACAGAAAGGCATGAGCAATATTCGTCGTAAATTCTCATCTTAGGGATCAGATCTATCTGTGTGGCTTCAGTATCTAGCGGTCTGGAATCACGAAGTCGCTGTACAGACACCAGTCTCAGGTTGGTAGTCTACAACGATCGCGCAGGAATCTGGAATTAGACAAATTCCTTGGTAAGTTGTGTCCTGCAATTGAGGTCCACATACTCGGCGAGTCCGGCGATGCAGTCCTACACACTGCTGTCGGGGAAAAAAGCTCAAAGATTAGACTTCAAGCACAGTCGTCCGATTATAGCCATGCGGTTCGTCTGCGGAAATCAGCCATTAGAGTTTGATCATTCGTTGTGGACTTCTATCCTGGGCCATTTTACGGGAGGATCGACTGGCGGCTCGCGATTAGTCGCCGATCAGTGTATCGTTGTTACGCAGAGTCGGATCTGGGATATATATCAACATCCTCATTTGAAGGGGGCAGCCAATTCCGTCCATAGCCAGACAGCCCCCCCGTGTCTGTTGTCTCTAGAGACCTAGTCCCAGTCTCACAAACCCGCGACCCCTTTTGTTCTCGAGCCAGTTGCAGACCACCATTTGACAGCTTGCCGCTAGGAAAGGGTGACCCTCCGTTATCGGCTTGGGGGTTGTATGGCCATGATGACCAGCTGGGGACCTTGAACCTTCTTACCCCGGAGAATACACTTGCAACGGCAAAGGGCGAGATTCAGACCGGGATCCGCGTCGCTCTCGACCCTCCTTTGGATGCGTTGCTCATTCCATCGATCGGTCGTAGAAAGCTCACCCAAACGATTGTCCGTGTAGGGGACAACATACCGGCTCATGATGATGTATTGGAGTTCAATACACAGGTAAGAAAGATAATTTCTGATCACACGAGTGAGCCTGTCTGATTGCTTTAGATTGGCGCACAATGGGATGGGCTTCGACACATGACCTATCACAAATCAGGTGTCTTCTACGACAATACCACCATCGACCAGATTTCCTGCGACAATGCCAATCCTGACGCCCTAGGGATTGACGGTAAGTCTTTGCTGGCGTGATCCCACAGTATCTAAAATACCCAAGATCAATAGACCGATGGCTTGTTTCAGCATGGGTGAAGCGAGGATCGATTGCTGGCCGAGGTGTGCTCCTCGACTACTATGCCTATTCTCAACATGCGAAAAGGGAATATGGCCTGATCAACTGTGCCCATGCAATCACTTACCAAGACCTTGTGGATTGTGCCAAGTACCAAGGTATAGAAATCAGGGAGGGAGATCTTCCCTTTGTACGCTCTGGCTTTTGGGTAGGTTACAGACGCCTAACGGAGGAAGAGAAGACGGGCTGGGGTGTAGCAGCGCCGCAGAATTGTAAAGCTGTGGGCGTGGAAGCGACGAGAGCAATGGCGAGATGTTGCGAGATGGCTACGGGAGAGTGACATCGCTGCGTGCGCCGGCGATGCTCCAGCGTGGGAGAAAGTCCCCAGCTGGGAATGGCCTGCGTCTGCTGGACTCGAGGGTCTCAGTCTTCATGAAATCATGTTGGATGGCTGGGGGATGGCTATAGGTGAGATTTCCAATTCACCTGGCTCGAGTTGACCGAGAGCGATATGCTGATCCTGGCGTAGGCGAGTTGTTTGATCTGGAAACACTCAGCGAAGTTTGTAAGGGGAACAAACGTGGGTCGTTCTTCGTCGCCAGCCCCCCTTTGAATGTCCGTGGGGGAGCGAGCAGCCCACCAAACTGTATCGCTATCTTCTAATGGACAAATCTAAGCACGGGCCAATTAGTCGCAATGAGGGACCAGAATCAGGAAGTGAAGGCATTTGTCTACTGAGAAAACCTCCATCTGCGGTAGCAATTAGTAAAAGGCTTGTCTGGCTTGCGGGACGACGATATAGAAATCCAGCGTAGATATAATCAATCTATGTCAATCGTCTCCCGCGTAGTACAAGATTAGAATGTCACAACGAAAGATATCGCCGCACATCCCCGCCAGGGTAGTTCCCGAATTGCCGGATTAACTGCGTGAGGCGACCATTAAAGCAGGGACCTTTAAAATAACTCTTTGGGGTACCTCGGCCATTGATATCGACAATCAAGACCACGACCGACAGGGAGATTGTTGCCTCTCACCACGACACATGTTCGATATGTCTGCTGCTGCCTGGCAAGAGACTGCTGCTGTATGTAACTCAAGCCTATCAACTTTTTTTTCAATGAAAGAAACCTCAGTCTGACTTATATATAGGCTGCGCAGGCGGAACTCAAGTCCAAAATCCCCAAAGACTGGCTTCTGCCGGAGGCGATATTATCATCTAAACCCCGCAATGTGATACCTATCTTCCGAAGCTGTGGTCTGTTGACGGGGCGAGAGCTGGAAATCACCGAAGTCGAAGACTGTGTAGCATTGCTTGAGCAGCTGCACTCTCGAAAATGGTCGGCTCTCGAAGTCACGGTTGCCTTTTGCAAGCGGGCAGCCATTGCGCAGCAATTGATCAATCCACTGATGAATATCGATTTCGAGGGGGCGAGGAAACGGGCAATGGATCTGGATGACCACCTTAATAAGCAAGGGAAAGTGGTTGGCCCACTTCACGGGCTCCCGATTAGTTTCAAGGTGAAGCAATACCTATCCGGCGGCATCGAGCAGTTGCGGCTTGGGCCATGCATGACTGACATCTCGGAAAACAGGATCTCACGGATGTCAAGGGTATGAAAATCACCTTGGGATTCGTGGCTCTGGCGGACCACGTCTCCGAGACCGATGCCGTAGCTGTGCAGTCTCTACGAGAGGCGGGAGCCATTGTGTATTGCAAGACGACCATGCCACAAACCGGAATGGTACGGTATTTCTTTGGGCCGTTGTTGGTTTCTATTGGTGGAGAGAGGTGCTGATTAGAATGGGACTTTGTTCCGGTCTAGGCTCTCGAAACAATCTCCAACCTTTGGGGCCGGACGTTGAATCCATTCAACACTGATCTCTCGAGTGGAGGCTCTTCTGGCGGCGAGGGTGCCTTAAATGGCTGCCATGGAGCGCCAATTGGCATTGCAACGGATATCGGAGGCTCGATACGCGCTCCCGCATCGTTCAATGGACTTTATGGCATTCGTCCGACTTCCCGCAGATTCAGCTACAAGGGTAACGCCATGGGTTTCACGGGCCAAGCCGCCATTCTGTCCAGCATAGGTCCCATAGGGCGAAGCCTTAGAGATATCGAATTGATACTCAAGGTCTGGAATGCCTTTGAACCCTGGAATTACGATCCGGTAGTGGCGCCCATAAAGTGGCAACCTGCTCCAGTTCCGACCAAAGCCACTATTGGCGTCATGTACTGGGATGAGGTCGTCATGCCACATCCACCGATGCAGAGGGCTGTACAAATGGTGGTTGACAAATTAAAGGCTGCGGGCCATGAAAGTATGTTCATACCCGATGTGCTCCTTTTGCGTGAAACTTATGCTAACTCACCGTAGTCATCGACTTTAAGCCCTATAGGCACCGGGAGGCTTGGGATCTTACGGTAGGGTTCCGTTACAATCGGAGTATAACAAGATAATTGACCAGATTCAGTTCAAACACTATTACCCCACCGCTGGCAGCAACGTGAAGGAGTTCATCGAGCGAACTGGGGAGCCAGTGATCCCGGCAGTGGCCAAATACTTCGACCGGGCGAAAATGTTGGATGTCCACGAGCTGACTCAGTTGTTCAAGTGAGCCTCCTCCCCGAATACCACCGTTTTCAGTGTCTCCTAACTTTGCCACAGAGATCAACGACAGTACCAGACAGAGTATTTGGCCCATTGGATTGCCACAAAGACTCAGACGTCGACGGGCAAGCCCATCGACGCATTGCTGACACCATCCATGGCATCAGCCTCGTTTCCACACGACTACCTCCCGTAAGTGCAACGATTTTTTTCCCTCCATATTTCAATTCGACCAAACTCACACTGAGTTAGCTGGTGGGGTTATCTATCCCAGTGGAACCTCTTGGATTACCCGTGCGTAATCCTGCCTGTAACCAGCGTCAAGCCCGAAGACACCAAAGATAGCTTGTACACACCGGTCAATCCGCTCGACCAAGAGACTTACGACATGTATGACCCCGAGAAGTTCGCCGATATTCCAGTTTGTGTCCAGCTAGTGGGCCGAAACTTGCAAGAGGAGCAGCTGGTGGCTGTCGCGATGGCGGTGGATGAGGCCATCAAGCAGTGAGCCGAGCAGTCTGGTGTGGAGCTTAGATACAATCTGCCAAATACCGCAAAAGAGTACATCGAGATAGATCTTATGTCAGAGGATAGAAGAAGAGAAGAAGAAGATTTTTCCAAGGTATGCTTGACTCTTCGCAAAGAGTCTAGTCTATTATGTAACACACTCCACGCAGGAGTTGCGACTCAAAGATTTTCAATCGAGCCTTGAACATCTACAACAGTGCCGATCCGTACTTGGCTATAAACTCTTCAATTACCCGGAGCATGCGTGTGCAGTGTGCCTCAGTGATTTCGAGAGTCAAGGCCAGGAACCCTCTCGACGCAATGAAGATGCCGTTGGTGAGAAGATGGTGGTAGAACAGCTCGCGCAGGATCCCACTCTCGGGCCCGCTGAAACGAATGGCAAAGAGGCTCCCACGCCCGGTGACAAACATTTTAGGCTGCGTCTTTGAGCCATTTGGGACGGACAGTCCTGCTTCGATAGTTTTAGCGATAGCTGCCATCAAGTTGCTCCCCAAGGCGTTCAGTTCGGTGAGCCTTTCCTTGGTCATGATCGCGTTCCCTGCAACTCCGGCCGCCATGGTGATGATGTTATTGTTGAATGTTCCGGCGTGGGCGAGCTTCTCGCTGCGTGGGTCGAACCATTCCATGATTTCCCCTCGCGCACCGAAGGCTCCAAAACTCATGCCTCCACCGGCCCATTTGCCGATTGTGGTGATGTCGGGCTTGATGCCGAGCGTGACCTGGAGACCGCCGTAGTCTAGTCGCGATGTCATGATCTCGTCGAAAATGAGAAGTGCCTTCTCGGTGGTTGCCAACTCACGCAGGTGCCGAAGGAAATCGACGGTGCCAGGGATACAGCCCCCAGAGACTTGCATAGGCTCAACGAGGATGGCTGCGAGAGAGTTGGGAGGAATTGCTTTGACGAGAGAGTCTGTCCCTGCAATATCGTTGTATGGAGCGATGACAAATTCGTAGGGGGGGTTCATAGTGTGCTTGAGCGATCCATTCAGGAACAGAATGGTGCTGCCGTGGTATCCGTTAGAAAACACCAGGATCTTGAGAGAAGAGTTAGTCACCGACGACTCTTAGATTTCAGTGTCTGACCTTTTTCTTGCCTGTGAAATTGATCGCCGCCCCCAAAGCCATCATGTTCGCCTCCGTTCCCGAATTGCAGAACCGGATCAATTCCATACTGTTACTGAAGCGCTGCACAAGGGACCTGGCCAGCTGATCCTCAAACATGTTTTTGGTTCCAAAATTCCAGCCCTTTTCTATTGCTTCTATAATGGCCTTTTTGATCACCGGTGAACTGTGTCCGTAAACACCAGCGGAGAACTCTCCCAAGAAGTCCAGATACTCATGACCATCGACGTCGAACAAGTAGGCTGACTGGCCGCGTTCGATCGTAAGTGGGAAAGGTGATGCATGAATAGACGTGCGGGTGTTGGCGCCTGGCATGACCTCGCAGCTGCGATTGTATGCATCTAAGGACCGCGGATTGGACTCAGCATATTGTTTATAGACATTGTTCAGGACCGCCTGTAGGTTTCCATATCCGCTGACCTCGACCATTGTGCCCTGATCGATCATAATGTGCTATATAGCAACCGATTAACGAACAACAACGATGTGAGAGTCGGTAAGAGTTGTAGATGCACCAGTGCCCTTGCGCTGATAGGATTTCTATAGAATCACGCATAAGTATCCCAAATAGCCTATTCAAACGGCCAGACCTAGATATTTTGGGCACACGGCATGAACCACATCGAATAGCTGACTCGCCGAATAACCACCATTTATATTGGGTCAGACATCTCTATATTAGACTAGCCAATGCAAAGAGATCGGGCTGCTCCACCGGGGTGAAGTGGAGGGGAAAGAAGATTTCGTTGTGGACTTCCTCTTCAAGCCGGGCAAATCATTGATCATCGACATCGAAAGGACCCTTACGATATTTACTGCAGGACTCTGACCCAAGACATTCCCTCGTCCTGACCTTCCTTTTCCTTTCAATTTTCAGCCCGATGAAGACACCCGCCTCTCCATTCGCCCGACAGCTACCTAGAGATGCCCAAAGTCACCTCCCAGCGGACTTTTACGGCGTGTTGGACCTGTCGCCGCCGAGGTCTCCGTTGCGACAATCTAGTTCCCCGGTGTACCCAATGCGTTCACTCGCGCCTGGCCTGTGAGGGCTACGACATCCGACTTGTGTGGGTCGACTCCGAGACGGGGGCATATGAGCCGCAGCAGCGACGTGCCTATCCCTGTGAATTGACCTGGGACGGATATCCGACCTGGACCCTGAGGGAGGTGGGCCATCTGATCAAGCACGCAGAGAACAAACGGTGTCGATGTCCCCTGCACCGCCATCCCAGTCCGTTCGTTACTTTCCCAAGCTATGAAGCGATTGATTCTTCGTCCGCCCAGTCCGAGCATACGACGCCTCTGAAAGAGAGTACAGACCGCCCGGAAAGCCCGCAAAACGCACTATCAGAGACCACGACTCCTGCCACGTACACACCTCCTTCGCCACAAACAACTGATCGCAGTGACTATGGAGATCTTGGCCCACCCACGATCTACATCCCGACAGAGTTATCGACGTCTCTCATACCAGATGGATCACGCCAAGATAACGAGCTCTTCCACCACTACATCTCCAACGTGTCCGTGATGATGACCCCAATTAATGACGATTACAATCCGTGGAAGTCAACATACCCGTGCCTCGCGGTGCACGACATGACTTCAGCCAGCACTCGCTCTCTGTTCCACGGCATTCTGGCCCAGTCGGCATTTCACCTCTCCAACCTCGATGTGCCAAACCCTGCAGGCTATGACAGGTCGGCCACGCAGCATTTCGGCATCGCGTTGCGCCACCTCCGCCGCAGCCTAGCCAGTCCGACGGAGAATTTCAGCAGTACGCTGGCGGCAATGCTGACCGTCACGCTCGCCGAGCATGTCTTTCACGGCCAGTCCAATGGCTTGAGGCATCATCTCCAGGGTTCTGTTCAATACGTGGCGCAGTATCTGGGGCAAAAGCCTTGGGTTACTTCTTACGAGGCGTGGATAGTCACGCAGAGTTTTGTTCTGCACGCGCTCATGTCTCAAATCGTGGGCGGCGGCGCGACCGACACCCCCAGTACGTCCACTACGCTCCATGAAGTGCTGGGAGACGTCGCGGCCGACCCTCAGTTCGCATATACGCTCGGCAGCACACCTCGGTTGATGAAGGCGTTGTACCAGGCCCGCCTCCTCGAGAAACAGCTAGCTGTCAGAGGGCCTTTCCAGGGCGGCAAGCCAGACCTATCCGAGGACGAACTGCTTCAGGCCAGCAAGATCCTCGCCGCGCTCAACACTCCCCTGGACGCAGAGGTCGAGCTCTACATGAGCAGACAGCGGCCGATGGAGACACCGGCACAACAGCGGAAATTCATCGTGTCGAACTTGAATCTCTTTAACTCCGCTGTGACCATCTACCTCCTTCGCGTGGTCCTGCGTTATCCACCCTCGGCAGTCGCGGAACAAGTGTTCCAAACCCTGTCCGCGGCGGCGACGCTCCTCGAAATGGACCGCACCGCAGTCTCGATCTGGCCCATCTTCATCGCCGCCGCCGAAGCCTACACGGCCGAGGCGCAAGCACTGGCGGAGTGCGTCTTGAGCCTCTCGACGAGCTTAGGCGCCGCCAACCGTGCGGTAATCCACCGGGTCGTGAAGCAGATATGGATTGAACGCGAAGAGGCCGCCGCCCAACGGCGGTGCGAGGTCGGCGACGTCCTCGTGGATTGGCGGGAGGTGTTGAAGAACCTAGACGTGGAGATTCTGCTGCTCTGAGATCATCGCAATGCAGTCTCCCGAGCTCAACACCTTCGGACACCATTCCTCCCGCACGGACAGCATTCAAAGCAGCAAATTACCTTTACGCTTCTCCGCTTGTTGCAATGCGCATGCGAAGTGGAGTTTGGTCCTCTACCGCTGTACGGGCGATCTCTGTAGGGGCGAGTAGGTTGTATGAACAGCATCCCCTATTTAGCTAGCAAGTGTTTTCGACTATATCCTTGCATTTGCAAGCAAAAGGTCACGGACGCCTCTGCATCTCCAGAGTCCTCTCAAGCAGACCTCCGCCACTTTCACAGTCTCTCGACGACACATCCGCGCACACCGTCATCCATGCAGGGCGGCGTCTTCTCAGTAGCGGTACCTGAAAGACTTGTTCTCCTTGTCGGTGCGGTCTGTGAACCCATCGATATTGCCTTGCCAAGGATCGTAGGTGTGGTCGCCCGCCGCGGCTTTAGCATCACGCCTCCTGTTCGCGTTCCACATCCAGAGGCCCGTGGCGGCCGTGGCCACCCAGCCTACGCCAATCATCACGCCCAGAACAATCGTCGCCGATGGGTAGCGTGGTGCCTCCTTGAGGTCAAAAACAAAAGGTCCCGCGAAGTTTCCGATCCAGAAGGCGACGAAGTTGATGCCGTTGACGGTGGCGCGTTTGGTGTGGCCGGCAAAGTTGGCCGCCACGATCGCCCAGTTGAGCACAATCGCACCTCCGTACGCCGACACGATCCAAGTGCATGACGTGAGCGCCATCTTCTGATCTGCCGGAATGGTGGAAAATCCGACCATGGCCACAATGGCAAAGATGGCGAGCACCAGTATGATGATGATCGTGCGATTGCGGGAGCGTGAGGCAAGATAGCCTGCAACGATGGTTGCAAACAGCTGAACCGCGCCAATAGGCAGCTGATACCTGACGGATTCAATGGGCGACCACCCGAACCCTCGAAGGAATGCGCTAAAATAGCCAGTGAGGGCACCGTTGGCCATACCAATGGTGAACTGTTGCACGAGGAGACACCAGACCCGGAAGTCCCGCAGCGCTTCGTAGATTTGATACTTGAGAACCTTGCCATGCTTGATGCCAGTCTGGTTCCTCGCAATGCGCCAAACCGCGGCAAGCTTTTCTTCTCGAGTCAGGAATTTTGCGTCACCGGGTCCGGATGGCAAAAAGAAGAAGCCGATCATACTAAGAACGACGGCGATCGATCCAACGACCTGTCCATCTGTGAGTCTCGCGGACCTGAAGGATGGGAGTAAAGACAAAGCAGGCAGGCGCCTTACCAGGAAAATGAGTTGCCACGAGCGAATAGCCGTGTTTGTGACGCTACCAAGTCCCACGGCGATACCTGCGCCGACAACGTCGGCGAGTCCATTGCATCCCTGCCAAATGCACATCCGCAGTGGCTGTTCGTCGCGAGTCCAGAAGATGCTGGTGAGTACGATCCAGGCCGGGCCGATGCCGGACTCGGAAATGCCCAGGAGGATCTCACGGTGAAGATGGTCCCAAAGTTCTTTGCAGCAGCCAGGACCATGGAGAAGAGACCCCAGCTGAACAGCAAGCAGGAAATCAGTTTGCCGACGGGCAGCTTCTGGACCGCCACACTGGCAGGATAAGATCCGATCATGAGTCCCAAGCCGCCGATGGCAACCGTCCAGGAATACTGTCGTCCCTTGAGACCCAGGTCTTCTTGCAAGCTGAACGCATTGGCGTAGTTCAGGGACGCCTTTTTGAGGTAGGCGGTTATAAAGATGGAAACCATCTGTGAGATATCAGCAACAGATACAGGACCGAGAGGATCATCGACATACCAGCGGGAGGAGGATGAAATCCAGCTTTCGTCGTACTCGCTTTGCAAGCCGTTCCAGGTGCTCCGGGTCAAGCTCCAATGCCTGGGTATAGGCATCGAGACCGGTGTCAATATGGTTGGCGTCGACCTGTGGCTTGATGGCCTCATCGACGATGCTTGTGCTCGCGACATCAGCAACGTGGATCGAGTTGGGCGAGTCATGCTTGTTCAGGTATCTATTGCCAGTAGTCTGGGATGCCATGTTAGGAACTGTGCTGGAGTTTGCACGATCCCAAAAACGCAGAGAAATTGGGTGATTGATCGAATGTTATGCCTCTCCTGGCTTCGTCTTGAGAGGGCTCTGGCCTTGATAAAGGGATTCGAAGATAACCTCGCGGTCTCGCGAGCATTACAGGTCTGGCTGTTATCGGGTATTCTCCATGCCAGGCCCAGACAGTCGATGGGCTATCAATGGCACGCATGTTTTTAGTTTCGGGCAGACTTGATATCTGTCTTCGAAAACTGACGAGTGTAATCAGTGAAGCGCCAATGCCAGGTTCTAGATAGATCGTAATTGTGTGTGGAGGCTCGCCGAGAAGGGAAAGTATCTGGCAGGGGCTGCAATCGAGTGACCCCGTCCCCACGGGGGACGCTTCGGGCTCCACTTTTGGACTCGTAGAGAAGTTCACAACGAAGGGCCAAGATGTGTGTGGGCCTCTGGCTATACAGATCCCAGAGAAATCACGTAACCATCCCCAATCCTGGTTATCGCCGGATGCTGGGGTGATACAAGAGGTGCTTGATCGGGAGCTGGTCAGTTAAAAGGTACTCGAATGGTTCTCACAATTCTTTCGGCCTGGTTTTATCACTTCAAGAAATTCGACTTGGGCACAACAAAAGATGACGACACCGCCCCTGAAGTTCGATCCCCCGATAGACCTTGATACTGTGACAACGCCATGGAAACAGCCGCGCCAGCAGACATACATTCTCACCAACGCCCAGGTCATTGATCCCGTTGACGGGAGTGTACGGCATAACACCACGGTCAGGTTGGAAGGAGGCCTCGTACAATCTGTCGGGGACGAGAATGGAAAGACGACTGATGATGGAGACATCCTTCGCATTGATCTCGAGGGCAAATACATTTTACCCGGCCTCTGGGACTGCCATGTGCACCTGGCGGCAGTACAAGGCTTTACCAGCTTTGACGAGATCTTGAATCTCTCATCGGACACGGCTCTTCTTCGTCAGCCGGAGATCGGGCAAGCGATGCTCGACCGGGGCTTCACCACCGTGCGAGATTGTGGCGGCGCACTGTTACCCCTGAAATTGGCATTCGAGGAAGGCATCCATCCTGGACCTCGGCTTTTCATTGCAGGTCGCCAGCTGTCGCAGTCCGGGGGCTGCGGGGACAAGCGTTCTGCTTTCGATGATAGCCATTGTTGCGGCGGCGCCAAACAACTCTCCTGTCGAACCGTGGACGGCGTGCCGGAGTGTCTGAAGTTCACGCGAGAGGAGCTCCGTCTCGGCTCTGACTTCATCAAGATCATGGCCGGAGGAGGAGTCTCCAGCCCACGCGGCGGTCTCGGTGATATCGAATTCACCGAGGATGAAATCAAAGCGATCACGACTGTGGCTTCAAATGCCGGAACGTTTGTCACGGCTCACGCATACACCCCGGCTGTGATACAACAAGCGGTGAACTGTGGTGTGCTCGGCATCGAGCATGGCAACTACCTCGACAAAGGGACCGCGGAGCTCATGGCTCAGAAAGGGGTCTATCTGACACCGACCCTGGTGACATATGCGGCAGGATCGATGCCCGAATTCGGAGCCTTCGTGAGCCCAGAGTCGATGGCGAAGCTCAAAAACACTCTCGAATCCGGGCTCAGGGCCGTCGAACTTGCCAAGGAGGCAGGCGTCACGATATGCTTCGGGACCGACCTACTGGGACCCATGCACTTTGCCCAGACCAAGGAGTTTCAGCTACGGAAAAACGTGCAGTCTACCTTGGAGATCATCCAAAGTGCAACAATCAACGCGGCCCAGATGATGCGCCGACAGGACTCTCTTGGAAGAGTGGCGCCGGGCTTCGTGGCGGACTTGTTGATCTTGAACGCCAACCCGTTGGAGGATATCACTGTCCTTGACCGACCTGAAAAACACCTGTTGGCGGTGTTCAAGGAGGGCAGAGTTGTTTCTTCGCGTTGGTCACAGCTGGAGACGAGGAATCGGCGGCCTGCCAAAATTATATAACTTGGCGTATGTACCCTGGTGTTGGATAGCCAACGCACCATAAAAAGTACGTAGTGCACGAAATTTAAGCCGTCGGAAGCTACATGACCCATCTGGTCTTCCTTGTAAACGAACTTCAGATCACTTCGAGACCGTGGCTCGAAGAAATCCCCAAAGTCAGGGTTCGAGGTGCGGAGTTCGTCTTCAGCATTTCCCTGTGCGTCGAGGAATGCACAACATTTCGAAAGGGGAAATCGTCCAGCATCGGTGCATCATCTCGGTGAAATAGCTTGTCAGTTGCAAAGCCATCACTCTCTTCCCGCATTTGTCTCTGCGACACCCTGAGCTTGTAAGACAGTCAAATATAGAAATGCAGGCGCAAAGACAGTAGTATCTACCAGCCTTTACTTAGCTGTGCCTACGAATTCCCCTCCCTTCGAGATATTGACAGATGTCCGTGGCTTGTGGCCGTTAACCTTGAGGCATTTCGACTGTGGCCAGTGGGACGTGTTCGGCCGCACCCCCTTGAAATGTTCTCTTGCTGGAGTCGACAATATCCCTCCCAAACTGTCATATTCAATTGCAACATCTCCCCTTCAAGAGGCTGTTCCTCATAATCTTACAATGAACAACCAAGTGAATTGCTCTTTTAACGCCCCGCGCGATTTAGCCCAAACAAGAGCTAGGGTAAATATCCCTGAGTAAAGAGTTACACCGGGGTCGTAGGTGATGTTAGAGTAGCCGCTGAAAGAGGGTGAGAGGTGAAGGCCCCAATTGTGGAAAGGATGCCCATTAATCTTTGAAATATTATCCGAAAGTATCGAATTATTAGAGTGATAAGTGTTCAAGAGTCTTCGGGAGCCGGGATAATCTTCAATGAGATGTCTCCACGTTCGGGTTCACTTGATAGATCTCATTGTAGCTGCCAACATTTAGCTTTAGATAATTAACTGTGTCGTTAGGAACATTTGCAATGCTTCAGACTCAGACCTCGACATCACACTGATTCTCGATAGCGGCGGTCCCGACGCAAGTAACGGAAGGGACATGGAACGATACCGCGGCAAAGACGAGTCGTGTCAAATCAGCCATGTTGAAGGCGGCGGTTTACCTGAGAACCTGCTGCTCAAAGCTGAGTCTATTTGATAGAGAAGCGGTGCTATGGGATGACTTTTTAACATGGGAGAAGTGGAGTGTCTAGTAAGGCACCAGCCTTCGGTGATCAGATGAGATAATTGGGAGCAATTGCGTCCAGAAAAGGCCCCTGAGCAATGAGAGTATGCGGGAGATCAAGGGAGCCAAATCAAGCAGGAAGCTCGAAATGGTCTCGTTGGTAAGCCGCTGAGCTTACAGAAAATGAAAGGGATTCGGGAGAGCCGTGTAGTGGACTATGAAGTCTTAAGCATGTGTTAAGTATTCCTCCCATTTTGGGGGTGAACAAATATCGAAAAGATGGACAAGTATCGGTGGCAACCGAGTTCGATCCCTTCCAGGTCGAGGTAGAGCGAGGGAGGCTTGATGGGAGGGTCTGAGATATCATCGAGAAGAGATAGAACTGTAACCTCGCGATCAGTAAGTGTCATTTCGGCGTTGTGCGGTGGCTCAGGTCTTGAACATTCACGAGACGCTCACTCCATCCAGGTCTGGCGAATTTGTTTGTTCATCTTGAAAGGAAAGGCCGCTGAGGGGCCATTGGTGAGGTCATGGCTTGCCCTCACTTGACCTTCCTATTTTATAAGCCTTCAGGTTGCAAGCGCGATCATGCACGTGGTGTACGAAGAGCTTGATTAGAATAGTGATCATTGAAAACTTCTCCCAGGGACAGCCACGAGATTCAGGTTACCTGGAAAACCCCGTGGAGATCGACTTGGAAGCCATACTACATGATCGATCTCGAAACGAATCAGTGGTGACTCGAGGAATGATTCAGACTTCCCGATAATCCACCAGCAACAATGTGGGAGACTTCCATAACTAAAGAGCTTCTGCTGCAAAAAGATATCCCTGATTGCTATGCGCGGGGCTTTGAGGATCGGTCCCAAGGAGAACCACTTGACTTCGTCCGCTGACCAACGACGCTGCTTATCCGTCGAACAGGAAGCCGAGATCGTTATACATTTGTACTTCCTCTGCTAACGCGGCAAAGACTCACAAGCTGTGACTGCTATCTGCATTGAAGAGGCCCTGGCTGCAAAAGGACTCACTGTTCGATTGACAGTAAACGGTACTGCTACTCTATATGCTGAGGAAGGTTTACGACAGATATGTTTTTTACTTAGCAGTTCTCACGGTGTAGTAAGTCGATAAGTCGATTGTCACACGTTCTAGTTCATATCGTGCTCATTCGTTGCTCTGATAACAAAAATGCAAGGCAGCATGATGTTGATGTACTCTTCGAACAATTCGTCAAGCTAGACATTTCTCGCATTTGTGCGCGGCTACAACCGCGCCAGAAGCAAGACGTCTGATCCTCTCTGGTGATGCAATTCTACCGGACTGTAAATGGTTCGAGGACCGAGATGCTTGACGAGTCTCGAGAGATCCAAAGCTAGATCCGAGAGTTCCTCCATACCTTATTAATTGTTGAGGCAACATCACAAACATCCACCAGAGCCCCAAACTTATCAACAGTTGGATGAAATTGACTCAGAGTTTCGGAAGTGTCGATCAGTCACCCTGTTTGAGCGCGCTCCTCAACAACGATACCAATTTAAGCCCGAAAAGGTCGATTATTATGAGAGACTTGGTGGCCAAACCGAGTCACTATTACAGCTCTTATGATACGCTGATTTTGGCATCCAGGAGAAAGAGAAGTCTTTTCCAGAACATCCAGGTTAAGAGTTTTCACGTCCAGTTGTCGAAGACTGTTTGCTCATCCTCAATCCCAAGGTCAGCCATTCCTTTGCTCGAAAGCCTTCGAGACACCCCCGGAATCTCGAAAGCCTTACAACGGTTCGGCAATTCGCGAACAAAAGCCTGCACCGCCTTACTCAATCGGTTGGATGGCACAAGGGTAGGCATCAAAGCCCATGCCGAGATCAGGTTGCTCTTCTACAACGCAACGCACCGTGTCAAGCTCATGCCGAGAGTCATCTATGTGCACAAAAGCGCGTGTTATCTTTGTGACCTCTTCCTTCGATTCCACGGTCAATTCTAAGTGCCAGTGACAACCAACAAGCTTAATGAACGATGGATCCTACCTGATTGGTTGAGTATCATGCCTGAATAGTCATCCACGTCAAGATGATAATGCCAACATTTAAGATATGAACTCGAATGCCTAACTTCAGTCAGTGCCCAGGGGGTCGACACAGCTATTGAGATCGAGCGTTATCGTGAATGACGAAGCTCTCAATTACGGAAACAAGGTCACGAAGCCTCTAAGCAAAACTGACTTGTCATTCATCGTTACCTTTTGTGGATCACTTGTCCGAGTGTCCTTTCAGATTGAAAATCGCGTTGGCGAAGATGAGCCTGACGGACCATACCTAAATGTCTCGCTTTTCGAACTGGGAAACGGGACAAGATCTAACCCAGGTCAATATAGAAGGATTGATTTGAAACAACTTTGTGTTGGGCGCAATGTGGCTTTTGAATGTTTAGAGAATGATCCGGGTTTCTATGTTGAATAGAACAGGGGTGTAGTTAGGGTCGAATTCGGTAATTGGCATCAGCAGGTTTCGTAATGCCGGATGAATGAGAACGGAGCCAATCCATCCAGACTGCCCTGGATATCCCTGGACTTTTGCCTGTGCCGCAACTTCTTTCGCCAAGCCTGATCTTGGCCTGAATTGTATTCTCAAATCTTGAGCAAATGGATATACAATCTTCTTGTAGGGTAGAAGACGCTTACGGTGGGCCGCAACGGCTTTAATGAGAAACATTTTCACCTTTCACATCGGATCCTCGAAGAAACCTTTCATTGTCCACGCAGATATTGTTTTCTCCACACTCAAGGCTACTTCCGCCAACTTATAGAAAGAGTCTTTAAAGAGAGTGTCGAGATTACGCAGAGCCTGTAACGGACACGTCTTCATGGGTGTTCTTATGCTTGTAGGGCTCTCTCCTAAAGCAGAATTTGAGGAGTAATCCACCATACGCTCAACTTTCCCTTGATCGGTTTCGTCAACAATCTGGCACCATGACATCAAGCTCCGTGAATCTTCTTTCCCAGGTCTAATATTTGGTTGGTATCCCATTCAGATGCCGAAAAGGAGATCTTTGATAGCGAATGTAAGGCGGTTAACTAGGGCTCACCTTCATCCACCTACCCAAAAATATCGGCGAATTGTATACTGATGAAACGGTACCTGTTGAAGCTTATGTACAAATTCCCCAAGGCCTGTACCCTGACGAAGAATTTCGCGCGCCTTCCCACCGTCTACTGCCATCTCTTCCTCTTTCAACCTAATAGCCAACTCTGGAGCCAAAACCGTGTTGACGAAGTCTATGAACCTGGTGCGACGCAGGGCTTAGTTTCGACATCTTCGGTGTGGAAATTGAAACTCGAATTCCCGAATGATCTGTGTTCTCCTGGAAGGCGTCAGCGGATGGTTAACCGCGCGTCTTAAATAAGTGAAGGAAACATCGCTAGACGCCTATCTAGAATTAATTTCTGAATTCACTTATATAATTTCCGATCCCCGGGGCCCATACCAGCTAGCTTTACTAATTTCGTGGCCGCTGATTTTAGGAGGGACCCTTCCTTCTCACTGCCCACTTTAATTGGGAGAGATATAGCGACGAGATCTCCCCGTCTAATATACCGTAAAGGGCCGGAAGAAATTTACGGATGCGGGCGTCTAACCTCCACCAACCGATACTGTGACAAGGCAAAGTGGCTATATTGGGCTGGCATGGAGGTAGTCGATGATCAAAACCTCAACCACAGGAACTGATACGGCTTCATATGAATTCCAGCTTTCCGTAACTTAATCATGTACCCGCTGACCAGGTCCTTCGTCTCAGCAGGCATTCCCATAAATCTATCTCGGCCGATCCACTGGGCTTCGTCCGAGAAATTACAAAGACACAGCACGCTCGAACTTGGCCCCGGTCGTTGGTACCCAAGAATCGAGGGATTACCGGTGTAAAAGCCAATCGCCCTACCACCAGCAAGCTCCTCCGTGGTTTTGCGCAGATGAATAAGATGTTTGATCCCGGCGAAGATTTTCCCTGGGATGGTATTGACGTCGTGCCGCTCGGCATAGCGTTGCTCGGGATAGCAAGGCCGATTGACCCATCTGCTGTCATCCATCTTGGCCGGGTCGTTGAGGTAGCTGTAGTCGTTGAGTTGACCGACTTCATCGCCCAGGTAGATGAGTGGGATTCCGCCTGTGCTCATGGCGATCGAGTACGCGAGCAATATCCTCTCAATGGCGTGGTCTTGCATCGACTCCAAACCCGCTAATGAAGCCGTGGTGCCAGATATTCTGCAATCACCTGTCCTCGGATTGTCCTGAAATGGTACCCCTCGAGCAAAGCTGCCCGGATGGCGGTTCACGAAGAACGCATTGAGAAATTTTCTGTGATTCAGACCATCCTTGCCAAATTCTTTTGCATCCTCATCAGAGAACGTCCAGCCAATGTCATCGTGAGATCGAACATAATTGACCCAAGCGCAGCCTCGAGCTAAATTGTGTCTCCGCTCAATAGCTTGAGACAACATTGACGCGTCTCTGGTTGCCAGCGCTTCCCACGTCAAGGCCATCTGAAGCGGATTGTAAGACAGCTGACACTCGTACCGGTCGATATATTGTACCACAAAATCGGGGTGGACAATGGCCTCGGATTTGAAAAGCACAGACGGGGCAGCAATCCGACATAGAGCGTTGAAAGCTCGAAGCAGTTTGTGAACCTCCGGCAGATTCTCACAGTCTGTGTTCATCTGTTTCCACATGAATGCAACGGCATCCATCCGGAAAAGGTCGACTCCAACATTGGCCAGGTACAGCATCTCGCCGGCCATGGCTCTGAATACCGCGGGGTTCGAGTAGTTGAGGTCCCACTGAAAATGATAGAATGTCGACCACACGAATCGGCCGTCCGGAAGCTGGATGAAAGAGCCCGGGTGGTCATCTGGGAAAATCTCTCGGGTTGATCGTTCAAAGGCTGAGGGAACATTTCGATCAGGGAAGATCCAATACATGGCAGAATGCTCAGGATCGCCTTCAGCTGCGCGCTTAGCCCACCGATGCTCGTTCGAGGTATGGTTGAACACGAGATCAAGCACTAAGCTGATGCCTGCTTTTCTCAACTCAGTCGCCAACTCTCTCAGCTCCTCGATGGTCCCCAGTTCGGGCTGTACGTCTCGGTAGCTGGACACAGCATACCCGCCGTCATTGAGAGGTTGAGGCGCCAAGAACAAAGGCATCAAGTGTAGATAAGTCAGTCCCAACTCTTTGAAGTATGGGATGCGCAGTTTGATGCCAGCCAAGCTGCCAGCGTATCGGTCGACGTAGCAGACCCCTCCCAGCATTTGATTCGAGAGATACCACTCGGGGTCGAGTTCTCGCTGTTTGTCAACCTCTTGTAAGTCAGGGGATCTGTCTTGCCAGCTTTTCCCGCACATAGTTATCAGATCGACAAGTTGATCGAGGCAATCATGTCGGTAACCATACAGCTCAGCAAAAATCGCAAAGATGGTGATGAAGTTCATGTCAAGCCTGGCGAAAAAGTCCTTATTCTTGAGAATCGAGACTCCAACTTCGGTCTTCCTTAGCTCCTGGAGTATGTAGGCTTGGGCGGCTCGCGCCTGTTGCTCGATAGAGAGACTGTTCATGGGTGGAGAACGTAGTGGTGTAAGTTCTTTGAGCAGCGAAAGATGCTGGTTGTGAGACACCTAGTGCAACTGTCCAAAGGACGCGGGAACCGTCAGTAGTGATGAAAAATGAAAGATCTTGATTACCTTTTGGGGATTTGAGTCTTTTCGAGTTGCCCCCCGTGAGCCTGGCCTCTAGAGAAATTCATCATTAGCTTCTAGATTCCTTCGGGTGTTTTGTTAGAAGCCCGCATTGTCATGGAGCTTGATCCTGTCCAAAATGCCCTGCCGGCGCTTCTCTCGGCCAAATTGTGCCTTTGCCAATAACGCCGAGCGAGCGAGCGATTGACTTGGTTCAACCCTTTTAGAGCTACATGCGCTTTTCAGAGGACGCAACCATATGAGCATGAAGTTTCTGAGGGCATTTTCAGGACTCCTTGAGAGGCACAGCGGCAGGATATGGGCGGTGGACGAGACGATGTGGTTTATGACGGGTGGGATGTAAACAGAAATGACAGCCCGCGGGGTTTTTTTATTGCTTCGGGAAGACTCTTAAGTGGCTCACGATGAAAGGATATTATCCTTCACAAATCTTGCACACATGTCCACCCTTGAAGAGAGATATCTGTATATTTCCCAAGTTGCGCGGTATTTGGTAGGATGGAATTTTGTATTCAAACAATACAAGAGATCTATTATACCTCATGCATCAGCCCTGAGGGTCTTGGTTACACAAATGCCTTTTCATTCCATCAATCCCTGAGACGCCCAATTCTCTGGCTATGAGGCGCCACAATGCACCAAAAACAAAGAAAAGAGGCAGCCAAAACCACACCCGTGTATTTTAACCATCCGTCAAATGTGTACAGTACCAACCAAATCCCTTGTCCCGACTCTTCAAAATGCAGACACAGCAACAGCAATTGCCTGGCTCTCGCTGTGGCTGATGCTAACATTGACGTTCTTGACGCCAGCCTGCTTTGCTGCCTCGAGCGCCGCACCATGGAGAGCCACCTTGGGTGCTCCGTTCTCATCGGCCAAGATTTCAATGTCGTGCAGAGGGGCTCCAGCTCCCTTGCTGCACACGCCCAAAGACTTGAACACTGCTTCTTTCGCACTCCATCGTCCTGCATACGAAGCTTGAGGAGATGGAGCCTTGTTGCAGTAAGCCCGTTCCCGCTCGGTGAAATTTCTCGCGACAAAAGTCTCGTTCTCAATGTTAATGGCTCGGATGTCCTCGACATCAACGCCAATCTTTGATCCTTCTGTGGCGTTAGCTTGCGTCAGGGACTCAAGCATGGCCTTTGTTTCCAGGGCGTGGGGGCTTGGGGTCTTCTTGGTTAGGGCAGGATGGTAGACAAGCTCGCCAGATTTGTCGGCAACTACACGCTGCTGAGGGTTGAGGAAAACTTTCTGCATGATCTCGTCCGGATATGGTGCCTTGGTCTTCGCAACGAACACAGTGTTGTTGATCATGCCGTTGTGGAGGTATCTGTACGCCTTCTTCTGTCTGGCCTCAACCTTGACCTTGTAGCGCTGGAATTCCGCCTCATCCAGCGTAGCATAAAGATACTTGGGGTGGATGCCAATGGCTTGGGCGCCTTTCTGGCCGAAACCAAAGGAAGTGACAGAGAATGCTTTGATGCCGTCGGTCTGCAGGGATCGGCTTGGGTAGACGATGTAGTCGAATTTCTCCATCACCTGATCAACATTGTCGGCATTCCGGTTTCCGGGAACCAGACCACTGTTGAGAACTTGCAAGCAGCCGTTGAACATCCAGGCACCAGCGGCACCCTTAGGATGACCAGTCAGGTACTTCTGGAAGATGCCAAGCATGGCATTGCCCTTCTTGCGGCCAAGGTGCGCCATTTGTTTGCAGAGAACCTCAGATTCATTCTTGTCGTTGGCAACGGTCGAGGTACCGTGGAAGGAAGCAACATCGAGGTCATCGATTGTGAGGCCCCAAGTGGCCAGGGCGCCGCGGAGCGGAGCAATGGCGGGATCTTGCTTCCAGAAATTGTTGCCTAAGCTAAACTGTGCCTCTTTTTCTTGTCGGATTGCTTCGCGTTCAATATGCTCGGCACGCTCTTGCATGTACTCGGCCTCGTTGAAACCGAAGCCGGCTTGAGCCTTCATAGCCGCAACCTCCTCGTGGAGGTACAGAAGTTCTGACTCTTGCCAGTTCTTGATGGCACGTCTTCGGAGCTCGAGCTGTCTCTTGCGGTAGTTGATGTCCAGCAGGGGCGATGGGAATTTGCCAGGGTTCTCTCGAGCGGTGGTCAACACACCTTGCCCAGGAGCAGGCACAGATCGACCAATCTTGTCGGTAGCAGTCGCGACAAGACCGAGAATACCATAGATAGGGGTTCCCATGTCTAGAGCAAGGCGGGCCGACATAATGATTTGCATACCGCAGCCTTGGGATTCCATGAAACCGTTTCGGGTCGTTGTAGTAGGTCGAGACATCTCCTTGGGCGTACGGCCGTGGGCAAATTCGTCTTCAGCGTTGCTAGTGGCCTTCATGTTCGCAAATTCGTAAGAACCCTCTTCTTGGAAGTCATCAAAGCCACCGACGAAGCAAACGCGCGCCTTTCCTTCGACGATGGTCTCGTAGCCGATATCAATTGATTCAACAGCTGTTGCACAAGCACCCACAGGAGTCTTGATCGGACCAGTTGATGACAACAGCAACATGTTGACCCAAGCGGCCATGGTGTTGATGAAAGATTCCTGCAGAATATCCTTCTGAACGGGCTTGTCCATGAACCGATCTTTGTACATGCCACGAAGTGCGGTGGTACCACCGATGCCGGAACCGACGCAGTTGCCCACCTCAGACAGATGTACGTACTTGTAGAACTCGTATGGGTCCGTAACACCGGCTGAGAGGAGAGCTTCGGCTGTGCAGACAAGGACAAACAAGGTGACCTGGTCCACTTGCGATATGATGTCGTCCGGAATACCATAGGTCTTCGCGTTCCAACCAGTAGGGATTTGACCAGCGACAAGACGATCAAATCTGAGAGCTTTGGGGATCAGAAGAGTGGCGCCTTTCTTGAGGCGGACGCTGTACTCTCCAGATTCCAGCTCAAAGACCTCGACCTTGTCGCCATGCTGTCGCTTGAATTCTTCAGCAGTCTCCTTGGACGATTCGAACTGATCAAGGTCTTCTTCGATTTGGATTTCCTGGAGCAGCTGCTTCTTCTTTGGATCATAGCCGTTGAACAATTCGGGCTCAATAAGACGGATACCGGAGTGTTCGAGGATGTGCTTCTCATATTTGGCTTTGACATCCTTGTCGTCCACAGGCTCGCCAGTCTTGGTGTCGACCCAGCCAGAGTATGACTTGCCCTTGAGAGGGCCATTATGGTTCTTGATCAGGCCCATCATCCAGGCCATCTCGACACAGCCCTCCAGTGAGAATTCACCATAGGCTTCCATTTCCCACCTTGTGCGAGAGTTACCCCAAGGGCCGACCTCAGAGAAGCCAGTGACCACAACAACCTTGTCAAGATCAACCATGCCCTTGAGCCTGGCGTTGAGAGGTTCCACTTCCTTCTGCCAGTCGGGAAGCTCGGGGAATTCGAATTTCAGGTTGGCTCGGGGCTCAATGGTAACTTTCTTGTAAAGAGCCTCGCTGTCCTCGCCGTTGACGACCTTGTTCTCCAAGGCGGTCTCCTTGGTTACGGCCTGTCGGATGGCGCTTGTCTCCATGATCTCCGCTCGAAGCTTAGTCATTAGGTCCTTGAGATCTGGCAAGAATTGCAGACCGCCGTTCAAATCGGCAAAAACGGGTTCTTGTTGGCACAGATCGACAATGGCGGGAGACATCAGGCCAAGCAGGTTAAACGCCATCTCTTGTTGTGAGAAGGTCCTGACGCCGTACCTCTCAACTCCATCAGCCACGATATTGTTGCCGCTCATCAGACCGGTGCCGCGGGTCCAGCCAATGACTGCGCCGCAGATTGTGAGGTAGTCACCCCAGCTCTCCGAAGACCAACGGTTGAACAGAGTCTCCAACGCAAGCTTGGATTCAGAGTAGAGACCGTCGTTACCAAAGGTGCCGTGGTTTGGTGAGAGAGGAAGCATGACTTGAGCCGGTCGAGTGTTGAAGCCACTCTCGAATTTCTTCGCTTTGACATAACCAAGAAGACGGATCAGGTTGGTCAACATGATACGGTGAGCAAGCTCGGACTTGGAATCGATACTGTCGATTTCGCGGCCATTCTCGGGGATCGCAGCGAAAGGCACAATGTAGTCCAGATCCCAGCCAAGACCCTTCTTGGTATCATAGATGTAGTCAATAAGCGCTTCCACATCCTGCTTGCTTCCTTGGTTGAACGGCACCACGACAAGCTGAGAGCCACGACCACCAAATCGAGCATACATTGATTGATAGTACTCGGTGACCTCACGGGAGTAACGGCTGGTGGTGACAACGACTTTGGCGCCACCGCTGATCAGACCCTGTAGAACTTCGGCGCCGATGGATCCGGCACCGGCGCCAGTCATAAGCGCCATCTTCCCCTGAAAAGTAAGGCCTGATTTCGCAGCGTTCTCCAATCCCTCGAGATAGATGCCGGTGAGCTTCTTGCTGTACTCCCAACCGTGCTGTTCCTTCTTCTTGAGATGTAGGAACGGGATTGTCTCGGTCTTGCCTTGCTTGACATTTCCGTTCATGGTAGCTCGAGGCAATCCGTTGCGGCCGGGCTTCTTGATATCGCCATTCTCCTGCGGCATGATCTGTGACTCATTCATCGCCAAAGCACGAACAACATCCTTGTACAAGGTGTTGAACTGTAACTGAGAAGCTTTTGATAGCTTGTGTTGCTTCCGAATCAGCTTGTAAACATTGCGAAGGTCGTTCTGCACCTTGGTCCGATTGCTGTATTCAGAGATCTTGCCACCATCAGCCATCTCCCGCACATAGTGCTCGAGTTTGCGGGCGCTTTGGCGAGGGACTTCTTTGTAATCGAGGTTTCCTCGAGCGTCGATAGTAGTCTGGGGGCCGGTAGGGACCATAACGTCCTTGTAGACCGGTGCTTCATTCAAAACGTCCTTGCAGTTTTCAATGAGCTGCTCCCCTAATTCCTTGGCCAGTTTGTAGGTCTCGCCTCGCTCGGTTGGGCAGTTGTCAATATGATATTGCATATATTCGATGAGGGTTGGGTTGGATCGGTTCATGATACGGATGCACTGACTAACAATTTCTCGGTCGACGGCCTTGAGACGGCCGAAAATGATGTCGTAGTACATGCTCAGCGCGTCTTGTCGAGCCCAGTTCCACGAGGAGTCGTAAACACGGGCTTTCAAGGGGCTGAATGAAGGCTCAATTCCCGAAGCATAAAATTCGCCATGTTCTGTGTTCCACAGATCAAGTTGCGCTTGGAGGGCCTTGTTTGCCTCTTGTGAGCCGACGAAAGCCTTGTCACCGGCACGCAGATCCATCTTGAGGTAGCGAGCCAACAGTTCAAGTTGCTGTTTGAACAGGGCTCGTTGATCTTTGGTCAGAGCGTCAATGGCAGCTGGATCCATCATCATGCCAACACCAGCGCCAGCAGCAGCAGCGCCACCAGCTGAGGCTGATGATAGACTGATTCCTGCTGTTGCTGCATATTTCTGGGCCACATCACCGAGATAAGTCTTAGCATCGTTTTCCGAGCCTAAACGCGCAGCTGGCTCCATCGTGAGAGCGAACAACAAAACACCGTCTTGTCTGCCCGGCCCAAGGCCGAAGCTATTTTCGAGATGCTTTCTGACAGCCGTGATATTGAAACCACCTGGCATTTTGGAGGCCACCAAACGAGCGATCAGCGACTGTGACTGCTTGCCTAGCTGGCCATTGAATGTAGACTGCATAGAAGCACCTAGTTCGTCTAGAGGGGTGTCTTCTGGCTTCTCTGGCGTTGAACCAAATTCCTTGCCCAGGTCTCCGAGGATTTCGTTCTGCAAAGTCGACTTTCCGCCGACCAAATCCTTGATTGCTTTGCTGAGGGGAATGTCTGCAAGTGGTTTCTTCAGTTTCTGGGCGACCAACGCTCGCAAGATGTCGACGGCTGCAACTGGAGCGTCTGGCACTGCCACAGCAGGCCCAGCGCTGGCCGCTGCTGGAGGAGCCGCTGCTGCCGCAGCAGGAGCAACAGCAGGAGCAGGCGCCGAAGCTGCTGGAGCGGAAGATGAAGCTTGGGCAGCCGCTGGAGCAGCTTCCTCCTCCACCGGATCGACATCATAGTAAATTTCTTTCAGATCCTTATTGTAAGCCAACACTTGCCGTGATAGTGAGGTGGCAGCATCGTAGGTCTCGTATTTGGAAGCAAGGGTTCTCTTGGCCATTCCGCCGAGGGTATCTGCGGGACCGATTTCAACAATTCTTTCTGTTCTATTCTTTTCTAGGATAACATCTTGGGTCTCGATCCACCTGACTGGCGAGGCAAACTGATATGCCAGCAGCTCGACGAGGAGCGTGTGGGCGAGCTCTTGCTCGACTTCGGGACGCATGTTGGCGGTATATTGTAGAATTCAGCAAAACTTGAAGATTTCTCTTTTGGAAGTCTGAGGCTGGGATTAGGAGGTCGACCAATTGCCCGGTGCTGGATGAAGTTAATCAGAGCAGGGCAATAGGTGAGCACAGGTCGGGTCGAGCGAAAGGAACTGCTTCGTCTAACAATCCGAATTGGTAGCTGAATGGACGAAGGAGAGGACGAGATGTGAGGAGGAAGGACTGAATGCGGAGGAGCTGGAAGGAAGGAAAGTGATGAAGTGTAGGAACTTCAGTCTTCGGTTGTCCTGTGGCTTCGGGACAGAAAAAGTAGTCCGCAACAATATGGCGACAAGTCCACGGACAAGAGGGTTGAACAGGTTATGGGGACCGAAGAGGACAAGCGGCGAGAAAGGTAAGTTATGGCGATTTCGATTTGGTTTTGGTTGGGAAGGAATCTGTTAACCCTGTATGTTGTACCCGAATGCAGGCGAAGATGGTGAAAAAAAGTGACGGGCCTCTCAGCAGGCCCAGGGCACAAGGGCAAAACGCAAATGCTGGAGATCTTGTTGGAGGGCAGGTTCAATGCACGAATCAGCCTGATAAGCTCGAACCATTGTTTGTTGGAGACCAGATGGTTGAGAAAGGGAATGAGAAAAGGAAAACAGTGGGCACTGTGGACACTGTGGGTAAGCCGAAGTTGGCCGGGCTGCCACTCGGCGAGGCTAGGCTCCCCCACGAAAAAATTTTGGGGAGGCAGAAAAAAGTTGTAGGCAGCCGAAGAAGCCTCAGTGCCCAGAAAGCAGCAGGGAATTGGAGAAGCAGTCTGCACAGCTACGTAACTTCGAGGTCCATCGATGTCACCAATGTGGCTGGGCAACTGAACCTAGTCTTTGAGAGAACACCGTATCCCTTTCTCTTCGCAGACACGAAAAACGAACCGCTTAGTGCCGCACCTGTTCGCAGTTGTAATCTCGCTGCCTATTTGCACCTACTCTTGATCTTGATTAGTATGGCGGGCAATGGACCACGCTGTCGTCGTCTCTTCCTTTCTTCCGTCAGAGGGTTGAGAACAAAGCGATGACGCCGTTGCATCGGTCCCTGCAGAAGCGCGTCGCCCACCAGAATTTTAGCTTGTCCTAAAACGACGAGGGGGCCTCATCCGGGAATTTCCATTGGCTCAGATGTGGCGAGGGACCTCCCGGAACAAGGGTCCACAAGGCCCCGAGGGGCTTGAGGCTGGGCGTGGATGGGCCCGAATGGGCTCGAATAGGTGTGCTTTGGGGTTGCTGAGCATTGCTGAGGCACCTGCGGCGAACCAGGAAAAACTTTTGTGCCTCGCTCAACAGACACTCGTAGCAGCTTCGGCCATATTCGTATCGCAAATTACCAGATCCATCCAACATTGAGCTCCCCAATAATACAAACTGCTCTTCAGTGTCTTCCGCTGCTCCAGTGGTCACCTTTTCCCGTTCCTCAATAACTAATCCTATCGTCCTATTCAGCCGGAGTCGCTTCCTACTTTGCCCATAACCTCGAACAGCACACTCCTTCCTATCCTCCGCACTCATTTCCTTCGCAACAACCCAGTCCCAAGTGGCATTGACTTGCTCACTTCGATAGTTCAAACTCCTTCGCACCCTCGCACAGAATCAGAGACACCCCATCCACGACAGCAATCATGTATTCCGGCGGTGCGACCGGCACTCACACACCTCGATCTTCCCAGAACCTCCGCCCTCTCATCCTCACCCATGGCTCTCTCGAGTACTCCTTCCTGATACCCACCGGCCTTCATTTCCAGGCATCACAGCTGAAAGATGCTTTCAATGCCTCACTCCCCGAACCTACAGATGAGCTGGCTCAGGATGACGAGCCTTCATCAAGTGCCGAGCTGGTCGCTCGCTACATTGGCTTCATTGCCGCTGAAGTCGATGATGACGAGGAGGCCGCTGGCTTTGTTGAAGTGCTCAAGGTAGCCCTGAACGAATTTGAGAGAGCTTTCATGCATGCGAACGATGTACATGCTCTGGCCGCAACGCTACCCGGGATCACAGCAAAGAAAAACCTGCTCGTCCAATGCTACTATGCAGGCCGGGCGGCAGTCGCGCGACCCATTAAACCCCACGATTCAGCTCTACTCAGAGCCGCTGATGACGAGGAAGCCAGTATCTTCACTGTTTTTGGTGGCCAGGGCAACATTGAAGAGTATTTTGAGGAGCTGCGAGAGGTCTACACCACATACCCGTCTTTCACCAGAGATTTGATTGAGTCCTCGGCCGAGTTGCTGCAGACTTTGGCCAGAAGTCCGAAAGCAGACAAATTCTACACCAAAGGCCTGGACATCCTTAGTTGGCTCGCCGACAAGGAAACCCAGCCCGATACCGATTACTTGGTTTCTGCACCTGTCAGCTTGCCACTGATCGGACTGGTTCAGCTTGCACATTATCAAGTGACCTGCAAAGTCCTCGGTAAGACGCCCGGCGAGGTCAATGAGCGCTTCAACGGCACGACAGGCCACTCTCAGGGTGTGGTTACCGCTGCCACCATTGCCACAGCGACCTCATGGGAGAGCTTCGCAAAGGCCGCCAGAGATGCCATTACCATGCTCTTCTGGATTGGGATGCGGAGTCAGCAGGCCTATCCTCGTACGAGCATTGCTCCGTCAATCCTCCAAGACTCGCTTGAGGCTGGGGAAGGCATTCCCACACCCATGCTTTCGGTGCGCGACCTGTCAAAGAAGCAGCTTCAAGAGCACATCGATGCCACCAATGAACATCTGCCCAAGGACCGACATATCGCCATTTCTTTGGTAAACAGTGCCCGGAACTTCGTTGTGACTGGTGCTCCGATCTCTCTGCACGGTCTTAATCTCCGACTACGAAAAGTCAAGGCTCCTACCGGTTTAGACCAGAACCGTATTCCCTTCACGGAACGTAAAGTGCGCTTTGTCAATCGGTTCCTGCCAATCACTGCTCCTTTCCACAGCCCTCTTTTGAGCGAAGCATACAAGCAGATCCTCGAAGATCTGGGCGACGTCAGGATCCCTGCTTCGCGTCTGAACATTCCAGTGTACGACACAAACACCGGCGAGGACCTCCGCGCACAGCACGACAAGGATGTGGTCCCAGACCTCGTGCGGATGATCACGCAGGATCCTGTTCACTGGGAACAAGCTACAGTTTTCGAAGGCGCCTCGCACATTATCGACTTTGGCCCGGGTGGAATTTCGGGTCTGGGAGTCCTCACCAACCGCAACAAAGATGGTACTGGTGTTCGCGTGATTTTGGCCGGTGCCATGGATGGGACGAATACTGAAGTCGGATACAAGCCCGAGCTCTTCGACCGCGATGAAGAGCATGCGGTGAAATACGCAACCAACTGGGTCAAAGAGCATGGGCCGAGACTCGTCAAGACTTCCGTCGGCCAGACTTACGTCGACACCAAGATGTCCCGCTTGCTGGGTGTGCCGCCTTTGATGGTTGCCGGCATGACTCCCTGCACCGTCCCATGGGATTTTGTCGCCGCGACAATGAACGCTGGCTACCACATTGAACTAGCCGGTGGCGGCTACTACAACGCAAAGAGTATGACCGAGGCGCTCAACAAGATCGAAAAAGCCATCCCTCCTGGACGAGGTATTACGGTCAACTTGATCTATGTCAATCCGCGTGCTATGGGCTGGCAAATTCCTCTTCTTGCTCAGCTCCGCGCTGATGGTGTTCCCATCGAAGGTTTGACGATCGGTGCTGGTGTGCCGTCGATCGAGGTTGCTCAAGAGTACATCGACACTCTTGGAATCAAGCATATTGCCTTCAAGCCTGGCTCCATGGATGCAATTCAGCAAGTGATCAACATTGCCAAAGCAAATCCGACATTCCCTGTCATTCTGCAATGGACTGGTGGCCGTGGTGGTGGTCACCACTCTTTCGAGGATTTCCATCAGCCGATCATTCAGATGTATGGTCGTATCCGAAAATGCCAGAACATCATCCTCGTGGCAGGCAGTGGTTTCGGGGGGTCCCAAGATACTTACCCTTATCTGACCGGTACCTGGTCGCGCAAGTTCGGCTATCCGCCTATGCCGTTCGACGGTATTCTCTTTGGCAGTCGAATGATGACGGCGAAAGAGGCCCATACTTCTACCAACGCAAAAAAGGCCATTGCTGAAGCTGAAGGCGTTGATGACACTGAATGGGAGAAGACATACAAGGGAGCAGCAGGTGGTGTCATCACCGTCCGATCAGAGATGGGGGAGCCGATCCACAAGCTTGCGACCCGCGGCGTCAAATTCTGGGCAGAAATGGACCAGAAAATCTTTAGCTTGGAGAAGAAGAAGCGAGTCGCAGAGCTTAAGAAGCAGCGCGAGTACATCATCAAGAAGCTCAACGACGACTTCCAGAAGGTTTGGTTCGGCAGGAATTCTGCTGGTGAAACGGTAGACCTTGAAGACATGACCTACGCTGAAGTGGTTCGGCGCATGGTTGAGCTCATGTACGTCAAGCACCAGTCTCGTTGGATCGAGGTTACCCTTCGCAACCTCACTGTCGATTTCATCCGCCGAGTAGAGGAACGCTTCACCGTCGGCTCCGGGAAGCCTTCCATGATCCAGAGCTACGCAGAATTCGAGAACCCTTTCCCAGTCATGGATAAGGTCCTGGCTGCCTACCCCGAGGCTGAAACCCAGTTGATCAACGCGCAGGATGTCCAGCATTTCCTCCTGTTGTGCCAGCGGCGCGGTCAAAAGCCTGTGCCATTCGTCCCCTCCTTGGACGAGAATTTCGAGTTCTGGTTCAAGAAGGATTCCCTTTGGCAATCCGAGGATCTGGATGCTGTGGTCGATCAAGATGTTGGCAGAACCTGTATCTTGCAGGGACCTATGGCGGCGAAATACTCAACCAAGGTTGATGAACCAATCAAAGACATTTTGGACGGTGTTCATCATGATCACATTAGGGGTCTGATTCAAGACTTCTATGGTGGACGCGAATCTGCTGTTCCAGTCATCGAGTACTTTGGTGGCAAGATCATCACATCCTCGGAGAGCGTAGTGGAGCTGGACGGCGTCACTGTTATTCCCGACGGCTCTCGGACCACATATAGGCTCTCAGCATCGCCATCTGCCACACTTCCTGATGTTGATGCCTGGATCCAGCTTCTTGCTGGCAAAAATTACTCGTGGCGACATGCCTTCTTCACAGCCGATGTTTTCGTTCAAGGGGCTCGTTATCAGAACAACCCCATCAGGCGCATCTTGGCCCCAACCCGAGGCATGACTGTTGAGATCGCTCACCCCAAAGACCCCTACAAGACAACAATCGTCGTCAAGGAGCACAGTCAGTCCGGAAAGATGGTCAAGACGCTCGACGTTAGCCTGTTGGGCAAGAACGAGATCGTAATGAATATGTGGGAAGAGCGAACTGCAGAGGGTGACGCTGTTGCCCTCCCGTTCCGATTCATCTACCACCCAGAAACTGGCTATGCCCCAATCCACGAAGTTATGGATGGCCGCAACGATCGCATCAAAGAATTCTATTATCGGATTTGGTTTGGTGAAAAGGATGTGCCATTTGATACACCTACCACGAACGTCTTTGATGGCGGCAGAGCGACCATTGTCACCCAGGACGTTGCTGATTTTGTCCATGCCGTAGGCAACACCGGCGAAGCTTTCGTCGACCGTCCGGGCAAGGAAGTTTTCGCACCCATGGACTTTGCAATTGTCGTCGGCTGGAAGGCCATTACCAAACCGATCTTCCCTCGAGCGATCGACGGTGACCTGCTCAAGCTTGTCCATTTGTCGAATGGCTTCCGCATGCTTCCTGGCGCGGAGCCTCTGAAGGTTGGTGACGAGCTGCACACATCTGCCCGGATCAATGCGGTGCTCAACCAAGACTCTGGAAAGATGGTCGAGGTTTGCGGCACCATCACTCGCCGAGGGCAGCCAGTGATGGAAGTGACCAGCCAATTCCTCTACAGAGGTACCTACACGGACTACGAAAACACCTTCCAACGCAAACAGGAGACGCCTATGCAGGTCACTCTCGCTACTTCCAAGGACATTGCCGTTCTCCGGTCTAAAGAATGGTTCCACCTCGATGAGCCGGACATTGACTTGCTGGGACAAACTTTGACGTTCCGTCTGTCCAGCTTGGTCCGTTTCAAGAACACGACCGTCTTTTCGAGCGTCGAGACTGTTGGGCAGGTCGAACTTGAATTACCTACCAAGGAAGTCATCCAAGTTGCTTCAGTCGAGTATGAAGCAGGCGTCTCGCATGGGAACCCGGTGATTGACTACCTCCAGAGGAACGGCCAGACCATTGACCAGCCTGTCAACTTTGAGAACGCGATCCCGCTAAGCGGCAAGACTCCTTTGACTCTGAGGGCTCCGGCTTCAAACGAGACCTATGCTCGTGTATCTGGCGACTACAATCCCATCCACGTGTCGCGTATCTTTGCCAGCTACGCCAACCTTCCTGGCACCATCACACACGGCATGTATTCCAGCGCTGCCGTTCGGAGCTTAGTTGAGACGTGGGCTGCAGAGAACCATATTGGTCGTGTCCGAAGCTACCATGTCTCGTTGGTTGGTATGGTACTGCCCAATGACGACTTGGAAGTCAAACTCGAGCACGTCGGCATGGTGGCTGGCCGGAAGATCATCAAGATAGAGACGACCAATAAAGAAACTGGCGACAAAGTTCTCCTCGCGGAAGCTGAGGTTGAGCAGCCTGTGTCATCCTATGTATTTACTGGTCAAGGCTCGCAGGAGCAAGGCATGGGCATGGATCTCTACGCCCGCAGTTCCGTGGCGAAGGAAGTGTGGGATAGGGCTGATCGGCACTTCATGGACAACTATGGTCTGTCCATCATTAACATCGTCAAGAACAACCCCAAAGAACTCACCATCCACTTTGGAGGGCCGCGTGGCAAAGCCATCCGTCAGAACTACATGGCAATGACTTTCGAGTCTATCAATGCTGACGGCTCCGTCAAATCGGAGAAAATCTTCAAGGAGATCAACGAAAACACCACGTCGTACACCTACCGCTCACCTACTGGTCTGCTCTCTGCCACTCAATTCACCCAGCCAGCCCTAACGCTGATGGAGAAGGCCGCTTTCGAAGACATGCGCTCCAAGGGTCTCGTCCAGCGCGACAGCAGCTTTGCGGGTCACTCTCTGGGAGAGTACTCTGCTCTCGCTTCCATCGCAGAGGTTATGCCTATTGAGAGCTTGGTGTCAGTCGTGTTTTACCGCGGGTTGACCATGCAGGTTGCCGTGGAACGTGATGAGCAAGGACGCAGCAACTACTCCATGTGCGCTGTGAACCCTAGCCGCATCTCCAAGACATTCAACGAACAGGCTCTGCAATATGTCGTGGAGAACATTGCTGAAACCACCGGTTGGTTGGTGGAGATTGTCAACTACAACGTTGCTAACATGCAATACGTGTGCGCTGGTGATCTCCGCGCTCTCGACTGCTTGACCAATGTGCTCAACGTTCTCAAGATGCAAAAGATTGACATCCAGGCCTTGATGCATCAGATGTCTTTGGACGACGTGAAGGCTCACCTGGTCGAGATCATTGGCGAATGCCGCAAGAGGACTGAAGCCAAGCCACAACCGATCGAGCTGGAACGAGGGTTTGCCGTCATTCCACTCAAGGGCATTGATGTTCCCTTCCACAGTACCTTCTTGCGATCCGGAGTCAAGCCATTCCGTTCTTTCTTGCTGAAAAAGATCAACAAGACGAGCATCGACCCGGCGAAATTAATTGGGAAGTACATTCCCAATGTGACTGCAAGACCATTTGAAATTTCCAAGGAATATTTCGAGGAGGTCTACCGATTGACCAACTCACCTCGGCTGGCGAAGATCTTGGAGGACTGGGAGTCGTATGAGAATGCTGGAGATGCAGGTGTCAGACGGCTCTCGTCAACGGTAGCATAATTTATCCAGAACAGTGTCTTTGACGGTTGATGGGGCGTCGTTTTCTTTTCTGGAGGTCTTTCCGAAAACGGGGCGAGGATAGCAAAAAGAAGGCGCCTGGGAAGTTGAACGGGGTTTGGAATGGGTCAGCACGAGTGAGCTATAACAGCATTAGAATTTTTTTTTTTGGTTCCTTTCTCATGTATAGATAGTGGCGACGACAGCAAGTCCAACATATGTACCCTTTAGAGGTAATGAAAGCGGCATTCATTACTCTCAATCAATCTATTAAAGCGTGACAGAGTATAATGCTTCCTGTCGCAAGACTGAGTTAAAGATCCTCGTTGGGTGTCTGCTGTCCAGCATCGACTGATGAAAATGAAAATGAATACAAGACATCAGGATCTATATCCAGATCATTACCCTTGCTCGTTTCATTTCAAGACACGGGGAGGCTTTCTGGACGTTGTCCTGCCCCTTTTTCTCTCCTCTGTATGGTATTCAGCGGCACAGATAGAAGATATATGTACAGCTCTTGTTCATGATCCTTCTGAACAAGAAGAGAGCACTCAATACACTCATTTGGACCACAGCAGCCACGTTCTTTCACCCTCAACATTCCACTACATCCTGTCGTGAATAACTAAGCTAGATTGGATCGCTTTTCGAGAATACTACGAATAAATACCAGAGGCTTTCTAGCCAGCTTTAACATTATTAACTATTGTGACTGAGCCCTTCTGGGTTTGGCATGCACGTGTAACAATGCACAGGGACCTGTCAGGCAGGTCGGTAATCGAGAATGCCTTTCCGGTCGGCGCTGGCATGACAACACGACCCACAAAGAGGCAGCGGCTAGAACAACGAGCGCCTAGCACGGCGGCGGCGTTGAAGAGTGAAAAAGAACGTAGAGAATGCTCAGGGATAGGTAGACTGTATTAAGAAGAAAAAAAAAAAAAAACCATAGAATACTCTAGTCAAAATGCAAAAGAATGGTAAACTGCCAGCACTGTGAATTGCTCAACACTTCTGCAGAGATGGCATGCTCGCTCAGCTATTCTGCGTCTCCTGTCACTGTTGTTGTCTTCGTCCCGTTGTTGATCAACGCTCAATAGCCCCAATCTGATTTAAAGCCCCTCGTCTAACAGCCAAAACTAATACTAGTCCGTTTTGTCCTGATATGTGACCAGCTAAATCGCCTCCCTACTAACCCCATGCCAGCACAACACAGCCACTTCGCCTTGTTACAATATAAGACCTTCCTAGCTAACTGTTCGATAGGTCTCTGGTGTTACGGCTGCTGCCTCATCATCTAACAGAGTTAGATTCCTTCGTAACAGATTCATTGTATGGTATCGAACTGAGTGGGGAGAGCGCAAGGAACTGGGTATGAATAGTCATATTTCTGAGGACGGTAGAGTTCGCCAGATAACATGAGTTGGCTACGAATGAAGGTAAGCTATCTAACGTTAACGAGGGTATATATTGTAACAAGGCAAAGTGGCTGTGCTGGGCCGGTAGGGGGTTTAGCAGGAATGAGAGTTATCTAGTCACATGTTAAACCAAAATGGGCTGGTAAGGGGGGAGGGGTGCGGAACAGTTTACAGTGCTGGCAGAGTGCCATTCTTTCACAGTTTGAGAGGAGTATTATGAATCCCATAGCTTTTGGTCTCGTCTACCTATTTCCTGAGTGTTTTATCGGTCCTGTCCCAGCTCCTCAATGCCGCCGCCATGCTAGGCGTTCGTTACCCTAGCCGCCGCCTCTCTGGGTGGTGTGGGTGGTGGTGTTGTCTTGCCAGCGCCAACCAGAAACGCGTTCTCGATTCCCGACCTGCTAGACAGGCCTCTGTGCGTTGTTGCGCGTGCACGCCGAACCCTGAAGTGCTCTGTTACGCTACTACTCGGCAAGATTCTTGCATCGGCTTTTAGACTCTTCGGTCTCAACGACAAGCAGCCTCGTTCACTTGGGATTTAGGGTGGCGCCGCCCTACCCGGTACTGGGTGGACGGACTGATGTCACGTGATCTGGTTGATCCACAAGACTCGAACGCCCAAGCTCGGCAAACCACGTGATATTACTTGGCCAAGAATTCGGCTCAGCCCTTCCTAGACACCCGACCCGAGTCTTCCTTGTCAACATGGACTCTCCTTCCAAAGGGTCAATCTTCGTACCTTACAGAATATCGCCATGTTGAGACGAAGGGCGCCGAGAGCATGCACAATCTGTCATAATCGCAAAGTACGGTGCGATGTCTCGAGGAAGGGCACTCCCTGCTCGAATTGCTCAAGAGCTTCTGTTGTCTGCTCCGTAGACAACCCATGGAGAGAAAAGCCAATGCAGCGTCCTGGCAAGAGGAGTCTGCCCCAGGCCAACATTTATACATTCAAACTTGGCGCGCCTGTTACCTGCGACCCAACTAATCATGAAACTGTCTCTGCTGAAGCAACCGCCGGTGGGCAAGTCCCGCCAGGGCGTGTTCTCAACGATGCTACACCGGTGGAATGGCGCAGGGGTGGCGAAATTGCAGATATATCTCTGTCGCTAGACCAACCTGAACTTCCGAGCTACATCGCACGTCTTCCTGGTGGGCTTGACCGCGATGTCCTGCAGCTGCTACTGCGCAGGGGAGCCCTTACCATTCCCAGCAAAACGATGATTGATGAGCTGCTGAGAGTATTTATCTGCTACGTATATCCTTTACTACCAGCTCTGGATCTGGGCAGTTTCCTCGGCGCAATAGACGGTACAAACAGCGACAGCATCAGTCTGGTGCTGTTTCAAGCTGTGATGTTTGCAGGAGTCACCTTTGCAGATCTGCCTCATTTGCAACATGAGGGTTTTCAAAGTTATAACGACGCCCGGAAAATCTTCTTCAACCGGGTAAAGCTCCTGTATGAAATGGATGTCGAATCAAACCCTACGACGCTGATCCAGGTACTGCTTTTTATGACTTACTGGTACGGTCAGCAGAATGATACAAAGGGCCGATTTTACTGGCTGCGAACTGCTTTCTCTTTGGCCACTGATATTGGCTTGGATAGGCAACACCAGTTTTCAAATCAGCCGGACCGGCAGCGAATGAGGCGAAAGTTATGGTATTGCTGTCTAATCAGAGACAAACTTCTATCCATAACGGAACGGCGGCAAACTGCTCACAGTTGCGGCGGTGGGAACCCCGAGATCGTCGATCCAGATGACTTCGATGATGCGGCTTTCACTCAGGCATTGAATAAGTACTATATGCTTGGCTGCGGGATTGAGGCAACAAGCATGGGTCGATTATGCGCACAGAAGGTCAAGTTGTGCCTTATCATTGGACGTATTCTCGATTCGCAATACGAATTGAGCGGCGTACGATTCGTCGATTCAAGCGACCCGTTCATGGTCCTGATACCGAAAATGAAAGTCCTCAGCACCGAAGCAGCTGCTCGGGACCAAGAGCTTCGCGAATGGTCTGCGGAGACGGCTTCTATAAGAGAGGCAGCCTTGGGACAGGATCATCGCCGCAATGGGAGAGTGCTAGGCTTACATTCTGCAACCCTCGAACTGCTATATTTGACTGCGCTTTGCGCCGTCCACCGCCCGGTGCTCCTCCATGAACAACCAAAAGGCTCTGCTGCTGAAGCTTTAAAAAGCTTCTCCCGATACTCTCTTCGATCTTCTGCGCGACGAATCTCGGAAATAACCAGACATCTAGAGGAGAGCCATCTCATACAATTTCTGCCACCGCTGGCGGTGGGAGCCTTTATCTTGGCATCTATCCAACACCTCAAAGATGCTCTATCTGCAGAGGCAGAGCTTCGAGGCACTGGAAACTTGTATCTCAGGCAAACTCTCCAAGCATTCGCAGCATTAAGGCCAAAGTACAACTCCGCAGATTGTGCAATCGCTTTCATAGAGCGTGTCAGAAGCGGCAAACTCCCCTATCGGACTTTCGAGTGGGAGGATCGAGCTAATTCCCAGACGCCCCATGATGAACATACGATGATCCGCGCAGATGAGGAGCCGGATACCACCATCATCGCACAGATACACATAGACAGCAATCCTTCGCCGTTTGTTACACAGAACCCCAATGTGAGGTTGCAAAAGGACGTCAGGTATCATCCCTCCGATATGTCTGGCAGCTCGTTCGGAAACGACGAGGACTTCAATATTCCCTACTTTCGATCATCCAATCTCGAGGCCATTTCCGACTTGCTACTGTCGGCCCCGTTTGATGCTAACAATATCGACTGGGCACAGATGCACTGGCATTATGTCGATAATATAGAGACTTGAGCTAGAAAAAGTGACAATCGACGAACATCACAGCACATTGGTCAGCGCTATCGCGATCTGCATTGTCAATCTGGCATCTATGAAGTTGCGGCAATCTTCAGAATTAGCTCTGCGAGAATCTCAGTCGCGGTCAGATTCGGCACATGGTTCGAGTTCAGCTTATGTATGTCCACATCCCTGCCAGCCACAATCTTTATGTTCTCGATGTATTGTGCCTGCAACGCAGGAGGCACAACCTTGTCTTGCTCGCAAAAGATGTAAGAAGAAGGTATGTCCTTGAAAGCGGTATAGGTCACCACGCTAGCAAAGCTGAGAGCGGAATGCTTTGGCGCAGCTCTTGCCCAGGCAAGCGCTCGTTCTTCTGGCCAATCATCATACATGTGGGAACCGGACAAGGCAGGATCGGCAAGTCTCATGAATCCGTTCTCTGACAGTTAGCATCTTGAGTGTTCACGATAGAAGCAGGGACTCAAACCTCATCAGTCTTTACGATCGATGGTGGAGGCTTGCCTTGATGGCCGACTAGTGATTGTCCTTCTTGCAGGACAATAGCAGCCAGGAAGACTATCCTGGTGATACCCCCTTTCTGGCCTCTGGCGCACCGCTCCACCTTACTATGGCCTTTGGCAGATTCAGAGGCAACTAGGCCACCATATGAATGGCCAAGGACAATTACATCCTTTCCCTGGTCCGCAATCTTTCCGATGATGTTGCTGAAGAACTGTGTATCGTCACGCAAACTTGCGGGCGGTTCTGGGGCGTTCCGACTCGCCGATGGCAGGTTGTTCACGTACACCTCGTGACCTTGTGCGACCAGGATGTCCTGAAGAGGGTAATACATGGCTGCAATGCTGAAAGACCCAGGGATCAGGAGGATGACAGGCCTCGAGGCCATGGCTCTAACGTCGGCGAGAGGGGATGTTGGACGATAAGCGCTGAAAACCGTTCCTCAGAATTCATGCTCGGTGCGGCTGGGGTCTGTTTAAAACATGTCATCGTGCCGGGTCTCGAAACCACGCGTGATAAGATACGGAGTACTGTGCTTTACATTGATAATAGCAGGCAATCTCTGATTACTTCACATACTTCCACTTGTCAGCACTCAGAAGCATAAAAAAAGACATCTCGGCAGCAAGTCCGATATAGGCAATTCCGAAGCTGTGGGTCTTCGGCTTGCCTTATAAACTTTCGGGATCGGTAGCCTGATATGGGTTTGACCGAGTAAGTCAGTGACCCCGGTGCTTACACTCCTGGCGAACGATGCCTTCGCCCTGGCAGTCTCATTGTGCTTTCGCTTCGCCGGGGGTATACCAGTGGCTTAGTCGTGACGCTCGATAGCCAACATTTCTCCTGTTCCCCATGGGGTATTTTGTGGTTTGCAAAGTTCGGACTCGACCGAGGCGAGCCTGTTGAGATCATGCATGGGAGGAGGTTTATATAAGGGGAAGTCGCTGTTGTCCTCCTGCGCGTGCCCTCTATTCCATGTCCGATGTGGCAAACGCTTCGATATGGCTGTTGCAACAGAAAGAAGCCAGCTGAAGACTGCGCAGCCCGAAATCTCACTGGCGCATGAAGAGAAGGTTGAGGTCGCTCTCCAAGTTAATGGTGGCTCCCACAACGGCATCCAGGTCCACGAGTCACGGTCGATTGACTTACGAACAATTCTGGGCTTACTGGTTCGTCCTCTACGCCGGTTGAACTATTTTTCGGCTGAAGCAGATCTAGGCTCTCGCCGTTACCTATGAAGCCTGCCTGTTCTCCTTCGCGTTGCCTTCAGCGATTCTCCTCACCATCAACGAGGATGTCGGGCCGTCGACCGACATCACATGGGCAGCTACCTCATGGGCACTTGCGAGCGCCGTCGTGATGACTATTGCCGGCAGGTGCAGCGACATCTTTGGACGCAGGAATTTCTTCCTTACAGGGAACCTCTTGGGTGTCATTGGGTGTGCAATTGCTTGCAGGTCTGTCTCACAGGGGAAAAAAAAAAAGAACCGAGTTCTCAATCACACAGCCAACTGACCAATACAGGGCGACAAGCACATCGTTGATGATACTCGGAAGCTCATTCCTGGTAAGCTGGAAGTGATCGCTCGAGTCATCCCTTAGCTGACATTCTCTTGAGGGTCTTGCCGCCGGGCTCCAACAACTCGCATTTGCGGCAGCAAATGAGATCGTACCGAAGAAGAATCGTGGGCAGACCTTGGCTTTTATGAGTGTTGTGTCGATACCAGGGTCATGCTTTGGAGCCCCGATAGGTGAGTATTGTTAACCTCCATGCCCTGACCTATTTTTCGCTCGACGATTGATACGTCTTCTCTTAGCGTATGATCTCGTCTCCCAAGGCTCGTGGCGGTGGGCATACTATGTGTCTCTGATCATCAACGTTGCGGCTTTGCTTCTCATACTGGTCTTCTATTGGCCTCCAGACTTTCTCGGATTACACCCGGACGGCAAGACGCGACGCCAACAATTCCTCGAGCTCGATTTCATTGGGTTGCTTCTCTTTGGCGGCGGCTTGACCGTGTTCCTCGTCGGCGTCGGGTTTGGAGGCAATCCATATCCGTGGACCAGTGCCGTCGTCCTGGCCCCGACCATCATCGGTGGCATATCCGTCTTCGTGGCATTTCCGCTTTGGGAGCTGTACAGCCCTGACAATATTGCAAAGCTTTGTCCACCTCGACTTATGCAAGACGTAAGAGCCGTCGTCGTACCTCTAGGAGTTTCCTTTACTGGTGGCATGGTCCTAATCAGCACGGGTATCCTGTGGCCACAGCAAGTGCAACGCCTGTTCACCACAGTCCCACGAACTGTAGGTTGGTATGGCATGGCCACCAATGCCGCGGCAACTGGTAAGGAAGCTTCGTTCGCAATGTCTGCAAAGTGTGGCTGACACTCTGATTCAAAGCTGGTCTCATCCTAGCCGGTCAGGCGTTCTCGACAATCCGGAAGACCAGGTATCAGTACATCTTTGTCGTTGTGATGATGACGACGTTCCTCGGATTAAACGCAACCGTCGACCAGGACACTCCCGCTCGTGCAATCATATTCGTCACGTTGGCCTCTGCCATGATTGGCGCCACCAACTGCATGAGTATACTGATTGCGCAGCTCGGGGCTCGCGACGAGGACATTGGACTCGCCACTGGCCTGGTAAACTCCACGCGATCGACTGGGGGGGCCATTGGCGTAGCCATCTATTCGAGCTTGCTCGCAAACCGGGTGAGCAGTATTTGGGCAAGAGACATCGGCAGAGCACTGGTCCAGGCTGGTTTACCTGCTGCTTCGCTGACATCATTCCTCAGTGAGTTTCATGTTGTACTACCTCTTTCAGCGGACGGCTCACGTTTGATAGCGGCTCTGCCACAAGGAAACTTTGAAAATGTGCCAGGCGTCACTCCGACCATTATCACAGCAGCGTTGGACGCCCAGAAGAGTGTTTACGCCGACGCTTTCAAGTTGGTTTACTGTGTCACTGTGGCCTTCGGAGGTGGGTATCATGGCTAGTCCTCCAGGAGGGAATCTAATTCGAGTGCTAGGGCTTGCAATTTTGGGCGCCCTGTTCGTTGCGGACGTAGATAACAGACTCACAAAGTAAGTCCTCCTGTTGCAATCGAACCGTCTTAATGTGACATGCTGATCCACGACACCTTCCAGGCAGGTCAACGTTCAGCTTGTCCGACCGCATCTGCGAGGCGGCGGAAAGGGTGAAGCAAAAGTGTTACGCGAGCCGGACAATTAATGGAAGAGACATCACCATACTATTTTCGACGCGATGCCCAAATCTTGCAAACACGGCAGTGCAACAGAAATGATCGATCCAATCTGCTGGCGCAGTGGCTGGCATAGCCCTGCTGAATCACTACAGTTAGACTCCACGCATCGTACTAGTATACATTCATAGCGCGTGCTGGATACCTAATTTCCAAAAGGATGAGCAGGTAATATCTATCATGCAACGTTTGACAGGGCTGTGCCTGTATATAGGTGCCCAACGCCCTGCCTCCCCTTGTTCTCAGTTCAGCCTTCTCGTTAGAAAGAGCAGTCCATGAAGCAGGTTCATTCTTGCGTTTCGTGAGTGCTGTCACGATAGCGGCAGTAGCACACTCCATAGCAAGTGACACTTTTAGACGAATACATCCAACGCGTTCATGACATTCTTCGAAGTTTGGTAAATCTCAAGCCTCTCTAGTTACGACAGACACCCCATCTAGTTGAGAAACCCTTCTGTAGACACCTATACTGCAAGACCGCCGTTCAATTTAGGATATGTTGCACACAGATTGAGAGTGAATCTATCCGCTTAATTGTGTTCCGTGTCCCTCACTATTGAGAGAGACTCTGCCTGTTTATATACACTTTGGCCTGTGCTCCGAAGGCCATTGCTGAAACCTCCTGTTCCATCGCCATGCTATCGCAGATCGGCGAGAACAACGGTGTGGCGCAGTTGGTGAAACAGCCAGCGTCTTAGGTGGCTTACCACAGTGGCTACCTTGAGACCCTATCAACACACCCTCTAGGTAGTTCTGTTGAGCGACAGCGAGGTTGTCCGCGTTATAGGAGTGCCTAAATATTCACTAGGTTCAGTTATCTCACGAATCTCTCGAACTTCTACCTCGTAAGTGTCTTTGTAAACCCATCTACCTTCATATCGTTGGTGGATACCTATTTAATCGAGATGTCTCCGTTCTACACTTTCTATCGAAGCTAGTGTTAATGAATATCAACGTGACGTAACTTAGTATTGAGCATTGCACTATTTTAAGTTAATAGCCTAATAGTCTAGGTATTATCTAACTTAATGGCGACCTTACTGTCGAGATAGTAGCTCACCTAGGTGAAGAATCTCTTCTAGATTAGGATTTTCTTCGTCGTTTACGTGAGAGTATATAACTCTACTTCTATACTAAATATTATAACTATCGTTTATTTAGAGGCCTTCCAATCGATAGCGTCGTTATATAGTTAAAATAGATAGTCGTCTAAGCTCTTTCTATTAAGGCTATTAATAAATATAGCGTTAGAAGAATATTGAAAAGAGTAGATCTCGTTATTAGAATCGTCCTAATCTATAAAGTTATTAGAGCTGCCGCCGTATCACCTAACTAGGTTAGGCTCCTCAGTAATAGATTCTTAATAGTATAAACTGAGAATAGAGAACGTAAGGTATAAGTAGACTATATTACTAAGAACGGTATAGTTCAGTAGATAATATAAAATTAGCTACGAAGAGAGTATAACTATTAAGGGGAGAGAGTGTAGCTATATACTTATATAGCCCCTCTAAATGAGGTAATATAGAATGATATACTGGTTTATTAGTATACTCTAGTTCAATATATTAGTGGTTTAACTCTTTTCTATTCTAGATTTTACGTAATAAGTTTAGCCTTACTCCTCGAGACTACCTTATATTCGGTTAAGCTTCCTATCTCGGCGTACTATATGCTTCCGTAGTTTATCTAAGACTATATCTAATACTATTATTAGACACAGCCTTAGGGACAACCGATCACGAGCTGCACGAGCGCGACTCACTACACTCATTGGATACGTGGAAGGATTCACAAGAGAGCAATAAGACTAAGTTATGTGATATGCCCTGCTAGGTCTGCTGGCTCTATTGGCCCTGCTGGGACAGAGCGTACAGAGCGCACAGAGCGCATAGAGTAGAAGCGTTATATATACACCCTCGTTACCCCTAGATAACTTACACTCCCTTCGTAGCCAATTTCATATTATCTACTGAACGATATCGTTCTTAGTAACTAAGTCTGCTCATACTTTACGTTCCTTATCCGTAGTTCATACTATTAAGAATCTATTACTAAGTGATCTAACCTCATTAGGTTATACGGCGACAGCTCTAATAATTATCTCTCTCTTAGACTTATATATTATTCTTAACGTACTTAAGATAAATCGTACTCCGTACGTACTATAACAAGGCGAGATAGCTGTGCTGTGATGAGATGTACTGGGCTGGTAGAGCGGTGGCAGGGAGGAAAAGTTATCTAGTCACATGTCAAACCTAAATGGGCTGGCAGAGAAGAGGGTGCGGAACAGTTTACAGTGCTGGCAGAGTGCCATTCATTACAGTTTGAGCAGAGTATTGTAACAAGGCGAGGTGGCTGTGTTGTGATGGGCTGTGCTGGGCTGGTAGAGCGGTGGCAGGCAGAGATCTGTCAGGTCACATGTCAAACCTAAATGGGCTGGCAGAGAAGGGGGTGCGGAACAGTTTACAGTGCTGGCAGAGGTGCCATTCATTACAGTTTGAGCAGAGTATCATGAATTCCATGGCTTTTGGCGCCGTCTACCTAATTCCTGAGTGTTTTCATTAGTCCTATCCTGTTCCTCGATGCTGCCGCTGTGCTAGGCGTTCGTTGCTCTAGCCGCTACCTCTCTGGGTGGTGTTGGTGGTGGTGTTGTTGTCAGTATCAACTAGAAACGCGTTCTCGATTCCCGATCTACTAGATAGGCCTCTGTGCGTTGTTGCACGTGCACACCGAACCCTGAAGTGCTCTATTACAGTATCATGAATTCTATGGCTCTTTGGCGCTGTCTACCTAATTCCTAAGTGTTTTATCAGTCTAGTCCTGTTCCTCGATGGTGCCGCTGTGCTAGGTGTTCGTAGCCCTAGCCGCTGCCCCTCTGGGTGGTGTTGGTGGTGGTGTTGTTTTGTCAGTATCAACCAGAAACGCATTCTCGATTCCCGATCTGCTAGATAGGCCGCTGTACGTTGTTGCACGTGCACGCCGAACCCTGAAGTGCTCTATTACACTATATTCTTTACTTCTTTAAATAAAGAAGAAGAGATAGAACTAAATAGTTTATAAAATTCTAGAATTAGTGAACTAGTTATTTCTAATCTTCTAGAGGACGAGGATAACGATATAACTAGTATTCTATCTAAATTTTAAGTTTATATCGCTGAAGAACGATCTAGTTAAGAGATAAATCCTCTAATTTACGGAAGAAACTCTTAATTTATCTACCTTAAGCGAATTATTAAGAATTATCTCGCTATAATGACTTCTTTAGCGCCAGTAGAATGACTATTTACTAAGGTATTAAATATCGTAAATCCTAGGCATCGAAATTAATTAACTAAGGCTAGAATTAATTAAATTATATGCCTAAGGTCGTAGAAAGAACTACCTATTTCTATTAGCGAGGAAGAGGATGAAAGCGAGGGTAGTAACGAGGATTTTGAAATTCTAGAGAAAATAGAAGATTTATATAGTGCTTAGATTTTAGATAGTTTAATTAGATCTAACTCTAAATAGATAGACTAATCATAAGATAGATTAATCATAAATAGATAGATTAACTATAAATAGACTAGTTACTAGATAGACTAGAAGATATATCTCTACCCATTACTCTTTTTTAACTAAATTACTAAATACAGCAGTGCTTAGTAATACCTTATATAATCTAGAAGAATATTAATCCGTTGAGATAGTACTATTTTAAGATTTTTTAGTATTATTTAAGACTATTTAAATCACTTAAATATATATACAATATAAATAGTTAACCTTGACTATTTAAATAGTAAATAAGGCTTAAAGGTATTTAAATTATTTAAATAGAACCACACTGGAATTACATCAGTATCGACGCTGCAACCTGTCTCAGCATTGGCAATCCTCTTCCGAAAGCATCAACCCATAAAGCTGCAGTCCTCCGCCAATCCGCAGCCAAAACATTTCCGTTCCTAGAGTACGCTATTCGAAACGTTTTATACCACGCCAGTATGGCACAATCTAGCGGAGTCAACCAGCAAAATTTTCTTCGCAACTTCTGGCTTGCCGAATGGGTTAATATAGACAATATATTTGAAAGGCACGAATTACGCCGACATACTCCAAACGTGAGTCTCTTATATATTTTAGTGGAGAACAACTTGTCCAGTCTCATCAAGATTCACCCATCCAACCTATCATGCTTCGAACAGAAGATGACCGCTATGGGCTGCCGATTTTTGCGGCCTTAGCTACTGGAGGTAATGAAGCGGTGGGAACCTTTCTGGAAATCCAGGCGGATAGCCTCCCTACAGCGTCTCTAATTCGTAACCCGTGCGAACAGTATTGTTGAACGCAGTATATGAGCAGTATGAAGGAGTGCAAGTGGTGCAATCTAGTCTGGCTCTGGGGCTAATGGTACCACCTATATATAGCTAAATTTAGCCCTATTGTGACGGTATGACACTATGGGGGCATACATTACGGATGGTAAAAAGGCACCTCAAATAACCTCAAACTGAGCGTCATTTGAGCCATAGTAATACTCACTATCACGATATTAGGCCCTTATAGTCACGTGTGTAATACCGCCAACACCAAAGACTTGAGATCGAGGATCGTTCTGCTGGGTCCATCGAACTGTTCTCAGAATATCGTCCCAGATCTTGATACCGAATTGAAGGGGCATCCCGAGTTGATCAACACTCCAGACTGCTTAGGGAAGACACCGCGGTGGTGGGCTGCCAACTGCCGGAACGCGTAGACGACACCGATTCTCGGAAGCACACTCCACTGCATACGGCTGTGATCAGGGCCGCCTCGGAAGAAATGGTGCACGCGCTTCTGGTCGCCGGAGCGGATGCCAATGCTAAGAACCTCTCAGGTTGGACGCCGCTCCATTACGGCGGCTGGAAGAACCACCTCCACCTTGTACAACTTCTACTAACCTATGGAGCTGACGTGAACATGTGCGATGTAGACAACCACTCTCCCATGTACAATTGCGCTGTCAAATACATGGACGAGGCTGCGCGAATATTACTCAGCCATGGAGCAAGCCTTGACATACCCGACAAAGAAGGTCGTCTAGTCTGGGAATACGCCATGATGTCGGCTTCCGCCCGGGTATTAAAAGTCTTCGCTGTTCATGGCTGTCGATTCACTAACGACCGTGCTCTAAATAATGTCGGGTCTTCTGTCGCGGACTATGTAGCCAGATATGGTACAGAGCCTGTTGTAAGAGTCCTGCATTATTTATTGAAGATACGGCACGCAATGCGTTGTACAAGACCTCAGAGGGCTTGATCTGAGCCATATCGACTTCGAAGCAAAGGACGAGCAGGACAGGACAGGACAGCCGAAGAGGCTTTGCACTTGCGCTTCAGCCCGGAAAAGCTAGCGGATTGGTTTGAATGCACGGAAGACTTGTATAATACTATCAAGTCGTACTTCGAACATATCAGAACCCTGAGCGGTTGGGTGGTCTCCGAAGCCCGGGATATTCCTGCCTCGAGCTCGCAAGGAGAAGAAGGCTACAAGGAAAGCATCTCTCCTTTATATTTTACTAGTCTACCCAGTTTACTTAATAATTGACGTATATATCGATAAGCTAGCGACCGTAAGTCTTTTCTCTGTTGCAACCATAATCTTCAAGTGAATTCGGACAGGTTTTGCTCATGCGCAGTGCAGGGGATTCTTTTATCCCGTCGTTGTATATCATATATAGAAAAGAATCTCGTTTTTCGTATTATATCAGCTGGTTTATCACCTAATTGGTTAGGCGACGCGCTCGGCTGGTATTTTGACCCTGTTGGTGCCATGGTGGATGGTAAAAGGTATCTTTCTCGATGGCGTGATTGTAAATAGAGTCCTAAAAAGGTTAGCGTGAGGGGTGTAGGTGCCCTCCTGGTGCCCTCGAGCCTAAGGAAGCTTGATGTCATGCATACATACATATGTATATCGAGGCTCGACTCGTATAATGCCAAATCATTCATGCGGCGAAACCTCAGATTTGGGGGTACTTGGCCGCCGCGCCTCGGCGAATAAAATGAATATCAACTTGGTAGAGGCAATCGCTTGCAATTTTGCTCCTGGTGACTTGAGGTATCTGTCTCTCTCTCATAATGTAAGCCGGCTGATTTGCTGGGATTCCATCGATGAAAAAGCGGATGGACACTGATTTTACACTTTTGCAAAAGGACACCCCCCCCCAACAACCCTCGGAAATCTCAAGCAGTGACGGTAGTCTAGCCCAACGAGAGTCCCGTATCTCGAGCATTGTATGGTCCCAAAGTGTCGAACCATTGCGTGTCAAAGCCTACGCCAAGCTCGTCGGACAGGTCGAAAAAGTCTGCAGAGCCTTCCATGTCCAGAAAGTAGTCAAAATCATGTCGCATTTGGTCGCCTGTTCGCCCATTCCCACGGACTGCGCCTGTGTTGGGGCTGATGTTATTGTGGCTGTCGCCGGTGCCATCTGCCGTAGCGTTATAACCCTGGTCGACACCAACCTGATATTGTCTCCACACAGCCTGGTTAGATATGGTCGGGGCTGTGTCCTCGGGCCCTTGGGCTGTTTCGCGTATGTCCATGCGAGACGGGGCTCTGCTCGGCTCCGAGTTGGCGGCTGAGATGACAGTCGATCTACCGCCAGGCTGCAGGGATCCTGGTGGCGGGACATTGAACTGACACCCAAAATGCGAGAGACTCTTCACATTGTTGTGCTTCACGCCGAGCATACTCTCGCCTAGTCTGATGCTGGCCTCGGTTGCCTCAGGTCGAGAAGACGCCTTATTTGCAGCAGTCGTGAGAAATGAGAGTGCGAAAGCACCAGAGGCATACGTTTCGCCCAACTGCTCCAAAGACTGCGTGCAAAGACCAAATTTTCGTCTAGCACTTTGTTGAAGATCCTTGTCGCCAACTATCTGGTCCAGGACGTGAATAATGGCGGCGTGAAGAAGACAGGTGACCCCAGTATTGGGAAGGAAACAAACCAGGCCGTGGGCGTAAAGGTTCGTGTACAGGATTGTAATCTCATTTGCTGCCTCGCGCGTCTTCCTCCGTGACAAGTCTCGAATCTCCGGATCCAAGGACGAGTTGATAGCACCAGAGAGGATTTGGGGGCGGTGTAAGATACTGATCGACGTGAGGTACAGGCCCTTCAGAACTGCTTTGTGTATTTCTAAGACTTGGCCCCCATTTTCCGATGAGTGATCCGACGGCATGCCATTGAAGCAATGTAGATTCTCTGCATGAATCTGATACCACTTTTTCAGGCTGTGGTCGCATTGCAACAGATTCGAAGCATTACTGATGATCTCGTCCATGGATCCCCCCATCTTCGTCATCTGAGCAACTGCGCTGTGGCTCGACTTGCGGTATTGCATCTCAAGAATGGGGGTCAAGCAGACGCAAAGCTCAGCCATGCCGATACATAATTTGGCCAACGACACTCGGACGGCCTCATTTTTGAAGGTGGGACATTGGGCCCCAAGCATCTCGCTCACTCCGCTGGACAGGGGTTTTGTCTCCAAATCGGACAGCTCCAGCATGGGCTGATTGAATTCGTCCTGACGGATGCGCGCGGGCCGCCGAAACGCAAGTGACACTAATCGATCTCTTGTGTAGCATGACCACCACAAGCGCTTCCACAGTCGTCGCTCCAGCAGGTTGCGAGGGGGGACTGGAGAGAGCTCATAGTTGAGCCCGATACGCTTGGACAGCGAAATAGCGACGCCTAGCCAGTACCAGACATCCTTAGGATCATCTGGTGTTTCGTTCCAATATGTCATTAAGAGAGTACTCTGGATCACGGTGAGACGATCGAGCTCATAGTCCATATCACAGAGGAGCTTGACTCGGAGATAGAAGGATCTGCGAGCCTTTCGTCGGTCGTGGTAGCCATGAGCAGCCAGAGTCCTTAACGCGGCATATGGGGTGGCAGCAAACATGACAGCTTGGAAGAGAAGGAGGCTGACCGTTTCTGTGGCATCGTCTTTCTCAATCGCGGCCAGAAAGTCTTCCAGTTCAAGGACAGGCAAGTACGGGTGCACATACTGAACGTAGCAGCGTAATAACTCGTTCCGTAAGGCCGTATCAGGTATGATGAAGGCGCCCTTTGTCTGCAGACGTTCAACATCGTCCACTTCCAGGCACGCCGAGGCCCTTCGAATATACTTTGGGAAAGCAATCTCTGATCCTCCAGCGGACCCCAGCCTGAGATCAGTTGAGGTTTGTGAAGGCGGCGATAAGGACAGCCCATTGTGAAGGCCGTTTCCTGCGTAGGCAGGCCTGATAGCAGGGTTAGATCTGCGAGAGTCGACGTTGGTTTGTAGCGGGGAATGTTCCAGTGGAGATCCGGACTCAGTCAAGAACGTCCTGTCCTGATGGTACCCCGCGGAGGTGGCCGTAACATTTGCAGTTTCCTCGCTACGCCGCTCGCGACAATATCGGCTGATTGAAGGGGAAGAAAATTGTCCAGGAGCATTGGGCACAGCGACATTCACACTGGTTGCCGCCGGGTCGCGGGGAAGACTCGCAAGGTTGTCAAAGTTGGTATACCGAGGGGAGATGTTGTCTTCAACAAGGGTATCCGGGGTTGTCCGCCGCCGTCCAGACGTCTCGCCCGCACGAAATTTGCGTCGGCGAAGGCTCTCGGCCACTTTGCACTCGACCCGATCAAGTCGACAATTGGTGCACGGAAGGCCATCGATGACGTCGCAACGCACTTTACGAGCCCTGCAGTTGAGGCAGGCTTTGGAAGCGCGGCGTTTGCTACTCTGACGCACGGATGTTTCTTCCATGGCGGGGTTTCGTGCCGCCGGGCCACACAGGTTCTTGCTTCTTGCATTAAATAAGGTATATCTGTAGCAGTGAGGCAAAAGGATCAATCCGTGGTCGATGCAAGCGGAGAGACCGAGGTATTGGCGATGTCTTGGCGACGAGCTGTCACGTGCCACGCAACGTGAGTCAGCAGGGAGGGTGGAGCCACTAGAGTGTTTGAGCTCTGGAGAAAGTTATTTACTCCGTACTATATGCCACCTATACCATATATACACTGGGACACGCCATGTAAAGCGCGCATTTAGACGTTCGCTAAGCATTCCCGATCCGGATTAATCAGGTCGCCAGGGGTTGTCAGCGCCGCTACCTAATAACTGCGGCTAAGGGCGGTTGGAGTAAGGTGGCCCTGTACACGAGTAGCAAAGGTATGAAGTGTAATTGCTATCCAGTGCGCTATGAAGTACAAGACGAGAGACAAAGAACTCGAAGAAGAGTTCAGAGCTTGTAGAATGTACACCGGGAACAGGTTGGTTGGGCATGTCCGGGATCATCGATGCTGGCCAGATACCGTCCTGACCCTCCGTTTCCATCAAGAAGGCTCCTTGTGATGGCGTCGTATCCGGTGGCGAGGATGACAATATCCAGCTCGTGTAGCTGTTCGACGGTGACAATTTCCCGGCCATTGAACCCTTGGAGAGGAGTGGCCTTCAGGTCTACAAGTTTATCGTTATCGCGACTGATCACATCGGAACGGTCCTGCTCCAGACTAGATATTGGAGCCAGCTTGTTCCATACCTACTCAAAATTAGATTGTGGGTTGGCTTCTCGCGTGGACTACGCCGGTTGCACAACAGGCTGGTTGCATTCAATGCAACCCGCTTGTCATTTGCCACATGGGCCATCCAGTGCACAATTGGCTTTTATTCACACTGCCAGCGCGCCGTGGCAAGTAATGATACACGCCACTTGTGAGAGTTCTGGTCCAGCATGAGCATTGCCTACTATGCAGCCATGTTAATCAGGACGGTCTTTGGCTCCGTGAATAATCTCAACGCATACTCCCCGAATTCCCGCCCAATACCGCTCTGTTTCTTACCCCCAAAGGGCGCCTGCAAGCTTTGCAGGCTGATGCAATTGATACCGACGACACCAGACTCCAATGCCGAGGACACTCGCAAAGCTCGTGTGATGTCCCGAGTAAAGACTCCGGCCATCAAACCAAACTCGGTATCGTTGGCCAGCCGCAAGACTTCTTCCTCTGTCTCGAACGTCTTGATGACACTGACAGGGCCAAAAATCTCCTGTCGATAGATTTCCGCGTCATCCTTGGGGTTTAAAAACACCGTGGGTTCCATATAACAACCCGTCTCGCCGTACTGGGCGCCTCCGACCACCAATTCCGCCTCGGTTTCTCCTCGTTCCACCATTTTTTTAACTCGCGCAAGCTGTGCCTGGTCCACCATGGGGCCCAATCTAACAGCTGGATCCTGCGGGTCTCCCAAGTCATTGGCAGCTTCTTCCATCCTTTTCTTATATTCTTGGATGAACTTATCCGCAATACTCTTCTGGACATACACTCGTGAAGCAGCGACACAAAGCTGGCCACTTCGTGTCAAGATCGCGTTTATTGTCCACGTGAGTGCGTTCTCGAGATTGGCATCCTCGAAAATCACCGCTGGACTCTTTCCTCCGAGCTCTAGAGTGACTCGTTTCAAGTTGCTTCGAGCCGCAGCCTCTTGGATCTTCTTGCCCGTCGTGATTGAGCCGGTAAAGCTGACCTTGCGAATCCTCATATGCTCGGCAAGGAGGGCGCCAGTAGATCCAGGCCCCGTAATAACTTGGATAACTCCGGGAGGGAAGCCAGCTTTCTCAAAGAAAGATGCCACAGCCAAAGACCCCAGAGGTGTCTTCTCACTGGGCTTCACAATCATGACATTTCCGGTCGCAAGTGCCGGAGCTGCCTTGAGGAAGAAGGTTGCTACCGGTGCATTAAAGGGGTTGATGGCAGCACAGACACCAAGTGGCTCGTGTCGGACCAACTTCACAAACCCTGAGACAATGACTATTTCAGTACTGCCCTAACAAGAGAGACCGCAGTCAATTCTCGCTTACCATCATCAGCGGGAAAGTAGTCGCCCTTCTGTTTGTCTGTCCATCCTGCGTAGTACACCAGGCAATTCCTAATATAATTTCGTTCACGGACTGGGGCTAGGGAGACTGGGATTCCGGATGTGAGTGAGTCCAGCGTGAGAATCGGCATGAGCTCGTCATCAAGCAGTGCGGCCAATTTGAGCAGGCACTCGGTCCGTTGTATAGCTGAAAATCGACTCCACGGTCCATGGAAAGCCTCTTCAGCGTATTTCACCGCTGCCTCGACGTCTGCAGGGCCGGCGATCGGGATGTTGTCGACGACGACAGTGTTATCCTTGGGGTTTTTGAGGCTGTAGGTCTCTGTGCTCTTGGCCGCGACGTATTGGCCGTTCAAAAATAGCTGAGTGTAGCCTTTCGGATCCAAGGCAGTGCTACCCATTGCTGCGGTTTTCAACCCTACTCGTTCGATTGAATCACTTGGGAAAGAGCTTGAGGGTGTGTTATTCGCAAGGCACTTAAATTCCCGTGCTGGCGCACGCCGGGCGGGGGAAAGCTACGTCGGGCCGATGGCCAACCAATTCCGATAGCAGGCTAGGCGGTCGCCGACATCTGTTCTTCTCGGATATGCATCGCGTGGGGATTCCGTGACACCATCCCCCTTCAGCCGCAAACTTCTAAACCCTAGGCTGCAATGGTTCCTGTGGCTGCCACAGACTTGAGAACGTTGGACCTCGGTCCAAGTCGATAATCGATCATCTTCTGACGAGCGGAGTTCTTTTATTAAATGCATACGATACGTGTTGCTGCTCCTCCGGCATCCAACGTCTTTCAAATCACACGCCACTCGACCGACCACTAATGGCAGATCAAATGGACATCTGGGCCTTGACAGAATGGGATACGCCTCTGAAGAAGCTCCGCCAGCCTATTCCAACTCCCAAAGGAACGGAAATCTTGGTGAGAGTTACCCACGCGGGAGTTTGTCACTCAGACCTCCATACCGCCGAAGGCTTCTATGACATGGGAGGAGGAAAGCGCTTTTACGTCAAAGAACGTGGTATACAGCTGCCTGTTGCATTGGGACATGAAATACTGGGAGAAGTGGCTGCTGTCGGACCGGAGGCAGGGTCTGTCGCAATAGGGTCCCGTCACATCGTGTATCCGTGGCTCGGGTGTGGTACCTGTGGGCGCTGTACCCAGGAAAAGGACAACTTGTGCGCCGCGCAAAAAGCACTCGGAGTCCTTCGAAATGGCGGGTTTGCCGAGTATGTGGTGGTTCCCCATCCGAAGTACCTCGTCGATCTAGGCGATCTCGACCCCTCGGTGGCGTGTACTTATGGCTGTTCTGGAATCACAACCCTCAGCGCAGTCAGCAAGGTCATGCCCCTGCCGCCGGATGAGCCGGTCCTCCTGATCGGCGCGGGAGGTCTAGGACTGGCAACAATATCAGTGTTGAAGGCATTTGGGCATAAATCCATTGTCAGTGCAGACATAAGTGACGACAAACTGGCTACGGCCGCTGCAGCCGGTGCCACAAAAACCGTCAACACCTCTGGCCCCTCCGCAGCTCAAGATATTCTTGCCGCCACTAATGGGCCTGTCATTGCAGTGATAGATTTTGTGAACAACTCAGCCACCGCAAGCATGGTGAACGGCCTGGTCGCGAAAGGGGCCAAATGGGTACAAGTCGGTGTTATGGGAGGCTCGATTGAGTTGTCTCTCGTAGCGAACATTTTCAAAGGCCTGACCATTTATTCCAACATCACCGGAGATTTGGACGAGCTCCGGAGCCTCGTGCAGCTCGCGAAAGAAGGGAAGCTAGCCCCTGTGCTGGTCCAGAAAATGCCTTGGGACTCAGTGAATGAAGCAATGGACTTGCTTAAGGCGGGAAAAGCTTCGGGGCGAATTGTGCTCGTTAAGTGATTGGTTCCTCGCGATGAGACAAGAGAATCGACTATGATTATTTTATCGAAGCAAAAGTCTCCCTTATAAAGCCTTCTCTTTAAACCGTGTGCTATCCCTGGGCACGATGTCCATCGTGCCACCAAGGACTCGTCCCGGCTTGCCTGTCTTGTCGTCGTCATCGAAGGATCTCTTACTGCAGGCGCAGTGAACAGCCCCATGTTCCTGTTCTTCAGGCTCTTTGATAGTTCTGACGTCTGCACGGTCCTGGTGCTCTTCCCTATGGGTGCTGCAGAGCTTTCACCGCCGCGAGCACGTGGATTCTTGGTCGGCCAACACGGCCCTGGTCTTGCCATTGGCTGTAACCTCGACCTCGCTGTTAGCTACGGATGCTATTTCGTGAAGAATGGTAATTTGTCCTGAAGCCTTCCTCTGGGCCTGCGAATGATAATTGCTGTAGTGAATGATACGTATTGCAACGGTGGGAAGCTACCTCAATTTTTTCCCCCATCAAAACATGCCCACTATGAATTGAGTACAGGACAAGAATGCGCAATAGACAGCCTTATTCATTTCTCTCGTTGTGAGGTTACTTGATATCAACATCATATTTGTGTAGGTTCATGTTGACAGGGTTGCAAGATAGCCACTGTGGCAAACCACCTGAGACGCTAGCTGTCACACCAATTGCGGCACTTACCTCAACACCGTTGTTCCCACCGACCTGCGACAGCATGGCGACGGAATAGGAGGTTTCAGGAACGGCCTTCAGAGCATAGGCCAAAGTGTATATAAACAGGCAGAGTCTCTCTGAATAGCCAGAGGGACAGAACACAATCAAGCAGATAGATCCACTCTCAATCTGTGTATAACAGTTCAGGATGATCTCAACCAGCCGCTAGGCCCCGTTAAAATCGCGGCACCTCATTGGACACATTTCACCCCTTCCACAACCCCTTCTTCGTAGCGAACTCCGATGAAAGACTTCCATGCTCGGGTACTAAAAAATCGCTAACCTAGCTTCTTGTCATGCCACGGCTCCATGAAAATAACGGTCGAGAAAATCTTCTGCTTGTGACGGATTCCAAGCCGCAGCGCGTAAGATCAGGTCAGACCTCGAGCGAAGCTGGTCTTGGCCAGAGCATTTTCTCTCCAGTACCATACCGCCGTCATGGTCGCACCAGGTCCAATGACGAGGCTACCTAGGGCGATGAGGGCCGCGGCTTTCCTTGGGTCGACGGTTGCTCGACCCATTCGCTTCAAATCCCACGCAGCCATGCATAGCCAGGCGTACGTGGCAACGTGGAAGCCCCAGAAGTCCGCCAGGAAGATAGTTCTCAGACCCTCCCCAAATGCCTTGGATTGCGCGGTAAAGTCGGGCCAGAAGACAGATGTCAAGCTCAGAGTGGGTGATAACAGGATCTTCGCCCCAGAGTAGACATGTAGCACCACTCCCAGCGTACCGGCGACGACGTACAGCTTCTTGATATATGGGACATCCGGAAAAGGCTCATTGGCTTTCGGCGACGCTTGTTTGAGACCTTGTCTCTTGACGAAGCAATACCCCAGGATGCTGCAGATGAGTGGGACAAACATTGGAGACAGTTGCCAAAGCGACTCGAAATTCTGGATTGCGTACGGGTCCTTCCAAGGTAAGAACATGAGAATTGTTGGAAGGGCGTAACCGAGCATGACGGCCCAGATAAGAGACATGGCGAATTGTATTGGAACTGGACGGTTGAGTGGCCACCAGTACGTTTCCGGCTCTGAAATGTACGTGTAGCAGGCGTAATAGACAGGCATATAGATACCGACACCTGCCCACTGAACCAGTGTGAACCAGATAGTGATGCTAGAAATTAGTTAAGTCAGTAAATCCGGCCAATGAAAAGGAGACGATCAATACTCACAATGTTACAGGTGTCAGCGCGTTGCGTTTCCGATATGCCTCCACACACCACACCGCAATGGGCTGAATAAGCATCCCGAGGAAGTACATTTGCAAAGTCGCAAATTTCTGGTCCCAGTTATTCAATCCTGGCATATATGCTGCTGCCAAGAACATCAGGTAGTTGTCGATAAGTGCAATCCCTGTATACTTGCGCTTAAGAGGAAAAATTGGATCGTAGGAGAACGTTCCAGTCCTCAAGACTGTTTCCAGGTGGTCCCCCAGACCGTAATAGGCTGACCGGATCCACATGCCGTAGTGAACAAGTGCAGAAATAAGTAAGTAGAATCCAATGAAGTACCACTTCACTATACCTCGAGGCACCGGGGTGCTCAGAAGTTCGTCTTTGTACGGGATGAGTCTCGGAGTAGGGGCCAGCTTAGGGCTATTCAGCTTTTCGGCGAGTGGCATGTTTCGGGAGAAGTTGAAGGTGACATCCTCAACGTCGGTCAATGGCAATAAATGGAAAGCCACAAACTCGTGGAGAGGTGTATCGAGTAGCTCAGTCCGCTGCTGTTCGTGTGAATGCTCCTTGAGAATGGTTGTCCTAGCTTGTCGGATTCTTTGGGTTGTGGCGAATGCGCCTTCGATCTGTTCCAGTGTAGGCTTGACACCACGCGATTTTATCAGGACATCGCGGAGGACGTTGACAAGAGTGGCCGCTGATTCAATAGAGGCGTTACCGCCGTGGCCGGCAATGGGATGGAACTGGGGATGCTCAGCATAGTTCTTATGAACGGGGAGCGGTGTCCCTGTCATGCGTACCTTGTGCGCAGCGTCACCAATGGTTATGATGCGCTTGAAATACCACTGTCTAAACACATACTCCTGTAAGGGTACCAACACTGATGAGATCTTCCTGTCCAAGAGCTGCTTGAATTTCAGGGTAGGAGTGATGTTGTCGTTTTCTCGTAACGCGAGCAGCTTCTTCTCGTCCTCTTTGGTGTAGTGGGGGATGTCATCGCCGTAGGCTCGCTGCACCAGCTTGTAAAAATAAAACCAGTACACACGGCCTCCTGGGCCGCCATTGACAACATAGGATTCATGCTTCCTGAACACCGAGTTCGACGCGCCAGGTTCGATCCCCTCGCAAGGATGGGAGATTCCAAACACACACCCATAATCGCAGGGGACGCCTAAACCAGATCAATGCACGCGTTCATGCCACCGTGGAGAGGACTCACAAGAATGCTCGTCGGAGGGAATCCACCCAGGCGACAGCTCATTCGCGATCCTCCACATTTCTCCTCTTACTGAGCTGTGAATTCCATCCGCACCGATCAGGATGTCACCTTCGTAGGAACAATTGTCATGTGTTTTGACCACCACTCCATCGTCCGATAGCTCGACTTTTTGGATTCGTTTCTTCGTCAGGACCTTTGTCTTGTCCTGGATGTTGTCGTACAGCACCTGAAGGACCATCTGGCGATCCAAAAAGGTGATCGGATAACCGTGCCTTTGGAGCCTTTTAGTGTTGCGTCCTCCCATAAGTCATGGCACAACCAAACCTCTCATGCATGGATTGGTTCATGCCCCGAAACTCGCATATGATATTGCCCGTCTGATCACGAAAATGAAACGAGTCCAATGGAGGGCAGAGTTCCAGAATCTTTTGGTACAAGCCGAGTTGGTCCAATATCCTGTTGCCATGTGGTAAAATGCCTATGCTCGCACCCACCTGGGGCGCAATGTCCCCATATGATTCGAGCACCACGAAATCGATGTCGTATAGCTGCAGGATGTTGGCCAGGGTGAGGCCTGTGATGCTGCCGCCCCCAATCACGACTTTGAAATCGCTCTTGACTCCCATTTTGCCGTTTTGATGGGTGCTGTTGATGGATGGCTGAATGAGAGGAGGAAGAGTCGGGAGTAATGAAAACGAGGGAAGTAAGGAAGACTGACTTATATCGCCAACTCTCCCCCGTTTCTCTCCAACCAACCGATCACCACTTGTCAATATGCCAGCCTCTCACCCCCATATTCCTGGAGGAATGTATGCAAGGCCTTGTCGGACCATCCCGCAACATTCGGAGGCCCAAATCACGGGGAAACCCCTTCCTTGCTGAAGTCTCCCCCACAAAAAGTTGCAGCCGACTAAATGCCCAGAGGACCAACCATGATTAAACGGAAAAAGACCCTGTTCGGAAAAGCGGCCCGACCAGATGATGACTAAGTCGGCCTCACAGGCCGTCATTCAGCAATCAGCGGCCATCTGGCGTAGGTCCTGTGCTGTTTAGCTTTAGGTCTGATAAACCGCTGTAAAGTCAAGTCCTCTCACGAACTAAAGGCAGTTGTTGCCCGAGGGATCGCTCTGACAATTTGGTAACGAAGGAAGAATATTGCGAGATCCATCCAGTCACCAGTCGGTCTTGAAAGGTAACCGTGTGATAAGTTCTTTTCTATCGACGCATCCTGCGCCCTGAGAGTCTACGTTTGCGACCGCTGGAAATTTTGAACAGAAACACCGTCCCTATGATGGAGAGCTTCCAAAGCAAGGCGCTCCTCACGCGGCGCTCTCTCAAGTACACATATTTTGTCTCTCCGTCCGGTGAATCTACCAAGCAACATCCCGCGTTGTTGTTTGTTCACGGCTTTCCTGACTCGGCACATCTTTGGGCAGGAGTGGTCGCCAAACTCGGGGACCTGCCAAACAAAAAGATTCTTGTCAATTGCTTGGGGTATGCAGGGACAGACAAGCCCGAGGACACCAGTTTGTACGCGTACAAAGACCAAGCCGATGATCTTGCGGACATCCTGGACTGCGAGAACGCCAAATTCACAATCATTATCGGACATGACTGGGGCAGTGCGCTCGCTCAGCGCACCTACCTCCACAATCGTGAGCTGTTCAGCGGCGTGGTTCTCCTCAATACCGCATACATGGTTCCCTCAGATCAGGCCTTTGACCTCGCCACAGTGAATGAGCTCACCGAAAAGACGTGGGGTTACCCACAGTTCTCGTACTGGGAATTCTTCACGGCGCCAGATGCTGCCGAGATCATAGACGGGAATCTGGAGAGAATGTGGCAAGTGCTGCATGGTGATGTCGAAGACTGGATGAAAAAGATGTTCTGTGTTCCAGGCGCCATGCGCAAGTTTTTGCTCGGCACCGAGGAAGTGCCGTTGAAGCCATACGCGAAGCGACCAGAATGGAAAGGCAAGTTCATGCAACAATTCGAGACCGACGGATTCGCCCCATCCTTGCAGATGTACAAAGGTACTGCTTCGAACATACAATTCATGTCAGATTCAACCATTCCCAAGGAAAACTTGGCCATTGAGGTGCCGACATTGTTCGTGATTTGTACCCAGGATGCGGTCTGCTTGCCCGAAATGATGGTCCCGGCGAAGAACAAGGGTCTCGTACCGGATCTGAAGGAGGTTGTTATTGAGTGTGCACATTGGTCACCAATGGAGAAGCCCGATGAGATCGCCGCACATATAAGAGACTTTGTGATCAGCAGGTTCTCATCGCGTTCATCTACATAGGTCCTGTTCATATGACTCAATAATAACGGGCTAAACCTATTATACACAGATTGAGAGTGGATCTATCTACTTGATTGTGTTCTGTCCTCCTGGCTATTCAGAGAGACTCTGCCTGTTTATATACACTTTGGCCTATGCTCTGAAGGCCGTTCCTGAAACCTCCTATTCCGTCGCCATGCTGTCGCAGGTCGGTGGGAACAACGGTGTTGAGGTAAGTGCTGCAATTGGTGTGACAGCTAGCGTCTCAGGTGGTTTGCCACAGTGGCTATCTTGCAACCCTGTCAACAAAACCGTTTAAACTTATGCGGCTGTGAAATACGCCAAGACGTTAGTAATTATAGCTATAAAAGTAGCCTCCTAGACCACAGAGATCTAGTAAAGAACAATATACTTTTACGTCTCATTTCACAGTTAGTAGCAACGCCTATTCCCTTAGTCCGTAATTTTATAACTGATTACGGATCTAGGGGAACAACGGTGAAGTCTCGAGATAATCGCTTCGTAAGTTCTTATGACGTATTAAAAGTATATAAAAAGTCTATTTAGTAATTATAATGTTATAGATTCGGCTGAATATCGAAATAACGAACGTCTAATATCTTAGATAATAATTAGACCACTAGCGAAGCATAGATATGACTTAGAGAGTATATCCTTATTACTAGTATACTTCCCGTATAAGAGGCGCACTCTTTCTTCTCTTATACTTAGAGTCGTATTGTAACAAGGCAAGATGACTGTGCTGTGATGGGCCGTGCTGGGCTGATAGAGCGGTGGCAGAGAGGAAAAGTTATCTAGTCACATGTCAAACCTAAATGGGCTGGCAGAAGGGGGTGCAGAACAGTTTACAGTGCTGACAGTGAGCCATTCATTAGAGATTGAGCAGAGCATCATGAATTCCATGGTTTTTGACGCCGTCTACCTAATTTCTAAGTGTTTTTTATCAGTTCTGTTCTATTCGTCGATACTTCCGCTATGCTAGGTATTTATAGCTCTAGCCGCTGCCTCTCTAGATAGTGTTAGTAGTATTATCTTATCAGTATCAACTAGAAACGCGTTCTCGATTCCCGATCTACTAAATAGGTCTCTATACGTTGTTATACGTACACGCTAAATCCTAAAGTACTCTATTATAGTTAGCGATCGCGGGAAGATAATCTATTCATCGAAGATTTAAGCTCTTTACAATAATATCTTAATAAGATACTATATTAAGAATTACTAAAGTTAATACTAAAGAGTAAAGAATACGACTAAATAGAAGTTTAAGATTAACGATTAAAATTCGCGTAAACATCGATTTAACTTTAAAAGACGATGAGACTATTTATAGAGATAAAGTTCGCTAATTATTTAGAAAATCTTTTCTACGAAAGAGTTTAGAACCGAAATATTAAGAAGAATTTAAGATAAATAGCTCTTTAAAGAAATAAATTAATTAGTCGCGAATAAAATACTATAGTAAAGATATTTTCGAAGAAAAGATACTTAATTAATAAAACGAGACGCTATAGTATTATAACGTATAAAGTTTAACGCGAAACTTAAAGAGAAAAAAGATTATCTCTTAAAGATCTAGAAGTTCTTCTAAACGAGCCGTTAAAAAAGTATATTCGCGAAAGAATTAAGATATAAAAAGAAAGAAGAGAGATATACGGAACGACGATAAAGAGAAGAAGTAGAGAGATATAGAATATAAAAAAGTTTTAAAATAAAGAAATATAATGATAGAGAATTTAATATAAAGCTATAATAGTAATTTTAAACTATTACGATTAAATAGATAAAGAAAATATTATCGACGGCTAGCTATTACTACGTTAAATATAGTTCTTTTAGCTAATTAATATTTAAGATACGAACTTAGTCGGCGCTATAGAGATTACTCGCGTAATATTAAAGCTAATTAAAAAGATCGATTCTCTCGTATACGAAGATCACTTATAGATCGAGAAGATTACGAACTAAGTATTAAAGAGCGAGATTTATTCGACTATTAGATTAAGTTTCGAGAAGAAAACGTTTTACTAAGAGCGTAACTAATTTACTTATTAATTTAACTACTATTAAATATTCGAGAGCTTTTAGACTAATTCTTTCGAAGTATAGAAGCGATAATATCGAAGCAATCTAGAATATCGAGATTTCGGAGACCGACTACGAGTACTTCTTTAGCGTCTTTCGCGACCTTCTTATCTTCTTCTAGAGATTCTTTATAATCGTCTTTCTTAGAATCTATATAAATAATAACGACATCGAATTCGACGATAATGACGTAGAATAAAAATAAGCTAATTATATTAAAGATACTATAAGAAAATAAGAAGAATTTCGAATATTTATTCTTTAAAGACTTAAATATCACGACTTTCTTAGAGAATTTTGAGTATTTATCTCTATATAATAGATAATTAAAAGAAGATCGTACTAAAGCGATTATTCGTTTTTATAATCGTTTCTATACAGTAATTATTCGTAATCTATCTAAATATAAACTATGGAATTAGAAAGATATTAAGCGAGAAATATTAAAGAAATAAAAGAATGAAGATAAAAATTAGCTAATATTAATTCTTTTCTATTTATAATCGCTTAAAGATAAAAAGCGAGAGAGTAAGAAAGATATATATATTTATCTACGCGAATTTAAAAGAACTAGCGATATCTTATTTAAAGAAGAGAAAGTAATCTTTATTTAATTAAATAAATAGTTATTAGAAGAGTTATCGAAGTGAGATCGTAATAAAATTATCTTAGATCTAGATATTAATTATAAAGATACTAAAATAATTAAGTACGATAAGATTTATAAAAAGGCTATAGATCGCTCGTAAGCTCACTATAATACTAATTATTTTACGAACTCTTTAGAAGATTAGACTTTAAATAATTTAGTGAAAGAACGTAAAGAAAAGTTTTCGATATTAAGATAGAAAAAGAGAAGTATTGTAACAGAGCACTTTAGGGTTTAGCGTGTACGTGCAACAACGCACAGAGGCCTATCCAGCAGATCGGGAATCGGGAACGCGTTTCTGGTTGATACTGACAACAACACCACCAACACCACCCAGAGAGGCAGCGGCTAGGGCTACGAACACCTAGTACAGCGGCAGCATCGAGGAATAGAACAGAACTAATAAAACACTCTCAGAATTTAGATAGACGACATCAAAAGCCATGGAATTTATAATACTCTACTCAATCTATAAAAAATGAATGGCACACTACCAGCACTATAAACTATTTCGCACCTTCTCTCTACTAGCCCATTTAGGTTTAATATGTAACTAGATAACTTTTTCACCTTACCACCGCTCTATCAGCCTAATATAGTTCATCATAGTATAGTTATCTTACCTTATTATATTCCTCCCTCTCCTATTTATAGAACGACCTCGTTCAATAGTACATAGTACACTTAAGAATTATCTAACTCTATTATTACTTAGGGGGCGGGTCCGCAGCACTATGAGAAGAAGCTCGTAACGGGGGTAGATTCTTCTCTCTTATTAAGTCTAGAATACGAACTAAAACATCACTAGTAGATATAATAAATTTACTCGGTCTATATAAGAATACCGAAGACGCTCTTAATATTTCGCTTTAATAATCACTCTATCTTAGAGTTAAGTCTATTTCTATACTAATGTTGCTCGGTGGCTCTAGGGTTCGCTCTTAGAATTCTCTCTTAACTAACTAAGTAACGCGAGAGAAGAGAGAGTTCACTCTTAGCGTTGGGGTTCTATTCTAAGAGTTATTACTATTATATTCTAAATCTATTCTCTCTTCACTATATAGATCGATATAAGTCTATAATATTTAGTTCGTATTCTCTTAGTTAATGAGATTAATAACACTTTTATCTAAAGTGGCCATTATAATAGACTTTAATAGCTATCACCCACTAATTTCTACGCGAGACGACCATAATAATGATATCTTTTCATCTCTAATAATAGCTTAATAAATATTCTAAATAAGTTAAACTTAATGAGAAATATCGATTTTAACTTCTTTAATAGCTTTAATACCGTTTTTCATAAGAGCTTTAATCTAAAAGATGATAAACATTCCGTAATTATAGTTATTTAGTTATTTATTGACATTAATATTCTAAAATATAAACTATCTATTGTCTTCGAGCTTTGCTCGAACTTAAGAGTTAAGATACTCTAAAATAATCGAAATCATTAAGTCTTTTACCGTGCGCTTCCTAATCGAATTCATGACGTAAACGATTTAAGAATCGAAATCGACGTATACTAACTATTAATGGTTAATCTCTCGATAGGGAATTAGCTTCTTCTATATAAACTTATCTTATCGCTACGATCGCGGCTAGATTATAAACGTAAATGTTCCTCGAACGTTATATAAGTAGATTATATTTTATTCGTCTTTCACTTAGTACTTTCGGTAGGCCGCGATACCTTTAATAACGTAATCTATAGATAATTAATCGTTATAATTCGCACTAAGTAAAAGATATTCTAATTCTTTCTTATTAATTATATATTCTTCCGAGTAGTAATTCTCGCCGCGAAGAGATTTCTTTACTCCGTGACTATACTCTTTAAATTTCTTTAAAGCGTCTCGAATTCGCTAAATTTCTAATATGTCTTTTTTAATCTCTACTCTTTCTATAATTCGAATTACTTCGAGAGTAGCGTAATACTAAAGAGATTACCTCGAATTAATATTAGTCGGTAATACTTCGATTAATCTTTAGAATACTCGTATAATAGCTTTAAATCCGTACTAAACTACTTTATCCGCTTACCGTTTCGTTAAAGTATCTTTACCGATATTATACTTAACTCTCTTAAACTAGTTCATGATAATCTTCTATACTAGTCTTTTTATATTGAAAGGATTTCTTAATGAGTTTTATTTATATAGTCTTATATTGAAGGGCGAAGGTAACTCTTAAAACTCTTTACGGAGATATTTATTATTAGTAATAGTTTCTTTAGCTTCCGTAAACGCTTATTCGATGAACG